GCACCTTTTCATATCCCGTAACACCAAATTTTCCAACCTAAGCTACACGCATCCCACGCTTACTCGTTATCCTCATCCATCGAATCCTGGTCAGATCCGGACTCATCCTCGTCATCATCATCGTCCTCGCCGTCCTCGCTGCTGCTGTCGTCCTCGTCGTCATTGACGCCAACAAGCTTATCCTCAACCTCCTCCTCAGTGGCCTTGGTAGGAACCTTCTGAGCAAAGAACTTGCGGACGCCAGCGTTGGTGGAGGTATCCCAGACGGAAACGGTTCCCTTGCTACCAGCAACCGCAAGTCTGAAGGCAACCTCGGGATCAGGACCGAATGTCGTAGAGAAGACCTTGCCGACGTCGAAGTCACGGGACACCACGAGTGAGGGACCCTCAGCAGTGATGTTCCACAGCTTGACGGTCTTGTCAGTAGATCCCGTGGCCATGTATCCGGGAATGACGGGGTTGAGATCGAAAGAGGACACCGACTCGTCGTGCGCCTGGAGCTTCCAGACAGACTTGCTGACCGCAGGATCCTTGGTAGCGTTGCGAGCATCAAAGTAATGAATGATGCCGCTCTCGGTCGAGACGTAGAAGAAGTTGGGGTCATGAGGATCCCACCTGACGTTCTCGACATCGCTCTCCACACCCACACGCATGGGCTGCTCATTGGGCGCGCGCATGTCGGCGATGGCAACGGTGCGATCGTAGGAGCCGGACAACAGCACTGTCGACTCGACCGCGTGCCAGGCTAGCGAGCACACCTTGTCGGTATGGTAGCTGTACGACTTGGCGCACTTGGTGGTGTGGAGATCCCACAACTTGACCGTCTTGTCGGCAGAGGCGGATGCTAGCAAGTTGCGGTGCTTCCTGTTGGCAGCGAGGGCCAAGACAGCATCAACGTGGTACTCGTCGTTGGCCTTCTTGGACTTCTTCTTCTTCTTTTTCTTCTTCTCGTCCTCGGGGTTACCGCCCTGTCCCAGAATAGCGTTGGGGTACATGCAATCCACCGTGTCGAGATCCCAAATCTCAATATCAGGGTCGAACGTACCGATGGCAACAAAGTTGCCCGTAGAGTCCTTGTCGACGCCCGGCTTGCTGACGGGGATATCGAGCCATTCGAGGCATAGTGGTATCGCAGGAAGCATGATGTCGTGGTGAACGTAAAGGTTGTCGGCGGCGTCTTCGTAAACATACACCTCGAGATGGGCGAGTTCGTCTTCGATCTTGGCGGCCAGCAAAAGGTTGTCGGTGGCCAGAATCTGGAGATCTTCGCGTTCGTCGTCGTCCTCTTCCTCCTCCTTCAGCGTGATGTACGGATCCTCCTTGTTAGACTCGTAGTAGGCGAGCGACTTCACGTTGCCGAACATGCCCATTTGTTGCGCCTCGCCCGCATTGTCATCGTCGTCATCGTAGTGCTCCAAGTCGTACTCCTTAAGGTCGTCGTCGATCTCGATCCTATGAAGGTCCAATTAGCAATGCTTCTCGGGTCGGAACAGCTAGCCGACACATACTCATCGCGCGTGTCAACCTTCATAGCGGTATCATCATCCTCCTTGTCGGAAACACCGCCATTGGCCTCCTTTTCCCTGGCCTCATCCAAGTCGTCCTGGGCATCATCCAGCTGAAGCTTGGCCAGGCTAGCAATGCGCTCGAACTCCTCCTCGTCGAACTTGTACTTGGTGGGGAAGGGCGCCGCAAAGCCTCGCGGCACCCAGGCGGTGGTCGTGATCATGGACATTGTCGCAACGTAATGGCGATGTATCGATCACGGTTTGCGGGAGAAAACCAGCAAAATTCTGCCGGATAAAAAAGAAGGAAGGTAAAAAGTGGTGCTGCTGGCCACACACAGGTCGAACTCTCCAGGTGTTGAGTGATGCGACGGGACGGCAGTACAAGACGAGACAGCGAAAGTTACGGGCAAATTTTAGTTACGCGACTTGACCGATTTTGCCAGTGGAAAATGGACTTTTTAGTGGGGACGCATGGCGGGGCTTATCTTATCGCAGAGACAGCGTCCACCGTTGCATCATTGGACGGGACCTCAATGGGCCAGTCGCTACCTCTACGGTTCCCCGTCACAGCGGTCCACGCCAAGCAAGGTGCTGCTGTCTGGTCGCTGTCTCGTCACTCCTAGGGAAGTTTTCCCATGTCAACAAACCATCGCCAACCGACTCTTCCACGCAACCTAACTCTGGGCTGCTGGCATCCCACACATACATAATTCAGCCAAAATGGGTCGCGACGATAATGACGATCGGTCCTTCAAACGACGAAAGATCGATTTCAACCCACTTCGCTCCGATGACCGCTTCTCAGATCTCCCGTCGCGCGCGCCACACAAGGGTTCCAGGGGTGCCAATGGCAACAATGGGTCCTTCAACTCCCGAGCTTCCACTCCTCGTGTCGGGTCCAGGTATGGTGGCGGAGAGACACCTCGCCAGAAAGAGTTTGACGGCCCCGAACCCGGTGTAAACGACGACGACGCAACCAATGCCCTCGATCGAGATTGGTACGGCGGTGACGATGACCTTGGCGGCCACACATTTGGCGATGACAGCCACAACCCTTTCGGCGATGAAGGCGCTTGGGCAGCTCAGGAGAGAGAGGCGGCCCTGGCGGAAAAGAAGATTGGGCAGATGGCGCGTGGTATGAGCGCCCGCCAGATACAAAAGCAAAAGGACGTCGACGCCTGGGAGACAAACCGGATGCTCACCTCAGGCGTGGCGCAAAGGAGGGATCTGGGACAGGACTTTGAGGATGACCAGGAGGGAACCAGAGTGCATCTCCTAGTGCACGACTTGCGACCTCCTTTCCTGGATGGACGAACCATCTTCACAAAGCAGTTGGATCCAGTTCCCGCTGTGCGGGATTCCCAGAGTGATATGGCTGTTTTTGCTCGAAAAGGAAGTAAGGTGGTCAGAGAAAGGAGGACGCAGCGCGAACGCCAAAGACAAGCGCAGGAGGCCACCAAGGTGGCGGGAACGGCGCTAGGCAACCTGATGGGAGTCAAGGAGGAAGATACCGACAGCGCCCTCCCTATCGCGGTGGAGGAGGAGGCCGGCAAAAGCAAAAACATGAACAAGTTCAGTGAACATATGAAGGAAAACGAGGGTGCCAGCAATTTCAGCCAAAGCAAGTCCCTAAAAGAGCAGCGCGAGTTCCTTCCTGCTTTTGCTGTACGGGAGGACCTGCTGCGCGTCATTCGTGACAATCAGGTTGTCATTGTAATTGGAGAAACAGGCTCGGGTAAAACGACACAGCTTACCCAGTTTCTCTACGAGGACGGCTACGGCAAGACGGGCATGATCGGCTGCACCCAGCCCAGGAGAGTGGCGGCTATGAGTGTAGCGAAGCGTGTTGCCGAGGAGATGGAGGTGAAGCTTGGCAGCACGGTAGGCTATGCGATCCGCTTCGAGGACTGCACCAGCAAGGATACGGTCATCAAATACATGACGGATGGTGTCCTTCTACGTGAATCCCTGAATGAAGCAGACCTGGACCGCTACTCCTGCATCATCATGGACGAAGCTCACGAAAGAGCCTTGAACACCGACGTTTTGATGGGATTATTCAAGAAAATCCTTCAGAGGCGCCGGGATTTGAAGCTGATTGTCACGTCTGCGACGATGAATGCAAAGAGGTTTTCCGACTTCTATGGTGGCGCACCTGAGTTTACCATCCCCGGAAGAACCTTCCCTGTGGACATCATGTACCATCGGTCGCCTGTGGAGGACTACGTGGACCAGGCTGTGCAGCAAGTTCTGGCTATTCATGTGGGAAAACCAGCAGGCGACATTCTCGTTTTCATGACCGGTCAGGAAGATATTGAGGTGACCTGCGAGCTCATCCGCGAGCGGCTAGATGCCCTCAACGACCCGCCGAAACTCAGTATTCTTCCAATCTACAGTCAGATGCCCGCGGACTTACAAGCCAAGATCTTCGACAGGGCCGCTCCCGGAGTCCGAAAGGTCATCGTGGCTACGAATATCGCGGAAACCAGTTTGACTGTGGATGGTATCATGTACGTGGTTGATGCAGGCTATTCAAAGCTTAAGGTATACAATCCACGAATGGGTATGGATACCCTTCAGATTACGCCTATATCGCAAGCAAACGCCATGCAGCGCGCTGGTCGTGCGGGTCGCACTGGGCCTGGTCAAGCATATCATCTCTTCACCGAGAAGGCCTTCAAGGACGAGATGTACATGCAGACCATCCCAGAGATTCAGAGAACGAATCTGAGCAATACCGTTTTGCTCCTTAAGTCGCTCGGTGTCAAAGACCTCCTTGATTTTGACTTTATGGATCCTCCGCCTCAGGACACCATCAGCACATCGCTTTTCGATTTGTGGGCGTTGGGAGCACTAGACAACCTTGGTGAGCTCACCGACTTGGGACGGAAGATGAATGCCTTCCCAATGGACCCGCCTCTTGCCAAACTGCTTATCACCTCGGAGGAATACGGATGCAGCGAGGAAATGGTCACCATCGTTTCGATGCTCTCTGTTCCCAACGTATTCTACCGGCCCAAAGAACGACAAGAGGAGTCAGATGCGGCTCGTGAAAAGTTCTTTGTGCCAGAATCAGACCACTTGACCTATCTGCACGTCTACACACAATGGAAGGCCAACGGGTATAACGACGGTTGGTGCGTGCGACACTTTTTGCACTCCAAGTCTCTCCGTCGTGCCAAGGAAGTCCGCGAACAGCTCCTGGACATCATGAAGATGCAGAACATGAAGATGATGAGTTGTGGCACCGACTGGGATGTGATTCGCAAGTGCATCTGCTCTGGCTACTACCACCAGGCAGCAAAGGTCAAGGGCATTGGCGAGTACATCAACTTGAGGACCAGTGTCACCGTCCAACTGCATCCGACCAGTGCACTCTATGGGCTGGGCTTCTTGCCAGACTATGTGGTGTACCATGAGCTGATCCTCACCAGTAAAGAGTACATGTCTACGGTCACCTCAGTGGACCCTCACTGGTTGGCGGATCTCGGTGGTGTATTCTATTCGGTCAAAGAGAAAGGATATTCGGCACGGGAGAAGAGGATCACAGAGACGGAGTTCAACAGGAAAATGGAGATTGAGGCACAGATGGCAGCGGACAAGAAGCGGCAAGAGGACCAGCTGCACGAAGAAGAAGAGCTTCAGCTTGTGAAGAAGGTGGCCCCATCGAAGGACAAGAAGGTGGTTAAGTCGGGTGCCGTGGTGAAACCGGCCAGAAAACGCGCTGGGAGGGGATTCTAGTCGACCATTTTTGGATATCGAAGTCCTGGAGTTCGAGCCCGAGTCATTTACTGGAGCAGTACGTAATAAATAGGTAAATCAACAGGAATGCCCTATTAAAAAGGGGCCAACCCGCATGAGTAAACAAAAGGGAACCCCATAGCAACGGTAGCCGGGCCATTAGCCGAGTGGGGCATGTTCGGGTGTTTGACCCCCGGTCTCGGCCAGGATCGGCAACGATGACAGACGATGATTCAATTCAGTGACTGAACTTCTTATCTTATGACTGTTCTTTGCCAGCTTGCATCGCAACTTTTTCTTCCTGTAGATTGTATCACGTTACCTTATTTTCTGTGTTCATTAGCTTGGTTGTATTCAAACCCCCAAGATCCAAACTCGGACGTCACCAGATAAACGACGACAACAGTGAAGAGAACAACAACACTGCTAACAAGACGCCAATTCATCAACAATGCAGAGCTTAAAGTCGGCGTCGGTGGCTAACGCCGTCCGAAGCGCTACCCGCATCTCCCAACGCTCGGTATCACGCAAGACCCGCGCTCTCAGCTCGCTCAACAGCTCCGCCATCACCACCCTTCGTCCCCAGACTACCACTCGCAACGTCTCCCGCACCACAGCCATCAGCGGAACTCTCCTCTTGCCCAAGACCCAGCAGCAGGCCCGCCATGGCTCCTCGTCCGCCTCGTCGGAGGCCCTCCAGAAGACGCCCCTCTACGACCTGCACCTCGCCCACGGCGCCCAGATGGTTCCCTTCGGCGGCTTCCACATGCCGGTGCAGTACAAGGGTCTCTCAGTGAGCGCCTCGCACGCCTTCACGCGCGAGCACGCCTCCATCTTCGACGTCAGCCACATGGTGCAGCGCGTCTTCTCGGGCCCAGGAGCCCGCGAGTTCCTCGAGCGCGTCACGCCCTCCGACTTGGCCTCTCTGGGCGTCCACCGCAGCACCCTCTCGGTCCTGCTCACGGCGGACGGGTCCGGCGGCATTGTGGATGACACCATCGTCACCAAGCTGGCTGAGGACATGTTCTACGTCGTCACCAATGCCGGCTGCCGCGAGAAGGACAACGAGTACTTTGAGCAGGAGCTGGCCAAGGCCAAGGAGTCCGGCTTAGAGGTGACCCAGGAGCAGCTGGACGGCTGGGGCCTGGTGGCCCTGCAGGGTCCTGAGGCCGAGGCCGTTTTGGCTGATGCCCTCGACGCCCTCGACGGCAACACCGATCTCAAGCAGCTGTACTTTGGCCAGTCGGTCTACGGCAAGATAAAGCTTGAGGACGGCAGGCTCAGCACGCCCTTGCTGATCAGCCGCGGCGGCTACACGGGCGAGGACGGGTTCGAGATTTCGATCCCGCCATCCGAGACCGTCGAGGTCACAGAAAAGCTGCTTACCGCGGGCGGTGCCGAGCGGGTCCAGCTCGCCGGTCTCGGCGCGCGCGACTCCCTCCGCCTGGAAGCGGGCATGTGCCTGTACGGGCACGACCTGGACGAGACCGTGTCTCCCGTCGAGGCCGCTTTGAGCTGGATCATTCCCCCGAACCGCCGCAAGGCGGACGCAGGATACTACGGCGCCGAGACCATCGTTTCGCAGCTGACTCCCAAGAGCAAAGGAGGAAAGGGCGTCACCCGTCGTCGCGTCGGCTTTATCGTGACTGGTGCTCCGGCCAGAGAAGGCGCGGAGATCGTGGCCAAGGGAGACCCGGCCACGAAGCTTGGCAGGATCACGAGCGGGTGCCCCAGCCCCACCCTGGGGAAGAACATTGCGATGGGGTACATCGAGGATGGCCAGCACAAGAGCGGGACGGAGGTGGAGGTGTTGGTGAGAGGACGGGCGAGGCCGGCGGTGGTGACCAAGATGCCGTTTGTGCCTAGCAAGTATTACAAGTCTGCTTAAAGGACTTAAAAAGGGCGGATAGGGGTTTATTGGCGGGGAGGGAAGGGTTGAATGGTATAATGATGATGGACAAGGGAGTCCATTGATTCAACAACAATGAATTTCTGCGGCAGGAAAAATGAGGGTATTTATAGGATCACGAATGGCGTCAAACCGGGCACGGCGATGTTATATATTGTTTTCAACAACTGGGCAGAACAGGACAGCTAATGGGTGTCTGGAAACTACTGCCTGTTTACCGACGACGGGTTTTGGCATACGTTGATGGAGGAAATACCAGAGTTCTGAATCCAATGCCGTCTTGATGTGACAAATCTTGGTGACTACGTTAACGGTCGTATTATCTGAGACTACATACTACGACTTTGAACCCTATTTCAGGCACCAAGTCTGCTTTGGTAATTATAATTAAGTCCAACGCGCTAAATCAAGCTACTGACCGACTGTTGAGATGAGGTATCTAATCCATGCTAAACAAAAACAACTCCGTGAGCCCAATGTTGAATGCTCGCCCCTATTCCCATGCAGAGCCTCCCGTAGTAAGTACATCAAGGGAAGAAATTCGAGATAGAAGCGAAAGAATGCATGCACGCATGTATAGGCGATGTGATCAACCCGACTCCTGACACGCCATGCTGCCCATCCACGCTATTTTCCTCTTTTTTGTCGTGTGTGTATGTGAACAGATGTCGTGAGATCTTTTTATTTTCTTTCACCCCATGCGCTCATTCTTCCTGAGCCCACCTCTTCTCCCTCAGCGGGATCTCCTTGCCCGCGCGCCGGCGCTCACCTGAGATCTCCTCTCGCCAAGCCCAGTACTCGCCCAGTCTCGTCTCGGCGTAGGAGGCGTAGTCAAAGTCGATTTGGGAAATGGTCGCCTGGATGAGCGCCCAGATGCCCCAGTAGAATCCGGGCAAGCCCCGGAAAACGTCCACCTCGTTTAGTAGGCGGTCAACCTCGGCCGCCTCGTCAAAATCGGCCGTGGTCCCGTTCTTCTCGCTTTGATGAGCATAGTAGGCGCGGATGTACTCGGTGATGAACTCGCGGCGCTGGGCGCGCGTGGGGAGGACGCTGAAATCGCAGTCGAAGCCACCCCATTCGGCGAAGTGGTTTGAAATGTCGAACGCGGCTGGTGAGGGGGTAGCGTATTCGTAATCGATGAAGGTGACGTCCGTGGTCGTGTCTTTGGCGGTGATGCCGTTGCTGTCGGCGGGTGTCTGCTGGGGTTTGGGAAGGACAATGACGTTGCCACTGAGGAGATCGCAGTGCGCAAACACGAGCTGTTATGTGAGTGGTCAGCCAAACTCATCCGTCATATGGAAAGGGAAGGAGGAAAAACAAAGCGTAGTACACACCCCATTAGCGCCCAAGCCTGGCCGCTGGCTCAGCTCGGCAACAGTTCTGGTAAGCTCCTTCTGCAAGTGAGCCTGACGCGCTCTTTGCGCCTCCGTATCTGTTGGCAGGGCAAAGATCCACTTCTGCATGACAGTCCAGACGTTCGGGGGAGGCTTTCCAGGCGCGACACTGTCAATGACTTGCTGAAACTCGGCATCTCCAAGGGCTTCGGACGGTACGATGAACTCGGTGTTCTTGGAGTTTCTGCGGCTGTGTCCAGTGCGGGCAGCAATGCAAGGTACCACGGCGTGCCACTGGGCAAGTTTCTTGGCCACGGCCTTGTAGATGACGGGCTTGCGCAAATCCTCGGGGTGGGTCATGGAGCCCTGGACAAAGCGGTACATCATGCCATTCTCGAAGCGGGCGAGAAGCTCGGGGGCGAGGCCGTATCGCATGAGTAGCTCGTGGTTCTGGGTTTCGCGGTGGCGATCGATGATCAAATCGGTGCCGTTGCCGTAGGCGCGGAGCAAGATGGCCTCATTGTCCACCTCATCCTTGGAAAGGCCGGCCTTCTTGTTGACTGCTTTGAGGAGTGTATTGGTGATGCCATCGGTGAAGCGCACGAACTCGACGTTGGAATCGGCGCTCTCCCAGTCGGGGCGGATGGCAAGAACGAGCCGGCGGGCGGTGGCCTCGCAGTCCTCGCCCGAGTAGGCCAAAGGGATGTAGCGAATGTGATGCTCGACGGGCCCGTTGCCGTTCGAATGGCCGTTCGACTGGCCGTTGGCTGTTTGGGTGCCGTTCTCTGTTCGGACAGCCATGGTGGGCGGTAGGAATCGCAAGGCCGATTCGGGCTTTGCTAGGGATTGTATACGTGTGCCCTCTTTGGGAGATGACGGCAGAGGTTCGTGATGGAATTCGCCTTTCGGTTCTGATTTTTTTACGTTAGATGATGTAGCACTGCAGTGCAAGACGTTGATATGCGCGGAGAGGTATGCAAAAGCAAGTGGAAGTTGGATGTCGAGGAAAGGAGACCACGGACATAAAAAAGGGGGGAGGGAGGGGGTTGTGTTGTTTACAGGGCCGTATCTTTCTACGCACCTACTGTATCTCTCTAAGCCGATTCAGGACGGTCAACGGGAAGGATGTGCGCACTGCAGAAGGGAAAATGAGGAAAACGAAGAGGAATTGGTTGGCCTTGGATGATGCGTCGGTGAGGCCAGTTTGACAGACGCAAAGCCGAACGGTAAAGACGATGATCAAATCGGTCCGTTGGGCCTTCCTCACACGATCACTTGCCCTTTGGCTGGTCATCAAAAGTCGCCATCCCCACTTCTTCGAACAAACACATGCTTCTCTTTTTGCTCCTGGGGCCGCTTGCCGCCCCAATTACGACGACCCCGGCCAACCTTGCCAACCATGCTGACCCCAACGCCAAAACCCCCGCGGTCCCTTGTGCCTGGTGGTCCCTTGGCGTTTGTCTGGTCCTCTCCAAGGTCGCCCCTGACTGGACGAGTCTGGATCGCCTAACCTTGTTTGGCAGTTGGCTAGTCCTATCAATGGTCCCCTAGTGGTACGTACCTTTTGTCAATGTCATTGAATTCTCGCTGTCCGCCCACTGCACGGGCACGGGGTTGCACAGCACGTGAAATTCAACGAAAGAGTGGATTGCGGTTGGCCAAGCCAACAACTACCGCCACCCTGGACCCCATCGCTCGAATCGCAAACGAGCCATCTCTTTCGAGTTTCAACCCTGATTGCATCTCGGATTGTCATTGCGCCCCTCGCGTCATTTGCAGGTTTGGTGTCACAACCGTCTCGCCTTTCCCGTCTGACGTCGCTTTGGCCGCCATCCCATCTGCCCCTCACTCGAGTCACCTTGCCCACCAGCTGGGGTAGGCATCAGATTGTCATTGACCAAACAGCTGCCCCTGCGACCACGGCAACAGGCACGCCAAGTACCGTTGAGCAACAATGGTATGAGAAAAATAAGAATATATCAACTAGGGCAGGGACAGACAGCAGCGAGACATGATATACTTGTGAAGTCAAGGTTGATGTGGCTTTAAATGGGCAGAAAATTGCACAAGGTCTTCGGTCGTGAGCATTCAGTGCTATAGGCTGTAATCAAACCGAATCACCGGGCTATCACTGAAAAAAGGACGAGGAGAAGAAAGACAGCATTCAAAATGGCGTACCCGGTCTTGCCTAGCCCCGACAACTTCCTAGCTGTTGCTCTCGTTATCAACCGTTCTCGGGACGGCCCGCGATTTGTTTTCCACTACCCTCCCCACGTCTTGCCACCACAGGCTACAGCAGCAGCAAGAGATCGCGATGATCTGGACGATCTGGACGAAGAAGACGAGGCTCTTCTGCACCGAGTTTCCCATGCCGTTGGCCTCGATGCCAGCTCTTCGTCCCCGTTAAAGGAGTCCGAGCTGTCGCAGTGGAATCACGACGACCATCTCATCACCGAGAGCGGCACTCAGATTGTTCCTTGGGAGCACGTTGCTGGCTTCCCAACCAAGGATCTGGAAAACATCTTGACTCCGGCCAGGGCCTATCACAAACGCTTGTTCCAGGTTTCCTTGGATCCTCTCTACTGCGTTTCGTATCCCATCCATGTGCCAGAGAATGGAGTCTGGCGGAAGAAAAGCAAGAAGCAGCAAAAGCACCGGGACCACGATGACTCCATCCCGACAGACACGGACGGTCCCGCAAGGACTAGTGACAAAGGTCCCTCGGATGTAGACCAGCCTGCCGTCAAAACAACCGAAGAGGCCGAAGACAAGAAGAGTTCCATGACCATGTTCAACCTTGTCTTCATCTTGAACCCCAAGAGGCATGAGGTTGCCGACCTTGTCGACATACTCTACACGCATATCATCAAGAAAGTCAACAAGGCATATAAGTACTGCCAACAGAGGAGTGATTTCATATGGAAGGAATCTAAGAAGATTCTAGCCTTGAAGGACAAGGGTCGGGAAGACAGTGAGTGCCCCCATCAGGTCTATGCTGGGCTCTGCTAATTCGCATGCTTGTGAACCAGAGAGAAAGATGAGCCAGTTGTGGGACGAGATCCTAGCGAATTCTTCACTGGCAGCATCTATGCAGGACATATACGACGCCATATCACGGAACAGAATTGCTGCCATCCAGCTCGAGACCATTGAGGGTGTGGTTACTCACTCCGTGCAGATTCCTGTGCCATTCCATGTGCCCGACCTGCCCCAGGACGGCCAAGGGGAGGAGCAGCTTGGTCTGTGGTTGACGACCGCAAACTCGTTGCAAGCCGACGAGAGCGTGGAGGAGCCCGAATATCTGGACAAGACCTTTGCTCTCCTCCTGATGGCAGAAGAGAAAAAGGTCATCAACGAGCTGCTGGGTCCTGAATCCGACCCTACTACACAGGCCATGATCGAGTTTGTACGCCGGTGCAAGCCCAATCTCTCCTTCCACCAGGTGCAACAGCAGGCAAGCAGTATCCTCTCGCCTGCCCAGGTGCGGAGGTTTGCCGAGCATTTCATATTCTGGCGACGAGCCATCGCTATCCCGCCTCTGCACGGCCGCGACATGTACATCGTGAGTCCCAACTGCGACCTACGCAGACTTCCTCAAGCAGCTGCTCAGTGGGCGAGACAGTTCCCGCTTTCACCCCCGCTGCCCAACTTCCTGGCCGAGCTGAGCGTTGCCCCGCGGCCGTATAAACTGCACTGTCCGAGTAAGGCTCACCGGCCTCTTTATATGGCTATGCTGGCGTGGTTGATGCGTGGCGGTTGGGTTACCCAGCTCTGCACCTTCGCTTACGTTGTGGTCTGGCCCGAGATCATATACGAAGTTGAATATGAACTAGAGGCAGAGGAGATTGCGCGTGAGAAGGCGAAAGCACAGAACAGGGGCCGGGAGGAGGATCAAGGTCACAAACACGACGACATGCTGTCTCCAACAACGGTGGACAACAGTGGTGACACCGGAGGATCCGGTAACAACGTGTTGGCAGCGGCACTCAGCGAGGGTCCCCTAGCAGGCTTCGCCGGATCCGGATTCCTCTCGCTCACGGCCGACTCGACTTCGGCCTCAGACCTAGATTCCTCCGCGGCAACTCTCCGTGACCTCTCCATCGCGCACTCGCCCACCCTTTCCCGAGCCCAACCAGCTTCCACCCCCATCAACGAGTTCCTCCCGACTCTAACCTCGCCCATGTCGACCACCTCCCTCTCAACCCTCATCCTCGGAACCAGCGACTACATGACCAACACCCACAAAGACAACAACAACAACCACAACTATAACAACCCCGGCTCCTCCTCCCCCACAGCCTCCTACACCTCCACCAACACCCTCAACATGCTCAACCCACCCCGCCCCACCCTCCAGCTTACCCGCACCATATCCGAAGACACCAACGCCTCAACAGGCACTTCCTCCACGCACCACCAGCCCACGCCGGCCGAGCAGGCCGCAGAAAAAGCCCGACTGGAGCGCATAGCCGACAAAGCGGCGCGCGAGCTCGCGGAGCGGGCCATGGCGCACGCTAGAAAGGCCGTGCCGCAGGCGACGAGACACCCGAGCGTGAACCATGCTAAGCACCTGCTGGGTATGAGCCCGCATATTATCTTGGATGCGAAGAAGGCGACGGGGAAGGAGAGTTTGTATTTGAGTGCTATTGAGAGGAGGTTGAGGGGGAGGAGTGGTGAGGTGGCGGCGGCCGCGGCTGCTGCTGCGTCTGAGACCGCTGGTGGTGGTGGTGCTGCCGCCGACGGCGCCGCCACCGGCACTGGTGTGGACGGAACAGGGACGGGGACAGAGGATGCCGCCGCTGGAACTGGTAACGGTAACAATAACAGCAATGTCAATGTCCCCGCAAACACCGCGACAGGAAATGATGCCACCAATATCCCATCCTCTTCCACTACCGCCACCGCCACCGCCGCCGGCGCCGGCGCGACAACAACCGGCGGAACCGGAATGACAGGAGGCCGTGCCGTCTCCGGATCAGCTACGGCTCAACGAGGAACCAAGGACTGGGACGAGCGGGTGGCCAACACGTGGCCTCAGTTCTGGAAGTACTTCAACGGGCGGTCGGCACTGGAGCGGATTGCCTTGCAGGAGGATATGAAGCGGAAAGAGGCGTGGTCGTTGTTGACGGCTATGAGTGAGTATTTGTTGTGTACTAGGCATTGGTGAGAACGGAGACGAGGAAGTATTGTGTACTTACATTGCTACCATATGTTGACCTACTAGTACTATACTGTGTAGTTGGTTGCGGGTACTTGGGATGCCACACAAAGTATTTCGGAAGAGAAAACGCTTCGCTAGGTACCGGCCCATAACCTACATTGTCATTTGTAAAATGGAAGGTGCGCCGGGTAACACTCACCTGCCACCCAGTGCAATCGCGTATAAGTCATGGGACGGTCGTTGAGGTTCTTACCTTATTATACAGTGTCGTTCCTTCCTCGAGTTTGCTATCTCCAGGAGGCAACTGCCATGGCCCGGGCATCTGCATTTAATCAAAAAGTGTTCCCTTGATACACTAGCAAGAGGGCTGGCAAATCGGTCCTTGAATGTGCTGCCCGGCAGTCCGGATATGCACTACTCGGCTACGTCGGAATGGGGGACACATTGATCGGCATGAAGGTTGTCACCAAGCTTGGGCAAAAATATGATGCGATGTATCGAGCAAATAGAGCGGTGATTGTCATGATTGTGTTAGATAGAATCGTCGAGAAACAAAGTTAACTCCTCCTTCATGCTACCGCAATGGAATCCCCAAAGCGCCTGAGGTATAATCGTCATAAGCAGGAGAAAACCAGGTAGTACGCCATAGTGACCAGCACCGAAAAAAAAAAAAAAAAAAAAAACAAGGGCAGGCATAACACCGAAGAGACCGAGCCAACAGCATAACGCTGAGAATGATACTTCAATGAAATCACAACATCCATCCTTCTGTGTTATCACGTATGAACCACACTGAGTGACGAGGGCCATATGCCGACTTCCGTGTACACATGATGCTCTGCCATAGGGGAAAAGAAAACAGTTAAAAGAAAGAATAGAACGAAAACCTGAAACAGAAAAACAAGACCCAGTCTGTACGCCCATGTGCCAAATCACATTCGTGCTCAATCCCTGAACGACCAGTGAAATGCTAAGTACCTAGACCCCGTTCCCAATGTGCCGCTGCGATGAAAATGCAAATCAGGGATGTGAAAGCCTGTCAAGTGATGATCATGGCCGAGATAATAAATGATATATCCATAAGCTTCCAAGAGATGGTAAAGAGATGAGAAAGCCCCCCTGCGTTCGTAAAAAAACAGGAAAAAAAAAAGATAACCGAAAATCCACACCAGCATCGCGATCAAACAAATCCGATTCCTACGATCATTGAGTCAAGTCCATTCCATACTCGTCCTCCTCTTTGAACTCCATGTCGGCACCGTCGTCCTCATAGTCAAGGAAGTCGCCGGCATCGAGGCCATCGTTGAACTTTCCGTCGGCGCCACCATGGGCAGGACTGGTGGAAAGGTGTTCGCCATTGACACCATTGGTGTTCAAAGGCTCACCCTTGTAGTCCGTATGATGAGGGACGCGAAGGCCAGTGCCAGCCGTGCGAGAGTACGAGAATCCCCGGGATTTCCCGCTGCCGTCCTCTCCTCTGGCGATGGCCTCCATGAGCTCCGTCTGCATCCGCTTCTCATCATCGGTGATCTCAAAGGGTACCGTACCCCCACGCTCCAACAAGGCATTGATGAGCTCTTCTTGTTGTTGGATCTTGAGGTAGGCCATCCACATGAGATCCCGGGTCCAGCTCACCGCACCATTCAAAATGTCGCCCTTGTTGGGGCCCTTGTCCTTCTCCTCGATGGGCAGGCCTGTTGTGATGTTTCCAGCCGTGCTGCCAGCAGCTCGTCTTGCTCCAGGTCCAGCTAGGGCTGATGTGGCTTGAGAAGGACTTGGGATGCCCGCAAGCGTGGGTGAAAGGGGCGTTCCATTCTGAATTGCCTTGCGAATTTTTTCATCCTCTAGACGATGGGCAGGAACCAGCTTGCTAAGGTCTTGAATGCGCTCGTTGATGTTGTCACGTCTCCGTCTTTCAACGAGGTTGTGTGACTCGCGCCTCCTCTTCCTCTTTGCTTCTTGTGTCGACACAGAGGAGGTCGTGGTGCCAAGCTTGGCGGGCATGGATGTGCCGCCCTTCAACAGAATGTCATTGATTTGAGCGTGGGGGCCATGAAGGCCTGCCTGAAGAGGTGATGAGAAACCAGACCCAGGAAACGAGGACAGGCTCTGTGGGGTTTGCATCCACTGCGCGGAATGGGACTTTTCATGGTGGGGGCCTGTTGTCCTGATGGGCTGAGGGCCAAATGATCCCGAGTTCACCGAAAGTCCGGCCATGTCTATCGCCTTGGGTGTAAGTGGGCTTCGTGTGGTGGACGGCTTGCGCTGCATGGTTTGCGGTATCCTGGTACGTGCTTTCGCGCTCAAGAAGTTCGGGTCAGTCCCATCGCTGTTCATGTCGTTATTCGCTAATGGTGACCCGGCGTATGACATGGGCGACTGAAGCGATGTTCCGAAGGATTGAGGGTGCTGCATTTGGCGGAAATGCGAGAAGTTATGGACAAATGGCGAGGCTATCGGATCGCCGTCGGGTGTGCTCGAATAGCCATTTGTATGGGCTTGGTTGATGGGCAAGCTTTGGTGATAAGAGTCCGGGAAATTCATGCCAACATCGTTCATTCCGCCGAAGTCCTGTCCATGACCCTGCATTCCGACATGAGGGTCACTGGGACTGTTCAAGCCGTCGAGAAGCTCGTCGTCTCCGAACAGAGCTGAGCCGCTAGAAAACCCATTCGAGGGGTTGTTGGTGTGGTTGAGGTAGTTGTTTTGGAAGGAGCCATGAAAGTTGCCCCCCATGGCCAGGTCGTTCGGGTCGATGCCTCCTCCGCTATGCCCGCCCATTGGGAATCCGTGTTGTGCCATATTGTTCGGAATGGTATTGGTGGAGGCTTGGGTGCCTGTGTGTTTTGAGTATGACTCGGTGCGGCGGTAGGGGTGGTGGGTTGCCTTGGAGCGATGCCGGAAGATGTCAAGGCTGACGTGTCGCTAAGTCGCGGTGGTCTGAGGACAAGATATTCGGTTTGATCCCCAGTTCTTTCGCAAGCGCTTGCAAGGTTTGCGTATGAATCAAAAACCGTATTGTCGAGGTATGTCGAAGTCGGCGGTTGGTTTTGTTGTGGGCGATTGTGGGTGAATGTCGGGTTGGGTGTGTAGCCGCCTAACTGGCTTTGGCAATGTTCGGGGAAGTTTGTAACGAATGCCCGTGAAGGCAAGGGAGCCGAGTCGCCGAAGAGGACAACAAAGGCAATGCAATGCAATGAAAGAGAAAGAAAGGGGCAAGCGAATGCCAAAAACGCAGCCTTCTTTTTGTCGGATCTTGCCTACGCTTCGGTCGCCGAATAGGAACGGAGAGCGAAAGCGACAAGGGGTGCGAAGTGGTTGCAGGTTGCAGTGGTTGCAGTGGTTCGCGGTTGAGATTCAAAGCAATCGGCCTTTTCTGTTGGGCAATCAATGACTGGGATGAGTCAGCAGAACGTTCCGTGTAAATGCACTGCACCGCACCAGGACAGCGGCAGATTGCTACCTCGTTGTGTATGTTTTGAAGCAGGTGCGAGGCATCACAGCAGGCAGCAGACAGCGGGCAGGGAGAGGCGAGGTGCAGGGAGGAAGGAGAGGAAGAAAGTTGTGTGCGATGTGCGAAGAAGGCGCCGCTGTCTGCGAGAGGGGAAACTTTTGGGGTGGAAGGTGGGGACTAACAGAAAGGCGGTAAGATCCTATATACGGTATTGTACGTACAGCCACAAGCAAGGAATGTACTCGTATCGGTAATCGTAATCCGTCCTCTGCGGTAATGGTTTGCGCAACCCTAGCACTCCAAGAGCCCTTGGGAGGCAATAAATGCTGACGCGAGGTGTAAGAACCAAGAGGAGGGGGAGGGAGGGGGGTAGAGGGGCTGAAGTGGTTGGAATTCGCAACCAGACGAGAAGGTTTGCGCGTTGAGAATTCCGTCGGTTTGAGAGGCGTTGTAAAAATGGCTGTTGTCTGTGCACACAGTGCTAGGTGGAAGGCATTAGAAGGCCGACCTCAAAAGAGGAGCCTGTCCTTTTCGAGCACAATTTGTATGCGCTCCGAGCGGTAACTTGGCTGGCTGGCTGCGGGCTGTATGAGCGGAATGCAGCGCGGAAGCGGCGGCTGAGGCAGGCTGAGTTGCACGTACTTCTGCGTAGTGGAGGCGAGTCAACTTCCGACGATTACAGGATTGCCTAAGAATGATGTTTTTTGCCCGCTGTTGGAGAAGGCGAGTCAAGAGAGATATGCAGTTGGAGATCGTGGTGATTTATAAAGAGGTGGTCGTGAGCAGAAGGAGAGGCGGGGTACGGAGTGGGGAGGAGTAGGCAATGGGGAACGGAGAGGAAAGATCTGAGATGTGATGAGAACGGGGGAAAATACCAGAGCCAAGAGCTGGAGAAGAGGATATCCTCAGAAACGTGTGTGGATGCTCGATTCCGTATTCCGCAATTCGCAATTCGCAATCCGCAATCCGTAATGCGCACCACAAAAGATGCTTGTTGCCTGTGTTTTGCCAAAGGGTGCCAAACTGTGCTGTGCTAGTATTATGAGGTGAGAGAGTTGTGGTAACTCTTCCGAATGTATAAGAGATGCCGGCGTGTCGCCGATGAATAACTAACACGCAACCGATGCGCCGGACAATACGAGTTCGTGCTTGGCTATCTCGCTTGGTCTTTCCGACCGTCCCGTCTTGTTCTTGTGTATGGTTTGAATAGTGCGGGTGGGTTGTAATGAGATCTTCTCAAAGCGTGCGCCGTAACTGATCCATCAACCGTCAACCTCTATGCAATGCCTTGCTTGGATTCGGATGCTGCCATCCCCAGACTCGGACTTACACGACCCGATCCAAAGTGGGGCCTGGTCAAGGTGATCGCCGTCCGCGGGTCCCTAAACTCCTTTCACGGTCTGGATCCCGTCCGCTTGTCGCCCGCTGTCGACCGCTGCCTCTCCGCCAGGTGACGGTCGCTGACAGTTTTCTTGTTAATTAGTCGACCTTCAACGCTCACAACTGACCATTTGTCGTTGAGTTTCACGAGGCTGACCCCCAAAATGATGACGGGTGTGAGTCCCTATAAGCTGACTGCCCGGCCCAGGTTCGATCACTGATTGGGTCAATCCACGGAACCTTGTATAAGCGAGATAGTCTCCAGGCTGTTGATCCTGCCTTGTGAGTCCAGTGTGTCCTCTCAATATGCCTGTGCTCGCCGGTTGAGATGTTCCAGATCCGAAAGGCTCTTTGAGACACCACGGCCTTCTTGTACCGCATGTAAGATGTCCAAATAGATACCGGCCCTGGTCAGTTAATTGCCCGATGCCTGATGTCTCTTGTTTCCCTGTGGTTGTGGAAGGCGTACAGTGGAGCACTGAAGTTCGCCTGGCTGAATCTGGTTGAGGCTCGTGCTACCTGAGATATGGGAGAATGAAGGTGGCGTTTGAAGTAACTGGACAGTGACAAGGTGAGCGCTGCCTGGTGGTTAGAGATTGATGTTCAGAGTTTATGCAACCTCGCAACAAAAAGTCGAGATTTACAGAAGAAGAATAGTTCAGGTTACGGTGAAGTTTTATGAAAGCCCATGATTCTCAAGCGGCTCATCAACATCTTATATACTGATACTGACCGAGGAGGGGGCAACGATGTGTATACGAGGCCACCCACACATTCCAATACCGATGGCTTGTCAACAACGTCTTCTGACCTTATCGGTCAAAAAGGGTGGGCTGGAATCACGGCATGAATCAAGATGCAAGCGTTTCAACGTTGCCCGGTTTTTCTGTGGATTTCCTTCGACATCTTTCGGGGTGTTGACTTAGCTGATCGGGAACATCGGAGGAGATGTGAGATTTTGTAAAGGTAAGATGGGCGAAGAGCATCCTGCGATGATGGAGGGCATCTGTCTATCAGCGTGACTCGGGGGGTGAGACACTAAGGCACACCAATCCGAAAACGTTGATCATGGTAACCTCACACCTAGTTCACGACCCATGCTCCCACGGTCTACATCTACTATTACTCCAGACCTTGTAGGTGCGGACTGTTTTATCCGATCTGAGTTATCTAGAGTCTGGGTGGTATCTAAACTCTAAAGATTAGAAACACAAAGACTCCTAGTGCATAATGCTGCGCTTAGAGCTACCATATACGAACGTGCTTGTAAGCTCTTCAGCAATACACACACCAATAAACCTTCAATATGCCATGCACGTCGCCTCCTATCGAGTAGATTTTCGGCCGTAACCGTTCACTCATCCAAGAAGATGCCCTCCTTGAGGCGGATAACAGCCGGCACGATAATTCCGAGGCAGAAAGGGAAACTCACCGAGAAACCGGGGGCTCGACTGGCATCCAGCTGTTGAGGAGCCGGCCGATGTACGAGTCTTGGACAGCAAGGGCCAAGGGGAAGCATATTGGCAGATCCTAGCCATGGCCCTCTCCATCCCCATCGCCGTCTTATCGTGCCAAGTGTCATCCGAGTCGTTGAGCCCTCGTCGCTATCAGGATCAGAGCCTGCCTTGCCTGCTTTCCAAGTCCCCTAGTAAGACCGCACGCTAGGCAAGCGAGGCGTGGTGGTGAAGTCGTACTGTAGTCCTCAGATCTGACGTTGGCCCATGGACCCCACCATTGCTGACGTCGAAGGTCAAGACCGTCAAGGAGACGCCCATGCAATTCATATGAAATTCCATGCTTCCCTTTGCCGTTTTTCGAGTACGATTGATTGCCGCAAAGCACATCGGAAGTCATTCCTCGCCGCGTCGTCTAATGAGGGTTGTCTCTCTGGAGCAAGTGGTACAGCATTCGACATTGGTTGCCCCTGTAGGACTGCTTCCCCTCATGGCGGAGGACTGGCTGCCCCTCCAAACGAAGGGGTTCAGTTTTGGAGAGATGCTAGAGGTGTCCGGCGTGAGGTGAGTGGATGCCTTCCCATGTCGCTTTGGATGCCACCCTACGAGCTGGGTCCGTGATCATCTTGTGGACCAAGGATGGTGTGGACTGGCCAATCAGATGACAGATGCCCAGCCTGTGGCTGCGTCCGATCAGGCCGTTGATGCGCATTCAGTCCCACCTCACTGCCGCCGCTAGCTGGCCGAGCTGGCCAACTTGGCTGGAGCCAGCAAGCTTCAACTCTGGGCAACCTCAGCATTATTGTGTAGGGCATCAACCTGTCACCATTGCGACACGCCCCAACACGCGCATTTTGAACTGCCCATCCATCACCAACCTACTATCCAAAATCGATTATTTGCACCTTCCCACAACTGCGCACCCTACCTCTATCGCAATAGTCGGCCAGCCACCTAGCCATCCAAAATACCCGAGTTGCCGACAGCGTGTGTAGCGACACTGTTGAACACGCACACCGCGTCGGAAGGCGGCGACAAACACGGAACTCTCCCCAGACGACCCCCAAGCCTTTCCAACATTTGGAGGACAAGGGCTTGAAACAGATCGCCAAAACCTGCTATTTTTGCAGCCGATAGCTTAACTTGACTGCGGTATCATCTGAACACCAAACGTGGGTCTTATTCCTGTCAACCTCCGGCCGCCTGGTGGTCGCATGATTGCCTCTTCCCTGATATCAAACATCAAGACTAATTCTCCCTCTTCGGATACAGCCTGTGGTCGCTTCTGTCAGTCGCCCTACCCGCTGCGAGCGTATCTCACCTTACCGCACCACCCACTCCGGCACCGTTATCCAATAGCACCGCTTGCTCGACCATCTACACACCCCTTTTCCATCCGATCTATCACAAGTCAGCTCCGGCCTTGTTTGTCAGTAACTGTTCTCGTAAAGACGGTCACTGGACACTATCTTTACATCGGTTTATAGTACTGGCCAACTTGCGGTCCTGGACGAAACGAGACCGGAACTCTTGCATCTCACAAAGGCTCCACCCCCACGGCCTGATACTACCGACACCCTAGACATCCCCTCTCCTGGGCATCATGGCTTCGGCATCTTTCCGAGACTCGCTGGGTTCTCTAGGATGGTCCCGCCGAGAAGCGGAAATTCCTGTCAACACGTCCCAACAGCGCGGTCTACTATCATCCATCAAGTCTCTCAACCCCTTCGGCAACGGTGGCTATGTTCAACTACCAACAACTGAAGGCCCCGGTGCTGTTCTCCCAGCACCTACCCGTCGGGAAGAGGAAGAAGGCTGGTTTGTTTGTGAGTCAACCCCCATTCTGCCTGGTTCAGTCGCTCGTCTTTCCATGTTGCCTGCTGTGCTTTGCAGCATTTGCCCTCCGTACCCCTGTAGGGGAGATCCGCACTGCAGGACATGTGCCGCTTTTGCGTCTCCGTGTCTTAGTTACCAGGTTGCAGAGCATTTGGGAGGGAGGGGGAGGGAGGGGGAGGGCATAGCGGTTTCAACCCCCTTGTCATATCCACGTCCACTTTGGAATCATGGTCACTACAGCAAGGCTAACTCGTACTCTATAGTGAGCCGGTGGGACCGCATGTTGATTTTCGCTGCTTGCAATCTGGGCGCGCTGGCCTGCTTCGTCTTGGCCTTCGCCTTGTTCCCAGTGTTGTCGCTAAAGCCGCGCAAACTCGTGATCTTGTGAGTGCCTCCTTGCTATTCACAGCCTTCCCCCTCCCCTCCACCAAGTTGTTTTCCCAAGCCCAGCCCTTACTTCCCCTCTTGGAAATCTGGTCCCCCCCTCCCCCCATTTCTTGACTTGACTCATCAGTATGCCCTGGAACCCGTCGTTATATCCGTTTGATGGTGCATATGCACAACATTCGCATGATACTCTAGCCATGTTGGCGGCCCGATGACTCTACGAGGCTGATCATCCGGCACTTGGATGACTTGTTGGCATCATCGACATTTTAAGGGGCAGATCGGATAGTCAACTATGGATGTCTTGCTAACGCGTGCGGTACCCAATCCCTAGATGGACACTCGGCTCGATACTCTTCATTACGTCCTTTGCGGCTATGATGGGACCATGGGCGTACTTTAGGCACCTGACCTCTGGTACAAGGTTGCCTTTTACATCGGCCTACTTTGGCTCTTTGATTCTGACCATGTACTTTGCTCTTAGCGTGAGTTTGCTCTGGCCCCCTTGTCCGGCGTATAATGGTTGACTAACATGGTGGGAAATAGCTGCACAGCACGATCCTCACCCTCCTTTCCGCCATTGTCCAGATGGCGGCTCTGATCTGGTACCTTGTCAGCTACTTCCCTATGGGCTCGGATGGTCTTCGCGTTGCGACGTCCTTCGCTGCCGGCAGAGCCGCCGCCTGGATGTCTGGGTAAATTAGTGGATGGGTTATGATGGGTGTACGCTTGTGGTAGCCCGCTTGGCTGCGGACTTGTCTGATGCTGTAGCGCATTTACGACTTGTTCGTGCTCCGACAACGCGCCTTTGGATTGCGTGTATACTTAAAAGCAGGCTTTGTCAAGTATGGGTTGTGGATAGCACCGTGAATAATACAAGTCGTTCTCGTCAGAAAGACTCGTGGTTTTTATTTACCATTAATATCCAACACCAGCACGCATACTGCCACCACGCATACTTCCAACAAGCAAGCCTACCTCAACAATGCACAGCTCACGGTTCAGCAGATGGCCTTGATGTGCTCACCCCCGACGGACACCGGCGTTACACAAGCTTCCATCTAACTGTCCACTCGAACACTGGAGATACCAGACAACGGCATAGAAACTTGCTGTCTGGAGCAGATCCCCAAGGCTCCCCTCCTGCCTCTTCCTCTTCCGCCTCTCCCTCTCCGGCGTTCCCCTCTGCCCTCCGCCTCTACCTTGCCCTCCGCCTTTACCTTGCCCTCGCCTCTACCTTGCCCTCGCCTCTACCTCTTTTCGGTCCAGTTCATGCATTTATCACACCTCACTACTCTAGTCAGTTGACTACCTATGCTCTCAAGTGTGAGTCCAAGTTGCTCAGCATGAGGACGGAGGGCTCAAGGCAACCTGATTCCGAGTGGAACATACCTTACTTACGCTGGCGATCTCTCGTCATAGAAACTGTGCTTGCTGGCACCGGACCGAACCGAGTGGGAGGGGGAACCTCGATCGGAACTTGAACCATAGGGATCCCAACGCGAAGCCACGTCCACATCCACATCCACACAGTCACAGTCATTGGCACCGCAATCGCGAAAGCTTTTGAGGAGACTGGAGTGAACTACCACGACCTACGCCTCTACGAGCGGATGGCTGTCCATGCCATGCCATGTCTATCACCGAACCAACCTCAGATTCCCCTCGCCCAGACGTGGAGACTCCATCTAGGATGGAGAGCCATCGACACTGGGGAAAACGTCGTACCAAGTTTGCTGCTGCCGATATGTTGCAGCCACCATGAAGATATCCATCACCGATATCTGTCTCTATCTCTGTCCCATCACCCCTTCCATGTCCGCAAGCACTCTGCCGTCAGCCATCAATCAAGTCACGTTTGCGTTCAGGGAGGAGTCGATATGGGAGAAAAGCCATTCCATTAGTCTGTACTATCTATCGTTCTATCAAGTCGAATCCCACCGTCCAAGTCCCACCGCCCGACTCCCAGACACCCATCCTCCAACCCATCCTCCCAAAACGACAACCTTCCCCCCTCCCCTCTCCTCCCCTCCCCTCCTCGCCCACCAAGTCCCACGATGCGTCGTCTATTTGGCCCTAGGCAGCAAAGCCACCTAGGTTTCCAGGTAGTGCCACGTGGAGGCATAGACGTCCGACTTCACTACCCTTTTTACCCCACACTCGTGATCGGGAGGGAAAATTGAGCGCGACTTCGCAACTCACAACCCAGCTAGGTTAGTACGCCAAAACTCCAAACTCCCAACGCCACAACTCCCAACGCCCCAACTCCGTCCCCAGTCTATTAACTCTATATACTCTTTTTTTTTGTGTTTTAGTTCTTTTCAAGTTTTTTGTGGTTTTGTTGCTTTTCTGTTCAGAACAAAGAAATGAATGTACTTGCCTGGTGTCGATCATTCGATCATGCTTCCCGGCTTCTCCGCCTCACGGTGTAAGTCCTCCACCCCGCCCCCCCCCCCCCCCCCCCCCCCCCAAATCCTCCGATGCGGTCCGATCGTGTGAATTTGTTGTCCTCCACTGCGCTGAAAGACTGTTAGTGATTTGTCACAGACCAGATTGGGGTTTTGAGAGAACTCACGCCTTACGCCTCAGATAGTCGCTAGGTACTCTCCTCCACACTCTTACCCCTTCATAGCGCACGCGATCTGCACCCAGTGTGCGCGACCGTGTTACACTCTCCGCAGAAGACTTCACTAGTTGGCTAGTTCGTGAAGACCCGGCCCGAGATAGGGTCCCGGATAACTCTAGGGCCCCGAGGAGCCTTTCGAGCCTCTTCCTGGCGACGCCAGTGGGCCTCCAAAGCGACCCGAGCCCGACGTTGCCTCTCCTCCTGAGCAAAACGATTTGCAGCGTACTCTCGCACGCGCTCATCATTTGCCCTGCGCCATTGCTGACGCCTCTCTCTCTCCGAAAGCGTGGAGATGTCTGAGTCCGAACCAGATCCGCGCCTTGCGACGCGCGCTTTCTGCTCTTTCCTGACAGCTGGAATTGGGCTATCAAAAAAGAGTGATCTGATTCCCAGTCTTCTTCGTCCGTTGGATGGAACGAGGAGCAGACCGAAAGATTGTCGAAATTGGGACCTTCAGAATCAGCAGGGCTCTAAGCCGCGTCATCGTCGGAACCATAAATCGTGGGACTCGTGCTCTTGGTCTTGGAGACGAGCGAGCACTGCTGTCGCATAGGGGTGCGCGGGACAGCGACGAGAGAGGGAGTCGAGGACTTGAGAGTGTTGCCGTCGAAGGGTGACACAACGGACTTCAGACCAGTGGCGAAGAACTCGGCGAGGTGGTCAAGACCAGAACCGAAGAACTCCAACATGGCCGAGGTGGTAGTATCGTCTGTTGTCTGAGTGGAAAAACTTTTGTAGTTGGAACCACATCGCTGCTCTGGGATCGATGGAACCTCGGGGAACCAGTCGATGAACTTGATGAACAGTGATGTAGCGAGTCTGGCCAGCGAACCGAACGGCGTGATTGTCGGGAGAGAAAGTGTGCCTGTGACGGCGTCGACAATGCTGATGATGTAACCGAACTTGATTTGCTGATCCAAACACAGGACTACCGCCTTCCAAGCCGGCCACAAGGTGGCGTCGACCAGCTCGAGGAAGTTGGCAGCCGATGTGTAAAGAAGCCACAGAACCCTCATGAGGAAGGTGCAAATGGGTGACAACTCATTCTTGCTTGTGTTGTGCATTTTGTTGATTGTAGTTGATTGTAGTTGCTGAGTGGTGTGATGAAAACGTAGTGTTCAAAATGAAGACAGAATGTTGTTGTTGATGGTTTGGTTGTGATTGTTGAAGAGAGGAAAGAGGAGAAGAACGGGAGAGGGGCGGATGGGAGAGGAACTGTTGTGACTCAGGCAGGATCACATGCAAAGAGCAGCAGCAGCTGCTTTGGGAAGGCGCGCCCTGCCTGTGGACACTCTCGGGCCCGAGGGTTGGGGGGATTCCGAATCCGTCCGGGGCTCTGCGGGGGGGTCTACAGGCAAGTAGGTACCTGGAGAGAGAAGGAAATACAGAAGGCAAGTGATCCCTAGGGCAAGTGGAACAGCTACCCGATCGGAAAGCTCCAGTGGGGAAGTCCAAGAGTCTGAGACGATTATCACTAACTAGGAAGCCTGAAAGGGGGGATGTCAGTCGCCCGATGGAGTCTGGTTACGGTAGTTCTGGCCACTGTAATTTGCATTCCCAGGGCCCAACGCTAGAAGCTCTAACGACTTTTCCAGAAGGTGGTCTGGGCCTTGCAGTGAGGATGGGGTGAGGGTATCGTCTGAAGAGGCGTATGAAGCCATCGCGGTCATTAATGAAAGGAGTTTGGGAAAGACCACCACTTTCATCGCTTTGGAGTTTTATCTGACAATTACCTAGCATTTATATGCCGTGAAGTTAAGCTTGGCGATTGTATAATATGTCATTGGTCAGCCCTATTTGTGGACCCGCGCACCGGTGTCTCGGTTCCTGGTTCCTGGTTCCTGCTTGCTGAAGTGGCGTCCAACCCTTGTCATGTGCCCCCCATAAGGAACCACATAAGCAGGCGCATGCATGATACCCGACATGTCTTTGATGGCAGAAGTATGTTCTGGGATTATACTACAGTAGAATCCCCTGAAACTGCATGTAATTCAGACCGGGGAATTCTATGCACTAAATGGCATATATGCAGTTCCTAGACCGGAGCTAGGCCCGAAAAGGAAGCCAGCCAGAGGCCGAGACACTAAATTCCGACCCTCTACTAAGAATCTCACTGCTCAGGACCGGATTCATAAGTGCATACGCACCAAAAATTGTCCGAGATCCGTATGCAGTATGCAGTTATGCAGTTGTAGCTGGGAATCAATTCAGCCAGCCAAATCCTATGCACTAACTGGCGTATATGCAGTTCCTGGAGGATGCAGTTGCAGGGGTTTCTACTGTACCTGTAGGTCAACATTGGCATTGTTTACAGGCACAGAGACGATCTCCTTCTGCAAGGCAGCTAAGGGTGTTGCCCGAATTGCGGCCGAAGACCATGAATCTTGCGGTGATGCCTGCATGACGGTTGTGCAGATGCAGACATTTCAAGGTATGTTCTCTTCTTGATCAGTCGATTGACTTACAGGTAGATTCCGAACAATTAGCCATTGCATACTCACATCCCGCTCCGATTGACGACGGCAGGTCCATCGCACGACGACAACCCTGTCTTCAGTTCTCGGCACGGCCAAGCCTTTCAAATGTCGACTTCTCCTCGAAGCACCGAAAGCGTCGCTTAATAGGTACATGTACCTCGGTAACAACATTCGACAACATTGGGCTTCCACCAATTAGCTCTTCCGCCGATACAACAGCTCCTCGTCATCAACACCTCAAATAAGGCCAAGTAGGCCTTGTGGACGATACGAGACAGTTCTTCGTCAACCAGCTATTTGCAGCAGACTCTCGTCCACCTTCGAAAGAGCGACGCAAGAACACACTGTTAGATCATGACCCAATGGTACCACGAGTCCGATCGAACCTCGACCTGTATAGACATCAACCAAATGGCCGAAGAACTCTGTCTGACGAACAAAGAAATGCCCAGCCTCGCGCCAAACAACGTTCCTCGACAACTATTGACGCTACTAGCACAGTTTCTATCCTACTTTATATTATTTTCGCCCATTGTTGGTTCATTCGCTTTCTCAGCCCTATCCCAACTATTGCGACACAGCGCGGACGAGCAAACAAAAATCAAGACAGAAATCGACCCCGGCGGTAAAACCGATGAACGACTCCACAAACGCGCGTCGGACAAAGCTTTGCCATAACGTATCGGTTTTGTTGTATCTGCTCATTCTCTTGCCTCTGCTCAAGCTGCCCCATGACTGGAAACATTTGGCACCAAAGCCAATGAACTGATACCGAAAACACTGATCAAACGGTCCGGCTATTCACAAGGACGTCCCACAGCAACACTTCATCTTAGCACCTTCAACCTCGGGAAAACACATCGTACTGGCTCATATTCCCCGGCGAGTTGTTGAAGATTCCCAAGGATGAACGTGGCCATTAGAATGTCGCAGGACTCCGCGAACCAAGTGCATTCGGAAACTTGATCGAATCCGAGCCACAGTCTCAGCGCTATGGCGAGCTCACACATTTGTTCGAAATGCTGCGTTGCAAGCTTCATGCTATCGACGTTCTCGTCATGGTTAGTGCGAACCCTTGCGCCCAAGTAATTCCCTGGTCCGCTAACCACGTATCAAATTACCTTTACCTAGGACGTAGGTAGACGGACATCGTTCCGCCAACATCCCCTCCCAGCGAATCACCGAACGATGATCCCCCCATCCAGTCTCCAGATCGCGGGGTCCCCGCCGTTGCCGCCAATGGATGTTCCTTGGGTACACTATCCAATCCGATCCGATCCGATCCGATCGCATCTCTCCAGCTCCTCCTCGTCCCTTCTGCCCCCCCCTTCGGTCGATCGCTTCGCGTAGTGTGGCGTACACGGCATTTGGTACATGCATATGTGCACATACATACTGCCCATGCTGTCCCGACAGTAATTTCTCGCTCTCAGTGGTCCAGAGACTTTGAAACAGGCTTGGACCGGCAAACGAGACGCAGCACCGCGGCGCGGCGGCGAGCAACCTGGAATCTACACTACACAGTACTAGCAAGGCGTTATGGCGGGGCTGCTGTCCTGACTCCTGGCTGGTGGGGAGATGAAGATGCGAGCTGGGCGGGGCGGGGCGGGGCGGGGGTCGCGGTCGCACACCCGCCGTCATTGGATCCAGTCCCGCCAACGCCAAGGCCGAGCCGGCAGGGCATCCACGGAATCCACGTGGAGTCCGGGGTAAGAAGGGAATTCAGTCAGCGACTCAGCTCCAATGGCAGAGTTATGCGGCTTGCAAACCTGGCATTTTGTCTTGGGTAAAGAATCAAATGTTTGAGTGAGTCACCTTTGCCATGGGGCACGCACAGACGTCATCGGCAAGTTTGCAAGCGGCATACACAGCAGGGCGATCCCTTCAAAAGCGAAGGGGAGAAGGGGCGGTCGGGGGTCGTCGGGATTTTTGTTGCTTCTGTCGGGGTTTCCTTTCTCGCTCTTGTCCTCGCCGGCCTCACCCGCTCCGCTTCGTCCGGAACACCCGCACGTGCCGCACCAAATAGAGAGCTCCGTCTCTGGCGCCGAGAGGGTCTGTTTGAAAATATCAAAGAACGAGATAGCAAATCCCTCATTCTATTGCCTCCTTTATGATATGGGGCAACATCATTATAGGGGGCCATTCTGGACTCGTATCAAGATCCTAATCAGTTCATGCTTCACTTTGGGGTAGATCCGTCTCGTAAGGAGGAAAAACTTACCGGTTCGTGTGTTGATGCCCGTAATGTTGAAGATCTTTGTCGGAGAGTGGGTAGTTGGGGACAGCATAACCCTAACCCACCTCGCAATCTTGGAAGATCCGACATCCCGCCGTGCTTCCGGGTTCCCACGGACCGCTTACCACTGCATGGAAGCAAACCATATCGGAGTTTCATATGGGGTGTCCAAGTTGAATTAGACGTTATAATCCTGGTGTATTTTATATAAATTGTCTGCTTTACTTTTCAAGAGGTCCTGCGCCTCATCTAGCTGGTGTGGGTAATTTTTTTTGTCTGCGGATCACATGCTGATGATCTTGATATGTTCTTGGCTAGCCACTTTACTTGGTTTTCTCCGTTTGTATTTGTTTTCTGATGATATACGGATGCCCGACCAGAAGGAGCCATATCGCACCGGGTCCTAAACTGCTATCCACTGCTTACATGTAAGATAGACGGATGTTGATAGAATGGCGGGCTTCACTCACCCACTCGGCGAAGTAGCCCTGGCCCCTGGAGTTGGAACTTCGTGACCATGTAGTAGTGTATGTGGTTTATCAGATTCTACTGTTGATTTCCAAGTACCACCCTTTCTAGGACTTTTGGGCTAGCAGGACATGTGAAGTGATCACCAATACTACCTTACTCTATCAGTTGACAATACCGCACCTAAGTTGTCAGACGAACACTCCCTTCTTTACTGCCCGCTGTCGGCACGTTGCGTTTGTAAAAGCGTCGAGTAAAGGACAGTGGGTGCCACCCGCCCGGCCCAGCCAGGTTTCCCTTCTCACAAGGGTCGAGGCCATCCGTCGAGAATGGAGCTAAAACGAGCGCCCTTGGTGCCCTGCACGCTTCTGCACCAAGTACCAGGAATTGCGTTGACCGAAACCGTTACCTGCTCAAAGCAGACTCGCTATTTCGCATAACGCAAGGAAACCTCAAGGGTCAATCTCAAACGGGCCGTTGGACTCGGGTCATACTAGAAGGTTGAATGCTTAACTTGTCAGCCTTAGAGGTACTGGTTTATCTTCATCATGCGACTAGCTTGGGATTAAGTATCTTGGTGATTTGCGCGGGACTAGCGTCACCTAACAGGATCGTGATTGATGGAAGTTTGTTACCTACGATTTGGCATTTCAGGCTGACGGAGTGGCTCAACCGGCTTGGTACGGGGCGGGGGTAGGGAAGGACTATTACGGTAAACCTTCATGGTTTTCAGTAAATAAACAAATACCGAAATTTCCGTAATTTCCAGAGTCCGTGCACACTGCCCCCTCTAAGGCAGGTTGAGCTCGCCCAAGAAGACATTTTGGCACAGTTTCTCACGCAGCGAGTTGTCGAGTGTTGAGAATGGCCTTAGATCTTATCATGCTGGTGTAAGAGGCTCTTTTACCAGGCAATTGTAGATGAAAATGACCTTGAAGTCCCAAAGATCGAGGACACAATGAGAAGGTATGGTTCGTGCTGTAAGGCATGGAAAATGATGGTGATGCTTTTCAGTAAATAGACGGAAATTTCTGTCACGTAAACCTTACGGTATATACCAGTCCCTCCCTAGGCGGGGGAAGGGGGGGCCTCGACTGCGGCTGTAAATACATTGATATGGCTCATCGGAATCTCGACCAGTGTCCATGACTCGAAAGAGGAAGCTGAAAGTTTGAAACAAAAGTTCACTAAAATGCCCCTCTACAGTGCCGGACCTCTCTGGCCCGGGCCCCGGCTGCCCCGTGCTTAGGTGGCTCACATCGCTTGTTGCCGGTGGCTGGTACACGGGCCTGCATTAACCGTGGCACGCGGGCCTCCCCTCCAATTCCCCTCCGTCCCGTCCCTTCCCCTCCCCGCACAAACCCTCCCATCTGTTATTTTGCACCAGGGCAAGCACCTGCGGGCAATTCACCTCGCTCTTGTTCAGGCAACACAGTGATCGAAAACCGCCCGCCTAATCGATTAGGATTTGTACGACAACGTGAGTGGATAGGTTGGCACCTCAATTGCAGCATTGCTTGTGGGTTATAAACGGTACGGGTACGCGGCGGACCTTCCTTGTTCATCCCCACTACTGCTGCAGAACTTCACCCAGGAGCCGAAGAAAAATTTATTCCACACACAAATCTCAGTGGTCCGATTTGGCAAGGCACCGCAGTCCCCCTCCAACGAAATACTTTTTCCCTTTTGTTTTTTTTTCCCTTAACCAACCCTCTCCCCTCCCGCGTAACCCAACCCCATTTCTTACCACTTTACTCCTACAGACTGCATCCCGAGGCTGCCATCTTTAGGGTTATATCTCAACCTCTCGGTGGACCCAGCAACCTGTTATTGGACGCCCGCAGGACTCCAGGCATTCACTTTCGCATCCGACGCCAGGCGTGGGTGCCATCATCTGCTCTCCTCCGCTCTCTTCCGCTCTCCTCCCCCTCCTGGTTGATTCGCCTTCGTCTGCACCCTTGGTCGTCATCGACAACAGCCTGCACCTTCGATTAATCTTCTCGAGGCTCAGACAGCTCTGACACCTGTTGGACGCCCCGCAAGCGAGATCTTTTCCGACTGTGTACCCGTGCGCATCGGCAAGAATTTTGCGGTCGAGTCACCAAACACCTTCTCCAAAGGTCGTGCTCCTTGTTTTCGGCAACCTCTACGTTCTCTCAGACTTCGACCGAGACAAAACCGTCCAACCGAGTCCAGCTGCAGCAACAATCTGCCCCGCAGAACCCGACATCGAGTAGTCGCTCAAGATCGTCAAAGGCCTCAGCGCCGTCAGCAGATTGTCAGAGAGGAGAGGTAATTCTCGCCCTTCTCCGGACATCCGATTAACGCAGACAGCCTTAGTGAGCAGTCCAGCCGAGGCGACCGAGACCAACTTCCCGCGATCGACCGAGCTTCCCCTCGATCAATCCATCGTCTTGCACCTTGCTTAACGCTCGTACCCGCCAAAAACAAAATGTCGGGCACAACATTTTCCTACGCGCAAGCCGCGAAGGGTCAGGCTGCTACTCAGCCGAGCACCAAGGACGATGTGTCATCAGCCACTGCAGTACCGTCAGTAACCCCCAATGAGGCCGAGGTCACCGAGGCCTCCGAAGCTGGCAAGACCACCCAAGCCCCTGTCGAACAATCGAAGCAGGATGCCGAGTCCTTGTCCGTTACCGCGCCAGCAACCGAAGAGACCAACAAGACGACTCGTGAGAATGAAGCGGCACCAGCACAGGCTCAACAGCAGTCGGAGGACAAGATTTCCAGGTCCGTGAGCCGCACTTCCCGGTCGAATGAGAGCACAGACGGCAGGAAAGGCCGGAAGGGCAAGAAGGCCCGGGGCAGTGAGAAAGAGTCTCAGAATGAGCAACAAGCCGAGGAGGAGAAGGAGAAGGTCAAGGAGGCGCCCAAGGTTATTCTCTCTGAAGCCCCACTGCCCGCGGTCAACATTTGGGCGCAAAGACAGGAAGCACAGGCCGCCAAGTTGAAGACTTCTCCGGCTCCTACTTCCGATGCTGTTTCCGCTGAGGCCAAGAAGCAAGACGGCGAGAGTCAAAGCACACCTGTAAATGGCGTGAATGGAGACAAACCTCATAAGAAGGCCACCGACCTCCCAAGAGCTGCCGATCAACATCAGCGTAGGAACGGCCCCCGGGGCGCGCGTGTGGACAAAGAGGACAAGAATGCGGTTGCTTTGCCTCCAGTGGCCGATGCCGCCTCGTGGCCGGACCCGAAGTCCGCGGCCAGCACCAGCACCGAGGCCCCCAAGGAAAAGGTTCAGGAAAAGACTGCCGAAAAGGAATCTCAGGAGGATTCGGGATCTTCCAAGAAGAAGACGTGGGTTACTGTTGACATTCAGCCTACCGTCGTTTTCAACACGCCGCTGCCACCGCGTGGTTCCAAGACTCGAGGCGGAGCTCGGGGTGGTCGTGAGCAAGGGTCTACAAGGCCGCATAACACCAATGCCACCAATGCCTCAAACGCCACTTCCCAGAACGAAAGGGCACCGACAACCGGCGGTCCTAACGGGCACAAGCGTGCCGGATCCCGCTCCCGTGAGGGTAACATGCCTACGCGCGCGAACAACCAAGCTCATGCTTCCAAGCGTACCTCTGTCGACGCAGCCTCCTCGAAGGATGCACGCAAACTGTCGGTTTCCGCGAACAACGAGCAAGCTCGCGAGTCAGGAGCTGAGACATCCACTGTAAGTCGAAATCGTCCCCATTCTGCTGTGTATCGCACATCGCGGCCCCGTTATGGTAGTCAGAACCTAACATCCCTCCAGAACGCCACCAAGAAGGGATCGTCCGTCAAGGAAGGACAGAATGAGGCTGGGGCAACCTCCGAGGCAGGGCCTTCGTCGTCTTCCCGCCCCCATGAGCGTCATCACAAGGGATCTGACTCCACCAAAGACGGAGCACATCACGGTGTGAACGGCCAGCAGTACTCTGGCCGCGAGGGTCGCCCTGAGCGTGGTCGTGGTGGATATCGCGGTCGCGGCGGCCACAATGGCACCTCTGGCTCTCACCAGTCTGGCTATATCGGCAACGGTCAGTATGGCCACTCGTCTTACCAATCACGTCAGCACAACTCCCCGCCCCAGCATGCTGGTCAGTTCTCCGGCTCTTACGGTCAGTCGTCTAGGGGCAGAGGCAAGTGGACTGGCTCGAACCAGAATGCTGACCGCAACGGATCCGCCCCTGCTTTTGCGCCGAGGATGGCTCAGCCCCACGAATACTCTGTGCCTCAGTACCCCGTGCCATATGTGTACTATCCGGCCTACGATCCCATGGTGCCAGTTATCAGGGCTCAGGTCGAGTACTATCTCTCGCTCGAGAACCTTTGCAAGGACACCTTCCTTCGTAGACACATGGATGGCTCTGGCTGGGTGTTCTTGGACGTGATCGCCAGCTTCAGGCGCATGCGCGAGCTCAGCAAGGATCGGGAGACTATTCGCTTCGCGTGCTCCCTCTCCGAAAAGGTTGAGTTTGTCATTGGCGAGGACGGCCATGAAAGACTTCGCAGCAAGGACTCATGGTCCAAGTTTGTTCTGCGGGAAGAAGACCGCCTCGAGCACCTCCGCCACAACGGACCGACCAACTATGCTCCTTACCAAAGCCCATATCATCAGATGGCCCCTTACGGTGCTCCCGTAATTCCCCAGAACTACCCTGTGGCAGCCACGTACGCCGGCTACCCCGAGGACCAGATGTTCCAGGCCGGATACGTGAATCCCGCTCACTACGACCCTGCCACCAACGGCTCTGCCGTCAATGGACATCAGCAGTTGTCGGCAGGTGTTCCTGACTACGCGCCCCCTGTGGCTGCGCTCACACTCGAGAGCTTGACAAACCTTTCTGATAACGCTGTTGAAAAGATGGTCGTCGTTCTTGCATATGACGACAAGGAAGGCCAGAGCTCTTCCGAAGCCACTGCTGTGGCCGGTTATGAGTCCAGTGGTTCGGGTCACGAGCAAAGGAATGGTGCCAATGGTGCCGCCGTCGAGAATGGCGTGAACGCTGCGGTCTGGCTTGATCAATACAGCCCCGAGTCTGCCAATGTTCGTATGGATCGCCAGCCTTACACCGTCGTTCGTCAAGCGGCTCTCAACCAGCGTCAAAAGGCCACCACTGGCGAGACTCCCAAAGAGATGCAGACCCTTTACGAGTTCTGGTCGAAGCTGCTCCTCAAGAACTTCAATGACAAGGTGTACTCCGAGTTCCGTACTTTGGCGCTCGAGGATGCGTCAAAGGAGGCCCCGAACAAGCAGGGTCTTAAGTGTCTTCTCGAGTACTACAACAACATTCTGCTCAACAACGATATCCCGAAGCTGTGGCCCCAAGACCGCGCCGCCCCCGAGCTTCTCCAGCATCATTTCCAGGACGCACTGAGGGCTGATCGCGCTGGGTCTGCCTAAATTTGCCCCTGTTAGGTACAAGGCCGATGCGTTATCTGATTCCGTGTCGCGTACGGGGCTGGGGGGTATTCTAGATCGTGGCTTCTCCCTGTGCTGAGAGAGCACGGCTCTCCAGTCTTGGTCTGCCTTTGACCGCCGACAGAATTACCCAGAAATTGCCTACCATCTGCCTCTCACGAAGAAGATACCATGCCTTTCCCGTTTCGTCCATCTTCCATTGGTTCATCTTACAATCGAATGATACACTCGTCGCTACACACGTGTTTCGACATTGGGAAATGGCGTTTTTGTTTGGTTTCTGTTTTTTTTTCCCACAACGACAGCGGAAGGGAGGGGTGAAACATTTTATACGGTAGAAGAAAAAGACGAACAACATGAGAAGCGAGTTTCTGTCGACCATTTTGGGGTGCCATCTCGGAAGTCGCCTGATTGGCGATGAAGCGTCGACAAAGGAAAATGCTGCCACTGGTTCTTTCAGTCTCGCTGTCTACGCGATGCCAATATGGCCTCTGAAGGAGGTTGGGTAGTCGGCTGTCCCCCCCTTTTCGGTCACGAAGAACCCTTCACCTTTGTGTGGTTGGGGCCCAACTGGTGTTTCCTCGGGCGGGTTCACTTCATGGCTCTGCATCACCAGTCTGGGAGTATCCTTACTCCGTCCTCGGGTCTTAAAAGACGTTGGCGATACTTGCACGCGGGTGGGTACTCACAAAAAAAGGGAAAACTGGCGGGTTCTTCATTTTCTAAATTTCTATTCTTTTATCAACATGAAAAAGTTTTGTTTTGCACCAGATATTTCTGTACTGTGATCGACCGACGTTACTCTGCAAAATCATTGCTGACATGCTTGAGCGAAGCAGACAAGCGTTTTCTTTTCGTTCTAGAACAATGGTGCGGGAAAAGATGGCATGGATTCATAGGCGGTACGACGAGAAAAGAAAATAGGGATATTGACATGCTTCATTTTGCATTTTGAGGGAACAAACGGCAATGGGTTATCTTCGATTTGAACTCTTTGCGTATATCAGTTTTTCTTTGTTGGGGCGGTTTGCTGGACCTTGTATGATTAGAGTTTAAAAGGCTACGTTAGGTATTTCCCTGAAGCAATATAGTATGTATTTGTAAATTTATACTTTGCTCGATGCGATGTTCATGTTCAACTCATATCCAACGACAGCTAGTATGAAGCAATACCATTTTTTTCTTACCTTGATATGTCATTACTGTAATTACCGAGGGTCTGTTATTACTGATCGATCACGCGGAAAAGTCCGTACAGTACTGCAACGACTGGTTTGGACAATACGATCACCTGCGGCTAGGGTTAGAATACTGCATGGAAAATGTGGGGTTGACGTGCCGCGGTTCAGTGCAGTGCCCTTCTCCAAATTCCAAAATCCCACAATGCCCATCTCCCGCTCGTGTCTGTCATTGTCAACTTTGATGGTGGATTTCAGACCTTTGGTTGTCGTTCCTCACTCGGCATCTTCCACTCCAGCCCACGGGCAATCCACATCATAGGGCAAGGCATCCCCCCTGACGGCCAGTTTTCCAGGGGCCAGGTACCTTAGACGTGATCACATGTCACGAAATCACCTACGCTAGCCATGCATCGTCTCTCCTCGACCGAACAACACTACGTGCCTCCCTCTACCTAGTGTGCTTTCGATCATCAAGACGTCCATCGTATTGTTGACACAGCGTTGGAACTATCAATCGGAAAGACGCGAAGGCGCTGCTAGCAGCATTCACGAAAAGCAGCGAAGTTTGGTGTCCGCCAGAAAGCCCGGATCAGCGATATCGAAAACCTATCATGGTTACAGTCGATGATAGACCCCGTCTGACGGAGGAGGAAAAGAAGCAGAATCATATCCAATCTGGTATGTTCAACATTTTATTCGAAGAAGAGCATCCCACCGCTTTGGATTTTTGGACTTTCAAGACTCCGTACAAACCCCATAGTCCATACCACCGCATACACATCATATCATATCCTACCCTACCCTCGAGTTTGACCTGGCCCTGTTTTCATAACCAGAAACGGCCACAACAGGCTGGCTGACACGACCAAAAACAAAACAGAGCACAAACGACGAACGCAAATCCGCAATGGCCTCGAAGCCGTCAGCAAGATAGTCCCCGGCTGCGAAAACCTGCAACGGTCCGAGGGCGTGCTGCTGCACAAGCTGGTCGAGTTCATGGCGGTCCACATGGAGGAGAGACAGAAGATGATTGAGGAGCTGGAGAGCTTGGGGGAGGAAGTTGATCCTCAGATGAAAGTGTGAGTTGCTTCTCCTTTCTTTGGCAGATTCCTTTCGAGGCGCCCCGATGGCCGTCTCGGGGAAGGAGAGCTTTAAACTAACATACTTCTGGTTTTTTTGTGATACAACTAGGTGCCTGAGAAACTTGGACGACTATCACAAGAACCGAAGTAAACCAGACGAAGGGGCAATGTCTGCTTCGAGGTCACCGACGAAGGAACCGGGAGAGCAGCCGGGGGAACAAGGGGAGGAGGATGATTCACATGCGGGATATTGACTTGGGAAAGGGAACCATTAAGGGTCTAAGGAATAAACTTGGACAGTTCGAAAAGGCGATGGGATCAGGAGGAAGTGGTTTGCGTTGTTGGTGCGGCTAACAACAGGGTGGATTTGGGGTTCAAAGCATTCAGTATATACCCTTTTTTTTTTCTGGACATAATTTGACAATTTCAGCGATCGTCCCAAAGAGTATACTCCTGAGATGATGTCTGACTTCTCGACGCCGGTCTCGGGCTGATGTTGAATCTTGGAGAAATGTGGTGCCCGGCCATCAAGATGGCTTTCTTACGAGCCAACCTCCATGCACGGAGAGGTCCAGATCACGCCTCCAAACGCGACCATCACCAGCTTCAGGTTCGCGCTTTCCTCTGACAGGGAGCCTATCAATTCTTACAGAGCACCCTCCAGGACGTTCTTGCCGCGCCTCGAGAGCGCTTTTTCCTTTTAAGAGGCATCATGATCATCTTGAGACGGCCAGCACCGTGTATGGAAGGGTGCTGTTAGTGGGCGATACCTGCCAGCCAGACATGCCGTAACATCCACTAACAATCACTAACAGATGCAAGTGGGGCATTACATCATCTCACTGGGTTGGCCCTGACGAACAAAGCGCGAACCGCAACACCAACAAAACGAACCCCAGATTGTAACCAGCCAGGAACATGTGTCTCTTTTGAGCCAAAAGCTTTTCCGAGATGCATCAAATTCGGTCTCTTCAGTTGCCAAATATGCAACTATTTTAATGAAAAACCACCAATTGCTGCCCGATATTTTCAACATACATCTGCTTGATCACAGGGGAGACACTGCGCCACCCCACCAACCACTCGGGCCATCGAGGTACTTGATACTACGGGCTACTAGCACCAGGGCACTGCGTCATTGCCTTCAAAGTTGTCCCTCCTCGTTGCCTCGCCCCGCTCATTCTGAGAGGTACTGTAGCTACCTAGCTGCCTTTGCCTGGTCTTGGCAGTTCGAGGCAGAGTCGGAGACATTTCGAGAGAAAATCAGTCTAACCATCGTACGGCAGTTAAATTCCAGCTGTCAAAGGTCTTCCTTAAATGGCGCGCAAGATTATCCCACCGAGACAGTGGTTCGGAGTCGTTTTTGGACGCAAGACTTCGGTCAGCTCAGAGACTTTTGCGACGGCGGGGTAGCTTTGAGGGTTTGGGATGGCGTAGGCCCACCCAAAGAAGATATCGAGCTTCGGCATGGAAAGAAATCCGAACGCGATCGTCGTCATGTTGGGGATATGAACGGACTACCCGAGCGAATGACCCTGACTTCAACAATCAGGTCCGAAGAATGAAGATTCTTATTCGGTCTTCTCATCGGCCCTGAGATGTCTCAGCACGCATGTTATGTCGGCTTTGACGGTTGTTCTCCCCCTGGTCTTCTGTGGGGCCTGCCATCTGCTCAGCCGCCCATCCGCAGTCTTCTCTCGTGCTCTTCTCACCAACCACAAGGCGAGGGCCGTCCACTCTGGACCCTGATGACGATATGGCCCCGGTCCCACCGACAAGGTCAAGAACACTGGGCAGGACAGGGCCCGATGCGAGAGACTGCCGTCAAGGCCGTGAAAGCCGCCCTAGGAATTCAGTCCGCCCACCTCGTTGCCCAGTCGCACAGCATGGCGCCCACATCCAGCGAGTCAACCACAGAGTCTGCGGACTGCGCCCGAAGGGGGCTCGACTGTCTCGGTTGAGGAGGGGAGGCCGACATGTTCATCTCATGTCTGAACGGTTTCCCGAGTTGCTTTGCTCACCTCGTCTGATTCCAGTTGAAGAGTCTGTTCGACCTTCTCACTTCTTATATACATCAGTCTTGTTACCGTATGTACGCCAAAGTCAAGCAACGCTCGAAATCGTGTGATACGAGGAAAAGTTAGGTACAGAGCCTCGAGGTCAAATCCACACCATCAGCAGGTCAGATTTCCAAGGAAGTTGGAGCGGGGCCAGCCCATCGTTGACTGCCGACGTAAAGGTACTCGGTACACCCACTTGTACCATACCACTTTGTCCAGGGCCCTACCAAGAATATGACCTGACCAGCCCGGCATACCTGACGAGTAGGAGGATCTACATCATTCCCATATATTGCTTGGCCCTACTACTCTCGCCCAGCTCGCAGGATTCCCGCCACTTTTTCCTCTTACTTCCTCTTCCCAACACTTTCCACGCTCTTCATCACTACTAGCAAACGCCAACATATCTGTGAATACACATCAGGAACAAGCAAACGACTATCTCCCTGATCACAAACACCGAATAATTCGACATGGCATCATACGACCCGTATGATCACCCGGCCCGGGAGCGCTCCCGCTCCACAAGACGCTACTACCGCGAGGAGCGCCGCGATGACAGAGACCCTCGATACACCGGCGGCGCTGCCGACCAGTACCTCAACGTCAACCACGATTTGATTTCACGCCCACGTGAGGATAGCGATGTTTCTGTCGAGGAGATCCGTCGTGACTTCCCGCCGCCCGGATACTCTACTCGGGATATGCGCCGCGCCCGCTCTGCCGAGCCTGGCTACTATGACGACCACGATGATCCCCGGGCCCGCTCTGGCCGGGACTATGACTATGACTATGACCGACGAGAGGAGAAGAAGAAGTCCCGGCTGGGCAACAAGGAGCAGCTTATCGCTGCGCTGGCCGGCGCCGCCATCGCCATTGGTGGAAAAGAGCTCTACGACCGCAAGGAAGCCAAGGACCATGGTTCCGATGTCCATCGCAATGTCCTTGCCTCGGCCGCTATCGGTGCTGCTGGAGCTTTTGCGGGTTATCAGGGCGCAGATTTCTACACCAAGCATAAGGAAAAGAAGGCTCCGCTGGTCCTTAGAGGACGCGATGGCAGACTAGAGTATCGCAACGATGACGAAGTCAGTGCCAAGGACAACAAGGGTCACAAGAACTTCCTCGAGAGTGCCCTTGCCGCTGCTGGTATCGGCAGCACCTTGAAGGCCTTGGCGGGAGGCAGCAGCAGCAGAGATGACAGATCCGATACTAGAAGTGTCAGGAGTCGTCGCAGCAGCCGCTCTAGATCTCGTTCCCGCGGGGGCGATCCCGCCAAAAAGATCCAAAAGGCTGCCATGGCTTCCCTCATTGCTGGTGCCACCGAAGCCTTCCGTGTGTCTAAAGAGCCAGGTGGTTGGAAGGGAGAAAAGGCCAAGCGCATCCTTACTGCCGCAGCGGGTGCTGCTACTGTTGATGCTGCCATGAAGGGCGATAAGGCGGGCAGCAAGCTTGGTTTGGCCGAATCCGTCATCGGTGGCCTGCTTGGCAACCGTGTGCTGAACGGCTCCAAGAAGAACATTGAGGAGGATGAGAAGACCGGTCGCTCTCGATCGCGATCTCGTGCCCGCTCCCGCTCCAAGGGCCCCGGTGGCGGGCTCGCCGCTATCGCGACTGCCGGTCTCGGGACCTACGCTGCAAACAAGCTCAGCAGCCGATCCAGGTCCCGACGCCGGAGCACCGACTCATATGACAGCCGCGATGGCTCGCGCGATAGACGTTATCGCAGCCGCAGCCGCAGCGTCGTCGACTCGGCGCGCAAGGGCCTTGCCAAGCTAGGCATCGGAAACGGACCAGACGACGATGAGCGCGACCGCCACGACCGCAGAAATTACGACGACTATGCCGACTCTTCTCGAAGCGGGCGCCGACACCGAGACTACTCAGACGATGAGCGCTCCAGGAGCGGCCGCAGCCGCAGTCGCTCAAGGGGAGGAGGAACCGTGGCAAGGAGACGCGATGCTTCGCGGGGATCAGTCTCCTCATCCGACCTGGGAGATTCGGATGAGGACAGGAAGAGAACCAAGAAAATGAGAGGTAAGCAAATGATTACTACAGGGTTGGCAGCTGTGGCGACCATCCATGCTGCCCACAACATCTACCAAAGCGTGGAGAAGCACGGCGTACGTAAGAAGGCAGTGAGAGAAGGGAAGCTGAGTCCGGAAGAAGCCAAGAAGCTCAGGCAAAGAACATTGCTGCAAGATGCCGCATCGGTCGGCATCGCGGCCCTGGGCATCAAGGGCGCCATCTCGGAAATGAAGGAGGCTCGCGAGGTGATGCACGAGACACACGAGTGGAAGAAGAAGAAAGAGGAGAGGCATCAGAGACGGGTCGAAAGACTGCGGGCAACGGCAAACCAGGCAAATGACTTTGACGGGGACGGCCGTGGCGACATTGTCGACTTCGGCAGACGCAGGGCTGACAACTGGTCTTCTTCAGCGCCGCCCAAGGCGACTCGCCTGGAGGATGGTCCCCATTACACTGATGGGAATCCATACGGCGCCATGCCTCGCGCTCCCTCTCCTCCATCGGGAAACAGTCCTGGCAGGAGATGAGATGGGAAGACTTGTCATTGCCCGCTTTTTCGCCTGCTACTTGCACTCCCTAAACTTTGATCCGACATTTAACTCCGCTTTCGTCTATCTTCACTCACTACACGGTACCTCGAGAATCAAAATGAGATCTGGTCACCACCAATGGGCGTTGCAAAATCTGAGCGGAGGGAGCGTCTGCCTTGAACTCATGCTGGTCTAACGGACATCCACAACCGTTAGAGCCCAGCTCCTGCGTTTGCTTGCAGCTGTTGGACAAGGCGTGGGGAATCTTCCGAGCTGATGCCTTACTTACGGTGCTGCTGTGCTACTCCGATATGCTTTGGTTACGATGAACATGACATTTCCCTTTTTATCACATACACGAAAGTTATCAAATGCAGTTGTTTAACCAGTTCACTAATTGTTGTCCCGCTTCTGCGAAAACAGATCACCGCCGCTAAGAAAACACACATCGAGATGTTGCCTGGTTCCTGCTGTCGTCCCCACTATCTGAACCGAAAAAGACGGAAGGGCCCGAATTCAGGGAAATGTGGCGATCCTTGGCAGGGGTTGTAAGCAGGTTTTTGCGTTGTGCGACTGAACGGGCACGGATGTTGGATACCGACGAACAGAAACTGTGAGGAATGACGCGCACTCAACCACTGCAACAACGAAACGATCGATCGGAAAACGGTTGTTGGTCGGTGCCGAAACGGCCGGTACCGGAACGGAAATGCGCCGCACGGGGTTGCTGTCTGGCTGTGGTTGTCTGGCTGGCTGGTTGGCTCGTTGGCTTGCAAGTCACACACGCGGATTTTTGGATCTCACGATGCTTGGCGTGTGGTTGGCTGGCTGCCAAAGGACACAACATGCGGTTACGTCGGCCCCCTACATCCTTACACTCCCATGTTTCGGCATTTTATTCTCCGCAGCTTATTCCCCTTGTCCACTCTCTGTATCTCTTATTCAAACTTTCTTACACTACATGGTGGGCGGCAGCTACAGCATCATGTTTTTTTTTCCTTTTCTTTCTACTTTTTTCTACCTGTTCTTTCCTTTTTTATGATGATGATCAACGGTTTGGGGTTTTATGAGGATGACGAAGAAACGGAAACGGACCAAATCCGAGAAAGTTACGAGACTGATGATGACAAACAACGGAATAAATGAATGTATACCTCTTACGAGATATGACTATATATGTATAGAGAGGAAGCTGGTAGTGGTTATTTTGGAAATGAACGACAACATTTATTGATGGCCTCTTTATAAACCCACGAACACGACTTGCTGGAAATCGACGCTAAGAAACACCGTGAGACTCGACGGCTGAGGAGGAACCAATCAATGGCTTCAGAGTATCCCAACGTGTTCAAAGCCGCAATCAATCGTGCGGAACATAATATTACCTGCCAAGCAGTTGGTTAAAATCATTCAAACGTTTCGTCATGGTATGAGGTCTCTAGTGTGGTCTGGGTCTCTTACGTGGTATTCAATAACGAGAATGACTCAAGGGGTATGTGTGGAGATAAGGATCCGCAACATATCGGTTCCTGTATTCAGAAAAAGAAAACACGGACTTCTTGGTCCGCCGCCGGACATAATATTGTATCTCCTACACTAACAACTCGCTCACTGAGCTCCTTCACCACCAGCAGCACCTGCAGCTTGCTGTTTCCAGGCATTGGCCATAGCCAACAGACTCGACAAGTTCTTGGTCTGCTGATCATCAGCCGGGAAGATATAGTCAACATATTCCTCCCAAGTATCGTCCTCCAGCTTGCGCTTCTTCTTAGTCTTCCTCGGCATCTGTTTCTGTATCTTCTCGATATCCTCCGCCGACCCGTGCGTCTTCTCAAACGCCAACCACGCGTTGAGCAGCGACACCCGCTCGGCCTTGAGCTCGCGCTCCTTCATGCTCTTGTGCGCTCTCTCGAAGATCTTGCGAGCGCGCGCCTTGGCCTCCTCGCTGACCGGCTTCTCTTCCGCCTCCTCTTCGGTCTCTTCCTCCTCCTCGGCCTCGTCGGGGATATTGATCTCGAACTGGGCGTAGCTGATCCAGACCTTGGGGTGGTCGGCCTTCTCGAGCAGGCGCTCGTACAGGGCACGCGTCCGCTCGTACTCGCCCTCTTCTTCCTCGAAATCGATGTACGCCTTCCACACCACCTCGGGCATGTCCAGGATCGGCTGCGAGACGGCGAGCTCGAAGATGGCGCGGGTGCGCTCGAGGTCGTTGAGACCGCGCTCCAGCTCGGCCCACTTGATCCATGTTTGGCAGTTAGCCGGGTTGTACATGACGTGCTTCTCGTAGAGGGTGCGGCAGCGCTCGAACTCGTAGAGCTTCTGTTCGAGGAGGATGTACTCCTTGAAGATCTTGTCCTTGGGGCACATGCCGATGGCGCGACCGAGAGTTTTGCGGGCTGTCGTTAGCTGGCCCTGTCGAATCTCGAAATGCGCCTTGGCAACCCACACTTTGGCAAAGGTGAACTTCTTGTGGGGGATAAGGTTCAGACATGTGTCGTAGATCTGACGGGCTCGCTCAACGTCCTTTGTTTCCCTCTCCTCCCATATCGCGTAGAAGAGGAAGAGGAAGATGTACCGCCTCCAGTGTCGCTTCTCTTGGGTTGGTGGTACCTGAGCAATGGCTCGCTCGTAGACTTCCCTGGTCCGGTCGACATCTCCTCCACTCTCCTCCAGTCTCGCAAAGTCAAACCAGACGTCGTAGTTCTTTGGGTTCTCCTTCACTTGCTCCTCGTACAATCTCCTCCTCTTTGTTAGAATAACATCCTCCACGCCCTCCTTGTCACCAAACTGCTTTTCGAATGTGGTGTAGTGGGCATGTAGCGTCATCGACTTGGACCGAGGCAGGTTGTCGAGGCCAAACTTGTAGATGGCACGGGCCCGCTCGTACTCCCGGAGACGGGCCTCGTACCGGGCAAAGGCGATAAATATCCTTTCGTCAACGGCATCGTCGCCCAGTGTTTCGGCAATCGTCTGAATGGCAGTCTGGAAGACCTCGCGGACCGTGTCGCTGGTCCCGTATTCCTCTTCAAACTTGGCCCATTTGAGCCACGTCCTCGGTTCTGGATGGACGGCGGTAAAGGCCCTGAAGATCTCCCTTGCCCTGTCGAACTCGCCGTAACGTTTCTCTAGACGGATATAAGCACTCCACGCCTGCTCATCTGGCTGCCACTTCATCCACCGGTCAAAGACTTGTCTGGTGCCCGGAATGTCGCCTAGCATCTCCATGACGTAGAGGTACTGGTACCAGAGAGATGTGACTCTGGGCAGCCGCGTGACGGCGCGGTCCAGAAGATTGCGTGCATGGTTGATGTTGCGGTTCTTGATCTCTGCTTGGACGTATCTGATCCAGAGTTCTGTTGGAGCATATCGTTAGCGACTGATGCGTCAAAGAAGCACATGGACAACTTACGAGTGTTATTGGGATGTACATCCAGAGCGCGCTCGAACACAGACCGGGCTCTCGCAAACTCCTTCTGTTCCAGCTCCCATTGGGCATATTGGAGCCAATTCGAAAGACGAACTCGGTTACGCCGCACATAGTCCTCAAACTCCTTGCGCTTGCGACCCTGGTATTCCTTGAGCTCCTCGAGGTCGGCAAAGCGCTGTGTGGGAGTCTGGAGGTTGACTTCCTGGCGGTCGACGGCCTCGCGCAACAACTGCTCGGCCGAGATCTGCACAGGCGCAGGGGCCTTATTCTTCACCCGTGGTGGACCGCGTGACGACTCCATTGTGAAGATGGACGTAAAAAGTGGCGATCGAGCGATGTTGGCGTGGTGTTGTAGGTTCTGTTTCTTGATGAGATTTTGGGTCTGGACGCAACAACAGCCAGCCAGGACGAGGACGCGCTGCGATTGATGGACCGTGGCTGGATGCCTGCACAGTGTACCTTCCCGACATCATGTCATACCATGTCTGACCTCAGCGGGCAGGGGAGCCCATAAGACAGCGCTAGGCCGCTAGAAGGCCGCTGTATCATGGTTGCCAATTGGCGATGCCAAGTGAACTACAAGTACACTTTAGCAATGAGAAGCCAAGCCGCACTGTCCACAACGGGCAGGCAAAGCACTGGCGCAGGTCTAGCGTAGGCCCGTGATGCAACGCCGCGGTCTCTTGCCTCCAGTCTTGAGGTTGCCAAAAACAACCCAAGTCGACAACACAGCGAAACTTTTCCCATCCACTTCCTCAGCGCACGACAGTCGTTACGCCTGTATCAGAATACCTTCCGTTTTCTCCTGAACCCAAGCGATAGAAAGATCCGAGCAAACGCCGAATATCCTGCCCAGACAGCAGGGTTTTGCGAACATGTCGTCTACTCTCGACGAGCTCCTCCAGGACTTCGAGGACTCTGGCTCCGAGGCCGGTGGCGAGGAGTATGGCGATGGTCTTCTTGGTGATGGTGTTGTTCCGACTGGAGGCTCAGGTGTGGACGACGCACACGTACCGATAAACGATGAGGACGAAGATGAAGGCATGGGCGATGGCGAAGATGAAGACGAAGCTATGGGTGGCGTGGGAGCCGACGACTCGAATGCTGTTGAAGATCCCGAAGAGGCAAAGGCCAAGGTTGAGAAGATGCATTTAGGAGGAGTGCGGGATGTCCGAACTGTAGCGACTCTTATGAAGTCTCTGAAGCCTGTGCTCGAGGTTAGTCCCCCAATACCCCTTCGCGGTGCTCCCTTTACACATGGCAAAGCGTTTACATCTTTTTTGAGCAATAGCCCTGACAGTCTGGATCGAACGTTGCAGAAAATCGCACACTACCAAGCTACACCCGCTCAGGCCAACGATGTCGGCCATGTCGAAGACCACCCGGAATACAGCCTGTTGACGAACGCCAATAGGCTGTCTACTTTGATAGACAGCGAGGTGGCTCTTGTCCACAAGTTTGTGAGGGACCACTTCTCCGCCAGATTCGCTGCGCTCGAGTCGCTATTACCGAACCCTATCGAATACTGCAAGGTCGTTGCAATCTTGGGCAATTCTCCGATGGACTCGGAGAGCATGAAGGCGTTGCAGCTTTCCACCGACAACCCCCTGGGTGTAACCCTCAAGTCGGTTCTTGATGGGCCAACCTTGATGATTGTCACGGTGGAAGCTACCGTTTCCAAGGGTCAATTTCTGGGCGAGGAAGAGATTCAGCGCGTCACAGAAGCGTGCTTGATGGTGGTCGAGCTTGACAAGGCCAAGAAGACGCTCACTGAGTACGTACAGTCTCGCATGAACATTTTCGCGCCGAACTTGACGGCTCTCATCGGTTCCCTCACAGCAGCACAGCTTCTCAACCAGGCCGGCGGCCTGACTGGCCTTTCCAAAACCCCGGCCTGCAACCTCCCGGCTTGGGGCTCTAAGAAGCAAACAAGCTCTGCTCTCGCTACCAACGTCGGCATCAGACAACAGGGCTTCATCTTCCAGTCAGACATCATTCGTGGGATTCCAACAGACCTCAAGAAGCAGGCGATGAAGATGTTTGCCAACAAGATTGTCATGTGCGCGCGCACCGACTGCTTCCACCAGTTCAGGGATGGGTCGGAAGGCGAGCGACTGAAGGACGAGTGCCTGGACCGCCTGGATAAGCTGCAGCAAAAGCCGAACAGCAAGGGCGCACGCGCTCTCCCAGCACCCGATGACAAACCGAGCAGAAAGCGTGGTGGCCGACGCGCTCGTAAAGCCAAGGAGGCCACAGCCATGACGGAGTTGCGCAAGGCTCAGAACCGTATGGCCTTTGGCAAGGAGGAGAAGGAAGTCGGTTACGGCCAGGGCGATTCTACTGCCGGCATGGGCATGATCGGCCAGCGCGACGATGGACGTCTACGGGTCACGCAAATCGACCAGCGCACGCGTGCCAAGCTGAGCGCGAAGAGCAAGGGTTGGGGTGGTGCCAGCTCGCTCAATGGCGGCGCGGCATCATCTCTCAGAGGGCTTACCGGCGGTGGCAGCGGCATTGGCAACATCAGTCTGGCTGCCAGCAAGGGCTTGCGGACATCGGGCGTTGGTACCACGGTGGGCAGTACCACCGCCGGTACGGTATCGTCGTTGGCGTTTACACCTATGCAAGGCCTGGAGCTCGTTGATCCAAAGGTGCAATCCGAGCTGAGCAGGAAGCGCAAAGCAGATGAGGACCGTTGGTTCAAGGGTGGTACATTCTCTCAAGTTGGCAACTCGGGTGGCGCTGGTGAATTCAAGAAGCCTGCATTACCCCCAAGCAAGAGACAAGATACTGGAGCGACGAAGTGATGCTCCTATTTGGTGAAGGTGGAGGAATCGGTGCATGAAAGCGCACATGCCGGTGACCAAGCCTGGTCACCTAGCCTCAATTCATTGGCGTGGGTTAACTACATACTTCAAAGGAAGTCTGCGGCCCTACGCTCCGTTAGGCTTTTCACAACTCATGTCATTTAGATCATTGCTATATCGTGGATTCGGCGTTCTGAGAGCTTTGTTGCTAGGGAAAATATTCAGGGAAGTGATCTCATTCCATTTGCAGCAGTGGCTGTCCTCCGTGTTTCGGTCAATGTCGCGGTCATTTGTCGTCTTACAGTTGATGTTCTACTGTTAACCTCAACCAAAGTATAGGTAGGAAGAGGGAATGAGCGTCTGCCTCATGATGCACTACGACTGCTGGTGAATCTACAACGCAACATCCGTGAATAAGCGAATCCCATATTTGCCCTCGGTCAAGAACATGGTATCCTTTCTTGATCAATTTCGGCATGCCTAGATCCCGAAGACGAACGGCCCGAGTTTAGGTATACGGCATGGTTCCCTTCGGCATGATCATGTCTGACAAAGCGGCGTGCGTGCGTGCGTCTGACACTCACCTGGCATGTCTTTCGAACACACACAAAAGAGAAGACACGCAGAAGTACGTTGTCTTTCAATTCAGTTCGCTGCAGACCGAGTCCAGACCGGTTGTGTCACGACATATCCGTCCGTCAGTATGACCGTCAGAAAGTAGAAAGGCATCTTCTTATCGTACCATGTAGGTTTGGACCCTCTGAGGAGGATTCAAGGGTGTCGTTGGCTTGCGATACATACCGGATCCCGACTTGCCCATTATCTAAAAGCCGGGTGTGTGAATGTCGAGGGAAAGGGTAAAGGGACGGGACGGAGGGAGCCTTCTCTTCTTATCTCTTATCTCTTATCTCTAGGCCCGGTCCCACCTCGAGAAAAAGATGATGAAAGTGCTATGGCCGCGAAAAAAAATTGGAGGAGAAAAAAGAGAGGAAAAAGAGAAAGCAAAAGCCCAAAGAACCAGAAAAGAAATGCCATAGAAAAGTCGGGGCCCCGCATTGACCCTTCTTTTTACCTTGCTCTTGAGCTTTGCGGGACGGGAAGTTGTAGTGAACGAAAATGTTGATCACTTTCCCCTATTGGCCCCCAAATCCGCCCAGAATCCGCCCCCCAGAATCCCGTAGGTAGGCCTGCTGAGGCCTGTATGGTATTCTTGAAAATTGCCATGTTCCACAGGAGCAATAGCGCAAGAATGCCATGGTCAGCTTGGGAGCGTGCTTGGGTATCCAAACAGATGGTGTGTGTCCGCATTCCACAGACAGTTCGCTGGTTCGGTGGTTCGCTGGTAGTGGTTTTACGTACAAAGTATCACCGGACTTTCCCAGGGTCAAAGGGTCAAAGGGTCAAGGGAAGAAAAAAAAAAAAAAGGGTCAGAAGGGGTCAAGTGTACAATTTGCATTCCGGTTCCTTGTGCCTTGTGCGGCCGATGATCATTGGGATTTGGAAGCGGGGACTACTGACTGGTTGTTCGAGAAGATCTCGATCTCTGATGGATCCCCTTTCTCTTTCGCAAGGCAGGGCCTTCCTTTTTCGCTTTTTCGGTAGTAGGCAGGTGCACAACTGATTCCTGCCGTCCTCCCCTGCTCCTGCTGTTTTCGCAAGCCGACCAAGCCGTCTCTTCCACCTGGTTCTTTTTCGCTTGTTGTGTAAACTATTCGTTCGGCTCGGCTCCAGCGAACAAGTTTCACTGTCACTCCATCATCGAGATCTACGTGGTGACTGAGGACGGAAGCCAAGGGACGGAGCCAAGGGAGCGTCATCACACTCGGCTCTTTTTGCCTGCCGTAGGCTCGTAGAGAATTACAGTATCTTGCTCGCTGTTCTTTGAATATTTCTTATGGCTATGCCGAGTCAAGTCACCTGGACATAAACTTTCACCAAGAAATATGGGATGGGATAGATAACCCTTACCTCCCTCCCTATGCACTTACCTACTTGCAGGTGATGGTTGACAACCCTTAGTTTTGAAATAACTGCATACAAAAACGGGGTCTTACAGTTGGTCTCTGGAAAGCCAAGTCCGGCATCCCGAGCCCAAACACTCTGTGCCATTGAATGAATGCTTTTCTTCAATCACACCCTTTACACCTTTGTGAATGACAAAAGGCGTAAATGCGCTTATAGCATTGGCTAGTTGCGCTGCCGTCGTTATCGCGGAAAGTCATCCACATAGAAAGAGGGGTAGGTAGGTAGAAGTAGGGGTAAGTCAAACAGATTGCTATTCTTTTTTTTTTGCTGAGCCTGGTCCCGGACAGTCCTCCCGCAGAAGGTATTGGATGAGCAACCGAGGCAACCCTCTTTTAATTTCTTCTGTCTCTGCTCTGTCAGCGAAAAGTTCAGCGGTTCGGCGAAGCGAGGAAGGGAAGCTGATAGAGGGGGTAGCAGTGGTGGTGGTGTATATGCACAGCATACAGGCATGCTGTATGGCCTGCCCAGGAAGAGGAGAAGAAGGAGAATGAAAAGACATCCCCGTTTCGCGCCAGTGTGTGCATGGGGAATATGGCTCGCACATGGTAATCTTAATGAAAAGCGATCTTTTGCTCTATCTGCCTTTCTCTGCTTGCCGGTAATAAGGAACTCAGCGACCCCGATAGATGTCAGGCTAGTGAGAGGAGAGTTTTCGGTTCGGCCAGCACTACTTGCACAGGACTTTGAGTCGAGAGGCGATATTTCATCAGGTCATCAGGGTTCTCTTTCGATTATGTTGTGTGCCGCCAAGGGTGGGTGTTGATAACTCCCCAAGAAGCGCACACGGAGATGTGATCTCCATCTCAGCGACCCGAGTTCGGTGAAAGAAGAGAAGGGCGCACCAATTTCGGTTGAACTGCAGTGTCAGTGATACTGCGGTGAAGGATCTGATTTGAAAGCAGCATACCTCTAGGATGAGTACTTCTCCAGTACAACTGACTGGTTATCACACCTCTCTTCCAGGGAATACACGTTCACTCACTGACGCGCCTAACCTTACAGATTGACCCTGATGGTATCATTGATATACTGTGGATTGAGATCAGATGGGGTTGCCGCCTTGTCTTTGCGAACCTCGGCTGCTTGGATAACGCTGCCATCAATGATGATCGAAGGCTTTGTCTGTTTTGTTTCTGCATCAGGCTGAGTTGAGGTGAGAAGCTCACCTTCGGTGAGATAAGATACTGACCGCTTGATCAATGACAAAGTCGATGTCTACTAGCATCATCTCCTGCAAAATCGGATCTTCTGTTGATTCTGAGGAAACACGATGAGCAAAGTGCCGTTTTGTTCGACAGATTTCCATGTTCTGTCTCTTTTACCAGTACGGGTTTTGACAGATCGGCGGGCCCGATATTCCAGGCTCCGCTGAAGAAGGACCAGAGAAGGACTGATCTGCTGAACTAGATCAGGGTCAAAGATCTGCTGCCCTTGATCATCCAGGGCATCGTATCGTGCCCTGGGTGCCCATTTCGCAGTGATTCTGTCAAAGCCATGATGGGCGCAACAAGGCGTGGCGGTTCGTCATCGCTTGTGCTACTCCAGGCTGAGCTGGGCGCAGCTCCCCTTCATCTTGGAGAGCTGATATCGGCCGGAGGCGTTGCTGGGCGATGGGAAAGGACCCTCAGATAATCTTGCGTCGATAACTTTGATGATGATGTGCCCATGAACGAACGTGCGGATGTAATTGTATGCTGATTCTGAAGCTTGGTGTCGTCCGGGAATGCAGCCTTGTTTTGTGCGAGCACACGGTGAACTCCTGATATCAGGATCGTTCGGAGGATAGCATGGAGAAATGATTGAACAGAGGTAACCGTCAAGCCAGTCCCGCCTGACACTTCCGGCTTCCCGTCTCCTTGATTTCACAAAACCGTGAATCCAAACATTCCTCTCCGTTTTCAGGGACCAGCCGTGTAACGTGCAGATGAGATGTCCCCAGATATGTACCCCTCTCTGCCTGAAAGTTGGCGTAGGTTCCCAGTGCAGTGCATGAGAGTCATGGAGTGCAGGGCACTTGCAGCGTATCGCATCGCCAGCGAGATTGATGATGGTGAGCATCAGTTGAAGCAGCTGAGAGCACCATCACTGTAAGTACCATCACTGTAAGTACCTTACAAGTATCCGGCAACGGCTGGAATGGGTAAGGTGCCCCTGCAACCGGAGAGGCTGCTCCGAACGGCGCCGTCCCTGGTTTTTGCCAAGTACCCACCCCTCATCGGGCCCCTTGATGTGTTTATTCAGGGCTACAAGGCAACGACCTGGCCCTAGGTTACAGGTATGTACGATGGAACCCAGAGAGCTTCCACAGCTGTGAGTAGTATGCATGTACAGATATGTACTCCAAAGATACCACCTACAGTACGTCATACATACCGTATTGATGACTGACTGTCGGGTGCTGCTTGTTTGCGCGCGTCGTTAGTGTACGGTTGTGATCTTACGATCTCTTCGCGATATGAGCCCACTGCGCAGAAAGACTTTTTATAAGCTAAGCTCCAAAGACGCTCTCTTTGCGCTTCGCATCGAGATAAGCGAGGGTAAGAGGCTGGTAGTTCAGCTGGCTTGTCCCTCGGCCAAGTCCAAAGTAGTCCAAAGTCAACGTTCTGGACTTTTGGAGAATCGCGATACAACTCCACTCCTAGAGGTTTGAGGCGGATATACTGTATGGGGTCAGGTACCTACCTACTATGTATAGCGCGGCTGACTTTAGACTCACTAGAACGTACCTGCTCATGACAAACGGCCAACGGTCTAACGGCAAGCACGATGTGTGCTGACTGTGCTGTTAGACTTCCATCATGAGATCTGAACGAGGCATTCAGGGTCCTGTCGTCGTGTTGGCGTCAGGGTCTTGACAGGCCGATGTCAACGGCGCCCGATGTGTGTGAGCATATCTACCGTTGCGGTATCTGTATCAATTCTTCGGCGATTCAAATGTGATGTAGGGTTAGCAGCGCCGTTCTCATCTATCGTTTTCTTGCAGGACGACATTTGATACACACAGTACTTTAACTGAACCCTTTTTTCCCAAAAGCCACTTTGACGGGTCATATTACTATGTACGCACGGTAGATCTCGATATCTCAACAAAAGGCGCGTTTTCAATTCCGGATTGGGTAACTGCTTACGGGATCGCTTGGATGGCTTCGGATCCCTTGGTCCCTGTTCCCACCTGTCTACCCGAGGCTGTTGGCCGAGCCGGTGCGGTACGTTGGCATCAAAGGGTCGGTCGGGATGAGGGTGTGTGTCGGCCGGGTGCCATCGTCGTGGATAGGAAGGCAGGCATGGGACCATGGGGTCTGAATGGATGGTTTGTTCCAGAAAACCATTGAAAATTTCGGTGCGGTCTCCGGCTGCTCGACCTATTGGACCGTTGCTTTCATTCAGTGTGTGGTCCGTGTCTCTCGGCTATGGTGACAGCGGTGGTGTCTCCCCTTGGAGGTTCCTTCCTGTCACTGTTGCCGTGCTGCTTCCACTTTGCAGTGAGTGCTTGCGTGGTGGTGACTGCCCTGTGGTGCCAATTGTGTGCCCTGCCACTGGTGGGATTTTCTACTATGTACATGCCTTGCTTTCCCGTGTTAGGCTTGCCTTAGCGCAGGTTGAGTAAAATCTAATCCTGTGAGAAAAAGCGGTACTTGCCGTGGCGGACCCGGTCATTTCAGGGTCTTGATGCAAAAGGTCTCGATCCAGGCCCAAAATCTCGATCTGTCGTCATAGTGGTAGCGTTCATCCTTCACTCACACTGACAGGAACCGACTGTGTCAGACTTCGATGGAAGACCCTGGATCCGATTCCCAGAGCCTTTCGTCATTTCCGCCCATGTGCGATGCCCCAGTTTTGTTCCAAGGAAACTTGAAACCGCGCACGCCAAAGGGGCCCAAAAGGACGCTCGCATCCCGCCTTTTGAACAAGTCGAATCGCTTTTTGTCCCATGGATTTTTTTTTCGCATCGACTACGTATATGCGGTATCGGTATCTGCCCTCCCACTTTGCCATGTAGGAAAGACAGCTCACGGCATGGATGTTACCTTGCCCAGTCGGTGCTTGATGGACCGGGACCGTGACCGTGACCACCTTTGACACAAGTGGGTGTAGGTATGTATCGCGTGTATGTATATGTGCCTGTGCTTGTGTCCGGGCTTTTCGGGGTTGCGATCCCTTGGACCCTTCCCCTCGCCCTAAAACGGGAGCCAAAGAGACGTGGCGGCTGCAGTGGAAGGCGCCGCAAAAGGGTCATGAGAAAAAAAAAAAAAAGGGACTCTCGGTTGCATTCTCGTAAGGCACTCCCCTGTCTGTTTTGGAGCGGATTGGGGTACTGTGTACTGCTATACTTGCACAGTACAAAAGAAAAGTCCTCTCACCCTCATCATGATCGCGATATCGCGTTGCTTCCGTGTGATTGGGACCTTTCTTAATGGACGGCGGAGAGTTGGACCCCCGACACGACCCCTCACACGGCCGGAGCTTTTGTCCCTGAACCCTGGTGTAAGTGCCTGACTATATCCATCCTTGGTGACGAGCCATTATGGACTGATATCTCGCTCTCATCAGTCGAGTTTGAGTGTAGGCAAGGTTGAGGATTGCGCTTGAGTTCTTTTTTCACATGTCTTTCATCGGAAAAAGAAAGTGTTGGAGAGCCTTTCAGGACTAAAATTCTCCCTTAGTGCCAAAAAATACAGCGGTATCAAAGATAGGCGGTCCTTGTTGTTTTCGAGACTAGTCAAAGCACTAGCAGATACGACCGTTTCTTACCAGGAGTTGGGGTTTTCAAATGCGGAGAATATGTAGGTGGGGACAGACATTTTGGACGGCGCGCGGACGGGAGGGGGACGACAGACGACGGCGGACTGTGCTTCAGTTCTTTGCACTAGAAGAGGGGAAATGAAGACAACAAAACAATGGTTGCTACAACAATGACGTCTACCACTCATCCTCAGGCCTTCCGCGGAGCGTTTTCAGCTGTGTGATGTCTGTACGAATGGAGCCATAGCCGACGTAGTTATTTCAGCTTCTGCCGGAGAATAACTCCTCTTCGACTACCTCTACGCGAACGCTGACTGCAGCGCATCTTCAACTCAGGAAAGCCATCGAATGATGGACTCTTGGCCGTTTGTAAGGGATGAGTATACATGACACTTCACTCCCTGTTTCTGACCGTTGCATGTCATTGATATCTCTTGGAAACTCTGGCTTCCGTTACTGGTTTCCTACACACTCTCGAGACACTGTCCGTCAATTCCTCTTTAGGAGATCCGCGGCGGCCGTGATTCGACTGCTTTTACATGACGAGCTATTGAAGTTGGTCTGCATATGAGCCAAGGTCCCTTGAGGTGTGAATAGCTTGTTGGAGGCGGCTATACACGTGTAGTTCGAATGTATCGCCAGCTCGCTGCTTGAACAGCGAGTAGTCTACCCCATTCTTCGATAGCACATCAACGTATGCATACTGTGTCGTGTAGACCACAAGTACCGTGCCCATCATGAAGCCATCGTGATGTACACGCCATATACAGACTGCCAAGAAAGTTGATCCGCCCACTGTGTGCAGAGACGTTGCTGAGGCTCCGATGGAGTCCATTTCGGACAGGAACCACCACATCCCTCTGCCTCTTTTCCACATGAGGCGCAGGGTTCAGGAACCTCGATCGGTAACTTTCCGATTATTGGCTCGTCCCATCGGCACTGCATTCCGAGGTGACTAGGGCGACTGTGTAACTGTCTAGGGCGACTGTGTGGAGACAAGGTGTAAGTCACCCCCAAAGACCCCAAGATTAGTGTTAGGGTTAGCGGTTGGGTTAGGTGTTAGGGTTAGTTAGGGTTAGTTCCGGGGGTGCAGGGGGCCGGCGAGAGGCCCCCGCGTGTGAATATGAAATTCGGCGCTCGAAAAGAGGTAGTTTTGAGCCTCGTTGTTGTCGTTGAAATGAAGACTTCTGGTGACGGTTGTCGTGACTTTGGTCGCGCAGAATTGATGCCAAGCTTTGGAGGTGAGGCCCGTGCAGCCTTCAGATTTGTATGGCCCCACACAGTCGCCCTGGGCGATTACACAGTCGCCCTAGTCGGCTCGCTGCATTCAGGATTCGTCCCTCAATCGAGGTACTAGCTCTTTGGGCCGCCCGAAGACCGACATCTTGGAATTGAGAAGCTAAAGAAATGGAAGAGATGGGTCAGACAGTCGCGGTCCCATTATCCCGTAGCGTATTTGCTGTCTCCTGCCATGTTGGCTCACGGTGGATGGAATATCGAGATTATCGACAATTTTTTTTGGCACAACCGTGACAACCAACGCCGCGCGATCTCGGGGTTATCACTGCCACGTTACCAAATCGCTCGATCCCGAGCATCCATGAATCCATCCGTCTACCAGGCTTTTGCTTTGCTGTGCTCCTCGTGATTTTCCCCTTGTGCCTATCTGTCTCAGCACCAACAGCCACTTTCCCATCCCTTTTATTATGCATAATGGCGATTCCCCCTACCGTTGGGCAATAACAAGGGATCAGGAGTCAAAATTCCAAGGATACTGCCTCCAAACTCAGGGGTAAACGGGTTCAGAAGCTTGATGCGGCTATGTAGGTCTGGTATGTAGGTCCGGGCAGGCCAGTGACTTTATGAGGTCTTGCGAGACACTCACACACACAGGCGGGAACATCTGGCTGGCAGCTTCAGGCCCTGGGTTTGACTGCGTCTTTCCCTGCCTCTATCCGTCTCCCTTCGTGCATATTCACCTACTTGTAACTGTGAGATTTCTGAATCTGAGGGTAGGTAACCAAACATCTTGTCTTCCGAGCAACGGAACCCTGCATTGATAACGTGTGTGGCAGGGGTCCTACGTGTGCTGTGCAGGAGCTTGATGGCCACGCCAAGGTAGCAGATGAAGCTTCCCAATCCCACTATCACGAGAAGGTGTCAGCATGGAAAAGACGGAAATTGACGATATTGTTGAGATACCGCATTGTCAAGCGTGTCCGCTTTTGGCCTGTATGAGAAATAACGCTGCCACTGACGTCATCCCATCTTCTTTCCCAACATTGGCCTTTTTTTGCGCGAGCTGTACACTAGCGTCGCGGTTGTTGCCGTGGGATGGGGAGCGCGGAGCGGAGGGGACGGAGCGCGACACGCTAGCCGCATGCCTCTTTGAGCCCCAAGTCGTCTTGACAGCCAGCGAGGTCTGGGATACCCTTGGCGACTCCAATAGGGGGCTCTAGACCATCTACATCCAAGGTAATAACTTGTAATGTGATAGTGTACCAGAAGGGCCCAATATAGGAACTGCACTATGCTCAATGGGATTTCCCTCCGAAATTCCAAGCTGCCGCCGCCCAGTTTCGTTGGAAGCTATCCCTGCACGCGTGAAGCATCTATTGGCACCCAAACAAGGCGTTGTCAAGGAGATGCTGACTCGGTTTGGAAATGTCGATGATGATCGCCCATCACCCTGTCAACCATGGCCGGTTGGGGGGTTCGGGGGGTGAACTAGGGGAGAGGATCCGGATTCCAGCAAAGAGAGATACCAACTCGCATCTCTGGTTTCCTGGCGATACCCAAAGCCGCAAGCCAGGAGCCAATCAATCGGCATCCCGCGGGGGATCATACCTTCCCCCGGGCGCCGGGCCCCCGTGCGTGCGTGTGTCTGCTGCCAGCCCGTTGTCTTGTACACTAGCAGACTGCATAGTACTGAGGTGCTACAGGCGGGTGGCCTTGCGCGGTCTCGATGTTCCTGATCTGCTCCTCCCCTAGACGCTCCCCACGATGATGTGCAAATCAAAGCCACACCTATCCGTGTCTCCGGAGCCGATCCAGTTAGCAATGTACCGGTGCCAATGCCGAAAATGGGATTTTCCTTACTAACGGAGCTGTCTTTGCAACTCAACCAAAAAGAGCTCTGATCCTTTTTTTCGTTTTCGATCCCATCCTCAACAGCCATCCAACCCGAACAAGTTCCGTAACCCACCCGCCCACATCGGACGGCCTCTTACAACACCAACTCCAAGGACCCTGGAATGTGGGCGGAACATACCGTACTATCTGGGATATAGTACCTGGCTGGTATCCATATGGCGCTGCCGCGGGAGATGAGGACCACGTCCACAGGGCCCTACTAGCGATTGCCGTACCGGAGAAAGACAAACGGTCGTGGGGAAGATGTAGCAAGAATTTCGTCATCGTTCCCAGTTCGTATATCCTGGGGCAACCTATAAATTTTGCAGTACGAGGCTAGGCTGAATAGGTCTCTACACAGTAGGGCGATACATGCCGCCGGGATATCAGCCAGGGGTTGAGAGGATTGGAGGAGTACCTAGGCGTAAGCGGGGTGTGCAGGCTTTTTCGAAGGTTGCCTGCCCGTTGTCAGAAACGGGAATATAAGCGTAATGATTAGGTTACGGCAACTGTGACAGAACACCAAATATGCCTGCGGGAAGACCCTCTCTGTCAGGGCTCTGTCACGGTACTTGGAGTCGACATGATCCATTGCACAAAAACACAACAGACAGACATCGTTCCTTTTTTTCTGCATAATTTCAAACGCGGCCTGAGTGTGATGTCTATATTCGCACAAACATATGCTTCCGTACTACAACTATTTTGGGTTTCTGCCGTACGTTTCCAATCCCTTCTTACCGGGGAGTCATACACACAAAGATTTTACCTACTAGCGTTGGTTTTTCGTCCAGGTCATCGCTCGTCTTAGGAAAGTGAGTGGAGAGACAGACGATGATGGTCGCCGATGCGATGATGGGGCCGGCGATGCAGTGCCTGGACGATGGCCGGCCGGGACAGTGCCAACTTTGCCCTAAAGACGGTAGTTTAGCGGGATGCGCCCTCGTACTGTGCTGCCCTCAGCAGCGCTGGAGGGAGACGGGGGGTACCTGGACGGTACCTGCGGGAATACCTGACGGATTACGGTCTCAGGAACACACTGGAAGGTACCGTAGGGAGTAGCTGCCCACTTCGCAGGGATCTTCACGCCTGGCGGCTGCTCAACCTGCAGCCCCTCGCACCCCTTCGCACCCCTCGCGGCGCTCGCTGGCCGTCCGCCAAAGGAAACAATAGCACAATCTAGGAAACACACCCCTGCGCGATGGACTGCCAAGTGGGTTCCCAGCATGCAAGACGGATTGAGAATGGGGTTTGAGCGCGCCCGGTCACTTTCCCATGTCGGATGTCCCGCCAGCCCGCCTGAGCGACGCACCAGCGACCGACCGAGAGCTCATCGTGCCTCCCTTTATTAACACCCGTTGTCCCCTGCCTTCCGTGCCTTCCTTCGCTTCATGAAAAAGGGTTCATTATCCAGCATCTCCTCCTCTTCGTTCCTGTCTTCACCTTCCGCTCGCTACCCAGTCCAAGAACCACTCACCTATCCTCACCGTCCGTCTCATCCGTCCACAGACGCCGACCTTCTCCGCCTCAGCACCTCAGGAGTATACAGTTACCCAGTCCAGTCAACAACAACAGACGACACACAGTTACAGATACAGACATCGGTCCTAGCTATACCGACCAACTGCATCAACCATCCATTGCCAAGGAAAACCATCTGTGGTAGAGCTTTGAGCTTTTTTCCCAACATTCGGCAACCGACAGAGAAGAGTTTTCAGCGCGGGCCTTTTTACCTAAGCGTTTAGCTACATTGCACCGCCTTTTCTGTGAGCCTCACGGACGCAAATCAACGACGACCCAAATTTGCTAGGGCCTTTTCGGCTAGAGCACTTTTTTCCACCAGCTTATAACTGTTTGGTTTACTGCGATCCATTCGGTTCTTTTCCGCCGACGTCGATCATCCGCCTTCCGCCGAGTCGACAATTATCGGGCCGTCTCCGCCCCATCTTTATCCGTCATCCGACTTTGCTACCACCACCGCCATCATGTTCGCCAGGGACGCCAATGGACACACTGTCCAGCTCCTCAACGATGATGAGCCTCAAAAAGCCCCCCAGGTCCAGTATCAGCCGATGCCTTACCGCGCGCCATCCAGCTTTGGACAACCCTATCACCCCGCCTTGACCAGGAGTATCTCGTCGTCGCCAAACACCCCAGAGCTGCTCCGATCCGACTCCTATGACTCTCAAATGAGCAACGAGCCCATCTCTCCCATGACTCCCATCTATGACTATAGCCGGGGTTACCCTATCGATACTCGGCCTTATGAGGACTACTCGGACGCCCACAGCTACATTGGTGCGAAGAGGCCGCGTACCATGAGCGACAGCAGATCCATGTCTTACGAGGATGATGCTGCCAGCCCGGCGGCCACCGAAAGGACCGGCAAGCGGTATCCGTGCAGGTATCGGGACAGCCATGGCTGTGAGAAGACCTTTACCACATCCGGCCACGCTTCGAGGCATTCCAAGATTCACACCGCCGAAAAGGCTGTCCCCTGCTCGTTCCAAGGCTGCACCAAGAAGTTCACACGGGCCGACAACATGAAGCAGCATCTGGAAACACACTACAAGGACAAGTCGCGCTCCTCTACCCGACCATCTCTAGCTGGAGAGCGCAAGTCTTCTTCCTCAGGAAAGTCCTCCCGATCCAAGTCAACAACGTCAGTAACAACCGTCACCACTGCCGCTAGCCCAGCCGCACTACCACTCACACCTGGGGTTGGGAGTGCCTGGGACATGCGTGGACTCAACCTTCCTCTTCTGAGCCCCTCGATCGCCATGCCAACACCGAGTAGCGGGCTAGACGCTTTGGCTATGGCAGTTGCCTGCCAAGAAGGGTCTTCTTAGTCAATTTTACATCTTAATATGACCCTTTTCTTCTTTTAGCTCTGCGTCGGTGTTTCTCGGAGGATTGAGCATCGTGTGTCTCGCCACTGCCAGCTGACAGGCGTGTTTGATGTCACACATGACGTTTCCGCCGCGCGCTATGCTTTTTGACGCGGGTTCTCACATTTCCGTTGTCTTGGATCCTATGGGGGAATGGTACAAAACAACCCTTATTTTATGCTCTTGTGTTGCCGAAGCATGCAATGTCATATTGGGGCCGGTACCTGTCAAAAAGGCTTTTCTGTCTGGGATTATACACTTACTATTTAGAGGTCACGTACACGCATTGGGGAGACCTTTTTTTTCTTGCATTCAATCATCAACATGAACTGGGACTAGGCAACACGGGAAAGGGTCAGGGGCATATTTGTTTAGGGTACGGCGCAAACTGGGGCAATTTGTTTTCTTTCTCTCGTCATCTATCCGAAAAACGGATCGGTCAGGATGGTGGCCGTGGTGTATGGAGTGAGCGGCTTGGTGTTTTACTGTTCAAGTTCTTTATCCATTTTAGGGGTTGCAATTGGCAATGATATCCTCTTCTTGGTGACACAATACACACGGCCGTCTTATATAGTTGAAAGGCCGATATCAAACTTGACGAATTGTTCATACATACAATGCTTCTTCTGTTATGACACCGTGGATCGATGGTGATATACAAACATTAGATGAGACTTCTGGCCACAGCGGACATGTGAAATAGCGAAGCATCGCAGCACATAGACAGCGATAATAAAATAGCGATCGGAGCGAAATCATAAGGCTTTACTTCTGGTATGGGTCAACACATCGTGGGCATGTCATAGTAGTCTTTTCTCGACAACAACCTCGGGAAAACTTATAGCGAACCAGACACTGTGAAATGATATCTATTTAGGTCATAATCTATAGGAAATGACGCAGTAAGGATGTGAATTGTAGAGATAAGCAGCCCTTCCATCCTTCTTGCGTATAAGACGGGGGCCGTGCACCGAGGTAGGGATGTGTGTCGTCGTTTTCCCGTCTGTTGTTCGTAAAGGGTCTTGCACCTACATCTAGGTACACACTGTTGTAGGTAGACAGATGTAGAGGTACCGTAGGTACCTATTCCGGACTGGAGCTGGCACCTCGACGTGCTTTGAGAGAAATAGACGCGAGTATGCAGACCTAAGCGTTTCGTTTCGTCTGAACCCTCTTTTTCCAAAATGGATCTCGAGCAGGTTTGGTTAATGCATGTGCTTGCTTTCCCACATGCTTGACTTTCCAAACGTGCAGATGTCCAACAAACTGAACTCCTGACTCGAACTTCTCTTCGTCGATATCCAACTTTCCTTTCCCCCCTCCACCAAAACCCCCATCCACCATCAATGCAGTATGCGCCATCTCATCGCCAAAACTCCCCATCCTCCGCACACGCCCTCGCCATCTCAAACTGCTCATCAGTCTTGCACACCAACACCCTATGCCCCCCCCTTTTGGACCCTGGAGCAATCTCGATAACAGCATGATCATCATCCAACTCCTCTTTCACCCTCGTCTCATTTGCCTCTTTATCTACGGGTCCAAACCCAAGACAGCCGACCTGCTCGACCACGGTCGCCCTTAGTCGATCGCTCTTCTCGCCGATGCCGCCGGCGAACACGAGCGCGTCGACTTGTCCTTGGAGGGAGACGTAGTAGGAGCCGATGAAGCCGCAGATGCGGTCGACGAAGAGGTTGAAGGCTAGACGCATTTTGGCGAGGTCTTCTTGTGATAAGTTGGATGAAGAAGAGGATGAGGAGTCAAGAGCGGCGGTGATGGTGCCAAAGTTGGTGGTGCCTGTTAAGGCCTTCCAGCCGGATTCCTTGTTGAGGATCTCTTCGGCGCGGGAGATGTGGAGTTCCTTTGTGGAGGCCGGGGAGAGCTTGCCTACGTCGCTGGCGTAGTGGAAGACGAGACTGGAAGAGGGCGGGGGGGGGACAGGTTAGCTGGAGGGGAGATGGGGGGAAAGATAAAATTTGCGGGTGGAAGAAATTGGACAAAAAAACTAACCTAGGATCGACACTCCCACTTCTCGTGGCACCAGGAAGTCCAGCTAGGGGAGTCAACCCCATGCTAGTATCGAGGCTCTTTCCGCCCTTGATGGCGCACGCGCTCGCTCCAGACCCGAGATGGAGAGCGATGATGTTGACGTCTTCAACCTTCTTTCCCAGGAACTCGGCAGTGGCGCGGGCGATAAAGGCGTAGCTGATGCCGTGGAAGCCGTACTTCCTCAGATGGTTGCTCCGCGCAATGTCCTGGTTGATGGGATACGTCCGGATGTGTTCGGGGATGGTGTGGTGAAACTGGCTGTCGAAGCAGGCGATGTTGAGGGTCGTCTTGGGCAGGTCGCTCATGCAACGGTGGACGATGGCGAGGCTGGTGGAGTTGTGTAACGGCGCCATGTCGGTGAGCTTCTCGAGATTGTGGTAGGTCTCGTCCGAGATCAGCTTGGGCCGCACAAAGTCGCCGCCGTGGACGATGCGGTGGCAGATGTAGGCGATGTCCTCCTTGCTGCTGATCTCGGGGACGCCGTTGTCGTCAATCAGGGTCTTGAGAAGGATGTCGAAGGCGTCGGCTTGGGTGGAAACCTTCTGGTCTTTGACTTCCTCGTCCTTGATCACCTTCTCGCCGCGCCGTGTGTATCGAAGGGTGGGAGGTGGTGCGGTCAGGCCGCTTATTTGGGCTTCGGCAAGCTGGATAGGTGCTTGGCCGAAGAGAGCGCTATAGGCTGAGATCTTGACGGAGGAGGACCCAGCATTGACTGAGAGGACAATCTTCTTCATCTTGGCTGAGGTACTCTGGAGGCTGTTAAGCATCGGACGGTGAATATCTTCGACGTCCTTCATGATGGGCTACGATGGGGGTGCAGTGCCTGCTGCTTTTTCTAGTTCCTAGGTTATTGGTGAGGTCGTCGTCGTGGTATCGCCAAGGTAGGGAGACACGTGAGGATGGTGAGACGGGTTGAGAAACATGGTGACAACGGGTTAGCCGGTGAGTGAGAATGGCCTCTTATTACAGCCTTAATTTGAGAGCTGAAGAGCTCTAGCGGCCCCCCTTCCTTGTCTGTCGACCACGACGACATGTCATAGTGCTTGGTTCGGCTCGTCTAGATAGAGGAAGGATTGACGGCCCGCTACACCAACGTCCCCGGCCCAACAAGGCATGATGTTTGGCATCTCTTGCTTCTTCCATGATTGGATGAAGTGGCATAAAGGGGCCGACAGATCGCTCTTGGGCTCCTATGCTGAACCATCAGACGAGGGGTACGAGCCAAGGTTGGGTGTGGTGGGGTAGTAAAGTGGTCTGATACCTAGCTGACCGTCTTCGGTCTGAAGAGTTGCATGACGTCGACGGGAGCTCGTGCGGAGAAAGTGGGGAATCCCATGCTGTTCCCCGCACCAAAATTTTGGTTGACATCACCCAAATCAGGGGTTGGTGCTTTTGCTAGTGCAGCCCTACCCGCCTAGGCGGTTCGTCTTATGCTCCAATTTCAGTTTAGCTCCACCTACCCCAGGCTTTGACTTTGACATGAGTTGCTTTTACCTTTTTAAGCTTATTTTTCTTATGTTGTTGGGTGATTCCGAGATAATGGATTCACTTTGATTTCTATAGGTGGCTCAAATCCTAGATATTAGGTATACAGTATACAAACCCAAAGGTACATATGCGGCAGGAGCTTCATGAAGCCAGCAGCTCAAGCACAGTAAGCAGCGTTACAACACTCAAGAGGCACTTTCCATAGAACTCCGTCCCTTTTCGACATTCCCCTTACATAACGGTCAGAGTCTGTGTGGGTCGTTGTCCGGTGGGGTACTGACAGGTTGGGCTTGGACTGTTTACTGTTGCACAACTTCAACTGATTATCTGGGGTCTAGAAGGTGGTATAGGCACTGTCTTGGCTCATATGCCGTGATACAGTGTCGAATATTTGCCATCTAACAACACATTCAAGAGTCAAGGGCAGACAACCAGCAGACTTCACAGACCAAGTTTCGCCTCAACGGTTGTAGATTCGGTGCGTTTATCTCGGCTATCTTATCCAAGACTAGAAAACCAATGGTATTAAACGGCTTATAAACGCCTCGTAAAACCGCGTCGGGTGAGTTGAGAAATTCCCAGTTTGATGGTCAAAAAGTCCAGTTGTGCTGCTTGGCGCGGGTCATAGAAGAAGTAACACTACTGACTATTTGTAAGTAGAAACCGGATATAAATATGTTGGTAAGTACCTTGATTGAGAAGAGATATCGGGATTACGTTTTCTCTATGAGAATTTCTTGACTGTTGTGCAGAAATAGTTCAAGTTTGAAGTGCATACTCGTCGGTGAATTGGCATCCTGCGTCGATACTTGGAATAAACCCTAACCCTAACACGGAGATACGCCAGCAACTCCACTGATGTGCCCTTACCTCTTAAGGCCTTAAACCCCACTGCAAGTGCGGACAGGGCGCCGCACGATCCAACTGGGCAAACCCCGCTCAAGCCCGTCCCACTGAATGTCCGTCCGGGGATAAGCAATTCAACGTCCGTCGTTCAGTTCGTTGCTTGACTTTATTGGGTGTCTCTCTCACGGCTACTACGAGCATCGAGCTACCCGACGACACCTTACTTCGCAATCGGCATGTCCATTGAAAGTCCAGCCGAGTTAATCACACGCTATCAATCCCTTGCATGGTTATTCCATCATGACGGGCAAGCGGTTCACCGAGGACCAGAGGGTCCTTCTCGAAAGGATGTTGACTCTCAAGGACAAACTGTCCAACCATGATATCGCCTTTATTCTGGGCTTTGATGAGCGCACCATCCGGCGAAGGAGGTATGAGTTCGAAGCCAATGGCAGGATCGCACCACCACCGGATGTCAGTAAAAATGCGGAGAAGTTAAAGGCCGTGACCCTCGAGGTGCGTACTCCGTATTGTTATACCCTTATGGACCCATCAAGCTAACATGTGCACCTCGTCAAACAGAAACTTGTCGAGTGGGTCAAGGAAAACCCCGATGCCTTGATCGAAGACATGCAAAAGTTCCTCAAGGAGGCCTGCGATTGCAACGTCAGCAAGGCCACCATCAGCAGACAGCTGAAGAAAGTTACCAACGAGGACAGACAACTGGGCCGCGTCAAGCGTCTGAAGGCCCGGGCAAAGAGGGCAGCTGAGGGTCGTAACTTTGACTTCACTGCTCATTCGAGTTCGCGGAGTGCGAGTGCCAGCGTGGCTCCAAATAGTAGCGCCACCGGTGAACCGCAACCACAAGAACAACAGCCACGAACACAACAAGAACTAGGGCATCTCCAACAACAGAAACAGCCGCGGAAGCTGCCGCCAGGGCAAAAAGAGCTACCGCAAATACCACAGCAACAGAGGCAACAAGAGCAACAAGGACAGCAGCAGCAACAGGCACAACAACAGCAACAGCCAGAAGCTCGCTTCGAACCATTCCAACCTTCAGGCTTGGACTTTCCAACTCCCGAGCTAGCCCTTCTCTCCCTATCTCGAACCCAGCCACAAGGTCCACCACCGCCACTTGCAGAAAGTAGTAGGGCAGCACCACAGCAAACAGGAACAGGTGCCGCTGCCTAGGAAGACTTCCACCTTTCTTTGCGTCTTGCTCGCTTACGGACTGAAACAGGGATGGGGTCCCGCGGCAACAAGGACGGTTAATTCATGGATACAACATAATGAATGCCTATTATTGTCAGTTGTTTTGTTAGTTATTATCATTGAAGCGAAGGGTATTATGTATGGATGTATCAGACATCACGTATACGAATGAGAAATGATAGGGATGGCGTAGGAGTGGGGGTAGGTAGGGGTGTTGTTGTATTCAAAACAAAAGCGAGGTTTGGTTATGGATTCTTTTGCTTTTTGTTTTCTTTTCTTTCATCTTTTTTGCTTTCGGAGTTTTGGTCATTATACCGACGACCGACCTCTAGCGTAAGAGCTACCTATACCTTGAGAGCTAGGTAGTAGCAGTATGCTCTCAGCACTTTTGGGTGGACACTTTTTTTTTTACCAGCAACATGGGACTCATGGGAACTTCCGAGTAATGTGTTCTGCCAATGGGTAGAAAAGACTGGTGTGGGAATTGGGCAAAGCTGAAACTTGAACAGCAATCATCAGTATTCGAGGAAACAGCAGATTATCTGGAAACTATCCAGGCCTCGGTTAGTATCATGCTTTTATTTGTTATCGGTATGGAATTACACATGAAAAGAGATGTAACAAGGAAGACTCTTCACTTGGATAGCAAAATATCAAGTAGGGCCAACACGGCGAAATGGAAACAAGCAAAATCAAGAATCATGCTCTCCTTTTTTCGATGTGACAGTGCGAGGAGAATAAACCACGCTTCTCATTCATAGATACATCGTCTAATTGTAGGCTTTTTTCTCTCTTCTTCCAGATATACGCCCACTGTCTTCAGTCTCAGCAATTATGCCAGCATCGGATAACGAGAACTGACAAGCAAGAAAAGCTCACTACCTTTGAATACCATCTCTTCCTGTCCTGAAAGCAATGTTTGAAAAGCAAATAAGTAAAGCTCTGTGTACCGGGCGACTCAAGACCCATTCAACTGTTTGACCCAACCTGGGTTCTCTTTCTTTTCCTTTTCTCTTTTTCCTTATAGTTTCACTCTGCTATTCCTTTCCGTCCTTCACCGGTTTTGATCACGTATGTGGTTTCAACTGCCCATTCTCACCTGTCAAAATTAGTAACAGAACGCTAAAGGGAAACATGCCCACTCGTGACTGACACTTGAAACTTACACTTTGACACTCCGATTGGCACTTCTACCAAAGCCTGCCCACCCTCTTTGCAAAATAGGGGCCGTGGCGGCGCTCCCAGGCCCCCATCTCAAGTGCCCTCCAGGTTCTAGTTTCAAGTGGCTCCCGGGCTCTGGTTTCAAGTGGCTCCCGGGCTGTGGGTTTAGGTGGAAGCTAGAAGGCAAGAATGTCAGTACATAACGATCCGATCGTTGGCTCTACGATTGCGCTAGGTTTACGACGAAGAGAATGGGTTGGTTTTCTTTCGTTAGTATCATTGCATGTCATATACGGACTTGCTACTACGGGGACTCAGGAGTCGGCTACTTGGTTAGTGGTGCTTGGGTACTTGTCTGTTTCGAATTCGAACTAGAGGTCTACAGCGGTTGCCAATCGCTAGTTTATCAAGTTCTCTTGAGGGAGAGTCTGTTAATGACAATTGCCATCTTGTCATTTTCTTTTGTGTCTATCAGTGAGGGATGTTCTAAGAACTATCCGATGTAGTAGTACTTTGACATGTACAAGACTTAGTAGTTCCGTGCCTATTACATGGGGTTTGCTAAACCCTAGGGTCCCCTCATTGTGTGTCTATCATGAACAGAATGGACTTGATGCCACTGATGTGACTCTGCCTTGTTCTTCCTGCCAGCCCAGTAAAAGAGGTTGCCACACCTCCGCTACTTTCATCATGAACATGCCTTATAAGAGCAGAAAGGAGCTTGGATGAATGTGCCATCGTGTCGCCTCACCAGGCCATGAACAGCAAGGAAAACGTGTGAAGCTGTGCACTACAAGAAGAGTGTCTTACCGCTCGGTACAACAAAGTGCACTTGTAATGACCGTCCAACATGAAAGGTACGTGTAGCAAAGGGTAAAGAAAAAAGATTTATGACAGCAATCATGGGTACATCATTAGACAGAGATTAAACACTATAGTAGCCGCATGGCTACGGTTTTAAGAAGAGGAAGAACTTGGAATATCAGTGAAGATGACAGACAGGATACTCAGCCAGGAAGGGACGTGCAAAAAGTGACGAGGGAATGATTAGGGGAAAGTAAAGCATGAGAACCTAGAAATTCGACGCAGCCGAGCCACTGTCCTGCTTTGCTCCCTTTTTACGGGAAGGACGCACGCGACAAGCAACATGACTCACCTCTTCGCCAGCCGGAGATTCCGGCTCTGTAACCTCCGCCTTAGGCGCTCCTGGAGTGACGCCCTGCCACACACCGACCGTCTCGACTGACAAGGAGTCGCTGGCCTTGCGCACGTGGCCATGGGGAGGCGAACCGGGAATGACACTTGGTCTCTTAGACCGACGCTTCTCTAGGTACTCGTGGGCCGCCGGCTCCGTTGTATCATAGGAGCTGGGAGGCCAAGTGTTGTAGTTCTCTGTCGATTCAGCCCGAGGTTTCGGCTTGGATTTAGGCTCTGACCAGCTGCTCATGGAAGCAAAGAAGGCATCGGCGCGCTTGCCCTCATCTGTTTCGTAAAACATGTCGGAGAGCCCTTTGGGCTGGTTGTCGTCCACCTCTCCCCGCTCAGTCGGCCAATGAAACTGTCTTGGGGTATTATGCTGACGAGGGTAATCCGGGTAGTTCTCTTTGCTGCGGCAGGATGAGAAGTTATTGTCCGAGGGGCGCACAGTCTGAATGCTTGCCTGTGATTGCATTGATGGTTGACGCTGATACTTTGAATGATCACGCGCGGGACCATCTTTCCAAGAGAACTGAGGAAGGTTATCGTGGAGGGGGCTTCCAGGGCATTGCTCATCCAAAACCACGGTTGGCTGCGTGATATGAACCTCCTCAGTGGGAGCTGTGAGCAAAATCTCTGGTAAGCTGACTTCATGGCGGTCACGATGATGGTTGGCTTGATGATTCCAAATGTCCTCTTGGTCAAGGATCTCATGATAGTTCACATGGAGATTCTCGTAGAATTGGCCCTCGTTACCTTGGCCATAGCCATAGTTGGCAGTAGACCTCTTGCGTTGAGGAGGAGGACTGTCGTCAGCTGGGATCTGCCATGACTGGGAATTGAAGTCGCCTAAGCCACCAGGAGAATCGTGCTTGCCAGGTGCAGAATCAGCGACAGACCTCTGGGTTTGAGCCTGAGATGAGCTTTCAGCAGCGGTTCGTGACGCCAAAGTTTCGGCCATGGCATGAGACTTCGAGGGATGATGCTGATGACCTGGATCAGGGCTAACGACAGGTGTCGAAGGTTTCGGGGAATGCGTTTCCTCAGCTGGGATGTTTGAAGGCAGGGGTTCGACCACAGCTGGGCCATCTTGAGGACGATCATCAGCTGATCTGATGTCTTTACGCCGGTGCTGCTGTATTGTTAGTAAAATCCGCGTCGCTAAGGCATGGCCGAACTTACCAGTGAATTTCCGGCCTGGCCCTTTTCATCACCACTTGCTCGCTTCTTGCTATTGTTGCTGGCGTCATCGTCTACCTTAGGTGGGTTATAAGTGGACGATCCGCTCTTGGGAGGTAACTTGGCGAAGTTGCAGCATGGATGGCACAGCTGGTGACGAGGAGGGACCTCCGTTCCTGAGGGGTAATGCTCATGGAATTTGTGGGATCGTATGGTGCCACATTGCGCACACCAGTGAAATTTTTTGATGTCCGTGAGCGTCCTCTTATTGCTACTGTTGGGCTTTGGGTCGAGTTCCATGTTCCGGTCAAGGCGCCTACGACAGGTGCGGCAAAGACTACGCTGTGGTTCCTCTCCACGACAAAACCTATGCCTGAAATCAACATACCGCATGTCTCTGGGACGACTGCAGGCGAAGCAATGCCGAGTTTCGTGCTTGCAATCATAGACCTCGGGGAGAAGGCCATTCAAGGGACACTTTTTGGAACCGGTCTCGTTGTTGCCGTTGATGGCAACGTCTGGGATAGTTGCATGCCCGCCATGTGCAGTCTCCTTGCTCGTTGATACAGAATTCTTGGCTTGGTGGTCGGGCTGTTTGTTACCCTGGTCGTTGGCCTGGTCGTCGATGTGCTGACCAAGCTGCTTGTCAACGTGTTCATCGACCTGCTCGTCGACCTGCCCGTCAACCTGCTCACCCGGTCCCTCATTAACCTGCACATCGTGCTGCTTGTCGCCATGCTCATCAACCTTCTCGCCCGGCTGCTCGTGCGGATGCTCCTCGTTTACCGGATTCTTGTACATGGGTGCAGCCTGAGTAGACTCTGGACGAGGGGATATGACAGGGTCCACGGGGTTTGAAAAACTCTTCCGAGAACTAGGTGTTGTTTTCACAGAAGAAGCGGCTGAAGTAGCGATGAAGGAATCAAAGCCATTCTGTTGAGTTTTTGAGGCCCTAGAAATTGTGCGAGAAGGAGCCCTTGAATCTGTACGAGAAGGTGCTCTAGAGGTTGTACGAGAATGAATCTTGGACACTGTAAGAGAAGAAGCCCTAGAAGCTGCACAAGAAGGTGCTATAGAAGCCGTACGAGACGGTGCCCTAGTAGATGTACAAGAAGGCGCCCTAGACGCAGTAGCCGAAAATGCGGTAGAATCCCAGGCTGAAGACACGGTAGCAGCCGTAGATGAAGTACTTGTGCGGAACGCGGAAGGTGATGCCACAGGAACCGATATCTCAGACGCCGTCGCCGTCCTGGATCTGGGCACAGACGCCGCAGAAAGTGCACGAGATTTCGTGGAGACTGGTGAAGCAGGCAATGAGGGAGCTGTAAGCAACTCAGGTGCTGCGGACTGAGACGACATTGGAGGTGCATCAGAAGACGGGTTTGGAGCTGGGGACTGAGGTTGCTTCGGACTATCCAAGCCCTGGCCCTGCTTTTGAGCCAGCATCTTCTGGTAGTGAGCTTCAAACTTTCCGCACTGAGATGGTGACAGCTTGATGTCTACCAATTCACGAAGCTGAGCCTTGGACTTGACGAAGCGAACCTGGCGGCGTGGCATCGGCTTCGTGAATTGGCGGTGGTAAGAACGACCGCCGTGGTCTCTCTTTGTCTGGTATTGATCGTCATCTGAAGCGCTGGAATAATCTCTCTGGGGCTCATTCTTATTGTTGGCCGTCTCCGCTGCAAAAGCAGGCGCAGACTCGTGATCGAACCTATCGTCGTACTTTGGTCTACCATGAGACTTCATGTGGCGTGTGGCCGACCTTTCCGAGCCGGAAGACTCAAGATCGGTATCTTCACGCATGGGCTTGCGTCTATAGCCCCCATCAATGCGCAGTGACTTCGATTTGGCGGCATCCCTGGAAGAGGAAGGAACAGATCTGGCGCCCCGCTGGGTAGGAACTTGGACGGTGGTCCCCGTACGACGAGTGGACTGGCTTCTGGTGGAAGGTTCTGAGAAGTCATTGCGACTGTCTTGGAAGAGGGCGTAGCGACTATCGGACTCGAGAACCGCTCTGCTTGCGTGACCATGTCGATCTGAAGAGGGGTATTCCAAAGATTGATCGTCCTCGTAGTCCTAGTACTCGGACTCGTCATCTTGGAAAGTATCTTCGGGATCCCGGGGCTCAGGGCTCTCTGGCCAAGCACCCGGATGCTCTGATTTTGTACGCGTTCCCCCTCGCTGATGACGACGCTTGCTCCCTGAGCTTTCTGAGGTACGTCGCGAGCGTCGATCGCTGGAAGATTGCTCCGCAAGGCTGTTTGAGCGGCTAGCGACAATATTGCCAGACCCCAATAGATCTTGCACCGTGATATTCCTGAGTAATCTGGCCACGCCCTTGACACTGAGCAGAGTGTCCACGACGGACGCACGCTTCTTGCGAGGCATGGTGGTGCCGCGAAGAAAGCTTATCGTGCTTGAGGGTAATTTCTTTGCTGATAATACCGAGTCGTGTTTGTTAGCTTGCAGTTTTTCACCAAAGGGGAGGTTTTTGAGTAACAAGTGATCGAAACGACAAGTGAAGGGAACAGCGCGGGCCTCCTGGCGGCAAACCCTAGCTTTTTGGCCGGCCGATGCCCTTTGGGGAAAAAACGACACTAAGAAGTGCCGTGGAGTGGTTGAGGTTGTCAAACGAAACGTGAAAGACCCGCGACGCCGAAGCTGAGTGTTGATGCAGTTGGGTTTCGCGAGGGGAACAAACAAAGTAAAAGTGCGGATGGCTTACATCGTCGCGTACCAAGCACGCCACGCGTCTGACCGGACAGTGATCTTTAGGTACAACGGCGTACGCGTCACAAGTTTAAACTCGAGGCGATTCAAAAATGGTTGTTCTGTCGCGGAGTTAGTTCTGCGAAAACATATACGCAAAGAAGAGTGCAAATGAAGGGGAGTGGTAGGAAGGCGAAGAGAATTGAAACAACAAGAATGATGCAACCGAGTGGAACTGACCTAGAAGTCAAAGAAATGATACAACCGCTTTTTGCAAGGAGTGGTGTGAAGCGAAAGGAGGGGACGACGACGGAAGGTGCGTACTTGTAGGATGTCGGAAACCGTGGGAGGTACTCCACCGCGTACCGGGTGTAATGGTAACGATCTGAAATCGTTTGGAATGACGAGAAAAAACTACCTCGGGCAGTTAAAAAGATCGAGATGTCGAAGATTGTAGGTTTGTTACATACAACAGAGACGTGGGGGTAGGAAGATGGGTTTAAAGGCTGAAGAGCAAAGGGGTCAAGTTGTGGGTTTAGGACCAGGCGGGGGGGAACGCGACTGGAATCTTTTGACTTGAAGCAGAACGCGTCAATACCTGCTACTCTCGGAAAGATAGAGGCGTGACAATGGTCTAAAACCGTGGACTATAGAGTCGGGTTCGGACGAAAACCCAGAGGATCCCGCCCCTTGGCCGGTCAATACACGCAACAACAATACGTGAAACTGTTAGTACCACTCACAAAAAGTGGAAATGACTTGAGTTGCGTGCGAGGTCGTTGCCGACGAGTCCCTATGAGAAGTATTTACCCTCGTTTCACAAATAGGGGGTGAGAGAAGGTGACTCACAATGAAGTCAATAGAAAGGATTCATATTCACTCCAACGCACACGCTAATTTATACAGTGCCATCCCGGCGTTTTCTTTTCACCCATCCGGTTTAAAACAGTAAATAACTTCAACAATCATCTATAGATCTGCAGATGCCCCGTTCATGCGACTCTCTCAGTCTACGCGCAGAACCCGAGGTCCCTTCTTCTTTATCACCTTCTTCTTCTTCTGGCCGCGCTCAAATGCGGCAGCAGAAGCGTGGTCACGGCCCAGGTTATCGAGGTCCTTGACCTTGTAAATGCGGATAATCCAGTTTTCGCTCGTGAAAGCCTCCTCAATGCTGTTGAGAACCGGGCCCTCGTCGGGAAGGCGGACACCACGGACGCGATCTTGAGCCTGTCCAGGGGGGAAGAGGTTGTTGTAGTTATAATACGACATCTTGTACCTGTGAAACAGTTAGTATGAGAGGCGGCTATGGAAGAAGGGTTGTACTCACATCAAGCTGTTCTTCATGGTCTCGGTAGCCCCGGCATCGACACGGTATTCACCACGAGGCGTGAAGAACTCGCGCTCCTTGACCTCGTCAGGCCAAATACCCTCAGCAATACGAACCATCCAGAGGAACTTGTTGATATCGTCGCCGGAATATCCCAAAAGTCCGCCGAAAACAACCAAGACATAATCCACCTCGTGTTGGCGCATGATGGGATAGCTGACTTCCTCGCGGGAAGCCATGGCCTTGCCGACAGTCGCGATATGTGTGTTGTTCCAGGTGTTGTTGTCGACAAGCGTGGGACGGTCGGCCATGCCACCAATCTGGTAGCCATAATCCCACCAAGACATGACCTTGGCATCATACTTGGTGTTCTGGCGCAACCACTGATACGCCTCACGATAATCGTCAATGATGTGCTGGCTACCATCGGGCATCCTGCTGGCCAAGACGACTGAAGGTGACGAATAGGCGTTCGAGGTGACCCATGTGCAGTGAGCAACAAACAACAATAGGTAGGCGGTCATGGCACCAACAACGGTGACCTTGGAGAAGGTCGCATAGATGCCGATGTATGGCTTGTTCGACGCCCTAAGACCCGACTTCGATGCCTTCTTGGAGGTACCGTCGGTAGATTCCTCAGGAAGATGCTCCTCTGGGATGGGTGACTTGGCCTTGAGATATATGTCAAGGATAGTGGAGAGCGCAATGGCCGCCGCAACGCAGACAACAGGGGTGAGCGTCAACATGAGACGAACCATGACACCGGCGAAGTAGCTGCCAAACAAGGCGTAAACAATGACGAAGACGTGCTCATCAGCCAGCTTCTGGTAGCACAGATAGACACCAGCGGGCAAGAGCCATATGAGCATGTTGAGATCGAAGAAGAAGGCGGGCCATGCTGTGGGCTGATGCTCGGAGACCGAGGCAATGATGGGGATGTGAATCTTGGCATATCCCGTATCCCACAGGGAGTAGAAACGACCGCTCCAGGGAGCAATGAAACCAGCGCTGGTAGCAACGACAAGACCAATGAGGCCAATGCCAAAGATACTTCCAGCAAAGACCCACAAGAAGGTCTGGAACTGGCGGCTGGGAATCGCTGAGCGAACGTAGTCGAGGAAAGCCAAAAGCTGGAGGAAGCCAAAGATACCTACCAAGTGTCAGTAAAACGACTCGAAAAGGAGGGCTAATCAAGTCAACGTACCCAAAGCAGGCATGTGCTCGCTGGTCTTGACGGGCAGGAAACCAACAAAGGGAATCTGCATGCTGGCCAATGTTCCCAATGCATACCAAGTGCAATACGCAACATAAAGTCTAGTGCTGTAACGGCCCATGCAGATGAGAACAAAGGCGTGAAGGGGAAGGAGACAGGTGATGAAGGCATAACCACCCCAGGAAGCAACCATGTAACCGTAAAAGAGGGCGCAAAGAGCTCCCCAAAGCATGGATCCGAGCTTGAGAGCCTTAATCCACAGGTAAAAGGTGAAGACCAGCAGGAAAATGGCAATGGCCTCGTTGTCGTAGCTGCCAGCAACCGAACGGGAGATATAGCCAGGGGCAATACCCATGAAGATGGCGGCAAGGAGACCGGCGGACGAAGACGGGGTCATCTCGTTGGTGAGGAGGTAAGCGGCGTAAGCAGTGAGACCCGAGAAGGCCGGCGCAAGCATGACGCAGACATTCCGGATGTCGACGGGAATCGAGAGGGCCCTCAGGGCGTGGTAGATGACACCGCTGGTAACCATGAGGCCGGGATAGAGAGTACCTCCAGTGACGCGGCCCAGGGGATGCCATGTCCGGTCATCGAACCAGTCCCAGAACTTGTAGAATCCATTTGCGACCAAGTATTTTGTCGCTCTGAAGTTGAACCAAGGATCGACTGTACGGGTGTTAGTGATGCATTTTCGTGAGGGGTTCGGTGTTGTTGCGGCGCCTGGGGAGATAGTTGGTGTTGTAGATTGGGGAGGAAGCAAGCTTGTTAGCTCGGGAACTGACATTCGTGGATGATAGATTCGAAACCTAGTTGCAAGCAAGCGATTAGCATTCATGAAGATGATCAAAAGTCAATGAATTCAAAAAGAAAGAGTCCATTGAAGACTTGGGGCAAAGGATAGCTTCGAGGGCGGCGTCGAGGGTCTTTGTGATGTTGCTGCCCAGCTCGCCCGGAGCTTCACTCTGCCACGCATGTTCCATGTCAAGGAAGCTGGAGACCGGGAGGCTTACGAATAACAGAAAACAGGCGGCTTGAAATAGCAGCACCGGCTACAAGCAAGAGGATAATCACCCGCAGCAATGTGCGAGTGCTCTCTCCCTTGCCCGCGCTGGCGAGACGTTCTAGGGAATCGGCCGACATGGTGGCCGTGATCTGGTGGTTTGTGCTTCCTGGTGGTGCAGGTTGTTGGAGAGGTTCGCTGTCACTGACGGACTGGTGGAGGTCCCAATGCGCCCGCGACAAGAGGACAGTTGGAGCTTCCACCACCTCATCACAGAGACACAGACCTGGTCCATGCTTGGCACGCATCACGCTAAGACTCGCTAGCGCCATCCCGTTGCAATTCTGCCGGGCGGTCAGACACAAATAATAGTCTGTTTGACTTGTTCCCCCGCTGTCAATGTTCATGTTTCGGTCAAAATCATGTGTAAATAGACCAAGGATGATGAGAAAACGGGTGTCAGCTCTCTATCACGTAATCGAGTTTGATTGGTACTGCTGTCGGTACGTATTTTGATATTCGAAGAGGGATGGTGCGGATGCACTTTGGACATGACGACGATTGACAATGTACAGGAAAAGGGACTCAGGGGTGTGTCAACAAACATGACTGAGATGGACTGCCAAGAGCCTCAAAAGACACGAAATTCACCTAAATACGTTACCTTGACAGGTAGTGAGTACCGCACAAATGGCCAGGATGCATCACAATCCATCCAAACACAACAAAGGAGAGACCATCTTCACTCGGAGACCAAAAGAACTGAAGGACATCGTAAAAGGCAGTCAAAGAACCAAGAACGGATGCGTTCGTGAAGCAGCCCTGAAAAAATTCCCATCCCAGATAACTGTGCTCTTTTCTAGGCAACTATGTGTATCTGGCTACAACGATCAACCCCAAGGGAGCCGTTGCGTGGCACAGAGGAACCCGAACCATGAGCCCCCTTCGTGCAATCTTCGATCAGAACAGCATCCGGCCGGGGGAATCGTCAGGCATCCAACGTGGGTATCATCAGGAGGATCCGCCCGTGGTGGTGGTGATGGTGGTGGTTCAGCCCGTGGCATTCATTTTCGGCAGCTATGGAGCTACCTAGCCGGATCAAGATTTCGTTGACCTCGTTGATAGCACCCAAAAACCCGTTCAAGCATGCTCCATTGATGGTGCAGTGTGTCGAGTGCGAAATCCTTTTTCAAAACCGCGCCGCCTGTTTAGATACCCACAACCAACCCCTTAACCCCAGAAGAAACACATTTAAGCGGCCTGGAGACACATATGTTAGCATGGTCCTGGTCCTTCCTACTCGGATCGGCATTCGACACCAGCTGGAAATGGGGAGGACTTTGCGTCTCCCATCCATTACAGCCGGCGCATTGTATATCGTACCTTGACGGCGAACTTGCGGAGGGGGAAGTGGGTGGCGCGCTTCTTGGTCTTCTCAAGAGTGCGGGAAGCGTCCTCCTTGGAAAGACGGCGGCGGATAGCGCGGGTCTGCTTGGCGCGGAGATCAAGAGGGAGGTACTTCTTGTTCTTGTAGAAGAGACGAAGCTGAGCCCTCTGCTTGGCGTTGATGATGGTGAGGACACGAGCGATCGACTTGCGGAGGTCGTGGCTGTAAAGAGATACGCCTGTCAGCCAACCCGTTCATTCCTCCCTGATATTCCCAAAGATTCGTCCAAGTCCCCATATCACGTTCTCGGAGTGGTTCGCGGTGAATCGGCGGGCGCGGAATCGACGTACATCTTGTTGAGCTTGGTGCCGGAAGAGACGATCTTCTGGATGCGAAGCTGACCCAACTCAGTCTTCAGCTCACCGAGCTGCTTGGTGAGCTCGTCCTTGTTCTTGGACCAGAGAGCGCCGGCCTTGACCTTTCCAGAAGACTGTAACATTTTGAAGTCAGCCTATGCACGTCGTTGCCAAAAACCTCAAAGACTGCCACCAGTTGACGACTGCGACATCGTCGCAAATGAGATCATCTGCGACGTGCAGCAATTGCCAAAGAAGACATCGATGGAATTGGCAGCATAACAGTGCCCAAACAGCCGTCGGACATGTAGGGCCGTACGTACCATCTTGAATGTGATTGACGTCGAGCTTGAAGGACGTTGGGTGAGTAGGGCTTGACCACGACAAGTATCAGAGGATCGCGGTCTTCAGGCTCTCGCTATCCAACAAAATCTGAGAGGTGTGGATGCGCAAAATCGCAGGGAGGGCGGAAAACCCTACCGTTTCCGAGGTGGCTCGTGCGCTGCCGCCTGCCAAAGGTGAACGGTCCCGCAAATTCCCAAAGCGGTTAGCTTGGGGTTTGGGTCTTTTCGTAACATGCACACAACCGGGGCCACTCCAACATTTCTAAAATCTCGAGCAGCAGTCAGTGAGTTGACGACGATTCTGCACTAACCTCACCACCCAGCCAAAGTCCACACAATGTCGTCCGCGGCAGCTCCCCAGACGAAGACCTTTGGCAAGGCGACCCGGACGGTCCCTCACTCGTCCGAGAAGGCCCAGAAATGGTACCCTGCTGAGGATGAGGCCCAGCCTCGCAAGGTACGTGCATGCACAAGTTTCCCGGGCGGCCTGCGACGTTTTTGGCGAAGTATCGCGAGATGCACTTGGTGGAATTGCGGCCGGAATGGCGGTTATCGATTTGGCGGCCGAGATGGGGGCAACTGGGGCGCAAGTGGAGGGCAGCAGCACTTGCTGCGATTTTGGACTTGGACCGCCAAGTGCATCTCGTGGAGGCGACGACAAGAGGCGGACGGGCTGCCAAAAACCCAAACTCTGCGAAAACGGCATGTTCTAACGACGATATTCTCTACAGGTCCGCAAGACCATCCGCAAGTGGTCTCCCCGCAGCACCCTTGTGCCCGGCACCGTCCTGATCCTCCTCGCTGGCCGTTTCCGTGGCAAGCGCGTCGTCCTCCTCAAGGCTCTCGACCAGGGTGTTCTCCTCGTCACCGGCCCCTTCAAGATCAACGGTGTTCCCCTCCGTCGCGTCAACGCCCGCTACGTCATCGCCACTTCCCAGAAGGTCGATCTCGCTGGCATCGACGAGGCCAAGATCAACGAGATCGCTCAGCCCAAGTACTTCACCGCTGAGAAGTCCAAGGAGAAGGCCGGTGAGGAGGCTTTCTTCAAGCAGGGCGAGAAGCCCCAGGTACGACCACACATGTTCGAGCTGGAACACGGGGCGCACAATGCTGACATAGTGATGCAGAAGAAGGAGGTTTCCAGCAGCCGCGTTGCCGACCAGAAGGCCATCGACAAGGCCCTCATCGCCAACATCAAGAAGGTCGAGTTCCTCGCCAGCTACCTCGCCTCTTCTTTCACCCTCCGCAAGGGTGACAAGCCCCACGAGATGAAGTGGTAGATTGTGGGCTTGGGTGCTAGGGGAGTGCATGCGGGAGCGGTTCGCGGTATGGCTCGGCCAGTTGCATTTGGACGTTAACGGTTCTCGGGTCCATTACGGCGTCTGTAATGAGGGTTTTACAGTCATCAGGAAGATAAAATACGGCTTTCGGTTTTGCAGAGGATACGGGCCACGAGCGAAACTCGATCTCATAAAAGACATTGGGGACGCCCCATGGCAATGTACAGGGGGCTCGTGAAGGCACTCGACTCTCGCAGATAGCCTGTTACTCCTGATATCGCACCAAACCACGCGATTAGGGATCCGTCCAAAGAGCGGAAGATCAATACCTACGGATGCTATTCGTTGCGCCTGCCGTATATTCGGCCCTTGATATTTTTGTGTGTTGTTTGTGCGAGTCTGCGTTTCCCATTGCGTCGGTGTTTGACTGCACATTATACGTACATATGAGTGAACATATATGACGACTATACGAGTCCATTTGAGTTACCGGCCTTTCCACTCTAGATGGGTCCCGTGTAAACATCAGTCTCACCCTTCTTTCGTCTTGAACCCATTACATCTTGCCCTTCCAGCCTCTATCTGTGCTGTCACGTTCATGGCCAGGTTATCCAGAATTACAACATCATCCACTGTCACGGTTATGAGCCGGTTCCCTCGGCCACAGCGATTGTTGATGTCTGTCACTGACTCACTGTTCAGACGGGAGAACGGTACGGTCCGAAGACCTCACGCGTGTTGGTTGTATGAACCTTGATGTCACGCTTGGCCTAGACCCCTAAGATGTGCATCAGCTGCCAGTGCCGAGGCGCTGACACCTGGCATGAGGTGACAATACATCGTCGGGTCTTATGCGCTGCAAAGCCCTATCTTCAGCTCTGTTGTCCTGCAGCAGCTCAAGCTGAAGAGTCGACCCAGGCCGCTACGGTACAGTGGGCATGTAACTGTGGCGCCTTCCGCTACGTAACTAGACTTCGTCTACTAACAAAGCCACAGGGACATCTATCTCTGCCATCATCATCATCACGACCATTCCAGGTTCATTCTGGTTGAGGACCCTCCGCCGGTTGACCTCTCCTGAACAAACACAACACTACCAATACAATTGTTATAGATCTTAACTGCGCAGTCTTTTCTCTTCTAGACACCCAGCCTCCAGGAAACCAGGTCGGATTGCATGCGCCTGAATCCATCAATCTTTCCCCAATAGCTTAGGAGCAGCACTACATCATGGCGGCGACAACATCCTCAACCCAGGGCTGGGCCCAGCTACGACAACAAGCCCGATCGCTCGAAACACAGGTATGACTGGACTGGCAATTGGTGTCGAGGACCGGAAATAGCACGAGACTAACACTTTTTACAGACCGAAATGCTCCTCCACACATACGCCCAGTTCTCGAACCAGACCAACATCCCACCCAAGCCGACAGAGGAGGAAAGGCATACGGAAACGAGGTTACAGGAGCTTCTGGACAAGGTATGCTTTACATGTCCCTTGGAGCTGCTCACATAAATCCGAAAACCACTAACCCATTGCCCCTTCAGCGCGAATCCGTAATCTCCCACCTCACCCGCCTCCTAACCTCGGACCCCTCCCCATCAGCGCTCAAACAAAACAACCTCTCCCTTTTGCGCGACAAGCTCTCGGACCACCGGCGCGACCTCTCTCGGCTGCGGTTGACGCTCGAGTCGGCCCGCACGCGCGCCAACCTGCTAGGTAGCGTGCGCGACGACATCTCGGCGTACCGCGCCGCCAACCCGGAGCAAGGCGAGGCCGACTACATGCTGGACGAGCGGGGCAGGCTGGACCGCAGCCACGACGTGGCCGACAGCGTGCTGAGCCAGGCGTACGCGGTGCAGGACTCGTTCGCGTCCCAGCGGGAACGGCTGGCGCATATCAATAGGCGCATCACCCTGGCGGCCAGTCAGGTTCCGGGGATCAATACCCTGATCACGAGGATCTCGGCGAGGAAGAGGCGGGATGGGATTATTATGGGGTCGTTTATTGCGTTTTGCTTCTTGATGTTTTGGTTCTTCTCATGAGCGGCGGTGGCGGACGAAGTGGGAGAGCGCTCTAGAGAACGGGAGAACGGAGGAATTCTGCTCGAGGATGGTGCTGCGGCTCGCTTCTTGGTGGGCGGAGGCTATGGATTCTGGGAGTTGTGACAGGATCACACCTTCCAAGAAGACCCTTATTGCAAAACGGCGGTACATGACCCACCGTTTCAGTCTTGGGCTTTCGTACTTTGTCGGGCAGCATGGCGGGAAACACGGCGTTCAGGGGCGTTGCGAGGCGATCGAGTGTGAAAGTGATTTTACAAAATAGTAATATAATGTACAGACCCAGGAGAAAGTCCAGGACATTCTTGCTAACAAAATCATGGCTCAGGCGCGTATCTGCTTTGAACCAGAACAGACCGAGAACTCCGTGTTCATCCGTGGCGGCCTAAATGTGTGACCATCTCCATGCCAGATGAGCCGACATGCTTTCTCACAAGCTCAATCTACCCTTTATAGAGGAAGATTGGTGTTCATAGACCTCGAGCCTATTGAGTCCCTATTTTCTTGTTCCAGCAAGAGCTCGATTGAGAGGTTAGCAGGGGAATGGGGATCATGACATCCGCATGATTTCAACGGATGTATACGCCTAGGTATACTAGGTTGCTTATTGCGCCGCAACGGCCTCCCCAGCCTTCAACTCAGGGACAGCCGCCGTCTTCCTCACATAGTTCTTCCCAACACCCTCCTTAGTCATCTCGTCCAGGATCCTCTGGACACCCTTGACCAGGCCTTTCTTCTCATCGCCCTCCGCATCACCGCTGGCCGCCCACCGAATCCGGCAGTTATGGTCCACCAGATACGTGTAGCCGACCTTGCTGTTCAGCAACCCAATTGACTCCCGAATCTCGTCCGTGATGCCCTTTGTTACCAAGAAATACCTCTTCCAGTCATCCTTGTCCACCTTTTTGCGCAGCGAGCCCATGAACAGCCTAACCAACCACGCCTTCATGGCGTCCTCTTCAATGTTGACCTGCACCAGCTGCGCGCGCCCACCGCTCTGCTTCAGGACCGACTGCAGGGCCGGGTTGGCCTCGGGGGAGACAAAGGTACGGATCTGGTTCTCGGCCCACATGCTGCTGAAGACGGTGACGACGGAGCAGTGGCCTTCGAGGAGGGGTGTGGTGTCGGCGACCTTGGCGGCATCGTCCTTGGCGAGGGTCCGGCCGTGCAAGTTGGGGAAGTAGAGGGACAGGTCGGCTTTGAAAAGACGTGGCGGCGCAAGGAAGGTCTTGCCCTTGTGGAATTGCATGTTGCGCCAGTCGCGGAAGTAGGGGCGGGAGATTTTGGATTTGCTAATGTCATAACGCTGGTTAGTCAAGCTGAGAGGACAATGAAGATAGATATTAGGCTAAGGTTGGGATGGGTCCTCACAGAATCTCCCGTTTCTTCAGATGTTTGTCATAGTTAACGAAGTCGTCCCTCTTCTGCTGCAGAGTGCGCGTGTCGATGCCTGTGTTCTCTCCGGGGTTTGGGGGGTTGTGCATGCCAATGGGCCTTGACAAATGGGTTGGCGTGAAGGTATCGAGCGCCTTGCCATAGGCTCTGGGCGCATTGGCTAGAGGGCCGGATTCTCTGAGGGCCTCGATGGGCGACGCGGTGGCTGCTGGAGCGGCATCTTTCGAAGCAGCATCTGGGGCCGAAGCTGGTGTTGATGCTGGTGTCGTCGGTTTGGTTGTCTGTGGTGATGGCGTCTTATCGGCAAGTCTCTGATATGACACACTGAAGGATCTCCATTGGCATAGGAGGCAGGCGCTAGCTGTCGTCCTAGCTCTTATTGTTGCGCGGCTGAGCATGATGTGTAGCGGTACGTATTTCGGGTTGTTTCTGGCTCTCAAGGTTCTCCCAGAAGTTCCCGTCACGGTCCTTCTGATGTCAGTCTGTCTGTCCCGCGCGCGCCGTCCCTAGAAATTTCCACGCGCCAAGCATTTCTACCCCACCAAGAGCATCAATTGACCCCACGCTCTGGACCACACAATGGAGCCTGCAATCTGCATTGTGCCCTGCCGAAGATAAAAGCTGGGGTTCGGTTATCCGCGGGGGCTGTTTCCTGGCCAAGCCTTCAAGGTTCTCTCGGCCGAACGTTATTCGAGGGTTGTAAGCCGTAGCAAGCCACCCCGCCGGATCGATTGAGGACGTTGATTGGGGTAACGACATCCGCCGTATCCCTTCCTTTGGTAAAGTATTGGACACAGAAAGCGGCAAGCCGCGGTAGAGTTATCGGATAGTATTGGAGACATGTTTTCTCTTTTTTTTCTGGTCTTGGGCGAGATGTGATCCCTCAAGTTGCGAGATCCCTTCAGGTCTCTGTCCAAAATAAACAAACTTTGCGCTTGGGTCTTTCGTCTCAAACGACTTGTCTGCACCATGAAGAACATGTTCTTGCGACAGAGCTCCCGCGCCGTTGGCCGGCAAGAACTGTGGCGTCTTAGTCGGAGGGGACTGAGCAGACTTGCGCCGACTGCGACGTCCACGATAACACCATCTACGACTTCGTCGCCTACTCGCCCCCTTCCCGCGAACTCGAGGTCGTCTGCTCTAGCGCAACAACCACCCTCTACGAGAAGAGCGTTCCATGCCACGAGAGACCTTCAAGTCGTTAAGCCGGTCTTCCTTGCCGATATTGGAGAGGGTATGTCTAGAGCTAGCGGTCCTCGGTCCACCTTCTCCATGACTATGCGCTAACAGCTTTTGCTAGGAATTGTCGAGTGCGAAGTCATCCAATGGTTCGTCGAGCCCGGCGCCCGAGTCGAAGAGTTTTCGCAGCTGTGCGAAGTCCAGAGTGACAAGGCTTCTGTTGAAATCACCAGTCGCTTTGCCGGTGTAGTCAAGAAACTCTACTATGATGCGGGCGAGATGGCCAAGGTCGGAAAGCCCTTTATCGATATCGACGTTGAGGGTGGTCCGGAGAACAAGGAGGTGGAGGCTTTGACGCCGCCTGAGCCTGTTTCTACCCCGAAAGGACGGCAGGCCATCAAGGGGGAGGCTATCTCAACATCTACGCCACAAGCTATTGCTCCCGAGCTCAAACAGTCATTTGTCGCGGCATCGTGGGCACAGCAAACGCCCACTCCCTCGCACTCGCAGTCGCCAGTGACGAAGCAGACGGGCAAGCATGCCTCATTGGCGACTCCAGCTGTTAGGCACTTGTCGAGGCAGCTGAACGTGGACATCACTGAGATACCTGGGACAGGCAAGGATGGACGGGTGCTCAAGGAGGATGTCTACAAGTTCGTGCAAGCTAGGGACTCTGCGCCAACACAATCCCCCGCTGCTGCTACGCCAACCGCGCCGGGTGTGACCGCTGCCGCTGCCGCCGCGAGCGCATTCTTGTCCCCCGACGTCGGGATTTCCGGCCCACAAAAGGAAACCACGGTACCTCTTACAAGGACACAGGAGATGATGTTCAAGTCCATGACACGGTCACTAACCATCCCACACTTCCTCTACGCCGACGAAGTCGACTTTACCTCCCTAGTTGAGTTGCGAACACGCCTCAACCGGGTCCTCTCCAAGTCTGGCCTCCCCGAAGGCCAGGTCAGCAAGCTTTCTTATCTCCCCTTCATCATCAAGGCCGTCAGCATGGCCCTTTACAAGTACCCCGTCCTCAATGCTCGTGTTGAGCTTGATAGCAACAACAATGGCAAGCCTTCCCTCGTCATGCGCAGCCAACACAACATTGGTGTCGCAATGGACACCCCTTCCGGCTTGCTCGTGCCCGTCGTCAAGAACGTCGGCAGCCTCAATATCTTGAGTATCGCCGCCGAGCTGGCCCGTCTGCAGTCACTGGCCGTGGCCGGTAAGCTGTCGCCACAGGACATGTCTGGCGGCACGATCACCGTCAGCAACATTGGTAGCATCGGAGGCACCTACCTGTCCCCGGTAATAGTAGAGCGGGAGGTGGCCATTCTCGGCGTCGGTCGCATGCGTACTGTCCCGGCATTCTCGACGGTACCTGGGGAGGAAGACAAGATCTTGCGAAGGCAGATCTGCAATTTCAGTTGGAGTGCTGACCACCGCGTGATTGACGGGGCGACCATGGCCAGGGCGGCGGACGTGGTGAGGACGATTGTTGAGGAGCCTGATGTTATGGTTATGCATCTCAGGTGATGTTGTTTGGCAGTCGGTTGAGGAAGAAGTCCATCGCAGCCCAGCGTCTACAGTCACTTTGTCTCTGTGTTTGCTTGCATCATCTGAGTACCCCTTAGCGCATCAATACTACCTATACCTATACCTACATTGTATATAGTCTTTCACCTAGACAAGTTTTGCTCACGACAATTGCATTTGAAGATTTAAAAAGGGGGTGTCCATTCACTTCGGTGTCCGACTCCCGTCTACGACCACTATGCCCCAGGCACGCTCTTGTTCAAGATGTTTGCCAGACTTATCCGGCATACAGTGTTTGCAATTCCTTCAGAGGCACATTGCGAGCTGCCTTCCAAGTTGGTCGATGTTTGTGTTCGACGCATTCCCATTTCTTCCTTCTCGCATCTGCGCTCAGGTCTCAGCTAAACACCTAGGACGGTAACCCTGAGCAAGCAATCGCATGAGGAACTCTTGAACCGTTCACATCGGATGTGAATCGGGATCAATGTTTCAACGAGGAGGGAAAAAAACATTGCCCCTCAGTTTTACTTTCCTCTCATTTCTTCTCTCCAACCTGCATAGAACCCCGATCTCCATTAGGTTCCTCTCACTCCTCGTGCACTCCATGCTTTAAAAAAAAACGGCACGCCGGATCGAACAACCGATAAGTTGGAAGGTATTGCAGGAAACATGTAAGAGGTACCGAGAGGTAACACTCTTGTGGTTGCGAAGTACCTCCTTGCACCTAACCACGTACAGAGCTTCAGATTGACGATGCTTCTGCGCTAGGCATGTCCGACATACCTACCTACATATGTAGACGAGCGAAGCTGAGAAGGAATCTGGGATCTGGAATCTGTCTCTCCTGCATGTGATCATACTTCTTTGTTTCTTCTTTCCTTCTGAACATATGCATTGTATTGGCCGACTCACTTTCAGCTTCTTAGGGAGGAACGAAGGAGGGTTAAGAAAGCCATTGGCATTCTATTCATTCTAAGCTCGTTTTTTTGTTCATGTTTCCTTTCTAGGGTTGTAGTTAATGCTGAGCCAAGCTGTTGGCGAAGCTGTTGACTAGTTTGCGTCGTGGACTGGCCAGCTAGTCGGGTCAGCCTGAGCGGGAGGTTATTCTCATGTCTCGGCGTCCACATCTGAATGGACGTGGATGGAAAGACGGAATGGCTTCGGGCGAGAAGGGGTGGTGGTGGTACATAGTGATGGTGGGTGAGAAAAGTGCGGGGGAACCAAGAACACAACCAAGACAATATGGAAGGGTTCTGGGGGGTAGCATCATATTGTCCGGTGTTATACCAAGGAAGCATGCGGGCTTTTTTCTTTTCTTTCATGAGGTTTTCCAAAAGGTGACTTCAAGATCTTTTGATGAGGCCATCATCGAGTGCGACTGGAGTCCATTGATGAGTAGAAGATTCCCTCCGTCGGTTGTGCAATTCCGCTGGCTTACATGGTGTTCGATCGAGGGTATGAAATCGAAATGGCCAAAAAGGTTGTCCGATTTCCAAGTTATCATGACCCATCAAGGCCAAGAGAAAGGTATCTCTTGCCGACGATGTGAACATAAGCGAATTTGGTGCAACTCGACCCGCGCTCACATTTTACCCACAAGCCCCGAGACCGCTTCTCAAGTCACACAAGCTTCTCGGCATTCGTAACTCGCTGTGTTCTTCTCTACGGGCATTTGCCGCCTGAGCGTGAGCATCAGCAAAATGATTAAGAACAGGCATTGAACGGTTCAGTGTCTCGCTCGCTGTCCGTATACATTTGAGGCTGTTCCAAACCCCCGAATCCGACTTATCCAATCGCATCCCTTTCTCACTCTCGTTGACGGCTCGTTCGGCTGCCCATTCACCGTCTTACTGCATAGGACAAGAGTTTCTGCATTTGGGTTATATAGGTAAGAGCGATGAGGGGCGCAAAGAAAGGGAAAGCTCTTGGCGCCCAGATCGGTCATCATGAAACAGCGAAACGGGTAACTGAATGGTGCCCAAGTGAGGCTGTGCTTGCCAGAACTCACATGTTCCAGTCTCGAGATTCCCCTCAGCCTCTTTTCTGCTGGCTGGCGATCGGCTGTTCGATAGCAACGTCATCTTCGGAAAACCAAAACGCCAAAAAAGGAGGCAAGAAGGACAGCATAGCCTGGACGAAACTTGCGCGCAAGGCGGATACCACGGATGAATGCGAAACTGAGAAATAGGTAAGAAAACGCGGATCATGGGATGAACAAAACCAACGACAAACACTTCATATGATCCAACCTACCTGTCTCCACGTTCTGTTCATCAGTGTATCACTCGAAACCCGCGAGCACTTTCGAAGGGGAGAGAGAACAAACATCAAACAACATCTTCTCCAATCCCATCGCCGCCAACATTCCACGAAGGAACGAACGAACGATAGAAGATTGCGCATGACGTCGTCTTCAGCCTTCACGCTCCCCAACATCTCAAACAGACGATAACACAAACGTTTGGAACCCCAGAGAAGACAATAAAAAGAACAAAAGAAGAAGCCCAACATGGCACCAATCGCACTCGCCCCAAGGCTCCGGAGGGCAAGAAATCTCCTCACCACCACCTCCTCTCACATCCACAACAACCTCCACCCCCTCGCCAAACGAGAAAAGCTCTCCAAATCCAACATAATAACCGCAGCCGTCTTCATCGTCATCCTCCTCTCCACCATCCTCTTCTTCGGCATTTTTCTACCACGCTGGACACGCAAGAAGAAGCTTGAGGAGCGCCAGCAGGCGTTGCGGGAGACGTTGACAGCCGAGGAACGGGCCGCTTCTGGACGAAGTCGAGGTGCTGCTGCTGCTGCTGCTGCTGCTGCTTCTACTGCTGGAAGAAGCTCTGGGGCCGGCGGCCAGAGACAGGGAGGGCAAGGCCAAGGGGGTGGAGGAGAAGCAATTCCCATGGACGACATGGCGGTGCCGGATGGGGATGGCGGTTGGGTTGAGCCGCCGCCGCCGTATGTGGCTGATCCTAAGCCTGCTTATCACCCGTGATTATGGGAGATATATGTGTGGAAGAGTCGGTTGGGGAGGAGGAGGAAAGATGGGAAAACGTAATGTGGGATGAAGAGGATGAGGTACGAGGGATCGGTTCAGAGTTTGGAAAGTGAACAATGTTTTCCTTTGGCAGTGACTGTGGTAAGGTACTTTTTTGGTTAGAGGGTTGGAATGGTGATGGCGTTAGAGATGGGTAACCGGATTGTGTATGGGAATGAGAAGGGCTTCTGGTGCAATGTTTATCGTCTAACGACTGACACGGGGTGTAAGAAAGAGGTTGACGAACAACTGTATGTAATATACCTTACTCTGTATTGTCACGCTGTATCCAGTATTCGAATCCAATGAATACCTTATTGTTCCAGGATTATGCACCTAACTCGCTGTGCTGCCAAATTTACAGATCAACCCAAAAGGAACGGGATGGCATTCATCCAAGGCTTGGACCACATCTCGCTGCAATATCGGCTACAAGGAACTGCTCTCGGACTCGGAAGCGCTTGGCAAGAGTATCTGGTCTGCTGGTTGCATGCTTCTGCGAACGCGAGACTGTCAAACGTGCAATGATCAAGGCAACGGGCTTGCGTACGAACTAATGCATGAGACGTAGTGAAAGGGACACGCTGGGAGCTAAACAGCAAATCCACTGTTCATGAACCAATATTCATTGTTTTTGTGCTTGTTTACCTCCTCAAACCAAGCCATACCTTTACGGTACTCCTCGCCATCGCTTCCTAAAGACTCGTCCCGAAAGATTGCTATCCCTCCATGGCAACAATAGCCTAACTGCTCCTGCTTGCTTGTGTGCAAAGCATCCCATCAACGCCAACCCGAAAAGTGCAGAGCTTCGGCGAATTGCCATGCCCTGTGATGCTAGCAAAAGTAACCAAGATCCGCTTCCAGTACGCGAATCTCCCCTGCCCATATCCTTTGGACCCATCCCAAGCAAATACGCCTGATGAAACAAATAACTCCCAGAAACAAAACGCCCAAACAAATTCCAGCATGAAAATCAAACTCCCAAGATAATGCCATGCCACGGTGGGGCAAACAGGCCGCTCAAGAACCTCGAGGGCTTAGCGCCATATGCAGGTGTTGTGCATTGTATCTCCTTTTCCCATCCCTTGGACCCCCAATGCAGGTCATCGAAGCCTTCATTGCGATTGGTCCTTCTGGATTCCATCAATCGTATGGAGAACCTGGTTCAGAGCATCTGCCATAACCATCTCGGCAGGACGGCTCACGTCAATGGGGATCACGTCCGTCTCAGCGGGCGTTGGCGGCTCAAGAGCCTCAAATTGGCTGTGGACCATGTTGGCACCCATGTAATGGTTTTGGCGCGCAAGGACTCGTTGAAGGAGGATCTCCTCGGACGCATCGAGGTAGATAAAGTGAAGATGGAGATTCGGGGTGAAGTAGGGGGCCACTCGGATGACATCACGGTACTTGCGCTTCAACGCAGAGCACGTCAAAACTACGCCGTCATTGCCCTGATCAAGAGCCCGAATTGATGCCTCGCGCAGAGCCGTGAGCCAATCCCACCGGTCCGCATCGGTGAGGGGGATACCGGCGCTCATCTTCTCGATATTGGCTGGTGGGTGAAACTTTTGACTTTGTTAGTTGAGATAGTACAACAGAGAGAAGCGCATCACTACATACCTCGTCACCCTCAATATAAGGCCAATGCAGAGATTCCGCTAGGTATCTTGCCACCGTGCTCTTGCCGCATCCAGCAGGTCCGGTGACTAGCCAGATATGCTGCTCCTTGGGAGCGTGCCGTCCCGTTCCTGACACCGCATCATTGGATGACACTCCATTGACAGACCCGTTGTTTCCGACTGTCTTTAATGGGAGTCGCGCTGACATGCCGGCGGTCGGTCCAGCGTTCTGTCCGTTAACAGAGATAGGGGTATTGTACGAAAGCATTTTGGTTATATGTGTTGTTGGGGGTGACCGAGCGTAAGTGACTTGTTATTCGTAATGGTTGAATGGGACAGAATGGGGCGTCGAGTTAGGTATGTAAGTGCCGGTGATGGTGGTATCGGTACAAGGTCGATGCTTCAGGGTGCAAGCCAACGTCTTTGGAGTTACAGCTTGAAGAGGAATAATGCCATGCTATGCGAGAAGAATGACAACTGCGAAAAGGGAAGATCAAGAGATTTCAAGAGACAAAGAGTATCAGCCAGAAAGGAGGACGGACAGATGCCGGTGCGTGAGCTTATATACACCAGAGTGTAGCGAGACACAAGAGTGTAAGTCATATATACCCTGTAGCCATCACCCCAAGGTATTCCACCCCGGCTGTAAAACTGGCCAGGTGACTGACAAGCTGGGCTGGGGTACACTGTACACGATGGGGAGAACCTAACGCAAATCCTCACTTCCGCTGGGCGACTGGCCCTCTGGGCTGGGACTGCAAGCGGACAAAGGACTCACCCCACCCCCAAAAACCCAACTCGCGGCGGCAACAAGTGGGAGTCCAGCAAGGTACAAGGCTAGGGAGAGAGGGTACAAGCGAGTACTTGGAGTACATGTTCCTCTTGTTGCTTGCTCATCTAACTCGAGGGCCGCTTGGCCATTGAAAAGGCTCACTAAGAGAATCATCCTATTGGTTATCTAGCTGACACCATCAGCGACTGCGCGAACTTGCTACCAAAGCATGGCGGCGATACTCCACAAGAGCGTGGGAGGGTGTGAGTCTAGGGTACTTGTGATGTAGCTCGAGGTCTCAGCGGCATGTGCGGAATTTCGGGCGCAGGCTCTGCTGGAGAGAAGCGTGGGATGAAATTGGTGGGTGTGTTGTGGGGAAGAATGCAAGATGGCCGACTTCTAGAAGCAGCCCAACATTTTTTCGCTGCTTCTATTCTGGCCCATAGCAATCTTGCAAGCTGGGATACCGATGCCGCCGTCGAAGCCTGTCACTGAAACGTTTGATATTGACGCTTTGCACAGTTGAAGCTCGGTCATCTTGACGGTGCGAAACCCTTGTATGTATAGGGGTTTGCAAATCTCTATGCTGTCATCTTGAAGAGTGTAGAAGAGACAGCCCTGGAGAATGATGTGCCGACTGCCTGCCACCACTTCCCGGATACTCGGGGGTTACGGTCAATTCATCCCTCTATGAACAAGGACATCGTGAAATTTTGGGGACGAAATCCGGGGCATCGGCTGGCGGCCCAGGGCAGCCAACCACTGGAGGAGAGGCACGTTGGCAAACTGGGCATCATGCAACCTGCCCGCCGCCCTGGAATCAGACATGGCTACCTGCCAAGCGTCAATCAGCGGGGTGATCCATGATGACAAGCCCCAAACACGGAAGGTTGTCGAACTCAAGCAATCCATTGTGCAAACTGCAAAGGTACCTACGGCGGCTCCCTCCCGAGCGGGAATCGGAACCCAAAATACATGGACGGGCCGGGATGACGGAGCCTGGAGCTTGAGGACATGTTGGTCACGATCCGATGCCCATGTGCTTGTAGTGTGCCCGAAAAGGGGTTGCCGTATTTGGTGTTGTTGGTGTCCAGAATGCTCACGGCGGGACGGGGCCGGGCATGCCGGCGTGTTGTCGGTGACGGGGCCCAATCGTTAAAGAAGCTGATGAAGTGGATGGATCATGGCGGAAGGATCGAGATGATCATCATCTGCCGTCGAAACGTTGGAGTCCCGTAACGTCACAGGCAATTTGGGCTACCTATCCAGCGGCCATGCCGTGCTTGTTGGTTGCTGACTGTTTCGACGATGAGGATTGATGATGCGTCTCGATGGTCAAACCAAGAACCTCATCTGGAAGAAATTGCAGCCCTGAACAGGGTGGGCCACCGGCAAAAAAAATCCTATGCAACGAATTCAAAGTGGAAAGCACGATCAGACCAGGTGACCAAGGAGAAGGGGGGAGTGGATGGAAGGAGGTACCTGCTACATACCCGCGCTGATGGAGTGCTTGCCGGACGACTGGGGTACGCTTGGAAAATTTCTCCACGTCGTTGCCGTAGCGTGGGGGGCAGCATTTGCGAGATTCGGTCGATGAAGTTGGGGGTTCACGCATAAACGGGAGCCGATGACATTGGCCAGTGGAATCTGTTTCAGAAGCTCCATATGTACAGACATTTGAAAATGGTGATAAAAAGGCAAAATGAATCTCTTAGCCTCAAGAGAAAAAACATGATGGATGGTGTGCGTGCAGGTTTGTTGAGAGTACCAAACACTTTCCCTGTCAAGAAACAATGTTGAGCTTGAACAGTCAAGGTTAACGTGACCATCGTGGTTTCCCAAAGAGAACAATTGTGGGAATGACCAATTGAAGGCAGGGACCTTGGTGATGATTATACATTCGCATACCTCATTCTGAACTTTTTATGTGGTTTTCCTTTTGAGGGTTCTGATCCGGGCTTGTTGTGGCTGTCTCGTAACCGCCTTCGAAGTTCGGGGAACATCCCCAGATCCCGTCCCTTGCGCAAACATGCGGAATTGGAAACATCAAACAAACCCAGCAGCTCCGGTTACATCATTGCTTGGCAGGCGGGCCAATCGCTTCTCCATTTGCTCCTACCGACCTCAGGCTTCGTTCAGAGCTTCCTTTTTCTCTTTTTGCTGAGTTGCCTCTCCAACTTCACCGAACAAACAAATGCCAACATGAGAAGAAAAGAAAATCGAACCATCAAGGTCCATCGGAATCACACTTCACCATGCCATCAAGCAACAATGCGCAGTAATCGTGAAAAGCGGACAGTGGTCGGCAAAGTGCAGCAGGAGAACGGTTTTAACGATCCGTATTCCAGATATATCCCTTGATCCTATTTCTGTTTGCCCTCGTGACGTGACGATGATTTACCGCATCCCTGTCCAAACTGCTCGGTTTTGATGACGACCCCAAAACACGGCTGTGGGACTCGTCTGGTTTTCCCTCATTTGGACTCCGCTACAAGCTTCGTCAAAGACTGGAAGGGGCGCCCTAGAAATGGGTCTTCATCAAGGTGCAGTTTTCACCAAGACACTCGGGGCCTGGTCGGCTTCCTAGTTTACTTTACCCCTGAGGGTCTTTTAAAAAGTCTAACAACGTACCGCAGGGGTCGTGATCTGTCACCAAAAGGGAACAAAAAAAGTATCCGATGTGCCCCCAAAATCTTAGCGCTGCTAACTTTGCTAGAGCGGATTCCCTTCAAACTCTACTCGGGATCAAGATCCACTTGGGCTTCAGTGTACATACAGTGTAGCCAAAGTCGCACCCGACTCCGAGCGGCTTCCCGAGATATAGGCTGCTGCTAGTGAACAGCTAGTGAAAAATAGGATGTCCGGAAGCCCATGTGAGTCTCCCCGACAGGAGCAAACAACGGCCACGAGTGCTGGGAATGGCATCGAGCCAACAAGTCAATATCATCACCGCGGCTATCTCTTCGCCGACAAGAATCTGGCCCGGTCCTGTTGAAGGTTTCGGATCTGGGTACAGCGATGCCCTCTGCATGGCGTTGGTCAATGACTGCTCTCATGCTGCGGAGCTGGAAACCCAAAAGCGATCTCTCTCACAACCACTGTAGTAGCATTGCTAGATTGGGTTGCCGTGATCACTGGGTAACAACCACGGTCCTAGGCTGCCGGTCTTGTATCACGATACTGATCAGTGGTTGAAGCATGCTCGCGATCTTGAAGTCTCACTGCTTGCACTTGCGAGCCTCAAAAACCGCCGACAGTACTACGCTGCCCACGTAGCACAAACACATGCCAGGATGAACGCAATGTTTTCCCAAACAGTCATGCGGGAGACGAAGGATTGGCTGAAAATGAAGCCGGCCTTGGATTTTCAAGTTAGTGCCCGAGATCTGGACATGTCTCAAGAAAATGCGGTTGCTCAATGGTCACGCGGCTTTGGTCCGGAGCCGCTTGCTACACTGCGCTGTAGCGCAGGGGCATGCAACGATAGAGGAGCAAGTAGTAGACTCACCTCCCTCGTAAGGTTCACTCGACACAGACTCCAACATTTTGCTTCGTTCGCGATATCGGACAGTCGTGGACGTACAGCCTACCCGTCACGGAGACTCATCAACGATGCCTTGCTCATCACATTCGCTCAAGAGGCACAGTTGTATCCCGATGCTCGAAGAAGGCAACTTCAGCAACACCAAAAAGCAAGTTCTTAATTTTGCCGCGTAGCGAGCTTCGCGTAACTTGCCCTTTTCGATATCTTCTGCTTACCGGCTTGCAATATCACGATCTCCCAACCGCCGACGTCGCGGCGACTCGCGGGCACTTCAAGAAATCTCCTTGTAGCAGCTCACGCTTCTCAAACTGTGCGAGGACGGTCGTTTTAAGGTTTCTAAGTTCCCGCCAGTCCAGCCGCGAGCTTAAAGTTGAGCCCGGGACCTGGTGGGAGCTGTTGTCGATGCCGGTCCTTTCACCAGCAGGAGACATGGGATTTGGATGGTGATACCCCCCTCTACAGCGCTGTAGACATACACCTAGCCCTTGTCAAGATTGGGCACTCTCGGCGGCTGATGTGAGGCTCGACGGAAGCCTGTCCCGAAGAAATTGTTGGTTTTCCCCCGAAAAGCATGGCATTGAAGGCATCCGCAGTTTCAAGCAAAGCCCAACGACCCGTCCCGTTCCGGAATTCCGCTTGAGGTGAGTAGGTAAGCTGTAAGTAACAGTTTGTACCTGACGTGGGGATCTTGGTCTCATCACGCCGCCGCCGAGACGACAAGACTGCGTTTAATAAAGGCGCAGAAGATCTCCTCCGAGACCCTCCTGAGTGATGCAAGAACGGTGATCGACGTTGACGTTTTCCACTTGCTTCGAAACATCTGCCCATCTGCCCCTCCAGTCCCGCAAAAGTTTCCCCAGGAGTCACAGAATGTTACCATGTTGTACTCACTCGCTAAACTCTTGGACAGCCTACGTGGGGGTCATCGGTGTCTCGATGATCGGACGAAGTCCTTGCTGACGCTGTGGGATTTGTTAGCTCTATAAAATCCTCTCTCAATCCAACCTCAACTTGACAAGAGGATGGGCCGTTGGCTCGTTGCCTCCATCCGGAGCCCCGCGGCGGTCACACTCTGATCCGGCATGTTGTTCCAGGTTGTTGTCAGCAACTGTGGCTGGTGAAGAAGTGAGACTGAAATCCTACAATCACAGAAGACGCTGGAACCTGCTATTCTCACTCACTGTTTCAGCTCTTTACGTACCCCGCTTCAAACGAAGTCAGTCGGCTAGTCGCACAGCGTGGGGAAGGGACGGCCAGCCAGTTGGAGAGTCGGCTGGTAACGGTTCAGGCAAGTGCGCGGGGATGTTTATCGGGCGCTCTATCGAACGATAACGAAGAGAGGCTTGTTTGCCCGTAGACGGAAGGTGCATAACGCTGGGCTGTTGGAGAAGCCGTAACTGCACTGGAGAGATCGGATTCGTCTCGTCTTATTTTGCTAAGTGGCCTCAAATCAGATGCGTTTCTCTCAACCCCTCAGATCATCTCAAACTTTGAGTCTGAGATTATCGTCGATTTTGGCCCAGCCAGCCCGACGTGCATCTGCCTTTCCTAGGAATAGACTCAACACCATCGCTCCAAGCTACGGTAGCTGTAGTCCTCACCTGTGCCTGAATCGCAACTTCAGTCTCAGTCTCAGTCTCCGCAGTGCCCTCACCATGAACGCCCAAGAACTCTCGCAGTACCTGGCCGATGCCCCGCCTTCGGTCGTCAGGCTTGAGGTCGAGAAGCACTTTGACGCCCTGACGGACAAGCAGAAGCGCTATGCTCACTTTATCAGCAAGTAAGTGCAGGTAGCTCCAATTACACACTACATGTAGCTATGATGTGGACTCCTGGAAGTTGATGTGTTTATAGACCCCCTTTCCCACCCTCTTGGACCCCTACACCCTCCACATCATCATCGTCACCCGCCCTGTCTCGCTAACACCAGTCCACCTAAACTTAGAGCTTCGTTTGCTGGTAACCGCATTGTGCTGCGCCAGGTCTCCCCCGAGTCCGAGTTCATCTATGATTTCATCATTGCTCTGCACAAGGCCTCTGGGGGCGACTGGAAGGCTCTGGCCGAGAAGGCCGGCGTTGATGAGGCCGGCTTGAACGCCTTTCTCCAGTATGCTGCCCAGTTCCTCGGCAACAGCGGAAACTATAAGAGCTTTGGTGACTCCAAGTTCATCCCCCGCTGCGATGAGAAGGTCTTTGCTTCCCTGGCTTCCACTTCTCCCGAGGCTGAGAAGCATTACAAGGCCACCAACGGTGCTATCTTCTCGACCGACAAGCCCGGCCTTCTGCACCTTGGCTTCACGGACGAAGGTCACCTGACCACTTACTACCCTGACTCTCCTGATATCACCAAGGATGAGATCGACGCTGTTGCCAAGTGGATGCAGAAGACCGGCTTGCTCCCTGAGAACACCAGGTTGCGCAAGACCAAGGACGGTGTATTTGAGCTTCTGATTGCCTCTGCCGTTACTTCCATCCCCAGCGAGGGTGGTGATATTGGCAAGGATACCGAGTACAAGATTACTGAGGGCCCTCTTGAGGGCAAGACCATTAAGTTGGTCTATGGCGACTATGCGGCCGAGATGAAGGCCATCACCGAGTATTCCAAGAAGGCGGCTGAGAACGCCGAGAATGAGACTCAACAAAAGATGCATACCGCTTATGCCAAGTCCTTCGAGGAGGGTTCTCTTGAGGCCTTCAAGGACTCCCAGAGATACTGGATCCGCGACCAAGGTCCCATGGTGGAGTGCAACATCGGCTTCATCGAGACCTACCGCGACCCGGCTGGTGTTCGTGGCGAGTGGGAGGGTTTCGCTGCAGTTGTTAACCAGGAAAGGACACATGCTTTCGGTGAGCTGGTTAGGTCTGCGCCTAGCTTGATTCCTCTGTTGCCGTGGTCCAAGGAATTCGAGAAGGACAAGTTCCTCTCCCCTGATTTCACCTCTCTCGAGGTTTTGACCTTCTGCGGTATGTAATACACGACGAGAGGGAGCACCGTTATACACTGGAGCACTAACAATTGGAACAGGATCTGGTATCCCTGCTGGTATCAACATGTATGTGTACTCGGGAAATTTCTGGTCCCAATGTGGTACTAACATGCTTGTAGCCCCAACTATGACGATATCAGGCAACAAGAAGGCTTCAAGAACGTCAGTTTGGGTAAGTTCTGGGTTCTACCTTGATTGTGACACCCGCATCGTCTGACCAAATTCCAGGTAACGTCTTGAGCGCCAAGGCTCCTGATGAGAAGATTCCCTTCATTGCCGATAGTGATCTCGAGATTTACAAGAAGTATCGTGACGCCGCCTTTGAGGTCCAGGTCGGACTCCATGAGCTTACTGGTATGGTGCCATCTGTCCCTTCACCGCTGAGAGTTGACGACTGACAGAGAGTTAGGTCACGGCTGTGGAAAGCTTCTGCAGGAGACTTCCCCTGGAGAGTACAACTTCGACCACACTAACCCACCCATTAGCCCCGTGACCGGCAAGCCCGTGACGACCTGGTACAAGCCCGGTCAGACATGGGGTTCCGTATTCGGTGGCCTTGCTGGCGCTTACGAAGAATGCCGTGCTGAGCTTGTTGCGATGCACTTGAGCTGCGAGTTCCAGGCTCTCAAGATCTTCGGCTTCGGTGACGGAACTACTGATATGGATGGCGAGGCTGGTGATGTTCTATATGCATCCTACCTTAGCATGGCACGGGCTGGTCTCACTTCGGTCGAGTTCTGGGATCCCAAGAGCCAGAAGTGGGGACAGCCCCATTGCCAGGCTCGCTTTGCCATTCTCAAGTCTTTCCTTGAGGCTGAGGATGACTTCTGCAAGCTTGAGTATGAGAAGGAGGATCTATCTGATCTGACGATCAAGCTTGATCGCTCCAAGATCCTGACCAGCGGTAGAAAGGGTATGTCTGATCCCGTTGGATGTGAAATAATGGACGGTGTTGGCTAACTATTAGCGCAGCTGTCGGAGATTTCCTCCAGAAGATCCACATCTACAAGTCGACCGCTGATGTCGAGAACGGTACCAAGTTCTTCACCGATATGTCCGGCGTCGGCTTGGAATACTGGGGAACCAAGGTCCGGGACGTCGTCCTGAAGAACAAGCAGCCCAGAAAGGTGTTCGTCCAGGCTAACACTTATCTGGATGAGGCTACTGGCAAGGTCACCCTCAAGCACTACGATGCCACCCTCGAGGGTATCATCCAGAGCTGGGCGGATAGGGAGTAGCTGCATGGCTTTGTGGATAGGATCAAGGCTCTGTTGTGATTGAGCAAATGCAAATGGAGTCATTGACAAGGAATCAAAATTAAATTGTAAGCCACCCAGCCTGGTATGTTCATTGGAATTTCTATTGCAAACAAGTCATCTCGTATGCCTTGACATCGCTCACTTGACAAGCCTCTACATACAGCTGAAAGAACTGGAAATGCCACCCTTCACGCTACCAATCCCCCCTTCTTTTCCCTCTCCTTCGCAACCCATCCCAGAAACAGTGTCACGTCCTTGGCTATCTGCCCCGGTACCGCCATGGTCTGCACCCATCCAGGAAGCGAGCCTCGAGCGTCCGATGCCGTGGCCATGATCCATTCAATCTGTGCCTGGCCGTCATTCTCTGTTGTTGGTAACTTCCTAATCCGCTCGACACTGACATACGACCCTTGTACAGTATCCTTTCGAAACGGGTCTTCTTTCGCCGCAGTACTGGTAGTAAGGTTCTCAACGTCCGACACCGGGATATTGATGACCAGAATCTCATCGCAGTCCTCAGACCTGCCCCCATCACCGGCAGTAGAAGCAGTAGCACTTCCACCACCCGAAGGAAGTAGCGAACAAGTAACCTGCAACACTGTAAACGCCCGATCCTTGAGTAACGGCTTAACCCCAATCTTGTGCCTCGCCTCCACCACCTTCATCGTAAAGCTTCCATACCTATCCCCATGCTCATCATCAACTTGTAGGCCAGCAACATCGTAGTCCCGCAACACCCTTGTCCCCACAATACTCGGCGTGAACGCCTCCTCGCACTCAACGTGCTTGTCCTTGAAGCAGGTGACGAACTCGCCCCAGCTGGCTGACCCGTCCCCGGGAACGTTCGAGTCGCGGTGCACGCTGCGCCGGCAGGCCCACGTCTCGGAATCGTCCGTATTGCTGGTTGCCATGCCGGCCGAGCGCTCGATGGCGCGCAGCTCGGGGGCGGAGAGAGTGCGTTCGTAGAGAGAGACTACTGTGTTGCCGTTGTCCTCTACCTTTGATGACTTTGTTTTCAAGGGTTTCCATTCGCTTCGCGCGGTGCCAAGGTCGGCAGTAGGCTGAGGTCTGTTGGAAGGTTTAGGCGCCACGGAATCGATGAAGGGGACTGACTCCCTCAAGAGGGCAGTCAGAAAGGGGATCAACTCTTGCTGGGGAGTGCCTTGGGGTGGAAGATGAGCAGTTGATATGCCCCGTAGACGAAGGAAGGGAGCGCCTAGTTCGGCGGCGGTCACCATGACCGGAGCGGCCGCGGCGCCGGAGCCGGAGCCGGAGCCAGGACTGATAAGGTTGGTGTGTGAATCCGGCTCTCGTGAGTTTCTGGCGTCCATCTCTTCGGATGGAACTAACACCTTGGAACGGTAGGCGGGGCCGCCGGTTTCGAAGGGGTAGGGGAAGCCTGCGATTGACATTGTTGATGGGGGTTCTTCATGAAGTTGTAGAGGTGGTTTGGTTGGTAGGTAGGTGATTTGTGATTGAAGTGCTTACAAGTATCTTCTTTCCCTTCTGGACGGGATGGGATGGCTGGGCTGTGATACTTATACCTTTGCTACTTCCCCAGTCTTGGCACGGTTGGTGGGTAGAGTCGGGTTGGGTACGGGTACCGGAACGAGAGGCGAGGCAAGGGCAACGGGAAACCGGGGCCGTGCCGCAGCGCCGAAGTAACGTGGTCCAAGTCCGGGAATAAATCGGCAGAGGTTGCTGCTGCCTGTCTGCTCAGCCCGGACACGTGCCGGACTATAATCCACTATAATTGTGTGCGATAACCACTCCGTTGGTCAAACTGTGTGCAACTGTTGGGTAGTTGGTGAAGCTCAGCCTGGTTGCCTGGCTGCTTGTTGATCATGAACCGCTGATCATTAGCTGTTCGAGCAGTTACTGTTTCCCAAGCCACACTTACTGTGACAATGTTCCTTCCTTCTGGATTGTTTCCGGGTTCCTTCCAGGTTCAGTTGCAGCAAGCAGTGCCGATACTTAGGCAGTAGGGAAGTTCGAGTGTGAATTGCTTCACTTGACTCGTCGACTTGTATGGGTATCGTATCGTACCTATGTAAGAATGACGAGTGTCCAAATAATATTTAGTCTTCAGGGGTGAGAAAGAGCCGACTTAACCGATCAAAAAGGTTGACAGGTTTAACAGCAATGAACTTGGAAGATGGGAATGTAACGAAGCAAGTGACTACTTGGATAAAGGTCTCGATGATTGGAGTTTTGTCGACCCAAGAAAGAATACCTTGCCTCCTTGCGTTGTACTCGAGTGTTTCTGCTTGATTGGCGAGACACAGCCAACACGAAACAGACGCTCATATTATTGGTGTTCCCGAAACAGGTGGTTACCATTGCGTCATTCTTCCATATATCTTCTACACAGTACGGGCGTGGACTAGTGATATTAATCGTTCTTTCCATTAGCGTTTGTACCTACCTTCTGTCAGTTTGGAGGGTTAAATCCAGCCAGTAAAAAGAGGGCTCTGAATAAGGACTAGCCTCCTAACTACCAGAATTTGGCTGTAGACCTCCCTAATACTCTGGGAGCCCCCAACTCTGGTTCTACAGCACTCTTATACACACACATAGATCAATACAGAAATTTACCCACTTTTGACTCAACTATGCATTCTGACAATTAATAGTTTGATTTGTAATATTTGCGTTTTACGCTAATATTTATAGAAATACGAGTATTTACGTACCAATACCTTTCGAATTATTTTAATAATGATTAAATTAATAAAGTAACTATGTTCCTATTAAAGGAATCCTCCCCTAAAATTAACCGTCTTTACTTCGATAAGCTTTTGGAATTTTATAATTAGAGCAATAAGTTACTTAGCTACGTTAAAGGTTTCGATTTTATTAATTTTGTATTAGGGTTAGAGCCCGCCGTTTAGAAGCCTCTACTTATTCATATTAATAATTACGCTACTAAAATTATAGCCTTCCGCTATATTAAAAAAATTTGGGAAGTCTTTAATAAGTTTAAAATTAGTACTATTATTTACGTACCCCCGGCTCCGGCCTTAGCCCCGGTAATTATAAATATAAATGAGAAAACTAAAGCCCCGGAAGCGCCCTAAATCCTCGAAAGCGTAAAGACGACTAACCGAACCTTAAATTAGTAGACCGATAACGCTACGATTAAATTAATAGATTTTACCGCCTTTAATTTATAGAAATATAAATATAATTATATTAATTAATCCTATAATACGAAAGTTTATAAGTCCTTTAAAATTAATAATATTAATATTCGAAAATGGATATAAGAATTTATATTCTCTTCTTATAAAATTAATAATTTTTTATCCTTCCTATTTATAACCGAATAGTATGTTAATATTAAAGATAATTATAATTATTAAAAGGAAAATACTTAAACCCAAGTTTGCTAGAAGTATTATAATTATTTTAAATTATTATTAAGCGAACCTAATAAGAGGGATAAGGGGATAAGTAAGTAGATAAATAGTTAGGACATTATAATAATTAATGTAATTTATTATAAAGTTTTAAAAGTTACTATAGTTAATACTTAGTTTAAAGATTTTTTAAATTATTTATAGTTAATTAAACCTATTTAAATATTTAATATTTTTAAATATTTTAGTAAGAAAATTACAGCTAATACTTTTAATTTTCATTTAATATCCGGGAATTTCTATTATAAAGGATTGAATGAACGACTTCCTATTAGTACTAATAAGACTAAGGGCTATAGGGGAGTATTCGGTATAAGTTTAACTTTTAATAGTTTATAGGATAATAGTATTAAGGACGAAGACGTGTAATTTAATAAGATTTAAAATTATTATAAGAAGAAGCGCGAAACTACAGTTATAAATACTTTATTAATATCCCTAATTATTTGTTATAAAGCGTATTAATAGAGTCTCTACTTAATTAAATACTACTAGTATTTATTCCCTATTAAAGTAATTAATCTTAGATCAAAGCTTATTAAGAAAGTTCAAAATAGAGTTAAAAAGAACTTTTGTAATAATTTAAAATCAAAAAGAGAAATTAACCGCTTTGAGTAGGAGATTAAGTAGAATAGTAATAGTAATAAAAATAATTAATTTTCTAGCGAAAGTATTTAGGAAATAATAATTAATTATAAAATGGTTATTTACTAAATAACTCTCTAAGTAGGAGAAGGAGATTTAAAACCGTACTTTTTTAAGAATAGCGTTCTCTTCGATTTTAGTAGCTCCTTTTATATTTTTAACGAAATTACTTATTTTATTAATTTTCGTTACGCTCTTTATAATAACAATCTTTAGGTTAGAGACTCCCGTATTCTTATTAAAAGATATAAGGATATAAATATTATAATTTAAGGATATAAAGGGCTTAAAAAACTTCGTCTCTATAATATAGCCTTTTATTCTAATTTTATAATTAACTTCGTTTTTCTTTACCTCCTTTATAAGAAAGGTTTCTATTAGAACTAATAATTATTTAATAATTATTTTCGAAACCTAAATCGCTCTTTCTTTTACCGTTTTACGACGTAATATTATTAAACGGTCCTCGAAGACTTCTCTCCTTTTTTTTTAGAAGTGCTTTTTTTATACAATATAATTAATTTAATTTTTTTAACAGCTATAAGTATTATAAGAAAGAGGCTATTGTTTAGTATTACCGCTTTAATTATTACAATCTTTAAAAATTCGACTACTTTATTAACATTATCAATACCCGTCTTAAAGGTCCTTCTACTATATATTATAATATATATATTTTATTAAAAATTAAATAATAAATTAATTATAAACCCTGCGATTATAGTAATAACCTAAGAGAGAAATTAATTATAAATTTTCTTAATTATATAAAGAATCGTTAAAAATATTCTAACATTATCTTTATTATTTATAAATATACCAGGTATATTTAAAATTACGATATAATAGATTATAAAACTACTATTATTGCCTCCTTCTTTAACGACTTCTTTATAATATTAAATATTCAGTATAATATCTAACTAAAGGTTATCGAATATAATAATAAAATTAGCGGGTCCTATACAGTAAAAGAATTCTTCGCTTTTAGAAGTATAATTATTAAACCCTTTACTTTATATATTTAAATATAGAATAGTAGCGTAGAATGTTTAGGAAGTATAATTAAAGAAAAGTTTAGAGCGATAATATAAAATTCTTATTTCGTTAAAGATTTATAGTTAGAAATTATTTTTATAATAATCTACTTTATTAATCGGTCCCCTAGATTCTTCTATAATTAAAGATTCCTATACGAGCGTTTTTATACTTTTATTACCAAATGAGACGGATTCAATATATTAATTCTATATAAATTAAATATTATATACTTCCGTATTTATAGTTATAAAGTATATACTATAATTATAGCTACTTAAAAAAAAAAAAAAGGCGCTAGAAAATAAACCCTAAAATCTAAATCGGTTACTTAATTAGTTACGCTACTTCTTTAATCTATTGTATTTAGAACCCTATTAATAATTCGATTATTAATACCCGTAGCGTATTATTTAACGAAGATACGCTCTATTCTAAGGAGGTATTAATCGAAGCGTAATCCCTAAAGATTTTCTCAAACGAATTTACTATATCATTCTAAAAATATAATTAGACGGCTCTAGTATTAAAAATCCCTAATTTCATCGGTAGCCAAATCGATTTTAAAAATATTTAAACGTACGATATACCCGGCTCCCTTCTAAAGTTTAACTAAACTTATTAAAAAGGAGAAATTGACTATATATTTTTAAAGCCTCCGCTAAAGAATTCGAATATCCTCATAGAAAGGATATTTCTTAATTTTATTTTTAATAATAGAAATCCTACTCTTTTAAATACGCCGCTACTAAACCGACTGCTATTTGCCTCTTTCTTCGCTGGCTTCTATTTTAACCCCCATATTAAAAACGAGATTTATAAAAGCATTGAACTTTAAAAGGCCGCCTTTAATACTAGTAGATTTATTAATTTATAGTAGTATACTATAGTAAACCTATTACGAAAGTAGAATTATAGTAATTTATTTACAATAATAAAATTATTACTAAAGGGGAATTTAAATCCTTAGTCCGTACAAATAAGGTTTAATCTATTTATAAATACTGGTTTCCCCTAGTGTTTAAAAATTACAAATATCTTAATTACTATATCCTTAGCAACCTCTTTAAATAAATAGAATAAACTTATTTTAATAATTATAAAGAAATAAGGTTTTAGTTAGAGGTTGATAAGGACGAATTATATACTCGAAATAAATAAATCCTTAATTATATATAGGTATATATATATAAATTCTTTGAAAATAATAAATTTAATAAAATTAAAGCCCGCTTCATTATCTATAGAAATTAATAAATAAAAAAGGTAGGGTAGAAAATATACGCTTCTACTTTCGTTAGCCACTCTTTCTATACTCTTATTATTATAGCCGCCTAATTTAATTTCGAATTTATTTAATACGATGCCGTTAATACCTTCGTTAATATTTATATAGATAAAGATATTTATATATATATACTTTTAGGTTATAAGATTTCAAAGAAGGTTCTTAAAGTATTTAAGGCTTTATATAATTTACAACGTTCCCTATTCTTTTAGTAACAAAAATTTATAAATACTTTTAAAATAATAGATTTTAAATTAGTTTTTAAAGAATTATATATTTTTGTTAATGACGGCGTCTTTATTTTCTATTACGCCGATAATATACTTTTTACGTATTACCCTAATAAGGCTATTACTATATAGGAATATATAAATAACTTTAATTAATAATAATATATAATTAGAGGAAACGAATTATAAGAATTTTTAAATATTAAAGTTATTCGAAACAATTAAGTAAGAAAGATTTAGTTATTTTAATATTTGTATTTATAGAAGATCTATTATTTTATAAGTATTAAATATATTACTTTAACCCTTATATTTAACGTCGAATTAATTCCCTTTTAAGGTAAAACTTTCCCTTATTTAATATATATATATTAAGTTAAAGTAGGTTTAATATTGTACGCTGTTATTATCATATATTTAAATATTATTTTCATTACTAATTGTCTTTTTAAATATAATTATAATCCTAATTTAGGTTATTATAAAGCTATAAATGAAGTACTTTACTACTTCTATACTATCGCTAATATAGTACTTTACTATAGAAGTAATAAAGTATTCCGAATTGATATAAATTCGTTATTTATAAATAATTCTACAAATTGTAAGAGCTCTTAAGGATTTATAATATAATTCTTTAGAAGGCTAATATATTATTAGGGTACTACTAAATAAATAATTATAACTACTTCTATAACTAAAATAAAATTTATTATATTTACTAATATAATTAAAGAAACCCTCTTTACAATAAGACTTATTATTAATTTTATAGTAAGGTTAATTAATCCTATCCTTACCCTAAATTGTAATAATTAATAAATTATTAGAATTTTAATTTTAAGAGAAACTCTGTCTATACGGCTATATTTCTCTATCTATACCGTACCCCACCCGCACCGATTAATTAAAAGTGTCGTATTCCCTCCTCCCCACTTTTTTTTAGCGCATTCGCATTCCCTGCATTCCCAATAGGGCATTTATAACTCCTAATAGCATATTCGCAACCCCAACAGGGCATTCCGACCGTATATAGAGTATTCCATACCCGACAAGGCATTTCTTCTTTGAAAGCGATTGAAATAACAGAAAAAATTGATATGCAATAGAAATTGATATGCGACAGCGACTACAATTAATTTGCGACATAAATGATATGCGAATGTTGTATTGGAGGCTGCGAATGTTCTATTTGGTGGTGTGAATGCTTTGTTGGGAATGCGAATGCGCTGTTCGAAGCCCTGTCGGAAATGCGAATGTGCTGGAATTTGAAGCGGGGTCAACGCGGCTATAGGGTTGGGGTTAGAAGTGAGGGAAAGAAGTAGGGTACGGTATAGATAGAGAAATATGGCCGTACAGATAGAGTTTCTCATAAAAATTATGAAGTTGGTAATAAAGTTTAAATACGTAGATATTTATAAATATTGGGTAAAATAAGAGGTATTTGTTAAAAGGATAAAAATTAAATATTTAAAAACGGTTAAAATACTTATAAACAGTTTAACAAAAGTACTAGACTTTTAGAAGTATATAGCGTTTATAAAGTTAATAGGGATAGAATTAGTAAAGAATATGGAGTCGAAAAGATAAGAGAATATAATAGTATATATTAAAATAGATAAAATTAATAAGGAGATAAACCTTAGAATAGTTATATAATATTATAAATAGGGTTATTTCTGGACAATTTTGGGCAATTTTATCTTTATAAAATTTTAATTAGGAAGATATATTAGTTTGGAGGGTTAAATCTAGCTAGTAAGAAGAGGGCTTTGAATGGGGATTAGCCTCCTAACCACCAGAATCTGGCTACAAACCTCCCTAATACTTTGGGAGCCCCCAACTCTGGTTCTACAGCACTCTTCTACATATACATAGATCAATGCAGAAATTTACCCACTTTTGACTTGACCGTGCATTCTGACACCTTCCTTGTCTATCCTACCGTACTATCCACAGAGCTGGATGTACCTACCCTAGTTTACCAGTTGTATCATCAAAAGACACTTTCCATCTTGATCCCAACTCAATTCCATCTTTCCATGCTCGTTCCACTTCCTCTCCTCCTATCCCCCCAACCAGCTTACCTCCTCTTACTTATAGCTATATCCGTATACACAGTTAGCTATATCCGTATACAGAATAACAGTATAAGTCCCACACTCCTATACTAATATATGCTATAAGCATTAGCAGCAGACGCACGCGCAGTCATCTCCTCAGCCTTCCTCTTCCTCTCCTCAGCATCCTTCTTCCGCTGGCAGCTCGTGCAGATCTTGTCGGCTTTCTTGGTAACATCCCTGCTGTCGGAGCTGGAGCTGGTGCTGCCGCAGTCGCCCCAGTTTGTTGCCTTTGTGCACGTCAGTTGCTCGGCTTGGGCGTCGACTACGCTGGAGCAGTCGGGACATTCGTAGTTGGTTCTTAGCATGCCGCACATTTTGGGTTATTGTTATTGGGATATAGAATCGAAGGGACTTCTGTGAACTTGTGGTGGTTGTTCTTGTTGGGCTTGGGTTGGTCGAATGCTGCTGTTGATGATGATGGTGATGCTAGAGAGGATATAACACCATTGGATAGATAGGAACCGGTTAAACTTATATCTTGGGAATTTGGAGCTGGAAGCTGGTCACATCTGAACACGATAGGCAGTATGCGTAAGGTATCACGGCTGTCTAGAACGTCCACATTGTCTAGAATGAAGCCGAACTACCGAGGCTTGGTGCCAAATGACCACCACAGTACTATCAAACATGCTTGTGAAGTCGTGATCTGGGTGGTATCCCTATCTGGCCGTCAAGGTCCATCTCATGAAGGATAGTTTGATCATATAACATGATAAAATCCGAGTGTCCTGCGCCAGATCACGAATCGTACGTTTTCAGCAATAAGTTTTCAGCAAAAAGTCGAAGACGATTCCACCGAAGAGAACAACCATGGTTGACAAGCACGGGAGAAATGATTGATTGTTTTGGGGTATCTTTTCTCTCTCAACTCCTCCCGTTCACTCACTTCTGTCGTCACCGCACCACTACACCTTACGCCCTGCGTAAGATGCAAGCAAGCAGAGCCCTTGACGGCGAGCCTTCTACACACTTGTAGTGTAGGCGCACAAGCGACGCATTTCTCTCCTCCGCTCATTGCTTCTGTGCTCGTCGTAAATCTTTACCATAAGCCCAGTTAAACGTGTTCTGAAAACCAAACAAAACCTCATAATAGCCTCCTAAATGATCCAGTGTCAAAAGTCCTCGAGTACCAAAACGGTAAAAGAAGCGAAAAAGAAGAAGAAAAAAATGCAAAAGTAACTGAGTTTTCCCATGCCGCTGTGTTGTCCATTCGCCAATTGCGCCTTGCTCAAATGAGCGAAAGAGTTTTTAGCATCCGTCACCGTCCATCTGACTTAAATCCACCAGGCAAAGGAGAGGTCCCGTTGGGGTCACCAGAACGCCGGGGGCACCGAATTAGAGAAGATGTGATAACCACTTTCGTGGTCGCCTTCTCACTGGCTCCCCTCGTCACAAATCTCGGCAGACTCGTCCCTGAATACCGTAGGATCTGCGGATCCCTCTTTCGATGGGTAGTCAAAGTCAGCGGGCAGCGGAAGTTGGCTAGTGTAGATATCGACCACTCGGCCATCGACAATATCCTTCTGGTGCGTCTTCATGTGGCGGCGAAGCTGATCCTGGCGGTGGAAGTTGCGACAGCAACCGCGCACATTGCAGTTAAAGCGACCCTTGACCTCGTGGGTACGCTTATGCTTGGACAAGTTGGAAGATTCGCTGAACTTCTTGCCGCAGATGGGGCATTGGAGCGGCTTCTCGCCTGAATGGACGCGCATGTGCATTGCTGAAAGAATGCTGGTCAGAATCCTGGGTAGACAAGACAGACTGCTCCTGTGATTAAACTTACTGAGGGCACTAGGATATCTAAAGGTCTTGAAGCAGATGTTGCATTCCAGCGGCTTTTGATCAGAGTGGATGTACATGTGCTGAGTCAAAGCCTGCTTTGCCGAGAATCCTTTGTGGCAGATCTTGCAGACATGCGGTTTATCTGTACACGTTAGAGATGATCACGAATAGCAAAGCGCATAACCACTTACGACCAATATGCGTTTGCATATGCCTTTCGATCTTGCTCCTCTGCGGGAAGCCATGCACACCAGGGTGACTCCGGGGACAATCGTCCCAGGAGCAGAGAAACCCATAATTACCCTTGGATGCATGCTTGATGTGTACATTCGAAACATGGTCAAAGAGATCCCCCGCCTCTGTGAAAGTTTGGGCACAAAGTTTACCATTGTCCTCCCGCCATAGGCACTTGTGTTCGTCATTATCTCCATCCATCTTGTCACTGTAGCTGGTTTCCGACGTATCTGCGGATGAGCTGCGTGTATGGGAGGGCGACTGAGCCCGAGTCTTTGCCTCCGACACCGGTGTGAGGGGAGAAGGCGTGTTCATGGATGCTCCCGAATCAGATGTGTCGAGAGGAGTGGCTGGAGATAAGGATAATGCCTCGGTTGCTGCCAACGTTCCGCTACTCCGCACACCTCCAGAGCCAGGGATCAAGTTAGGTAGAGCGAGCTGGCCGTTACTGTTGTTGCTCTTGTTGGGCTCGGTATTCGTGAAATACGGCCTATGTTGTGTGTTGAAGTGCCTGATATACGCCTCAGGATCACTCGCCTCAAACCCACATTGCTGCAAGGCTTGACTTGCCTGAAAATTGCTAGCCACAGAGCTGTACTGACCAAACTGGGCGGCGTTGAAAGACACAGGAATATGGCAGTTAGGATAGTTCTGGGGATCGTCTAACAGACAGGGCCGGGTGCAGTTTGACGACTCTCCATCTCCGTGAGCTGACAACAGATGACTCGTGATATTACCTAACGGGTTCGGAAGCCAGCTTGGAGACAGCAGAGATGTCTGCTGTGTGTTTCGAGAAAGACTTTGGTTCATGCCGTTCATGACTTGGTTCACTAAATCAGCGCGTGTGAGTTAGAACACAGACGGACAAGAGGAAAACGGGAAGTAATGGCGGCTTACTATTCTGGTTGAGACCATTGAGGCTGTTCATGTGGTTGAGGCTGTTCATGCCATTCATGTTGTTCATGTTGTTCATGTTGCTCATGCCACCCATGCCGTTCATGTTACCCATGCTGCCGATGTTGCTCATATGGTTCATGTTACCCATATTCGCCATACTGCCCATGCCACCCATACTGTTCATGCCGCCCATGCTGCTAAAGTTGAAGCTCTGGGTGAGCATGTCAGACCCATGATTAATGGATAAGAGCGCGGCGGCGCCGTCGACAAGATCGGAGGGGAAGGCCATGGAACGTTCGGGGCAGCTTTGGTCTACGCAGACGTCCTCGCCGTTGGCACACGCAACGTTAGTGCATTTGCCAGTCATGGCACACTCGCTATCGCAACAACTGTCCTCGGCGTTAGACTGGCAATCCTCTCCGCACTCCTGCATTGATCGCTGACTCTGATGACCCTGCCATTGGGACCAGGCACCGAATTGCTGCATGGGCATGAAGTCGTTTGATGTTATGTTGTGGGCGAAAAGGTCGACATCAGAAGTATCAAGCAAAGCATCCTGGCCATTTATGTATCGCCGTGACCAGTGGCCGAGTGAATTGGCCGTAACTCCACGGTGGTTCGGGAACTGAGAGCCACCTTGATAGAGGCCAAGGACCTCGCAGTGATCAACACATAGATCATCGTGGGATTCGTAGCCGACGGTGTTGTTTGTGGGTATGCGAGAGCCATCGTGGGCCGTCGAAGAAGATATCTGGGGTGTTGGATTGGAGGAGAGCGGTGTGTGTCGTTGACGGGAGGAGTCCATCAAGTACTGAAAGCGAAGGTCGAGAGAACCGTGATGGCCATGGTTGTGGCTCTGGCTTTGGCTCTGACTCTGGCTGTGATTCGCGGGCCGGTGGCCGAAGTGGCCGTCCATGTCGCTCCGGGAATCGTGATGGTCAGGGCGCATAGCGGCGTGCTTCGGAATTTGGTAAAGTCAGGGGAGCCCGGGAGACGTCATCGATACAGAGTCAGAATGTCGAAGAAACTGTCGCTCCGGGTGGTTACTCGCACCAAGGTTTGGTGTCTTTCCACCTCGTCGCCCAGAAGGAAAAAAAACAAGGCGACGTGAATGGGGGCGTGAAAATGAAGACAGTTGCAAAATCAAGTACTGTACGGCAAGATAATCCGACCGTGTTGGTAGTAGCGAGGACGGGACTGGCTAGCGGCTAGCGGCTACCGTATGGGGTTCGGGTATGGAGACGCTGAGAGACCTGAGAGAACGAGAGCGGCTCCGGTCCGGATGGGCGAAAGCTTGGTCAGCCCCGAGTTCTGAGCGGCGGACACGGCGATCCGACCGAAGAAGAATGGGCTTTTGTGGACGAGTGCCGGAGAGAATTGAGCGGAAGCAGTGCCGGGCTCGCCAGTCTAGATTCTTGGTCGAGACGGGTGATGGTGGTCTGTCGAGTGAGAATGGCTGGATGGAAGGTGACAGTGGATTGAAAGCTGCTCCTGGTGGGTGAGAACCTTGATGGCCTTGGGTCCTTGGGCCCTGCTTCTGGCTGGGGCGACCGGCGAGGGGTGCGTGCGTCTTTACGTCCTCTGGATTTTTTTTGGGGTCGACCTAGGGTTCAGGTTGGTGCGCAGGGCAGACGAAAGACAGATTGAGCTCGGACGCGAATTGAACAAAGGGCACCATCAAGGTACCACAGTGAGGGGAGTCGAAATGCAAATGGTGGACAAGTGGAAGGCGCGACCTGTGATGCTCAATTGCTCTGTCCAGGTAAGCTTTTTTGCTGCATCAATTTTTTTCGCGCTGGGAGCGGAGTTCGGCCCAGAAAATGCTGTCACCAAAAGTGCGCACCCTGCCCTTGCCTTTTGCATTCACCATCCTGCATCCTCGCTGACTGGCTGCTTCCACTTGCCACGGCAGTTTCCGACAGCGAGGTCCTCGCGGCTAGAGGCACCCAGGAACCGCACTGCGGAACATTGGCAAACGGTTTTCATTGTTCCAATCCATCTCTTGCGCGGATGATGCACCAACCAAAGGAGAGGACCACATGTTTCTACAGGCTGCTAAAAACTGGTGCTCACAGGGGCAGCACCGTAGCCCTTGTCTCAAAGATGCACCTGAGAGATTATTAGGAGCACAGCATGCAGTGGAATGTTCGGTATCGTGATACCGAGTGTCTACAAGCTCTTCGCCCAATGGGAACCTGAACGGGTATGTAAAATCCTCAAATCATCCCATCTCGGATTTGCAGAATGCCTCCGCGGCTCAGCCCGTCCTGCAAAACGTACAGTACCTCAGTAGACATAAGGTGGGGGAGCAAATGTCTGTGCGCAAAAAAGCCCTTGAAACTTGGAACGGATTGAAGTCTTGGCTGCCCTCAGATTCCTATCTTCTTATGGTGACATGCCTAAGTGTATAGCCAGCATCAATATCAAGCATGTCCAGCGGGCATCACCCGGCCCCACGGAGCCCCGCCTGCCCCGGGCCATTGTCAAGTTCATGATCACGGTCCGTCCCGGCATCGAAAACGTGTTCTTCTTCCACTTTCTTTACCACGTGATAAAATGATCGAGGGTCTACCGCTATCTATTCATCTCAGCCAAGCACGCGGGCCTCGCTATCACTTCTCCTCTAGCGTCGTCAGCTCTCCATTAAGTCGTCAGGGCATCGATAGCGGTTACTACGACTTCACCTTTCATAGGTCAAATCACTGGAACTCAAGCCAAAGCAACGGGTTTTTGAAAACTGTAAACGGTACAATTCGTCATATCATCACTGACCGAAAGCCATCCTTGCCGAAAAAGAGCAACAAAGTTTATCATAGTATTCAAGTTACTGACCAGCCCTTGAGAGTTTTGATTGTGCCCAGCCAGGATATTTTATCTCATTCGTGGCTCAGGGCCGTGTGACGCTCGGGATACCAGGGGACCAAGACCACCAAGACCGCTACCGAAGAGCCAACGACCTCAACCGTTGTCCGCATCTCATCATCAACTCCATGATCCACATTCCACCACGATTCTCAAACAAATAACATGATCCATCTATATACTTGAATTCTTCATCGCACCGACGCAAAACCAACTGCCCATAGTTTAAAAACCGAGAGTTATCAATTCCATTCTCCGCGCAATTCCGAACCGCGAGGTTGATCACCAGGTAGCACCTGTCTATCTACATTCTCGTGCCGAAGGGAATACTATCAACAAAAATAAGAACAAGAATAAGAAGAAAAAATGGGAAATTGCTTCAGCAAGGGCTCCGGATCCGGGAACTTCCGAGGCGAAGGCCGCGTTCTAGGTGGCAGTGGCAGCGCCACTACTCCGGCGGCGGCGGCGCGTCCGGCACCAGCAACAGCCGGCGGCGGATACGGGACTGTCAACCCACCCACATCCGCCCCGGTACCACCAAGGGCGACGACGACGGCGGCGACCACCACCGGCGGCAGGACTCTCGGAGGGACAGAAACAGAAGGAGGAGGAAGTAATGACCCAAAGAGCAAAGCCGCTCAAGCAGCTATGGTTCGTTTCCCCTCCGTCCCCCCCCAACTCCAATCCCATCTCATCGCATCCCATCCCGTCGTTCCTTCTCTCATCTCTTGTATCCCGGGATGGAAGTTAACAACCCACCCAATCACTCCCTCACCACTGACTCATCACTTACTTACCACTCACTGACCCCAACTGCACACACTAATAAACAACACTGCAGGCTCGATTCCAAAAAGATCAAGGGTCAGGTGCCGACCTCTCCAAGAAGTTGCGAGCGCAAAAGGGCATGACGCGTGACGCGCTGCTTAAGGAGGAGAGTGAGCGGGAGAGGGCGAGGAGGGCGGCTGAGCAAGCTGCAGAGGCGAGGACTTATAACTAAGTAGGATGATTGTTTGATGAGGCACGAGTGATTGTCGGGAGGGTCGGATGATGGTTGGGTTGGTTCGCTGGTTAGGCGGTGCGTGGTGCTTTGGGATGATGATTTGCATATGGTGGTTGATGGTGGCTCACGAGGGACATGTTGATGTTATAACTGGATGGTTTTGTTTTTCTCTTTTCACCTTTTTCTTGTCATCCTTTTCATTTTCGGTTGTATATATTCTCGCCTCTGGTGTTGATCTAAAGCATGGACAGCACACATATTTCATCGATCAAAGACGCAACAATTGTGAATATTGTGTGTAGAACACTGGATGTGTCAATCTATAATGTATTTATGCGCAACGACCTGATCGTAGATATACTATGTCGCCAACCACCACCTCTTCGCACGTGTGTACATACGTCACCTTAATCATGTATCAAATCGTCCAAAAACCCATCATTTGAAAAGCTAACCTATACACTTCAAACACCCATCGTTTTTCCAGTCTATCACGTAATCGTGTATCTACCGCTAGCAGGAGCACGGCTCTCGGCATCAGCTGCCGCCATCGTGCCCTCCCTGAGCAGACGAGTAAGCTCCGACAGCGCGTTGCCAACGACAACCTCGGTATCACCCTCAATGAGAATGTACAGCTTCGGCTCTTGACCAGGACCTGGCTCCTTTCCGGGCGGGTAATAGTTGCCCTTTGTGGTGATCGATGTTCCCGTGGCTTCGAGGATCTTGGCAACGTTCGTACGGTTGGTGACGGCCCAACGAGCCTTCTGGGGGAAGTCGTTGATTTCGAGGGTGGCGTGGAACGCGCCCGCGTCGGGACCCTTGTTGTCGATGGGCTGACCAGGCCGGAGCTGACCAGCTCGGGCGAGACGAGCGTTGATCTCGCTGATGGCGGACGCCGCCTTGTCGAGAGCTCCTCCGCTCTTACCGCTGCTTGCGTGATGCCCGGCCTTGACGGCACCCGCGGGGATGGCGTGCTTGTCCTCCGTCTCCGCCTTGGAGGCATCGCGCGAGACAATGGCAGATACAGCAGACTGGATGGCAACCTTGGTCTTGTCCTTCTTCTCGCCATCTTCTGCAGGGGCGTCTTCCTTGACATCGTCCTCTTCGCCTTCCGCCTTGTGGGTCTTGCGTTCACGCATGCGAGCGGCCTCACGGTCTTTGTCGAGCTTCTCAAGACCCTTTCCGCCAAACCCACTAGCGTCCTTGGCTTTACCAGCCTTGACCTTCTCCTTCCATGCCTTGCGCATTTCATTCAGACGGTCTGGAACGGGTTGGCCGCTCTGCTCCAACGCTTTGGCAATGCCAGATGCGCAATTCTCCTGCTCTTCGGTGATAAAGGTGACTGCCGTGCCCGTGTTACCGGCGCGTCCAGTACGCCCGGCGCGGTGGACGTAGTCTTCCAAGTGATTAGGCGCATCGTAATTGATGACGAGTTTCAACTGCTTGACGTCCAGACCACGGGCCGCAATTGAGGTTGCAATGAGGATGGGGCACACACCCTTCTTGAAATCAGAAATGGTCGAGTTTCGGTCCTCTTGGTCTTTACCTCCATGGATAGACATGCAACCGTAGCCGCGCCGCAAGAGTTCGCGTAAGAGATCGTCAGCCTTTTCTTGCCTCTCCACGAAGATCAACGAACGGACATCGTCGTCGTCCGCATAAAGCTCTCCCAGGAGTTCTAGCAGACGGTTGAACTTCTTACCCTCGTCCATGACCTCAACGATCTGTGTGATCTCGGGTGCTACAACACTGCGTCCACCCACGGTGATCTCGACAGGGTCACGCAGGACCTTCTTGGTTAACGCGTCGATAATCCTGGGCATGGTGGCAGAAAAGAGGATAGTCTGGCGATCTGGGCGGACGTTGTTGAAGATTTTCATGACCTGGGGTTCAAAACCCATGTCGAACATTCGATCAGCCTCGTCAAGGACTAGATAAGTAGCGCGCTTGAGGTTTGTTACACGTCCTCCGTTGGCCGCAAGAAGATCGATTAGGCGACCTGGTGTGGCTACGATGATCTCAGCACCGCGCTTCAACTCAGCAATCTGATCCTTAATGGCGTTTCCGCCATAAGCAGCGACAACGCGAAGCTTGAGAGCCTTTGCAAATGGTTGCAAGTCCGAGTAAATTTGCGTGCAGAGCTCTCTGGTCGGGGTCATGATAAGCGCAATTGCACCATCATCGCCGGTAACTGGGTCTTGATCCTTGACATGGCGGAGCATCGGCAGGGCAAAAGCCATTGTCTTACCAGATCCCGTCTTTGCAACACCGATCACGTCACGCCCTGACATAATGACAGGCAGGGCTTGCATCTGAATCGGCGTAGGCTTTTCATACCCAAGGCTCTCGATAGTATCGAGAATGGGACGGGTGAGGCCGCACTGAGACCACTTCTGAACGGGCTTGGGGATGTTCTTCCCGGACACTTTGATGCCATCAAGCTCCAGGCGTAACTCCGCCAGTTCTTCTTCGCTCATTTGACTTAGCTCATATGGCTCAACCCAGAAGTTCTTCCGGATAGGATTCAGGTCAAGCTTGCTGTAGTCGATCGTGGGGATATCCTTCTTCTTCTTTTTGGAAGCCATAGCGAGAATGGAAGTAGGGTCGGTCCCATCTGCCTCATAGCCGTAGTCATCATCACTGAAGTAGGCCTCGGGCGGGGTATTGCCCTTTTTCTCGGTCCGCGTATCAACCTTGGATTGCACCTCCTCGCCAGAGGCTGTCTGCTCAAGTCCAGCCATAAAGGCATCGAGTGGGTCGACTTCGTCGTCTACATCCATCGCTGTCGGATTTTGCGCCACAGGCTCGGTTGTAGCCTCCACACTGGGAGGGACACTGTCGATTTCCATGGCAATGCTCTCTTTCTGAATCTGCTCCTCACGCCGCTCGCGCAGCAACCGTTGGGCTTCAGCGCGGTCCTCCTCGGTGCCGGCAAGGAGTACGTCGAAATCCTTCTCCGCGTCTTCCGCCACATCATCGTCCGCGTATGGGGTGTCGTCAGCATTCTCGAGGGCCAAATCAGGGAGTTTGACAAGCTTGCGCTTGATGATCTCTTCATCGCCCATGTCGATTTTCCGTTTGGTTGTCGATTTGAGGGCATCGGTGGCCTTGTTGAAGCCGAATGTACTAATGGGCCTTCCAGTTTGAAGTAAGCCTGCTTTCCCTGATGCGGCAACTTTGCCCTGGACGGCTGTACTCGCCGCCACCGCCGCAGCACCTACTTTCACATCACCTAGCTTCACGTCGCCTAACCTCACCGGGGAACTGGCACGCGCTGGTTTAGCATTCCGCGCAATGGCTTTGGGATCAAACTTGCCGACATAGGGAGCAGGGGTTGCCGGGGACTCGGCGGCTGCCGGGCTCGCAGGCGCAGGGCTGTTAGCACCGCTGCCAACTACGGCGCCACTGGCCCTCTGATCCATCTCTAAGAAGAGTTTCCTAGTGAGCCCAGCGGTGACGTCTGCTTCCTTTGCCTCCTTAAGCGCGTGCTTTTGCTTCATCGCTTGAAGTTTTCGTAGTCGTTCAGCCTTCTTCTCCGCCTCTGTTTGCGGTTGGGTTGGTGTAGACTTAGCTGGCTACATAATGCAGTTGCGTCAGTGAACAGTCCGGAAAAGGGGATGCTTATTTGTAGAGTCCTCCAGAACGTACCTCGTTTTCCTTGACTGTTGTGCTGCCTGGCTTCGGCTGGTCGCGTGCTCGAACGTCATCACGACGATGTGAGGATGATTCAGCAGTGCCTTCGCGACGGGCTCGAGCCCGATCCCGAGAGTCGTCTCGCCGGGGGCGGTACTCCCGGTCCAGATCCCGACTTCGGTCCCTACGCCGGTCTGGGGAACGAAGCCTGTCCGGACCTCTATCGCGTGATCGACGGCGGTCACCATCACGACGTGAGCCGCGATAGTAGTCGTCATCTCGGCGGTCTATAGATCGATCCCTACGACGATAAGAGTCGCGGTCCCTTCCATCTCGTCCACGGTCGCGATCCCGGTCGCGATATCGGCGCTGCATGGACATCACACGTGTCAGCCATTGGGGTTCTTGGGAGCAGCACGACACCGGGAGTCGGGGAAACGGTTGACTTACGTCTATGGGGCTGCGAGAACGGCGGCGGTGGTCGACAGGGCCATCGCGACGGTCGCGGTCACGGCGGTCGTCATCTTTTCGTTTTCTCGCAGAGAGACTTCCTGCAGGAGATGGTGAGCGCGAGTCCCTGAGCCGAGCCATACTGCTGGTAGTAACGTTGGCTCAGCAATGTCACTGATGGTGAGATGTACTTCGAGTCGCGTGGTATGCACAGTTAGCGTATCAGAGGGTCTTTGCGCATTCGGCTGCCCTCCGTTGTGTTCGATCCGGTCGGTAGTATGGGCGTCAGTTCCAAGGTCGGAGAGGCGTTGTGCGGTGGTGCGGTGGTGCGGTGGCCTCGGTCAGAAACTGAAAAGACGTGAGACGGGCTGTGGAGAAGGAACCTGGAAAAGAGGCAAGCGTTGGGTTCCGTCGAGGCAAAAGTTGCACGCCGGGCATGAAAGTTTGCGGGAGCCGGGAATCTGCTGAGTGCAGTGGCCACCCCCAGCGCGGAGTCCAGCAGCCCCAGCGAGGCCTTCTGCCTGGGCTTCGCTTGTGGTTCCATCTACTAAAGCGCCAAGGCTCTAACTCCATAGGTAGACTCCAGAGGGACCGTGCGCTTGGTCCAATTTGGTCCCTACTCCCTGTTGTTCTTGACAGGCAGGCAGGAAAGCTTCAGTTGCAAATGCCCGTGTAAGTACTACGTATGCGCAACTGCAAAATACCCGGGTAACTATCAACATGTAAAGGTCCGCGCAGATACCGAGCATATTTACTGCTAAGTACATCTACTCTTCGACCTCCGTCTGTGTGTATCGTCACGTATGAACCTACTACTAAACCAAGCTCAAGCGGAAGCTTCTCTTGTTAAGGACGAAGCTCAAGCTGAGGCAGGGGACTCCACTGGTGCCGTGGACCGGAGGTCAAACACCTGGTATGTGGAGCTTGGTCTGGGTATGTGACGTATATTACCTGTAACTCTGCTGTCTTGTCGTATGTCTACACTACGTTGACGAGGGCACAACCTTCGAGTACCTAGAGGTAGAGGTATACACGTTTTGAGTGAACGAAGGTCAATATACAGTTCCCATCGACCAAACACACTCCGCTTCTTATGATCTAGGCATTTCTTTTGAGAGACGGTGTTTTTTTTTGAGGAACTCCCACGAGATCGAACCACGTTCCGAGTGAACCGAAACAACATCCACGGTACCTGCCTCCTTGCGTACCGCTCCCCAGGCACACCTGCAAGTCTCGACACAAGAAGTGCCTGGGCACGAGCCCTCCCCCTCCATCTGCCGTGCGGGCTCCATCCTGCGTAAAACTGATCTTCGCGTCCCACTCCAGCTTCCCGCTTGGACGGGGGCTTGCCAGCTCGACTCTCGTCTGTCACTGTTGCTTCACTCTTCCCTTTCACTTGTGCAATTGGCCCCGCAACAAAACAAATTCCTGCTTGGCCTGCACCGCGACAGCTTCTCCCCTCTCTCCTCCCACCATTTCCCACCCCGACCTCACTGTCGCCGCCACAGCCCAAGATGTTCTCGCAAATCGCGCTCGCGACGGCTCGTCAGCTGCGCGCTGGTACCACGCTGGTCGTTCGTACTGCCGCGGCTGCGTCCACCAGCTTGACCACCCGCTCCGCTGCTCCCAGCTTCCTTCGCCGCAGCGGCCTTGTCTTCCAGCAGCGCGGTTACGCCTTAACCCGCTCTAAGAAAACCGCCGCCGAATCGCACGACACTGCTGCTACGGCCACCAAGACGAACAAGACTCGTTCCACCGCCGCAAAGTCCAAGAAGTCGGCCGCCAAGGGCGCTACAAGCGCCGCCGCAAAGACAAAGACGCCCAGAGCCAAGAAGGAGGCTGCGCCCAAGAAGCCCAAGAAATCTAAGGCGGCCAAAACGAAGGCACCGCTGACGGAGGAGCAGAAGCTGAAGCTCAAGATCAGACTGTACAAGCAGCGGGCGTTGTTCAAAGAAGATCCCAAAACCCACCGAGCTACCGGTTGGGCCGTGTTCGTGAGAGAGCACATCAAGGACGTCATTAAAGAAGGCGATGCTCTCGAGGAGCGGAGAACGTACTTCGCAAAGTTGGCTCCCCAGTGGAAGGAGCTGTCGGCCGCTGAAAAAGACGTAAGTTTGCCCTATGTAGCTCCATGCCGTGATGTTTCATCTGCCGCCCTTCTGCTACTTCTCAAGTCTGTACCATGCTCTGTCCCGTTTCTTTGCTGACTGCGGTCTTTTCATACACAGCGCTATCACGCTAAGGCCGACAAGGCTCACCAGGACGGCTTGGCCGCGCGGGCAGCGTGGGTGCTCACCAAGACACCCATGGAGATCGAAACCGCCAATTATGCCCGTCATGCGCTGAAGCGCCTCGGTGTCACTCCGATCGTCCATCTTATCCCTGATGACCGGGGCCCAAAGCGCCAAAGGACTGCCTTTGTGTTCTTTTGCATGTCACGGCAAAAGGACGGCGCCTTTGTCGGCAAGTCCGCAGCGGAAGTGTCGAAGGCTTTGGCCAAGGAGTGGAAGTCTATGGACGATGCGGCGAAACAGGTAGGTCGTTGCATTCCTTCATTCTCCATTTCTCTTTTATGCGACAGGCTCTTACCCCGTTCGCAACGACATTCTTGCCTGACTGGATCACCGTGTTAACAAATATTTGCTTCACCCAGCCTTACATCGACAACGCTGAGGTCGATAGGGAGAGATACCACAGTGAGAGGGCTGCTACTACTGCTGCTTATGCTGCTGCTTAAGCATGGTTGTCATGCCCTCCGACGCCGCGTTTCCGGTTCGGTTCATGTGAATTTATATGGGCTTCAAGAGGCCTCCATGAGCTCCATCACAAACCTAGCAGGGGTCCGTTGCCGGAGCTCCGTCGCACTTTGTTGTTCGAACGTCCACAGAAATGTACTAGTACAGTTTGTTTGGGAAGGGAGGCAATATCAGAATCCTTTATGGATAAATAAAGCAATGGAGCGTGGGTATCCAAAGAAACCGAATAGAGACGGTATCAGAAGCTCACTGCACCGCAAAACCTTAAGTTCACGTACACAAAGAGTATTTATGGGCCAATTTCAAGTTCGGTGCTTTCCAATATCACTGATACAGGGGGTTGCAGGTTATTAAACGCCCGCGACTCAGCTGAGCCCGCAACTCCCACCTTCAGATCACTAAGACCAGGGCCAGATTCTCCCGCCCATTTGAATCTGCCACAACAACCCAAAGCCCTACCTCGCGCTCGGCATGCCCACCCCCGCAGCCATCACAGACCGCGGCCTAGCCTCCATCCTAATGACCACCTCCCCGTCCCCATCCACCCACTCCGTCCCCGTATACAGCACCTTCCGCTTGCTAATGATGTACAAGACAAGGTACAGATGTCCCACCACCGCGCCCCAGCAATACATCCTCAACCGAGTGAACCCTTCGTCCCGCGTGCACCAGACCCCCCAGCCCGCCGCCCCGCTGCCCAGGTAGTCCGCCAGAAAGAGCCAGCACGACTCCTTGAGCTCGCGGTCCCACGATGTGCAGTCCACCAGCCAGTAGCCCCGCTCGTAAGGGCGCAGAGCGCGCGTCTGAAGCGAGGGTTGGTACCGCTTGGGGAGGTTTAGGTCGGTGGCGAGCTTGGCGAGGACGGGGGTTATCAGTGAGGAGTCGGTTTTTGCTCTTTCTTTTTCCCCTGAAGAAGAAGAGGAGAGGTCGAATACGTGATCGGATGTCGGGGCGCAGGGAGAGTGGAGCTCGAGGACGGATGAGAGGTGGGCGCTTCGTTGGGCGATTTGGTGAGTCTTGACGGCGTCTTGACGGGGACCGATGTCGCTGGTTGAGCGGGCGAGGGGCTTGCCGGAGCTTGAGATTGGGTTTGCGGAGGATGAGGGGGCGGGTAAAGATGTCAATGAAGCGGATGTGGCTGCTCGTGACGATGATGCCGGTGCTGGCGCTGGCTCGGGAGATGTGCGGCGACGCTTGGTGGGTGGTGGCTCGGATTCGGTACGGGGTGATGATAAAGATGGATTGGGTGGTCCTCCTTTGCTAATGATAGTGTCGGCGGGCGGAACTTGTTCTTGGGCGGCAGGCTGTGATGATGCTATCATGAACTCGCTGTCTCGAGAAGAGGGTGAAAGTCCACGCGGGACGGGTCGGGGGCGCTTGTTGTTGGCGTTTACTACTGGCGAGAGAGGTATCACTTTCGCTCTGGGATCTGGTGGTGTTTGACGTCTGGGGGAACCTTCTGTGGTTGGAATGCGCCTGCTGACTTGATAACATGATGACCCCCTTTCTGATGGCGCCGAAACGTGAGGTTCCTCGGTCGCGTTTACCGGCGGACTCAAAACACTTTGGATGTCCTCCACTGGAAGTTCCTGACTATTCCCTCGAAAAGAAGAACCCGGTGGTGGAAGTGCTACGCGAGATCCATGACCAACGACCTGTCGGCGCTGCGAGATATGGCTGATGGTGGGGAATGTCGAGTCCCCTTCATACTGACTCTGGACCGGGGCGGCTGTTGATTGTTGTGCTCTCGGGGCCCTCTCAATGACTGGTGATAGGGACTGACTGGAATCGCTAGGATGCAAATAGTCCTCCAACAGCCTTGTCGGTGTGCAAAACTGAGATAAGGTCACATTATTGTCTGGTAGTGAATCCTGGACAACACTGGGAGGAGGTTGCCATGAAAGCTGTGAGTTTTGACTGGGCTCATCGTGCCTCTCATCGTGCCTCATGCGCAAGCTCGGCGAAGCCAAATTGTTCGCGGCGTCGCGCCATGATAGCACCGGGGTTTCGACGAATCCTGCTATTCCAGACGACCGGATAATCTGGTTTGGCTGCGTCGAGGGCCCTAGGGACCCATTTCCAATGGGCCGAGGCCGCGCGACAGCCTCCTTGACAACGACATTTGGTGATATCGTCTTGCTGAACACTGATGTACGCGTGGTGGGCTCGAAGTCGAGATATGCGTTAGCGAGCGCTCGGTATGTAGCGTCATCTTTTGACCTGCTGGGGGCTGTGATGTGAACTAAGATTTCGGTCGCGGGTTTTTTGCTCATCGCACCGCATCAGGGCACCAGTTTAGGTTGTGGTTGTCGGGTGCCATGGAATGGGCTAGTATGTGTTCAGAAGGAGATCTAAAAGTTGGAAATGCGCCGGATTATGAGTTTATGGGTAGTGGTGAGCTGAGCGATGGAAGATTGTTGCCTGGCAGTGAAGTGTTCCAGGTTCTGAAGAGGTGAAGTGAAAGAGTGCGGGAGGACAAAGAAGCAAATGCGCATTGTTGACTTGCGGCGCGACACAGCAATTGGAGCAATCGGGTGTCTCGCGCGTCGCATTGGGTAGCAGGCGGGGTAGGCTCCACCTTTCGGCAAGGTCCCATGTTGAAGGAGTGCACAGATCCCTGGGCGTCTAAACTGTCCACTCAGATCCACCGCGTGCGGCATCCCGTCGACCACCCTGATGGACAACAGGGGTCCTTCATTTTGCCCTCTGGTTCCGCCTAAATCCAGCCTCTGTGGCCGGCTGAAAAGGGGTCACGGTGTTTCGCACAGGTGTCGCCGTGTCGGTACCTCGCTGGCTGGCCAAGAGCTGGCCTGGAGATGCGGAGACACAGTGGCATGCCCCTGATAGGTTGCAATCCATAGCTCCAAGTTGTTGACACTAGCAACCCTGCTCTAGAAACAATTGACTTTCTATCCATCTTTCCTTCCTTTCTGTCAAAGTTCCAATCCGTAACTTTGTTCCTAAATACCTCCTACGATGGCCTCAGAAAAGAAGCCGGAGCTTGGCTCCGTCATGGTGATTGGCGGCTGTGGCTTCCTCGGTCACCACGTTGTCCGCGTGCTCCTCCGCGACTACATCTGCTCCGTTTCCGTCATCGACCTACGCTGCACGCGCAACCGGCGACCCGAGTCGGACGGCGTCCAGTACTTCGAGGCCGACATCACCGACGCCGCCAGACTCGAAACCATCTTCAACCAGGTCAAGCCCCAGGTCGTCATCCACACCGCGTCGCCTCCCGCCCAGTCCAACGATAGCGTCTCCCATGCGCTGTTCAAGAAGGTCAATGTCGACGGCACTGCCGCCATCATCAAGGCGTGTCAGCAGACGGGCGTTACCGCCCTCGTCTACACCAGTTCCGCCAGTGTGATGAGCGACAACAAGTCCGACCTCATCAATGCCGACGAACGCTGGCCCGTCATCCGCGGAGCCGCGCAGAGCGAGTACTACTCGGAGACAAAGGTACCTTCCCACTCCCCACCTCAAATTCAAAGAATTTCCCCAAGACTAACGCCCCCCCCCCTCCCTCCAGGCCGCCGCCGAAGAGCTCGTCCTCCAGGCCAACCGCTCCGCCGCCGCCCCCAACCTTCTCACCTGCTCCATCCGTCCCTCCGGCATCATGGGCGAAGGCGACACCATGACCCTGTACCACCTCATCAAGCTGTACCAGAACGGCAAGACCTCAGTGCAAGTCGGCGACAACGACAACCTCTTCGACTTCACCTACGTCGAGAACGTAGCGCACGGCCACCTCCTGGCCGCCGTCGCCCTTGTCCAAACCTCCAAGCTCAAGATCGCGCCCCTAGACCACGAGCGCGTCGACGGCGAGGCTTTCATCATCACCAACGACTCGCCCGTGTACTTTTGGGATTTCTGCCGGGCCGTGTGGAACGCTGCGGGATCTCCCCATGGGACCGAGCACGTGTGGGTGCTGCCGCGCGATGTCGGCATTGTTCTGGGCTTCTTGTCAGAGGTGTTTTTCGGGATTATCCGTAAGCCGCCGACGTTTAACAGGCAGCGGATTATCTATAGCTGCATGACGAGGTACTACGATATTTCCAAGGCGAAGAAGCGGTTGGGGTATAAGCCGCTGGTGCCGCTGGATGAGGCGGTGAGGAGGTCGGTTAAGTGGACTTTGGAGCAGCAGAAGGGGGAGAAGTTGCAATAGGTGTAGGTAGGGCCTTGGATGGGGAAGGGATTACGGGTGTGGTGGTGGTGGTGGTGGTGGTGGTGGTGGTGGTGAACAAGGAAAATTCTTTATGAAAGGCATGAAAACTTGTATATGAAAGGTTGGACAAGTGCTGACGAGGAGAGGGGGAAACGGGCGCCGTTCTATCTGTCTCAGCGTATAATAATATCTAATGACAACGTTTGAATGATGTTCGACTAGGCAAAAACGAGATCGGCTACATAAGGGATACTGGGTATTGATTCAAAAGACGAATGGTCAACCGGCATGTGAGGGGGGAGCTACGAAAACCTTCAAAATACAAGCCAGAAGGTATGATGATGCTGGTGCGTATGAGCAGTTCCAGACTTGGTGTTCCAGTAGGTTGGTATTTTGCCCTTGTGTTTTGTTCTCCGTTGGTACCGAGTTTTTGTGTTGAGCAAGGACTCAACCGAAAACAGAGATGTCGCTTTTACACCGAACAGAGCAGAATGAGCCAAAGACCAAGTTTCGTTGCGGGGAGAAGAATGAATAAAAGTGTTTTAAGAAAAACCGAAGAAGCCAAACAGAAAAGTCGCTCTCCCTATAGTTAAGTAGATAAAGTAGTTGTAAAACCCCCGATAAGAAAAAAAAAAGAGTACTAAAGCTTCTCCTCCAACGGGGAAGAAAACTATGTTCTCAGCCAAGAGGGCTCAGTGATATCAAACAACGATGCCCGACAAAAAAAAAGGAACAATCACCACTTCCGTCCAGCCGACGGCATTTTACTAAAACCCTCTCCACCACCTCCTCCCAAAAAACAACCAAAACAATATGACAGGTGAGGTAGGAGCTCCTGCAGTGCTCATGCAGTGCCAGTAGTCACCCCGTTGTTTGGCCTGCCCCAGCCGGAATTCCGCCATTCCTTCCTCGGTCCCTGTTGTTGCTGTCCTCCATTGTGATTATGCTGCCCGCTCGGCGGCCCGCCATTACGATTATAGTCGCCGCCGCTTGCGGCCCCGTCCCCTCCGCCTCCTATCGCGTTTCCACCTGGTCCTACACCTGGCCCTCCAGGACCCCCTGGACCACCTGGACCACCACCAGCGGCGGCGGCAGCAGCAGCCGCGTGTTCAGGTGCGGGACCGTACGGGATAGGCTGTTGTGGTCCACCAGGCGGCCCTGGAGGATGGTTGCTGAACCCACCGGGACCACCATCTCCATGTGACTGTGAGAGTGGATGTGGTCCCATCCCGCCAGGTCCGCCACGCTTTTGTGGTGACACCGCTCCTCCGGGGCCTCCCATCCGATCCACCATTCCTCCGTTGTTACCACTGCCACCACCAACGGGGCCAGGGCCGAGGTACGCCGCGTTCTCGGTTACGGTCCGGACGCTAGTCTCCTGCTGCCACGACGTCGGGTCGGATTCGACCCTTCGTGGCGGTGGCCGACTGGGGTTCTCGTGCCGGCCGACGATCTCGACGACATCGGCGTACTGTCGTGAACCGAAGCCGCCGGTATTACGTTCAGAGTACCGCTTGAGGATTTCTTTGGTCGTGAGCTCTGCGTCGAGGAAGGCAGGGTCGCTGATGTATTGTACTAGTTCATCGGGGACCTGTAAAGTACGTATGTTAGTCAAGTGTTGCATAGACTGAGCCACGAGAGAAGAAACTTACCAAGCACATCTCTTCAATATTTGCTATCAGAATCTCGACGGCCTCGATTGCATACATCGGGTCGCTACCCAACGTGGACGTCGCAGTTCTGTCAAACAAAACGTTGGGCGCTATGACAGTTGCCAGATTCTTGACGTCCATCTTGGAACCTGATTCTTCATCGACCTGGTGAAACGATCCGGCCCACTTAAGGAAGCAGAACAGTATCTCCATGGAGTCGCGGTGACACTTGGGCATCAGACAGCATATCAGGTGGAGACACTGCCTCTTCTTGTCCTCGTCCGAGATCTTTGCGGCTGCCAGCCAAAGTCGGTAGAGCTTCTGGGTCATGAGCGGATCAGGCAATTCTCGGAGATATCGTTTTAGCAGGGCGGCCACCTGAACGACGTTGTTACCGCTGAGGTCCACGTTCCCTTCTTTGTCGATCTTCTCAACAAGCTCACCCAGCTTCTTGATATTGCCGTTCTTTCGGAAAACGCCTTCGACCGAAAGGTCCATTTGCCTCATGAGAGCTAGGATATCGTCAACAACTGCCGGGATCCTCAGCGTCCCGGGTCCCACGCCGTCTGTGGACTCGGCTCCATCCCGTTCGATAATAGCTTCCAGGGGTACGCCGAACACACCCTTCTTCTTCCGTCCATCTTTTTGAAAGGCTTTACCGATATTCTTCCAGAAGTTGGGCGTTTTCCGTGTTTCGATAAGTCCGATCAGTTCCACCAGGGTAAACTCACCCTCCACCATCGGGGCCATGGTGACAACGGCAAGATGTCGGATGATGAAATATTCCAAAGCAGAAAGTTCGGAGAAGTATCTCCTACCAACACGCTGAGGCGATGGTTCACCAGCAGCACGCGCGTCCCCACCCTTGCTGTCGGAATAGCTTCGCTTGTGTCCACTGCCTGATGATGCACCACCAAATGAGGGCTCGGTGGCCGGAGAACGCAATAGCTCATGCCTACTAGGCGGACCTGTTCGTTGTTCTCTTGCCTGCTCAGCAGCAACGATCCGAGGAATATCCGCAAGGGTGAGGGCGTCCTGATTAGGCAGCATCATATCGTGGTCGTCTCCGGGTCCCATATCCTCCTCGATCCGCATTCTCCTGCCATTAGCTGGTCCACCATCGACGCCCGAACCAGGCCCGGACCCGGGCTGTGCACTGCTACTCTCGGGTCCATCCATAATTCGGGACGTCCGAGCTTTCCTAAAGCTTGACGAAAGGTGCTTATCCAAACGGGTGCTCTTCAGCCTCTTGACATCATTAAGAGCGCTCTCATAGGACGATTCTCGATGATGTTGTGACTGATCGCCCCCGGGAAAGCCCCTCTGTCTACCATCCAGTGATGGGCGGCCATCGCCTGCATCGTTTCCATTATGACCCCTTGCTTCAGCCGCAGACGGAAGGGCACCGTGCATTCGTAGGATTTCCAACAACCTGGCCAGCGCCACCTGCAGGAGGAACATGTACTGCTGCAGCTTGGACACACGCTCAAACGGCGGCGCCTTGTCCGAGCTGTACGATTCGCAGTTGTTGCAAAATATCTTGGAATCGTACAGGTTCAGTCGGGCATCTTGTAGACTCCGGCCGAGTTCTCTCTGGCAACGTGAGCAGTTGACACACGTGATATGCCACCTCTTGTCGCCGCTCTTCGCACACTCGTCCTCAATGGGCTTTTTGCAGAGGGTACACGAGTCCGAGTCCGAAGCCGAGAGGCGAGCCATGCCGGATGTTAGCTGAAGCGTCGTCGTGGAGTTATCTTCAGTCTTTAGCGCTTCAAGATCGTTGAGCTCGTCGAGAAACGCATCGAGGCCATCGGCGGTGTCGCGCTCCTTCTCGATCCGCAACGCTCCCTGTAAGCAGATTCGAATAAGGAGCTTCAGATAATGAGCTAGACCAGTGACGAGTGTTAACAATTCTTGGGTAACACCAAGCTTGCGGGAGCCCTTATCCTGTGTTTTGGACAGTAGCGAGAAGAATGCCACGATCTTCTTGCACAGAAGCTTGGCTTCTCTTCCATACATTAGGCCTATTATTCATCAGCCAACATCATCACTAGCTTTTCGGGGATGCGCTCGTGCACCCTGGGTTTCTCTCACCTGTCATATCCAGTCGAGCCATGGTAGCGTCAAGCCTATCCGCTGAGTGGAACAGTATGTCAACGTGCCATATGAACTTTTTAGCTACCATGACACCGTCGACATATGCCCCGTTGCTCACATGGAGAAGCATATCCGATATGCAAGCCGCCGACGATTCTTCAAAAGTCGAAAGCACGCTCCAAATACGGTAGACCTTCTCTTCCATGCGTTCCTCTTCGTCCCGAACTAGTTCACGGCCAGCAGGGTCATCCGGCACCGGCCCGAGAGCCTTTTGTGGAGGATTTAACCTGACATTCCAGAACTTGTGAATCATGTAGCATTCGGGATGCCAGTGTTGATTTTGGCCGTTTCGAAATATTTCGACAAACTGCTTGAGGATGGCAGTTTGGCAGCCACTGCAACGTTGGGCGTACTGTGTCGAATAGTGGTAATGGCAGTAAACATGTCCATCGTGCTCGTAGTAGCTATCCTGAGCGCCGAAGACAGTCGGGCAAAGCGAGCAGGTAAAGTGGTCGACGTGGTATTTGCGATCGAGGGCCGTGATGTAAGAACCCCGAAGAGCTCCGCCACACTGATAACACAGCAAGCCTAACCTGCGAAAGTAATCCGTCTCGCAGAGGGGATACTGACCCTCGCCGTTGTTGTCGTCGGCTGGGAAGAACTTGGAAGCCACAATTTGGCCGCAGTCCTGCACATGAGATGGTTAGCCAAGAAGTCCACACCGGGCGGCTGGTTCAGGGACTCACGCGACACTTGAAGCAATCCAAATGAAATGTCCCATCGAGTGCGCGAACAAACTGCCCCGTCAATGGTTCGCCACATTTCTTGCACACTCGCACTTGTCCGCTAGCTATCCTCGACCCCTTTGGCTTTGGCCTGTTCTTCTCTCCACTACGTCTCGATTCGAGATCTGTAGCATCGGCGGCGCTCAGCGCAGGCGATCCTGGAATGCGAGCCAAGTGGGCATTTGTGGGGGCGCCGTTTTGTTGTGATATCGTTTGGGTAATATCCAGATGCTCGTCCTCTCTCGGATGCGCAGCTTCACCTTGGGGGTGCCCCTGGGGATGTCCATGGGTGAATTCGCGGTCGCCCACGGGGCCGCCGCCGTAGTCTGAGCTTGCCATTTCGATGTTGTTCTTTGACCCCTGATTCCTTGATGTAGTTCAGAAACCCAAGCTCTTGATGTTTCGATGTATTTCCAAAGACAGGCGAGCTACGATCGCGGACGCGGCGAAATATGGATGTAGGTTGGTGGACAAAGGCGCGTATGTCAACATCAAGCGGGGGCTCGAGCCCAGTTGGTCGAGACGAAAGGGATACGGCAAACTAATGCCAGATGCCGCAGAACGACACCGCAACGGCCACAAGTCGACGGTTCGCCAGTCGGTCTGTAGTCGTGCGCGTAACTGTCTAGCGCGCTCTGGCGAGCTCGACAGTTAGGGGGTTAGTTGCGACTGACGGACGAAGGGCTTTGGAGTTGGCCGCCTCGATGGGGACACGGCGTAGATAGTTGTCGACGTGAACTCAATGGTGTTGAGCGGCAGGAGGGATAGTTTGATGACCCGGGCCGGTGTAGCGGACAGGGGCTTGAAATGCGTTCGTGGTCGTTGGTTGTTCCTTGGGAACTCGGGCGCCGGCCAGATTGTCCAGTCAGGCCAGGGCAAGGATCGGGCAATCGTCAGTCGGTCGGGGAAAGGAGCGGACGTTGATGGCCACGGGGTGAAGATGGAATGATGGGTCGAAGTCGAACTGGTCGAAGTCGAATCACGATCACGGCGCGCTGGGTGCAGTCGGCGCCAATCACCTCAGTCGGCGGCGGTGGTGGTATAAGCGGTGGACGGTGAACGGTGGACGGTGTCGGTGTCGGTGGACAAGTGGACGTAACGGTGGACGTGGGACGGGATTCGTTGCGATGGCTGACAAGACGCCCGACTGAGTGCCTCTCTGGGCTGCTGCTTGTACAAGAGGTGTATCGAGATGTCGGGGCGCTATGGTCGGGGTTTGGAGAGGCGGCGGCCACAAGGGCGTGGAGGTGGCCGGGGGGAGGACGGTCGATTGGTGTAGCACTGGAGAAGGGAACCTGGGCTTGCGGTCGGGCGTGGTGTCGCCTGTGCTTGGGCGGTCGTTGTCCGCGGTGGAAGTGCGGTCGGGTGCCCAAAGACGGAACCAGTCAGTGCCAGCGGCCCGGTGCTGGGCTTGTAAGTTTGGGCCACCAGGGCCAGAGTCCAGCGGGCACCTCAATCTGCCCTGCACTTTTAGTCCGGTAGGTACGTACCTCTCTACCTTGGTCGGGTGGGACAAAACAGGAACACGGCAGCAATAAGAATGAAGCAGCAGCAACCTAACAGCAGCAACAGCGATCTACGACGACGGCGGAGTGCAATTTCCAGGCCTGCCTCTAACAATATGGATGGGACCAGTCTAGCATCAGGCCTGGGCTACCCGGCAACGTAAATCAAAGTAAAAAAAGATCACTACCAGGGCGCCTGCAGGGAAAAAAAAAAAGGATCGGAGATCCCTCTCGTGTCTCACGGTGCGTTAACAAGAGACGGGATGTTGATGCTGGGCTCTTGACAAGCAAGGAATAATCCTCATTCTGTGCGTGTGCCCTGGTTGTGTGGACGGAACAGCCCGACACAAGCTAACCCCCTACTACGAACGGAAGGGGGCCGGCCACGGCTTCCACTTGCATGCAAATAACACGTGTGCCCCGTCACTTGGATGTCTGGGAAACCTCGTCAGGAACGAGGGACGGGAGGTGGAAGTCTTGTACGCAGCATCCACATGGGATGATCTTGAACACAGCATTGCCCAGGCACGGGGAATGACATCCATACATCCATATAAACCTAAACATAGTTGTAATCACAATATATCGGAAGGGACCACGACCTCTTATATAGAGGTCCCTGTGTCCTACCAGCCCGCTTCTCCGCATCTGCATGCTTGATATTTTTGTCATTCTCGAGGAGAGGAAGATCATGGATATAGCGGCTGAGAAGTGAGAACACTGTGTTAACGACGAGTGGAGACCTGGCTCATGGCGTGAGACCCGAGAGTGGACAAAGAATATTGGACAATATGAGCCCCTTGAGGTTTCCGTCCTCCTTCCACATGGAACCCCTCTTCGTCAGGGTCTCAGCATTAAAGGCCTACAGTGTACGTGGCTCCTTTGTCAATCAACTTGGGACTTCTGGTTCGCCAAAAACCATAACATTCGCTCTTTGTCCCTATATCCAAGATACAAGTCAAGAGTAGAGGTAGTTGATCGAAAGACAGAAAACAACAGACATAACCATCCCGTCCAATATCTTGTACAGACCCACCCAGTACGCTGTGCCTGTACATACAATCTCCACTAAATAGACTCGACGATCAAGGGTTTGGGAACAACCCTGACATAAAACAACCTAAAAAGCTCCCCCTATCGCCAACCAAACAAGCCAACTTCAACCGAAAAAATGAAACAATGTGGTGCCATACCAACAACAAAATACCACGAGAAATATCAGTAGTGGCCTGTATCACCCTACAAGCGAACCAGTTTCATCAGTCTCTTCTCAATCATCTCACGTCCCTCCAAAGTCCGCCAGACTTGATGAGGTGCCTGGTCTACAATGTCCCAATCCTCCAGGTTTGATGTAAGGTGGGTTAGGTCTCGTTGCTGTGTATGGTAAATATTGACGTCAGCAAACGCTTTCCTCCTGACAGCAGCAAAGAAAATACGTCGGGCAATTGGGGCATCATGACATACCTTGCTCTCCCACTCGCTGTCCTTCCGCATCTGCAACCCAGACGTCACCACCACCACCGGCGTGGTCTTGTACTGGATGGTTCTGCTGGACACCACGTCTCGCCGGGTGAGCGAGTTGGCCACCAGACTCTCCTGCAGCTTAGCAAAGATCACTCCTCCGGTCTGGTAGGCAGACCTGCCGTAAATGCGGTCCCTGGAGCTTCGGCCTCGGAGGATGGCGGCGGGAATGCGGTCCAGGCCGCATGGGGAGAGGACGCCTTGCAACCAGAGGCGGAAGCCGCGGCCGGGCGCCCCAACCCGTCCAAGAAGGTCTTCGTGCAATGGGTCGATCATGAGGAGCCCGCGCACTTCTTGGCCGTGTCGCGAGCTGAAGACCCGTGAGTACAAGGAACCGATGCCGGCGCTGGCGAGCACCCAACTGCACAAGTATGTTGTCAGTGCACCGTGGAGAAGAAAAGAAGGAAGAGGGTCTTTGGATGAAAACATACGGTCCTTCCTCTCCTGCGCGAGACAGCGCTTCACTCAAAACATCAGATGCCATGCTCACTGAGAGTGGCGAAGGGGCTGCGTCACTCTGTCAAGTCGAATTTGTCAGTCGAACTGAAGAAAAGAGCAAGACACTCAGGTCAACATACCCAGGCGATCCCCGGCCGATCAGCAAAGCAATATCTGGCAATAGAACCGTTCTTGACCGCAGTCTCGGCAAACTGCCAGAGGCCATGCTCAACCGCATCCTCGCCGCCCTCAAAGAGCACGGTAGTCGTCCTGTTTCCATGAGCATCCACCTTGGGGCCAGAACAGAACAGATGGATCTGATATTTGTCCTCGTCGACCCAGTACCGCTGGCCCGGCGGCGCCACCCTCGCGTCCAGAGCGCGAAGTGTGAGCGTGCAAGTCGTGAGCAACACAACGATCGACACGAGCGTTAACATGATGCTAGACAAGAGTACCTGTACCCATTCGAGCAGCGTACGCCTCGTCTCCGGGCGGCCGGTGAGCCGTTCTTCTTCCTCGGTCTTGCCCCACTGCAATGCCGGTCGAGTGTCAGTACGTCAACCAAACCAAGGGCTCTCTCTTCATGAGACAGATTCTGAAGGAGAGAAAAGGAGAACCAGCAAACTTACCTGCACAGTCCGATCAGCCGCCACCGCCCAAACAGCCATCAGCGTCGCCCAAACCACACTCGCCACGCCCACCCACAACTCCTCATGCCTCGTCTTCTGCACCGCCAACATGATGACCACATCCACAAGCAACAACACCGCCGTAACAATGCTCACCACCCTTGCGGGTTGACTCGGCACTGCAAAGAACATCAAGATAGTGATCAGCGTGATCAGGGCAACCGTGGTATAACTAAACGCAAAAAAGGGCGATCCGCGCGCGTGCAAGCCGGGAGGCGTCACGAACACGGACACCAGCATCAGCACCCACCAGATGAAGGTGAGGAAGGTGAGGACGACGGTGACGGCGCGCACGAGACGCACCGTCCAGAGGTTGTAAGGGGAGACGGCTGGGTCGTCGGGCGAGAGGTAGGGAATGCCGGTGCTGTCTACCCGGTTGGGGAGGAGGCGGGTGTGTTCGTCGGGTTCGTGGTGGTGAGTGTCGATGGAGGATCGGCCGCCGGCGAGATCGTCCCGGTCCCGGCCGTGGTCCGAGGCTCCGTGGCCGTTGTGGGGCCAGTTCTTGGTGCTCATTGTGTTGGTTGGTATCAACCCAAGGTATGGGCCCGTCGAGTATAGTAGATAATCGGGCTAAATATTGCCAGGTAGGTATTGATGTGTAGCGTCTCACAAACTAGTACCTACGCACACACATTGGTAGAGGTAGGTCTGCAGTGTAAAGTGAGAGTGCAAATGGATGAGCAACCAAGCACTTGCATGAGGTTGAGCGGGTGTTGGTAGATTCAGCTACCTTATGCAAATGGCCCAGTCTAATATCGTCCACGTAACATTCAACCAGCTTATTTCTGGCAGGTATTGATCGCAAGCTGAGGTCAGAGAGCTGAAGGGGGCAATCAATAGCTTCAAAAGTCTGGGGCAGCTCTCGATTACATCAAGTCTTTTCTCCAAAGTGGACGGACGACAAGGGATGGAAGCTGGACGGGGGAGAGAAACCAACTACGTCATGTCGTCATGAACCAACCCCACGCCTGTACCCGATTGGTCAATCTCCCCCTTGGTGGTCTAAAAGGTGCTTGTGTGTCCCTAGAATCAACTTTCACACAACAAAAGAGAGGTGCCTATCTTGGCGCATTGTTTGTTCAGATCGGGTCATGGGTTGTCTTGTCGTGTGGTGAAAAACGCGGGGCAGAGCCGTGTTGCTGGGATCGATCGGGGCATTTTCAGGGAAGGTATGGTAGGACGCGTGTTACTGGTACGTACGCAGTGGCGGTTCATCATATTCGGAGGGAGACATGGAACGCCTGCGCTTACAAAAGGATATTTGAGGCTCATCACTCTCTCAAGGTTTCTTGGTGTGGTAACGATGCAGTGGTCGCACAACGGCGATGGAGGCTCGGGACCTCGGGAGGGAAATCACCCAACCTGCATGCTCGGTCTACTTGTAGATCACTGGACTGCATGGGATTTCAATTTTCAGGGGTATCCAAATAATAACGTCGACGACCCCGACGTGTTAATGGTCGATGTCAACTAATGTAGTTATATTGAAGCAAATCCATACCATAGCCGGACATATGCACCGTCAAAACCCGTCACAATAAAGGTATGTTCCAGAATTCACCACGGACATATAACCCATTCACCACCCACTCGTATCCCACGGCACAGCACTACTCCCTCCCGAAACCGACCCCTTCCTACTCGACCCCGACCCCACCGTCGACGAAGCAGTCCCAGTCCCAGTCCCAGTCCCAGTCCCGAACCCCATCAGACCACCAGACGACATAGTCGGACTTGACACCGACCCCGACCTAACAGACGAAGACCCTCCTCTCCCACCTCCGCCTATACTCCCCCTCCGCTGTTCCTCCTCCATCTGCCTCCTCTTCCTCTCCGCCTTCTTCCGCAAGAGCACCTCCTCCGGCGTCGACCCCGCCGTCGGCCTTATCGCGTCCTCGGGGATCTCACCGATAGGCGCATGCAGTTTCGTGTGAGGATCGCTGTCGTTGGGTGATACTCCCGCCCGCTGGAAGGCTTCTTGTTTGTATTGGTTGAGGGCTTGCATGGAGGGTTCCGAGGTGGAGGCCCAGTCGGCTACTTTGTGGAGGAGGCCGCCGAGGAACTTGCCGCTGGTTTTCCCGCCTCCGGGTTTGGTGGGTTTTGTGGTGGTGGTGGTTGTTGTTTTCTGAATGGCCATGATGCCGTTGTCGTCTCGTCTTGGGAAGCTGCCACTGCTGCCAGTTTTGGACATCTTAGAGGCTTTCGTGGGGGGATCCGTGGTTGTGGGTGTGTCCCAGTTGCCAACACTGTTCCAAAGGTCCGAGAGATGCACCCCAGCTGGTGATGTGTATGTCTGGCTTTCGATACACTGACAAGTGTCCTGTGTAAGCGCCTTTCAAACGCCGGAAGCTTTCCTCCTGGCGGTGTGGAAATATGTCCAATCGACTGGCGTTCAGCCCAGAAAAAGATTAGGCCACGCTCGGCCACCAACTTTGCATGGACAATCTGGCAAGGCCCAGCTTAAAACCGAGACCGCAACAACCAAGGTTTGGTTACACAAGATAGACACCGGAGAAGCCTATATCAGAAACCTTGGCTTCCGTGTTCGGAAAAGGTTGACTCGTCAGGGCGGCGTCAGGGAATTGCGTGAAGAAATCGGCCTGTACCCGAGATCGAGAAGGATATGATGAGGTCCATTATTGACACGAGGGCATCGTACTATCTCGTCGCTGTTGCCTTTCTGGCTACTAAGATCTGACAGAAAGTCGAATGACCAACCCGCGGAGGATACCTTTGCAAAAGTCTGAAAGTCCTGTTACGTGGGTCAGTATGTAAGAAACGTCAAGTCATATATAATCTCATGCGGTATAAACACACCTGAGGTGAGGCAAGTCAACGTCGCCTTATAACAGTGGTTTTCTGGCCAGGTTAGTTAAATGTTTCGTCCTGGTGTAGTTCCGAAAATATAAGAACGTCGTGAGTGTCCCGGTCGGAAAATAAATGCGCACATCCGGTAAGGGCCGGGAAAGGATACGATATCTGCAGAGAGACTATTGGCGATTACCACTCGAGAAATGCCGACAAAGTACGGACTATAGACACAAATAGAAGCAGAAATGAATGTGCTGGAAGAAGAAACATCATGCTTTATCAGATCGTGTCCGCAGAAACAACGATGGTCTAGAAGAAATCCCGATGGCTAGAAGACCGAAGCGGGTCTGGCCAAGTGCCTGTTACCGAGTACGTTAAACGCAGTGCTACGCAGTGTGTACGATGTAGACTTCAGCTGCACATGTGAATGGTGCAAGACAGCATGCGCTTTAGCGAGTCAAAAGCAAGCCGCTGCATGGTGGTGAGGGCGGTTAGTACATGTGCGAATTGAGATGACTATCTCGTCGACTCCTGACAGCCAGTAACCGCACTCGGCTCGAGGGCCGCGGGATCGGGAGCTGAAGGGTCGTGTTCCGTTTATTTTGAACGTGGAAGCCATGTGGGTTTATCGATGATCAACAGGGCGATCATGGAAAACGACCAGAACATATCGACTTGCAACATATTGATCCTTAGAAAAACCCAAGGGTTGTCATCTCTTTCGATGGTAATAACACGAATGCAAGTCGACATGGATGCAGCCGAGGTGTCTTCTTACTGGCATCCCCCCAGGCCAAACAAAAGCCCCGATTCGCAACACATTCCAGGTTGGCGTCGTTGGTGCAGCACTGGACGGGAAGTCTGGCCATTCCACCGGGAACAGCATCACACAAGGCTCTGGGACATTGAATTTGAACATCAATAACTGGCCCAACCTCTATACCGTTTGTGGCGTCCGGCCAAGTGGCTGATGTTGGATGGAAGCACCAAACACGACCCTTAAGTTGTATGGATGGTCGTTAGCCTTTCGAGTTGAGAGAGGGAGAGACATACTCACAGGCAAGTGCGGGTGCCAAGGGAGGAGGACTCGGCTGTCGGCTTACGCACTCAGATATTGGAGAAACGATTATCCAGAGGAAGACTCGAGTCTCTTTCAGTTGACAGAATGAGGCCTAGCTGCTGGGTAAAAGAGAAAAAAAAAAGCAAAAAAGAAAAAGAACAAAAAAAAAAAATGAAATGAGGAAAGAAGAGGCACAGGAAGTTACCATCAGACTCTTGGCTGCAGTCTGCGAAGCTTCCATTGCATTTAAATGGAGGCCAACGGTCAACATGTCTCATGCGGCCCGCCTCGGAAAAGGGAACGGCCACTCTCCCATTGCATGCTGTGATACTGTCCGTTGTGTCGAATATTGTAGGCAGACTCGTAGATAGTAGTAGTCGTCGAATAATAAGGTAACTGGAGAATGTCCCCCAGCAAACAACGACATCGAACGAATCGAAGACATTCCCGTCCCGCCAAGACGGAGTCATAGCGGGGCAAAAGCGACACCTTCCTGGAGACCTGGAGTGGGCGGATTACATAATCAGATGGGTTTGGCATCTTCTCCATCTGCCATCATCCTCCCGACTTCACTCCTCTGTGCGCAGGGATTGGCCACTGTAGCCTGAACATCACAACGCCCGTCGACAAGGGTGCAGCTGCCTCCGTTGCTGCAATGATGATGGGATGATCCAACCTGAACCAGCCGCTTCGTAATTTACAGTTTTTTCTACACAACACCCAGCGACTCAATTTCATTCCGGTGTTCGCTGAAGGTAGGCAGCCAGGGTATCTAGCCGCAGCAGACTGATTGACTTCGGTTGCGGTTGAGCCCGGCCCCCTTTTCCCCGATCCCATAGCACAAAGAAAAGGGGCGGATTCACAACCACAGACATATCTTTGTGCACTCATCCAATGGGTTTCATGCCGGGCCTCACAATAACCACACGCGTCCCGCCGGACGCCGGGACCACCACCAGCCCGAGGACCGGGGATGTCGGAGCCCCTGATGCGGAGGAGGCCCCACAAAATGCACCCTCACCGACCCGCCCGCCCGTTAGCCCCATCACCCCGACTCAGGAGTCGGCACGGTTGTCCGGTCCCGGTGGCCACGGAGATGGTCCGATCCAACAACATCACCGTCAACACCAACATACAACCTTCTCACCATCCGCATCAGCATCATCATCACATTCACCGACGCCACCACTTTCAAATAATGATAATAACACCAACTCCAACATCCCCGTCTTTGCAAGGGACCGACCCACTTTCACCCACTCACAACCAGACCAAATCGGCATCCCTCCACCGCCACCGCAGCCCATAGCCTTCGACGACAACCCGGATGTACTAGCGCTCAAAAGCGCCATCACCATCTTGCAGCTGCAGCGCCAGCGAGCGACAGCGGACATACAGGCGCTGAACCGGGCCAAAGTTGCCGCGCTTTCGGATCCGGGCGCGTTCGTTGCTGACTTGGCGGCGGGGAGGATCGGGATGGATGGCGATCCGTTGGTTAATGGGCCTGGAGCGGGTGGTGGCGATGGTAGTAATGACGATGATGAGGATGAGGACGGGGACGGGGATGAGGATCAGGATGAGGATGAGGATATGAAATCGGAAGAAGAAGACAGCGATGACGGTGAGGACGATGATGAAGACGAGGAGGCAGAGGCCTCATCAAGTTCGGAATCACGGCACGACCAAGACGGCGATATACCCATGTCCGGCGGCGGCGCCGGTTCGTCTACATCTACCCCTAATAGCAACAGCAACAACAACAACAGCCACAACAGACGAAAAATACCAAGAAGGAAGAAAGACCGCGTCAGCAAGACAACAACAAAACAACCACAAGACCTTTCCAAAACATGGCGCACCCTGCCCAAGCCGCAAACCGTCGTGCGCTGCCCGCCCATCAACTGGGCCCAGTACGCCGTGGTGGGCGAGTCACTTGATAAGCTGCACCGCGAGCAACTGACGGCGCCTACGCTGGGGGTACCTGCTGTTTTGAGTCCTGGAGGGGTGTATGAATTCCGAGGGACAGCGACAGCAGCAGGAGGAACCGCAGGAGGGGGCAGTATCGGTGGCGGCGGGAGTGGGAGTGGAAGTGGCTATTCCGTTGGAGATCCCACTATGGGCTCAACAGACAGGACCTCTACACCACCAACGGGAACAGAAGGATATATCAATGCAATAGGTCAGCAGCAGCAGCAGCAGACACCAGGAGAGACAGGACAGGGTCAAGGATCAGGATCAGGACCAGGACCACAGATCCCGTCTTCGTTGCCAACACTGGGACGACATCAGCAACCGCAGAGATTGGTTGGCGTTGCAGCGCCGTATACGCCTGGGGGAGACAAGATCGAGAGGACGACGGGGAGAAAAGGGGCTAAGCGGTGAACTTCCGTTTTGTGGAGCAACTTTGAAGGACTTGATGGTCGGAAACGGGATAGCATGGCGTTAGGGTATTATGGTATTGTACTGTATGGGGTTGCGAACGGATTGAAGTTCAGCGAGCGATCAAGATCGAAATGCTTCTGTTAGATACCTCCCATTGGGACAACCAGTCAATTTATTACGTAGACTTTGACACGATTATGGTGTCTTGCTCCTGTTCGCTATGTCGCAATTCGCTATTCTTTCGAACTAACATTATCAGGTAGGCCTGTTCTTGTACTTGCCCTACGCACATCGAATACATTTTGCATGTGAAATCATCATGCGTAAAATTGACCCTCTCTGCTAGACACCTTGTCCGTCCTATGAACCCCGGATATTTCCACACCCTTATTGGTTTACCAACGCCATAGAAAGTTCTTGAGAGAAAGCAGAAACCATGCTAGCCATGCAAAGTATGCGCGGATAAATTCAAACACCCCTCAGACCCTTCCAAGTCTTGCCATCAACTGTTGTCTTAGAAATCCCTAGTAACAATGTTAGCGCCTGAGATACTGTTTGGTCTAACCACCAAAGAGGGATCTTACTCCATTGACTGTTGAACAGACCGGCGAAGACGCCGATTGTACATCTTTCGGTCATCGGCTGAGCCCCAGAACAACTTGAACGCCTCGGGATTGACTAGAGTTCGCGGATCATAAGGGGGGCTCTCCTCTTCGAGGGCATCAATGATGGCTTCGAGGTGCGTCCTGACGTCCTCCCGGCGGTTCTGCGGCGCATAGTAGCAGGGTGTACCGTCCGCGGCGATACGATGATGGAAGATCTTGGTTTCGAACCTCGCCCGAGGTTGCTCCTCAGGAAATCGTGGGCTGAAGCAGAGCTTGATTCGAAACAAGCCACCGTCGAGATTCGTCATAGGCTTCCCGAAGTAGGTCACCACCCAGACGAAGGGGTTTCCGTCCATAAGCTCGATGCTGTGCGCCAGATCCCTGCGCTTGAAGTGCTCCACGACCTGCTCGAACTGCCTCTGCAAATTGACGGCAACCGTGGTTTCCTGGGCCTTAGCCTGCAATCCTTCCGCGGCCCATCCCTCTGTCTCGGCGTCGAGGGCTGCTTTGATAACCCTGAGTCTCTTCTCCAGCTCCGTGTAGTTGAATTTACCCTCCATGCCGTTGCCATGACTCTCAAAGGGCATTCTGGCGAATGACTGGTTGTCCTTGACCTCCGACTTTCCTTTCTCGACGGCAGCCAAGTAGGAGTCGTAATACCAGAGAAATCGTCGCTTGCAAAGGTCTTTGAAAGGCTCGAATGGGACCATAGATTCCTCGTCCAGAATGTCCATGTCACTCTCGGTTGAGCCCGATGAAACGATCTCCCCGTTGACATTCGATGGCCCAACTGTGCCGTCGGGGTTGATGCCTAGATACTCTTCCAGTCGATGAACGACAGAGATGCGGATTGTCTCGTGGCGAATCTGGGCACATATTAGCTTACACCTCAACATCACGCAAAACCTCTATTACCTTTTGTATGTAATCCTTCTGGTTCTTCTGGTCTTGAGCCTCCTTTGCATCTTCAAAGCCCGGCTCATTTTCGTAGGGGTTCATGGACATCAAGCTTTGAATAGACAACAGAATGGACTCGAGGCCTTGGGCAGCAGACCACTGTTCTCCACGATCCCCGCGCCATGTTCTGTGCCATGTTAGCCCCGAAACCAGATCGTACGGATGTTTGTTAGAGGGACAGTGATTTTACCCCAATATCGATCTGATGTCTGGTTAGTATTGAATGTCTTTGGTCGAGCCAGAAGGTGCCAGACTTACAGGCAAACCTTGCCATTGGCGTATATATTTGGGTTGAACCGGGTGCGGCCTTCGTTCGTAGTTGTGGCTTGAACCTGAGGTGACTTGCGAGGGTAGTCTTTGTTAAACACGAAAGCAAACTATCGGGCAGTCAGCGAAACCTGAATTCCCCCCAAGACCATACGTGATCACCAGTACCTCGAAGAAGCCGAACTCGTAGGGTGTCTCGTGCGGCCCGATGATCATTGCCCTGACATTGCGAACATCGACATCGCGGCAGGCGACCGCAAGGGCTACCACAGCGTGATGTTAGTCATTAATGGACAGAGCCGGAGACATTGTGCACAATCTTACACAGATCTGAATCTTTTTGGAGGTCGCTAAGCTCCTATCGTTGACAGCAATCAAGTTAGCATGTGCCAGTATTGAAGCTCTTCCATGGTGGACATGATTCCTGGTGCCGCGACTGGGAGTAGTGGGATCATGATATGTTGACAAATGTACCTTGGTGATGCGAAATACAGACTGGTCCATGGTTTCTGACTTGGAGCTCACCAAGTCTTAGCTATCGGAGTGGCAACAAGGTGGTAGAAGATGGAGAGTGGGATGGGCCACTCGAAATCGCGAACGTCGACCCCACGGGCAAACTGGTAGTAAACAGTAGATAGTTGATGGGGAACGCGATTGGGCGTGAAGAAAAACACTGGCGGATAAGTAAGTCACGTCGTGCGTAGTGGTCGATGATGGAATTATGCTGGAGATTAAATGGCCGGGTAGCTGCCTACTAGATAGCAAGGCCAAGTCTTTGTTATCCGGATGTTTTGTTGCAGGGACGATGGGTGATGGTTTGTATTCTCTATTCCCGATTCAGGTCGCAATCGGTGGTTGAAGTGAGCAGTAGCGAGCGAGACGACACCAGGAAGGCAAGGAGGTTGAGTGCGGGGCAGGGAAGAGTTCGAACGAAAAGAACTGCACAATGATGACCAGCGAACGAGTGGTGGTAACGCACCATGTAAAGTTGTAAGGGAAGGCACTTGGACGCGCGATGGTAACATGTAATTACAGCTCTTCCAGCGCTGGTCAAATTTGCATTTGCTTTTTTGCGAAGGGCATCAATGGCAGTTTCATTTGCCTCACCAGCGGCAACCAAAAAGATGAAAGCGTCTCTTCTTTCGGGTATGTGCTGTGCACATGCGCTGATGTAGGGTCAGATCTTTTATCCAATACAAACGAAAGTAACAGGGTTTCCATCCTTTTTTTCAGGTACTAGTTCTTGTACTTTTAAGGAGCATCAATCAGTCACATTCCGACAACTTGGGCCACCCCAAGCTCTACCAGAAAAAGGATACCTCTAGGAGTTGGTGGTGGGCTCCTACTATTCACTTTTCAAGGGTAGTTGCCCTCTGCACCGCGTTTCCACTTGCGATTGTAACATGGTCTGCAGCAAGTGCCAGAATACCGTACCAGAGCTTACAGTACGATGCCTTACTGCACAAGACACAACAAGCAGGATGACATATTTGAGAGCTTTCATCTCCAGTTTAACCCCCGTCTCTATGTTCCAGCGTTTAGGCCATCGTAGGTCCAGGATTCGAACCCCGCATCCGTTATCAACATGGCAAATTAGATGGGCGGAGAGTTGATACCAAGTAGGGGTACCTACCTACTAACAACATCGCGATGACTTCTAACGACGGAGTTGACAATGATGGCCGATGCTCTTTGAGCAAACAGATACGTTGAGATTTCATCAAATGTGGTAAGTGGAAACTTTTGATTTCAAGAGAATACAGAAGCAAGTCGGAAAGGACCCTGGATGTGAGGGGTCAAACAGAAGGGCCCGAGTGGATCCCCCGTCCCGTCTCCGTCCCCGCCCCGCTGGACGTGGAGAAGCTCCAGGCACCGACGCAACCCCAACATTCGGAGCTCTAGCGGACGGCCGGGGGTGAGAGTCTGTAGGGTCCACTTTAATTGGAAAGGCCCCACAGAAAGCTGAATGAGACGCGCCCGACGCGGTTTCTCTTCCTGTGATCGCGTAAAGTGCTGCTTGGAGTTCTACCATCACAACTACGAGTTCCCTTCAACAAAAATTGACGACAACGAGACACTCGCTCAGTACTAGCATCTCATTCCCGACATACAGCAAAATACCATCCCGCAACTTTGCTGGCCACGATCTATCATGGCAAGCTTTTTCGACCTCAAGGCCAGGAAGGCGGCCGCTGCGAATGGCACTTCCAACCCAGAGAAACAGACAAAGGAAACCCCTAGGGCGCAACCATGGGTAGAGAAATAGTATGCGAGAGCTATCAAGTCCATATCACGCATAGCTAATGACGACTTCACAGCCGCCCAAAGACCCTTAGCGATGTCACAGCCCAAGACCATACCGTTTCCGTCCTCCAAAGGACATTGCAAGCTTCCAACGTTTGTCCAACCTGCGCATTCCCCTGAAGAAGAAGAATTGGCAGCCACTGACATGTTTCACAAAACATACAGCTCCCACACATGCTCTTCTATGGCCCTCCAGGAACGGGCAAGACCTCGACCATTCTCGCCCTCGCCAAAGAGCTCTACGGCCCCGAACTCATCAAGTCCCGCGTTCTAGAGCTCAACGCCTCCGACGAGCGCGGCATCTCCATCGTCCGCGAAAAGGTCAAAGACTTTGCCCGCATGCAGCTCACCAATCCCTCGGCGGCTTACAAGGCGCGTTACCCATGCCCGCCCTTCAAGCTCATCATCCTCGACGAGGCCGACAGCATGACGCAAGATGCCCAGAGCGCGCTGCGCCGCACCATGGAGACATACTCGAAGATCACGCGCTTCTGCCTCATTTGCAACTACGTCACCCGCATCATCGATCCGTTGGCGAGTCGTTGCAGCAAGTTCCGGTTCAAGAGTCTGGATCAGGGGAATGCCAAGAAGAGGCTGGAGGAGATTGCGCAGCTCGAGGGTGTCGGGCTAGAAGAAGGAGCCGTTGATGCGCTGATCAAGTGCAGCGAGGGCGATTTGAGAAAGGCCATCACGTACTTGCAGAGTGCGGCGAGGTTAGTCGGTGCCGTAGCAGCTACAGCTAAAGACGGGGAACAAAAAGAGGGAGGAGATGGAGGGGGCGACGAGATGGAGGTGGACGCCAAGTTGGTCACGATCAAGGTCGTGGAGGATATCGCTGGTGTCATCCCTGACGACACCATCCAGAGGCTACTCAAGGCGATGCGGCCCCGTGCTGGGGCGGATACGTACCCGGCGGTCGCCAAGGTGGTCGAGGAGATGGTGGCGGATGGGTGGAGCGCGGGACAGACCATGACGCAGCTCTACCAGGCGGTAGTCTACGATGAGATGGTCCCGGATGTTCAGAAGAATAAGATCGTCATGGTGTTTTCGGAGGTGGATAAGAGGCTGGTGGACGGCGCAGACGAACATCTGTCTATACTGGACCTGGCGCTACGGATATCGGGCATCATGGCTAGCAGGTAACGGTTACAGCTTAAGGCGTCGGGGGGCGTATGATAAAGCAGATGATTCACAGATAGGCGACATATCACTGGGTTCGGAGTTTCGGTATGGGCAACAGAAAATGGCAGGTCATGTTTCGGTGTTTTTAGTCCTAGACCTTCTTGACGAATGCTTGACAAAGGTTTTCAACACTACTAATGGGCGAAATGGAACATTCATCCCTTTCACTTTGCCCACCAGTTGTCTTCCGTAATATCCGCAGCAGCACCACTTGGACGATTATGGCCACGTCTACCCAGATTTCTCCAACCAGATATCCACATCCAGCACATCCCATATACTCGTCCCCGCTCCCTCACGGTGGCCAGTCGTCCTCTCCCCCTTTCTGCCACCCTCATCATGCGTTGTCCCAAGTCCCAATCCACCAGTTGACCTTGCCCCTTCCAACGATTTCTGCCCCTCAACAAGCCAGATATCCGATTCCTCACCCACATCATCATCCTCCTGCTCCTCCTCTCCCCCACTAACCGTTCCAACCGACTGCTGCTGCTGCGACTCACGTCCCAACAACCGATCAGCCTCCCCCAGCATGCGAATCGATCCCTCCAGTGCCATCTGCCCTTCCTCGATTTTCTCCGCCACCACCTCAAACGTCGCGATCTTGGCTGAGTCGGCGGCTGATACCCATGGTTTGACTAGATGCGATGGCATCATGACGTTGGGGTCATGGTCATGTCTCTTTTGTACTGCCGCCGCCATGGCATGAGCAGGCAGCAACTGGCTTTCTTCCGCCAGGTGATCCAGCACTTGGGCGTTTTCCTTGAGCTGTTTGGAGAGGAGGGTAGTGATGTGCGCTTTGTGGGCTATGAGACCTTTGTGTTCGTGGGAGAGGGCGAGGAGGTGGGTGAGGGTTGGGGTGAGGAGGTGGTCGATTATGTTGGGGGCTGCTTGTGCTTGGGTTGACGCCTCTGCTGCTGCTTGTTGTATTGAGGAGGGTCGTTCAGGGGATGCCACCACCGTGGGGAGGAAGGAGGAGGAGGCAGTGATGGCAGGGAAGTTGAGGGATGGTAGGGTGTGAAGTTGGGTGGTGATCAGCTCTAGGAGAGCTTTGCGTTCATGGAGATACTTGGTGTACTTGTCTTTGATGCTGGCGAGTTGTTGGTTGAGGAGGTTGGTTTTGTCTGCGAGCTCTCGGTCTCGTTTGGTTTGAAGGGCATCTTGTCCAGCGGTTTCTCCTCCTCCTCCGTCTCTTCCGTCTCCTGATGCTTTTCCTAGTTCGGTCTCGATCCAGTTGATCAGTTCGGTACGGGTAGCGTTCAGTGCCTGGAGCTTTGCTTCTGGACTGATGTCTTCCGGTTGGACGGCGAAAGGGAGGGATTTGGCGTTTTCGAGAAGGGTTTCTTCCTGTTTGAGCGATAGTTTTGTTCGGAAAGTCCGGTGCTCTAGGGTGTCTATTAGGTCCTTGAGTTGGACACTGTTGGACGCAGTGATGTTCTCGGACGCCTGTTCCAGCGCTAGAGAGTTGACGACCTCGGTTGGAACTTCCGGAAGAGGTCTGCAACCTCTGAAGATTCTTTGGTGGTTTAGGAAGTCTGGTAATGCGGCCGGCTTTTGCCTCAAGAGGTCAAGAGTCTTTTCCACAACTCGGAGTTTTTCTTGCTTCTTTTGGATTTTGAGGCTGGCAAGATGGTTGAGGAGACAGTTAGGCTGAGTTTCTGTTGGTTTAGGGATAGGAACCTCGTGATGACTGCGCTTTTGTGAGAGTGTCTGGTATTCTTTACGGGCTTTGATGTTCGCGCTCAATGCTTCGAGGTATTCCCTATACGGACCTCTTATGTCTTGTGGATAGGAGGGTAGTTCACTTGATTCGGTGAGAGACAACGGTTCTGTTAGTGATGCTCCGTCTTTCAAGCCCGAACTGAGGTGAAGTGTCAAGATCCGTCTGATATGGGCGACTTCCTCGCGAGGCCTGGTGTATGGTTGTAGCACCTTCTGGACAGCTTCCAGCGTTTCTTGAACGGAATCCATCGTGTAGATGGTCTCAGCTTGCCCTCGGAATCAGCTTGAGTCTCTGTCATACCAAGTCATCAGACAGCCCTAGATTTAGGATGTAAACGAGTGTGATCTTCGACGAGCTCCGCGTGATATGAGCAGGACGGTCATAAAGAGTGTTGGGTGGACCGAGGTGTTTTAGTATTCAGCATTGATATGGCTGTTCATTTAGCGCACAGATGAACGCATTTCATCCCTTTTGCAGAAGTTGAAGCCCGTGGATCGAACCTCTCCTGCCATCTCGAGTTGCTCGGTGGGTTGAGGTTGATGTTGAGGTTGATGTGTTAGTGCACCTTTATATACTCTACGGTGTCTCCACTTATGCACTAACAGCGCCCTGACAGCGGTGTCAAGCTCGAGCTCCCGGGTGTTTACATGCTGTGCGGGTAGCCAATGAGAGACGATAGCAGCGTTGCATAAAAATTTCCAGCCGTCATGTCATGACTGGAGCCACACCTCTGCACCGCTTGCCGCACCTACCAAGCCAAGTTCCTGCTGCTGGCAACCACGCCTCTCAACCTTTCCAGACGCCAAACTCCAACTTTCCTTTCGCGACAACCGCGACAGACTTCTGTCGGAAACCCACCATCTCTGTTTCCGCCCAACCCCGATCTTTATTCCGTCCATCGATGCGACCGGCGAAATACTACTATTGATCAGCCAGCAAAACCAACGCTTGGTTTGGGGCGGGATCGGGCTAATTTATCGCCACTGCGTGCACGCCAGAACAAGCACGTTTTAACCCCAAAAAGACAGAGTCGAGGATATCATAAATCGAGTCTTTTTCATCCGTCACGACTTCTACTTCTACTTCGACCTATACCTCGAAACATTCCATAGATTTTTCTTCACCAAGCCGGCAAGATGACGGACCACCACCGCGATGTGTCGCAATACAAATACTCGGCCATGTCCAACCTGGTCCTCCAGGCGGACCGTCGTTTCGTCACGAGGCGAACCGATGAGGCCACGGGAGACCCCGAGTCCCTAGCCGGGCGTCTGTCCATCAAGGATATGGGCTCCAGAGTTGCCCGCGACTCAGCACCAAAGCCCAAGAAGGCGGGCGCCATGCCCGACGTCGAGCGGGGCAGCTTTAGGGAAGGTGCTGATGTCCTTCAACGAGAGAAGAAGAAGGGCAAACTCGAATCCGCTACAAGAGGTGGAGGTATTCTTACTGGCGCCGATGCGCTTATCGAAGGTCTCCGCTACCGCCCTCGAACGCAGCCGACGCGCGATGCCTTCAACCTTATCCTCACCATCGTCGCCGAGCACTTGGGCGACGTGCCCCATGAGGTCGTCCGCAGTGCGGCTGATGCGGTACTCGAGTATCTCAAGGACGACGACTTGAAGGATTTCGACAAGAAGAAGGAGGTTGACGATATTCTTGGAGTCTCGATGGGGCCCAAGCAGTTCAACGAGCTCATAAATCTCGGCAAGAAGATCACAGATTACGACGCCCAAGATGAAGACGAGGATGCGGGCGATGCCAGGCAAGAAGGTGACGACGAGATTGACGGCCGTCAGGGTGTTGCGGTCAACTTTGAGAACGATGAGGATGACGACGGCATGGTGGATGTTGTTCGGGACGAGTCTTCCGACGAGGAGGACTTTGCGGAGGATGAAGAGCGCCCTGACAGCAACGAAGTCGTCGATGGCGAGGGAGGCCAGGAGGAGGTGGTGGAGGATATTCTAAACGGCGAGGCCATGGTTATCGATTCAGCACCGGAAGGGACGAAGAGCAAGTCTGACGATAATTCGATCCCAGCCAGAGATATCGATGCCTTCTGGTTACAACGTCAGATTGGTCGGCTATACCCCGACGCACACATTCAGCATGACAAGACAATGTCTGCGCTCAAGACTTTGTCCGGCGAGCCCGATGAGCCAGGCGGTGAAGAAAAGCAGCTTCGCGACATCGAAAACGACTTGATGGAGCTTTTTGATTACGAACACCACGAGCTTGTGCAAAAACTTATTGCTAACCGGGAGAAGGTCGTATGGCTTACTCGGCTGGCCAGAGCTGAGAATGAGGAGGAGAAAAATACAATCAAGCGGGAGATGGCTTCTGAGGGTTTGCGCTGGATTCTCGACGAGCTGGAAGGCAAGACCGACGACGGCCAGAAGAAGATCAAGATGGAAATCAAGATGGACATCGACTCCGGAGCCTTCGCTGACAAGGAAAGTCAAAAACCTGAGCGTCCCGAGGGACAGCTGGTGGGAGGCCTGCAGCCACGCAAGTTGATCAACTTGGAGAATCTAGTCTTCGACCAGGGCAACCACCTTATGACCAACCCCAAAGTACGACTTCCCGAGGGCTCGACAAAGCGCACCTTTAAGGGCTATGAAGAAATCCATGTGCCCCCACCAAAGAAGCGCAACGATCCCAGCGACGCCCATGTCCCGATTTCTGCAATGCCTGAGTGGGCCCAGATTCCTTTCAGCACGGCCAAGTCGTTGAACAAGATTCAGTCAAAGTGTTATCCTACCGCCTTTGGTGACGATGGGAACATGCTTGTCTGCGCTCCCACGGGTTCCGGCAAGACCAACGTGGCGATGCTTACCATTCTCCGTGAGATTGGAAAGAACAGGAACGAAGCCGGCGAGATCGACCTGGACGCCTTCAAGATCGTCTATATCGCGCCCTTGAAAGCCCTCGTCCAAGAACAGGTCGGCAACTTCGGGAAGCGTCTCGAACCATTCGGTATCAAGGTGGCCGAACTCACTGGCGATCGGCAACTCACCAAGCAGCAGATCTCGGAAACGCAGATTATCGTTACGACCCCTGAAAAATGGGATGTCATCACGAGAAAGGCTACTGATCTCTCCTACACCAACCTGGTCCGCCTGATTATCATTGACGAAATCCATCTCCTTCACGATGACCGTGGTCCTGTGCTTGAAAGCATCGTCGCCAGAACCCTCCGCAAGACAGAGCAGACCGGTGAGCCTGTTCGCATTGTGGGCTTGTCTGCCACTCTGCCCAACTACCGCGACGTAGCGAGCTTCCTCCGTGTGGATACGAACACCGGGCTGTTCCATTTCGATGGCACATTCCGTCCTTGCCCTCTCCGCCAAGAGTTCATCGGCGTTACGGACAGGAAGGCCATCAAGCAGCTCAAGACTATGAACGATATCACCTATCAAAAGGTCTTGGAACACGTAGGACAGAATCGCAACCAAATGCTCATTTTCGTCCATTCCAGAAAGGAGACGGCGAAAACCGCCAAGTACATCAGGGACAAGGCTCTGGAAATGGACACCATCAATCAGATCTTGAAGCATGACGCCGGAACTCGGGAGGTCCTGAGCGAAGCCTCCAACTCTGTCAACAACACCGATCTGAAGGACATCTTGCCCTATGGATTCGGTATCCATCATGCTGGTATGAGCCGTGCCGATCGTACCGATGTCGAAGATCTGTTTGCTAGTGGTCATATCCAGGTCCTTGTGTGCACAGCCACTCTTGCTTGGGGTGTCAACCTTCCAGCCCATACCGTCATCATCAAGGGCACGCAAGTATACTCCCCCGAAAAGGGTAGCTGGGTTGAGCTCAGTCCTCAGGATGTGCTGCAGATGCTTGGTCGTGCCGGTCGTCCTCAGTTCGACACCTATGGTGAAGGTATTATCATCACCACTCAGGGAGAGATGCAGTACTACCTTTCGCTCCTTAACCAGCAGTTGCCCATTGAAAGTCAGTTTGCTAGCAAGTTGATTGACAACCTCAACGCTGAAATTGTGCTGGGCAATGTCAGGAGCCGTGACGAAGGTGTAGAGTGGCTTGGCTATACCTATTTCTTTGTCCGCATGCTTCGCTCTCCTGGTCTTTACCAGGTTGGAGCGGAGTACGAGGGTGATGAAGCCTTGGAGCAAAAACGTGTCGACTTGATACATTCCGCTGCTGCGGTGCTGAAGAAGTCAAATCTGATCAAGTATGACGAGAAGACTGGAAAGCTTCAGTCCACGGAACTTGGCCGCATCGCCTCGCACTACTACATCACCTATGGTTCGATGGACACCTACAACAAGCTGATCCAACCCTCTATCACCGATGTCGAACTGTTCCGAGTCTTCGCCCAGAGCGCCGAGTTCAAGTACATTCCGGTTCGTCAAGAAGAGAAGCTGGAATTGGCCAAGCTCCTTGCAAAGGTACCCATCCCGGTCAAGGAAAGCCTCGAGGAACCGACCGCAAAGATCAATGTATTGTTACAAGCGTACATCTCTCGTCTGAAGCTCGATGGTCTCGCTCTTATGGCCGACATGGTCTACGTCACACAATCCGCTGGTCGTATTCTTCGGGCTATTTTCGAGATCACGATAAAGAAGGGATGGGCATCAGTTGCTAAGCTCGCCCTGAACCTGTGCAAGATGGCCGAGAAGAGGATGTGGCCAACAATGTCGCCGCTAAGACAGTTCCCCAACTGTCCTGTTGAGATCGTGAGGAAGGCTGAAAGGATCGACGTGCCGTTCACCAGCTACTTCGATCTGGATCCTCCTCGGATGGGCGAGCTTCTCGGACTACCCAAAGCTGGCAAAACTGTTTGCAGTCTGGTGGCCAAGTTCCCCCGGGTCGAGGTTCAGGCCCAGGTGCAGCCCATGACAAGGTCGATGCTGCGCATTGAGCTTGCGATCACGCCCAACTTCGAATGGGACGTCGATATCCATGGCCTTTCCGAAAGCTTCTGGATTATCGTCGAAGACTGCGATGGCGAAGACATCCTTTTCCACGATCAGTTCATCCTGCGCAAGGACTATGCGGAGTCCGAGTCCAACGAACACATTGTTGAATTCACTGTGCCCATTACTGAGCCCATGCCCCCCAACTATTTCATCTCTGTCATCTCTGACAGATGGATGCATTCCGAGACGCGACTGCCTGTGTCATTCAGGAAACTCATCCTCCCGGAAAGATTCCCTCCTCACACCGAACTGCTTGACTTGCAGCCACTTCCGGTCAATGCTTTGAAGGCCAAGGACTATTCTGCGCTGTATCCTGATTGGCAACAATTCAACAAGGTGCAAACGCAGACCTTCAAGTCCCTGTACGAGACAGACAACAATGTTCTCATCTGCTCACCAACGGGCAGTGGCAAGACTGTTTGTGCCGAGTTTGCTCTGCTGCGCCATTGGGCCAAGAAGGAACACGGTCGGGCCGTCTACATTGCACCCTTCCAGGAACTGGTGGATTTGCGATTCCAGGACTGGCAGAAGCGGTTTGCTAACCTCCGCGGCGGCAAGGACATCGTGAAACTTACGGGAGAGACGACCACTGACCTTAGGCTCTTGGAGCAGGGCGACCTGATCATGGCCACCCCGCTGCAGTGGGACGTCCTGTCGCGGCAGTGGAAGAGGAGAAAGAATGTTCAGACGGTAGAGCTTTTCATCGCTGACGAGCTGCACTTGCTTGGCGGTCAGATGGGCTATGTCTACGAGATCATCGTCTCGCGGATGCACTATATCAGGACACAAACGGAGTTGCCGCTGAGGATTGTCGGCCTCAGTGTGTCTCTTGCCAACGCTCGTGATGTCGGCGAGTGGATCGACGCGAAGAAGCATGACATCTACAACTTCAGCCCACATGTGCGGCCCATTCCATTGGAATTGCACATCCAGACATATACGATTCCGCATTTCCCCTCCCTCATGCTGGCGATGGCGAAGCCTACTTACCTGGCCGTCACTCAGCTTTCTCCCGACCAGCCTGCTCTCATCTTCGTACCCAGCCGGAAGCAAACAAGAGCTACGGCACGAGACATCCTCACCGCCTGCTTGGCCGACGATGACGAGGATCGTTTCCTTCATGTTGAGGTTGAGCAGATTCAGAAGCTTCTCGATCGCGTTCAAGAAGCGGCATTGGCTGAGGCCCTCAAGCACGGTGTTGGTTACTACCACGAAGCCCTGAGTCTCAATGACAAGCGCATCGTCAAGCATCTGTACAACAATGGCGCCATCCAGGTGCTGATCGCCTCCCGTGATGTCTGCTGGGAGCTCGATTGCACCGCTCATCTGGTAATTGTTATGGGCACCCAGTATTTCGAGGGTAGGGAGCATCGCTATGTTGATTATCCTCTAAGCGAGGTTTTGCAGATGTTTGGCAAGGCCCTCCAGCAAAACAAGGCCGGGCGTGGTTGCGGTGTCTTGATGGTACCTGCGGTCAAGCGGGAGTATTACAAGAAGTTCCTCAACGAAGCCCTCCCTGTCGAGTCTCATCTGCACAACTTCCTTCACGATGCCTTTGTGACGGAAATCAGCACCAAGATGATCGAGTCGGGTGAAGATGCCATCAACTGGGCGACTTTTACCTACTTCTACCGCCGCCTGCTCGCCAACCCAAGCTACTACAGCTTGACAGACCCCACGCACGACGGTCTCAGCCAGTATCTCTCCGACATGGTTGAGGCTACCCTGAAGGATCTGGCCGAGTCCAAGATTATCGACTTTGATGAGGATGATGGCACTGTTGCTCCTCAGAATGCTGCCATGATTGCTGCTTACTACAACATCTCGTACATTACGATGCAGACATTCCTTTTGTCCCTGACGGCCAAGACAAAGCTGAAGGGTATCCTCGAGATCGTGACCTCGGCCACCGAGTTCGAAGCGATCCAGATCAGAAGGCACGAAGAGGTCATTCTGCGTCGCATTTACGAAAGCGTTCCAGTCAAGATGGCCGAACCTGTCTTCGATTCCCCGCACTTCAAGGCCTTTGTTCTTTTGCAGGCCCACTTCTCCAGGATGAACCTTCCCATCGATCTTGCAAAGGATCAAGAGGTCATCCTCACCAAGGTGCTGAGCTTGCTGAGCGCTACTGTTGACATCCTGTCGTCGGATGGCCATCTCAACGCCATGAACGCCATGGAGATGTCTCAAATGGTGGTGCAAGCGATGTGGGATAGAGACAGCCCGCTCAAGCAGATTCCCCACTTCACGACCGAGGTCATCAAGACGGCCAACAAGTACGGCATCCGGGATATCTTTGACTTTATGGAGAAGATGAACCCCGAGGAGAACCCCGACTACGCCTCTCTGGTCAGGGACCTCGGTCTCTCCCAGGCTCAGCTTGCCCAGGCTGCCGAGTTCACCAACAACAAGTACCCCGACGTCTCGTTGGAGTTCGAGCTCGAGGACAAGGACAACATCCGGGCGAACGAGCCTGCATACCTCAAGATCAACATCGAGCGCGAGGTCGACGAGGACGAGGAGTTCGATCCTACGGTGCACGCTCCGTTCTACCCAGGCAAGAAGACGGAGAATTGGTGGTTGGTGGTTGGCGAGGAGAGCTCCAAGACTCTGCTGGCAATCAAGCGGGTCACCATCGGCAAGAAGCTCAACGTCAGGCTGGAATTCACAGTGCCTACGCCTGGTCGTCACGACTTGAAGTTGATGTTGATGAGCGACAGCTATGTCGGCGTTGATCAGGATCCGGCGTTCTCGGTCATGGTGGAGGAAGGAATGGATGTGGATGAGAGCGAGGAGGAGGAGGAGGAGGATGATGAGTGATGGCAAGGAGACTGATTACGTCTTTTATGTATGGCAATACAAGGCAAGTGTTTGGTTAACCCCTCTCTCTGCTAATTGAGGCGGTGTGGTATATATGGAGGGCACAGGACAGACGCTATAGTTCAACAAGAATGTATTATCTTTCATCCATCGGTTCGCGGATACACGTGCTGGGTGGCTGTGGCAGGCCGAGTGGTGCTCAGAGTGTCAGCTTCAGGCCCAAGTCTGGAGTGGTGCGGGGTTTCACGACCGCTGCGTGAGAGTGTCGGGGAGAGGCCTGTCTGGGAATGTTTGGGGCTGGGCTGGGATGGGGGTTCCGGGTTGTGCTTGGATGGAAAGGGGAATGAAGGATGACGATCTGGGGACAGTAGTTCAAGTGTGGATTCATGGTCGGCCGGGTCAACTTGGATGGGCAATACCTCTTGACTGAGATGATTGCTGGCGTTGAGTCGTGGGATCTCGGCGGATATTTGGCCTGATGCATGAGGTGGCGGGCGGAAACATACCCCTACCTGCTCCTGTCGTGATGATGTATCTCGTGCTCTCCTCCCCCATGTACATGCTGAGTGGGTGACGGTGACTGTGGTGATGGAGCGAGCAAAGGCAAAGTGTCATTCGCTCGGCCAGGCAGAACCGATGCCATTGCCAATCCCTCCACACAGCGTCCAGCTCCGTCCGGCTCCTTGCTCCTCCCGCGGGCAGACATCACTAGAGTTCCATAGAAGGCAGGCGACGCTCGGACCAAGTCTCGGTCACCTTCAAATAATTTCTCTCTTTCGCGAAGACAGAAGAAACAAGGACTTGTTACTACTGCAAAGCTTCCCTTCGACCATCCTCTCCATTGTCCAAGCTTCTGCGCATTGTGACCCGCCCCGTCCGTCCCTCCATCATCTGTCCACGGTTGCCGTTGCCCATCCATCATCATCATCATCAACCTGCAACTCAACAGCAACATTGACTACCTGGGAAGCTTATCGCATCATCAACAAAAAGTCACGCGCGCGTTGACGTAGATACCTAGCCACCAACGAGCCGACAAGCTTTCGGTAGCCTCGACCCGCCATCCATCCAATTCTCCACGCGCAATCACGCGTCGTGTCCCTTTCCTGTCTTTTATTTTTTTTTCCCTCTCGACCGGAATCAGCATCTAGTTGGAATTAGAGTTCGACCATCGCGGCATCCATCACCCACGGCCGTTTATACTAGCTCTCTGACATCACGTCGCCACCCGCTGCAACCCGGATTATTACCATCACCCGCCCTATCACATACCATGTCTGACGACTCCACGACCAACGCGCCGGCTGCTGCGGCCGCGTCGCCAACACCCGCTGCTGAGAAGGAGGCCGTGCCTGCCCCTGCGACTACCCAAGCCGGCGAGACAAAGAAGGAGGAAGCTGCCGCTGCCAACGCCGCCGAGGAGAAGGCGGCCAGTGCTACTGAGACTGCTGCGCCTGCGTCTAGCGAAGCGCCAGCCGAACAAGAGTCGGACAAGGCTGCCCGAGGTATCTAAAATCCACCACCATTCACCCATTCACTCATCAGGCCACCCACCCAGGCATCCATTCACCACCCGTCATCCATCATCCATCCAACCGCCCATCCGCAATCATCCCTTCGGAGCATCTTAGCTAATCATCACCTTCGCCTATCCATTAGACACTCAGGACAAGCCCGCCGACAAGCCCGACGACAAGGCCACCGACAAGCCCGAACAAGACCAAACAGAAAAGTCCGACGTCGAAATGGCCGATGCTAGTGCCGCCCAGACTCCCGCTCCCGAGTCGGCAGAGCAAACCCAGCAGACCGACGACGCCAGTCCTGCTGCTTCCGCGGCCGCCACGTCCAAGAGCAAGTCTTCGAGCAGTCGTCGCAAGTCCGTCGGCGGTGGCTCCAAGCTCAGCAAGAAGGCTTCCAAGGCCAAGCTTCTCCATCTCGACGCGCAGCCTGGCGACCACTACTACGTCAAGCTGAAGGGCTTCCCTCAATGGCCAGTTATCATCTGCGATGAGGACATGCTTCCCCAGTCGCTCATCAAGTCGCGACCCGTCTCCGCCATGCGTCCCGATGGTACCTACCGCGAAGACTTTGCCGATGGCGGCAAGAGGGCACACGACCGCACTTATCCTGTCATGTATCTTCACACCAACGAATTGTAAGTTTTGGACCTAGCAGCCGCGGCGCGAACCTGCCCTTCCTCAATTTTGTATTTCCAGCTAACCAGATTGATCCTACTTCGGACTATAGCGGCTGGGTGGTCAACACAGAGCTTATCGAGCTTGATCCCGCAGCCATCAAGGATATGAAGATGGACAAGATGCGCAAGGACCTTGCAGCTGCGCACCACTTGGCTGCCGAGTCCCACCCCTTGTCTTTCTACAAGGAGGTTCTGCAGCGGTTCCAGGAGGAGCTGATTGAGCAGGAGAAGGCCAGGGCCGCCAAGGCTGCCGCCACTCCCAAGGGCAAGAAGTCCAAGGCCGCTGTCAGCGAAGATGAGGACGTCGAGATGGCCGATGCGAGCGATGAGCAGCCCCAGACCGACAAGAAGAAGGCAAAGAAGAGAAAGGCAGAGGAGCCGGTAGAGGTGAGCTGCAGCTGCGTTTAGGCAAGAAGTGGATGACATGCGCTAACTATTGGGGAAACTGAAACAGGAAACACCCCAGCGGTCAGAGTCGGTCAAAAAGCCCAAGATAAAGTTGACGACCAATTCGACCGCCAAGACCGCCAACGGTGCCGCGGCCGCCCCCAAGACTGCTAAGCCCGCAGCGGAAGCGAAGACCACGAAGGCTAAGCCGGCCAAGAAGACGAAGGAGACGGAGGAGAAGAAGGGCGAGAAGGAGGCTGCTACTCCCAAGGAGCAAGAATTGACGCCCGAGGAGAAGCATACTCGCAAGGAGGTACGTTGATGCAAGGGAAATTTGATTTTAAGGAGGTGCCAGTTGCTGATATGTCATGATTTCAACAGCGCGAGGTGTTGTTCCTCCGTCACAAGCTTCAAAAGGGCCTGCTCACCAGGGACCAGGAACCCAAGCCCGAGGAGATGAAGGTCATGTCTGAGTTCCTAACCAAGCTGGAAGCGTTCCCAGATCTTGAAGTCAGCATCATCAGGGCCACGAAGATCAACAAGGTGCTCAAGGCCATCCTTAAGCTCGAGAACATCCCCAAGGAAGAGGAGTTCAAGTTTAAGCCTCGCTCACAAACACTTTTGGACAAGTGGAACAAGCTTCTTGCCGGCGAAGCTGCCTCCGCGCCCGCCCCCGCAGCCGACAAGGAAGCCACTACTAATGGTGTCAATGGAAAGGCGAAGGAGGCTGAGAAGGAGGTCAAGGAGGACAGCAGCAAGACCAACGGCGCCAAGGGCAAGAGCGAAGAGCCTTCCACGTCTGACAAGGCTGAGGAGGCCCCTAAGGACAAGGATGGCGACTCCAAGATGGAGGAAGCCGATGTGAAGGCCGAGGAGAAGGCTGAGAAGAAGGATGCGGAGGAGAAGACCGAGAAGCCAGAGACCGAAGAGGTATGTTGCATCTGTCCCCAGAAATGTCCAAGTCACTTCACCTTGAGACACAAGCTAATGAGAGGTAATGCAGACAAAGTCTTCTGAGGTGGTTGAGGCTGCTGCCTGAGGGGGGCATCTGCTCAATTCTCCCAGACAGCCTGGACAGCCGGGGAAGAAGATGACTCGATGCCTCCGGTGCCGAGAGAAAAAGAAAAAGTGTGTCCGGACACCCTGGAATGCTGACCGGTGCGATCGCTGTCGAGAGGCACTCGTCAAGTGTCGCCCGTGTCCCTAACGACACGTAAAGGCCAGGAAACATACAAGCTCTGTTTTTTGTCTGCGTCCGAACTAGCGATAAGGACTTGTGCGGAACTGTTTATAGTCACCGCTTTGAATATGCTATCGAGTGGAAGGCTCTAGGAAATAATTCTCAGAGAAGGTGGAAAAGTGGCGCAATGATGTTCTTTTTTGGAACTAGGTATGGGAGTGCCGATCAGCATCCGGGTCATGTGGAAGTGAGAGAGAGAGAGAGAGAGAGTCAGCGAAAGAAAGAAGATGTTTCTGTATAACTAGTTGGTGGTGGTTTTGCGTTTCCTTTTCCCTTTTGATTCCGTCTGGTGTCTATCCGCCCATCTGTCTGTCCGTCTGTCTTTTGGTCATATCGCAACGTATCCAACAACCATCGGTCATCAAATCACTATCTGGGGGTGTTCTTGTTTTTGTTCTTGTGGGGTTTGGTTCGTTACGAAATACAGGCATGCCTTTTCTTAGGTATTCAGCTCCTTATTCATCCTCGGGGTTCTCACTACTGCCTTTTTTGCATTCATCCGTCTTTATTGTTACAAATGTCTGGAAACGCGAAGAAAGCTGATGATGGTTCTCAACGAACGGAATACTGAAGGGGATGGATGGATGGAAAAGCCGAGTTTATTCTGCGAGGTAATTGGAAAAGATGATGAGCACAGACAGGCACTTGAACGATTATGATCATTTGGACTTGTTCATATTTCTTGGTCACTTACGAAAAGTAAGGAAGAGGAAGAGGAAGAGGAAGAGGAAGAGGAAGGCGTCTCGAGACGACAAAGTTACCCCTTTGAGCTTTTTGCTTCTTTACTTTCGTGTTTCTATTTTTGGATGGCTGTGTGCTTTCGCTTCCTCACTAAAGCAGAGACAGATCTGATGCTGAAAGGCAAATTGGTCAAATCTTTTAAGATGGGGTGCGGTTCTTCAGGTTGAGGGGGTCGGTAGGTTGGTTATGATGACGAGATTTGCGACGGTTCGTTTAAGATTACTTAACTTGGTTGATTACCGAAGTACGTATACCATGGAATTGATGATTATGCTTGATGAGACCACTTTTAATGATGTTGCTGAGTGAAAACGATTCGTGATTTGACGACGGCAACGCCTCAACCACTCGCGCAACACTGGTGGTGTAGTCATTCCTGGCCCATGTTTTGATCATGATGTAAACAGACAGAGTTCACGGACGACGAATTGCCGGGGAAGCCACAGGGGCTTTTAATCGCGAAGCTGAATTGTTAGTGGCGCATGAGGTGCTGTGGCTTGCACGTTTAGCGCTCCTCCAGCTATGAGAACGACCGCCCCGGCCTGGGATCATGGCGCTCGCAGCTTCCCTCCAATTGAACGTCGTGAATGGATGGACGAGCTTGTTTGAGACGCGTTCCTTCAGATATTGACAAACATCCCTGAACTTCAAGTTGATTCTGCTCTTTTTATGATCGTAAAATACTTCGAACGTCATCAAGTACTTTCCAGTAGTACCTACACCTCCCCGAAAGCTGCACGGGATAGTATCCAAACATCTCAACTTCTTTGCAAACACATTGAATCCATTCATATTTCACACATTCCACTTCCCGTTCGGTAAATAATTTCAGGTACATAACCAGCCAGCGCAACTCGGCCATTCATAATGGCAGAAACACACGACGACAACCCAGCCCTCTTTGAGGAAGATGATCACCGAGTAGGTTTACGTTGTTTATGTCCCCTTACTTCACAACATGTTGTCCCCAACCACGATCCTTCACACCTCTCTTACCAGCACTTACTCACACTCATGAAAAATAGGCAGTCTATATCTTCGCCCCAGCAGGCCACAATTCCTCCCCACTGCAAGAGAAAGCACGGCCAGTGAAAAGGCGGAGAGTCAGCAGTAAACGCGCTTCTGCCGCCGCGGAAGTAGCAGCAGATGCGGAGGGAGAGACGCAGTCGACAACGACTGCTGCTGCCTTTCCTCGGCTGTTTGGGGGGGAGGAGAGCGCGGAAGCTGCGGGGTTGAGGAGACAGGTTTTTGATACGGCGTGGCCGGTTCTTGATTGGCGGATTAAGGTGAGTTTTATTCAGTTCTGTTTTTGTGGTTTGTTGGGTTATGTTTGGGGTTGTGATGGAGCTGGGTGTGCCATCAATGAGGTTTCGGGTTTCCGGGGAGGGGGGCTTGGGTGAACAACAAAACGGGAGTGGCATTGCGCTGTAAATGTGTTGCTGTTGGACGAGACCGCTAACTTTGCGTTTTACGAGTGAAGAATGTCTTAAGAGAGGCGAACCGAACGACACTAGAGAATGTCAGCTCGTTTATACGCGATGCTGAGGGTGATGCGTAAGTGGCGATGACCCTTTTCAGTCAGTCGGAGTTGAGGAGGCCAGAAAAAAATAATAGCTGACACGAAAAAACAGAACAAGAGGAACCAGAATCCCAGCAGGCTTCATTATCACCGGCCCCAACATCGTCTCCCAAGATCTCCTGTTCGAACAACTCTCCGAAGCTCTCGGCAAAGCCACACAAGCCCGGTTTGTCCGTCTACGGGCGGCTGGGGCGCCAAACCTTAAGGCGGCGCTCAAAAAGGTGATAAGAGACGCCACTGCGCAGGTGTCTCTTGACGGCGGCGGCGATGGGGATGAAGACGCCGAGGTTGCCTTTGGCCGTGATGGCAGGAAGTACCTCGACTATGACCTGGAGGGATTACACGCTTTTCTCGGCGCACAGCAGGACTCTTCGAGACGAGTTATTGTGGCGTTTGAGGATAGCGAGGCGTTTGAGAGCTCGTTGTTGACTGATTTGCTTGCTCTTTTTCAGTAAGTTTAACTGACGCTCCTACTTCTTTTTCGTCGGGGCGTGGCTAAACAGGTTTGGCCAATACAGTTCATGGCAGGGACGCATCCAGTTCTCTGTGCTCTTCGGCATCGCTACCTCGGTAGAGCTGTTTCAGGCACGACTCCTCAAGTCTACTGCCCGACAATTATTTGGTGCCAAGTTCGATGTCGTCCAGGCGGACTTGGTCCTTGATAATGTCTTCAAGAGCGCCATTGCTGGGACGCAGGCGACGCTTCGCCTGGGGCCTACATTACTGAGGCGTTTGCTCGATCGCCAGCGGGATCAGGTTGCTGGTATTCGGGTGTTTATCAGCTCTATCAAGGTGAGTCCGGCTGCATCCCTTTATTCGTCACGTTTACCATGGCTCATAAATTACTTAGTACGCCTACATGTGCCACTTTTACGCCAACCCTTTGAGTGTCCTACTTGCGGACGAAAAGTCTCTCACCCGTCAGCTGCTTCAACCTGAGCACATTCAGGCTGTACGGACTCTTGACTCCTTTAAGGCACATGTCGAGGCCGCGGTGGACGCGAGACAGCTCAACCATGCACAGTCACTCGTCGAAGATGACAGTTACCTCGTTAAGCAGATGGTTGAGCAGCGGCAGAAAAAGCAAGATTATCTCATGCAACTCTTGCGCTCTTTACACCTTCTAACCAGCATGGATCTCGTTCCCGGCCGTTTCACCGATCTCTACGTGGCCGCTCTCGCAGGGGGACTCGATCTAACGCCCACCATCGACGCCATAAAACGATTAGGAGCAGACGACGTCCCCGCCCTAATCAACCGCCTACTGACCGCCATCCAAACCGGCAGTCCCGACCTCGACCTGCCCGGCTGGGAGGACGAAGCCGAGGAGCTCATCAGCTCCCTCTCCGAGATCCGCGACGAGATTGAGGCCCTAGCCGAGCAAGCCAGAGAGAAAGGACAACAAGCCCTCAAGAGCAAATTCACCGCCCAAAGCAAAGTCCTCCGCACGACCGTCGTCGCCCAAAAGGTACAGCTCAGCCAAGACACGGCCAAACTCACAGACGAAGACAAGGCCTTCGGCAAGGCCATCGACTCGCTCGTGGACTTGTTCACTCACAATATCTACAGCGATCCCATCGATAGCCTGTTCTTGCACGAAGCATGGGCGTACGACGCCGAGGCTCCCTACCGGGACGTCTTTGTTCCGCGGCCGGGAACGACCTTTGAGCGAGCCCTGACGAGGCCGCATGGGTATCTCGGGTGTGAGTGCTGCAGCAAGGCCGCGGGGACGCTCTCCGCTACGCTGCCGACGACGTGTATTCTGTATCAACTATACCTGGAGACGGGGTCCTTGGTTAATGCGGCGGATCTGTGGTCTGCGTACTATGCGCTTGTGGGCGAGGAGTCGGATGCTGGACTTGGATTGGGCGAGAGAGAGGCGTTGGGAAGGTTCTATCGTGGCTTGGCGGAGCTGAGGTTGATGGGCTTTGTTAAGCAGAGTAAGAAGAAGGCGGATCATGTTGCTAAGGTGAAGTGGCTGCTGTGATTGGGAAAAGGCAGGTGTGGCTGGGAAGCGGATGGATGGAAGGGGGGAAGAAGGCGAGAGCGTCTGGGCAACTTTCCGTTCGCGTTCTTTGTTGTCTCGAATGTTTCATCTTTGGGTGTGGATGGAATGAGAAGCTATGTTTGGCATTTTGTGCGTGGGGAAAGGGGGGGGGAAAAGCATTGTTACTGTCACTGGCATTCATTTCATGCACGTTGTTTTCGACGAGAAAAGTCCCATACAGGCCGAACAATGTCTTAGATTGGTGCTTCCTTCTTTCTCTCCTCTAGATAATCCCGATACCCCATTCAAGTCAAGAAGAGAGACAAAGAGGAGGCGGGCGGCTGGCGTAAATTGAACAGATATCGACTCAAAAAAGGAAGACAAAGAAAAGAAGATGGCGGCATCCCAGCTTTTACCACCTACCTTTGCTGCTTCTGGAAATCCCCAGCGGCTTTTTCTCGCCAAAGGACATGAATGACATGCTTTCGTGAGCAATACCTACAAGAGGACGGCGGTCACTCTTCGCTGGCTGTTTAATCCTTTCCTGTTGCCAAATTGCTTCTCCTTCGTTTCGTTTCGTTCGTGTGTCCAAAAAGGGTCGTCGTCGTCGTCGGTTTTCGCAGCAGCACAAATGAAACAGCAGGTCATCCCGTAGCCCTTCTTCTTCTTCCTCTTTACAAAGTCCATTGTGGGAGAGTACAAAATAGCCAAAAAGAGAAAAAAGAAATCATACTACAGGCTGCTGCTGCTGCTGGCAGCTATTCATTCTACATTATACTCTGCCGCAACGACAGACGGGTGCACTAGCCGAACCGACGAAAGGGACGAGAAAAAAGGCCTTCACTGCCTCAGTTATTATTATATGTTCCTCAATACCTACCTACCTACCTATTTACTCATTACGGATCCCCCTCTTCTGTTTTCCCCGTCAACCCTATTCGCTTATGATCGGATCGCATTCACACCCCTTCACAAACGAGCGCCGACGTTGAGAAGACCTGTTAGTCACGAGCCGGTCGTTCACCGGGAGCTTGTCATCTCATATATCCTCTTCAGGTCCTACTCGTTTTTTAGTACTTAAACCCCTGGGCTCCTCCTCTTGACCCCCCGAGCAAGAGCTAGCGAAACTAGGAACTGCGACGATCTGTGGACAATCTAGCCAGCATCGTTGTTCTGCCCTCACAACAAGAAACCCGTTCACTTCCTATTTCAGGGGAAAGAGACAACAAGAAGCACAATGTCCAACCAACACCCAGGTCAACAACCTACCAACCCCCGGGGTCATCACCACCGTCCACCACCTCCCCCCTCGACAGGAACAACACCAGGAGCATCATCAAAACCACCCACCCAACAACCCTCACAGCAACCCTTTCCACAGCAGCCAAACCCAACACTAACAACCCGCCGCTCCCTCCTCTCCCCAACCTTCGCCTCCAAACTCCGCCAACTCGCCCTCCCCCTCGCTCCCCTCGTCCAACTAACCTCCGGCACCGTCCACCCCGAGTTCCCCCAGACCTTGCTCAACTTCTGGCTGCTGACCGACGACCAGCTGGACCGACTAGCGAGTTTCTACCACCAGCGCACGCCGTGCCAGTGGACGGCGCACTACCCTTGTCCGGTGTCGTGGCCGGCGGGCATGGGGATTGAGGAGAAGAGGAGGCGGATTGGACGGTTTATTGGGTTGAGGGGGTGTGAGAGTCCACCGTTGCCTTCTTCGGCTTCTTCGTTGAGCGGCTGGGTGGGCTTGGGCTTGGATTTGAATATGGGGACGGGGGAAAAGAACGGGGGTGGGGGGCAGATTGATGATGATGATGATGATGATGACGCTATGGAGATGGATAGTACGGATTTGGAAATGGGTGGTGGGCAGCAAACGGAGCAACAACGAGCATTATTCTCAAAGGTTATGAGCTCGCCTATCATGGCCAGCATGGGAAACGAAGGAGCGGGGGGCATGTCGGCCTACATATCGGAGTTGTTAAAGTCGACGACGACAGGGACGACGGATGAGGATATTGCGGAGACGGAGAGGAAGTTCAGGAAAGCGGAGGATGAGTTGGATGAGATCAGGAGGAAGATGGGTTGGTATTTTTAGGTTGACAGTGGTTGTTGCAATGGGTAGGGATATCAAAGACGGGCAAGATTGTTTTGGAGTTTCCGAAGGACTCGCTTGGAAGAGGTCTATTTAGATGGCCAGGCAGGTTAGCTACTAAAAGAGCGCTGGTGTTCGGTGACATCGATACATACAGTCCAATACTGAATGGTTTGTTTGTTAACTCGAGACCTCGGGTCAACTTCCCTGGGCGTTTTTATATCTAATCCATTCGTTTCGTTCCATGATCAATCTTGTTAATGGCTTTCTGAACCGTACCTAGCCGTTCATTTTATCTTTGTGAGGTTTAGGACAATTCGGGATAGATCTCGTCCAGTATACCAGGAGTACCAAGCTAACAAACAAACCAGCATTAGATTGTACCTAGACCGTAGAATAGTTTGCAATATACCACATTCAAACTATCCAAGCTGAGGCCTGGTTCGCTTCCATTCTCGTATTGATCAACATACGTATTGAAGTCTACGTAATAATCCCAAACCGAGGACGCTGTGGGTTGTACTGTATCTCGACCAAGACCCGCAAACGACCTGAAGAAGCAAAAAAAGTATACCCTCGAATATTTTGCTGCAGGTCCCAACCCATAAACGCCATGGAAGAATGCAACTGCTTTCCCAACACACCCCACACTGCCCTGCCCTCCCGTACCTCTCTCCGTATTGTGCAGCCACCCCGGAGATCTCTTTGCGAGATGCTCACGTCACTCTCATGCACCGATCGCTAGGACGTGACCTCTAGTTCTTGCCCTTCTTCCTCGACGGCGATGAGGTGACCGAGCTGGAGTCAACAGGGGTACCAGTACCAGTCTCCTCTCCTTCCAGTTCCTTCATGAACTCGCTTCTGACGGTGGCCCTGCGCTTCTCCCACCACTCCTTCTCCTGTGTCACCTGAGCCTGGATCTCGTCGAGGCGCTCGCGCAGCACGGTGTTGGCGGCAATCTCGTTGGCGGTTTGGAAGATGCTCTGTCCCCAGTTGGGAGCGAGTGCGTTGGCCTGAAGGGTTTGACGTTAGCATTTCTGGACCCCAAACACCGTAACGCTCTGCAAAGAAGCACATACCTCCATAACAACATCACGAAGCTCTTCCTCCATCTCCTTCTCGGCGCGCTGGAACCTTTGCCACAGGTCATCGCCGATGCTTCCACGTTGTAGAAGAGAGCTGCAGGCGGCCTTGGCGGCACGAATCTGGATAATGCGGTGGATGTCTTCGACGGCACGGCGCAGCAGAGCCGCCCGGAGCACACTTTCGGATACTTTAGGGGCCTTCTCGGATCCGGTCTCGGGCTCCATGTGGAGGAGTGACAGATAGACGTTGCGCTGGAGGTGAGGGCCGAACCATGGTGCGAGGTTTGCGCTTTGTTCTGGAAGAATCAGCAAGGTTAGCTTTCCGTCCTGGGTAGGACAAGAATATTTGGGTAGAGAGGTTACATACGGGCTTTCCTCTTGCGGTAGATTGTGGAAAAGGTCATGAAGGTGCCCGTCAGGACAATCAGATAGGCGAAGGGGAGCACAAGCCCCCGCCAGTCGAGGCTGAACATGTTTCGGGATGGAGTGTGTCAATTGACGGACGAGAAATGAAGTCTGTATTCTCTACTCTAGAAGGAATCGAGCGACTAGAGTGACAAGGTTGGTGGTGAATGTGCGGTTGTATGAGTGTTGGTCACGGCAACGCAATCGAGCTTCCCTTATCAAATGCGGTGCCCGTGCCTGGAAAGAACACCTTGACAACTGCAGCGGTGCAGCGCGGCAGGGGAGCATGACAATGGAATTTCTGGGCTTGGCGCGTGCTGGCTTCATCTGAATGGCAAGGGCCCATGCCGCAAAATGCCTGCCGCGATCTACAGCCCCTTTCCGTCACTCTTGTGGGGTGCGGGGCTTGCCGGCCGGCATCTCTTGACGTGGGACCGGGAGTTCTTGGCTCTTCTGGAAACCCATGCCTCGATTGCTCAGCACTTCCCAGCACGCCCCAGCACGCCCCAGCACTCCCGCCGCCCAGGCACAACGTATGACGAACGCTTGAAGCTATCGTACAGCGTTGCGTTGGAGCTCCCCGCCATTGGATCCCGTCTGCCAAACAATCCACCAACACTGCATTCCCCGATCACCACGGCACCCAGTTCCCGTCACCAGTCACGCCTTCACCCCGAGTCCGAGAACCTGGCGTGACCTTACAGGTTTTGCGCAAACACAGATATTCCCGTCATACAGTTCCACATATCGCCTGCGATACATTTAAATCCAGATTTCGGAATCCTCACCAAACAACAACACCCACCCCGACGTCACCTTTTTCCAGCCCGCCCACCATGTTGTTGAGGTTACGCGGTCCCGATGGCATGCTCCGCCTGACGGTCGAGAAAGATGATACCTTTGCGGATCTTGGCCGTCAACTCCTTCCCAAGCTTCCCCCGACTGTTGACCCGAAAACAATTACACTTTCGAACCATCCGACCGGCAGCGACGCCAAGAACCTCAGCGAGGTAGCAAAGTTCAAAGTCAGCCAGATTGGACTTAACCATGGCGATCTTATCTTCGTCACATACAAGCACAATGATGCCGCGACCGACGGTCCAGGCAACGGCGAAGCCACCAAATCCAGCGTGCTGTCATCCACGAACCGCCTCAACGGCAAACCGATCCTACCTGCAGAAGACCTGCCCATCGACCCGCCTCCGCTGACATCTCCGCATGAACATATCAAGAACCCGTGGGAAACGGTGAGGCAGTCGCCTTTGGATGATCGGCTAGACAAGCGCGACGGGAAGATCCCGAGGGGACGCGATCACAAGATGTGCCGCCACGGACCCAAGGGCATGTGCGATTACTGCATGCCCCTTGATCCCTTTAACGCAAAGTATCTCGAGGAGAAGAAGATCAAGTACATGTCAGTACACGCATACCTCCGCAAAATCAACTCGGCGACAAACAAGCCCGAGCTTGGTGCTTCGTTTATTCCCCCGCTTGTCGAACCCTATTACAGAGTCAAGCGGGACTGTCCATCGGGCCATCCTCAATGGCCTGAAGGTATCTGCACAAAATGCCAGCCCAGCGCCATCACTCTCCAGCCCCAGCCATTCAGAATGGTGGACCACGTCGAGTTCGCGACGCCCCAGATCATCGACAAGTTCCTCAATCCCTGGCGTATGACCGGATGCCAACGGCTTGGTATCCTCTACGGCAAATATCTCGAATACGACGTTGTTCCGCTCGGCGTTAAGGCTGTCGTGGAAGCCATCTATGAACCACCGCAGGTTGACGAGATCGACGGTGTAACTCTCAACGCGTGGGAAAACGAGAAGGATGTCAACGAGGTAGCAAGACTATGCGGGCTGGAGCCTGTGGGTGTAATCTGGACGGATCTCCTCGACGCTGGCAAGGGTGACGGAAGCGCCATTTGCAAGAGACACACCGATTCCTACTTCCTCGCAGCTCAGGAGATTTGCTTTGCGGCGAGGCTCCAGGCACAGCATCCGAAGGCTACCAAGTGGAGCGACACAGGTCGGTTCGGCTCCAACTTTGTCACCTGTGTCATCTCTGGCAACGAGGAGGGCGAAATCTCAATCTCGGCGTACCAGATGTCCAATGATGCGGTCGAGATGGTCAGGGCTGACATCATTGAACCTTCCACGGACCCCGGTCAAATGTTGGTGCGTGAAGAGGAGGAGGACGATGGCTCAGTCAGCAGGACACGATACATCCCCGAGGTGTTCTATCGCAAGATCAACGAGTACGGAGCAAATGTCCAGGAGAATGCGAAGCCTGCATTCCCGGTCGAGTATCTCTTCGTCACCTTGACCCATGGTTTCCCCGAAAGTCCGAAGCCGGTATTCACAAATGACGGCTTCCCTATCGCCAATCGCGAATTTGTTGGAGAAGCCCAGGAAGCCTCGGCAGTAGCAAAGATTCTTAAGGTGAACCAAAAGTCCGACCAATTCGACGTTAGCAACTTCCACTTGCTCTGCTTTATCCGGCAGATGAGCGTACTGTCCAAGGTTAGTTCACCGCGTTCCTGCTTGGTCGCAGACAAAGTATTGATTCATTTTTTTTTACAGGATGAGGAGGCACTCCTTTGCCGCGTAGCAACACAACATGACCTTGCCGACGCCTTCCAACTTCGGGCGACAGAGGGGTGGAGGACCCTGCACATGATCTTGGAATCCACTGGTGAGAGACTTCCCAAGCGCCCCAGAACTGAGGATGCTACTTCCCCCTCGGTTGACAGATCCCACCTCAGCCACCACCCATTGATGCAAAGGAACCACAACTCGACCGATGAACCACTTGCTAAGCGTTTTGCTGCTGTCAGGCTGAACGAACATCGCCCGCCACCTCCCGAATAGGACTCGATGGATGTGGATTGAGGAGACGCATGGCCTTAGGATGTCACGGATAACTTCGAATGCTAGGAAGGCAACTAGAGGGTCAGGCCTTTTAACCAACGGGAACACAGGGCTTGAGGCTTCATTCACGGCGATGCTTACTCTGTCCCACATTCGTGGAATACATGGAGAACATACAATGGACGCATTGGCGTTGATTTTGCTGCTTCGAGGGAAAATAGACATGAATTGAGCATGAACTCAGACGAACGGGGTTGTGAAATGGAAAAGGTGTCCTAGTCTAGCATTGCAAAAGCTCCTGATTATGTTGCATTGTGGTTCTCGAACACAAGTTCTGTGCTATTTTGTCAATAACAACAAAAAGCGCCAGTGGTTTAGTGGTAAAATCCATCGTTGCCATCGATGGGCCCCGCGTTCGATTCGCGGCTGGCGCATTTCGTTTTTCTTTTGCACCTATCGCCAACAGTGAGAGATTCTCCTCTCTCGTTAATTCAGTTTCTTCACTTTTTTTCTTTCCTGATTCTTCACATTTCAGTTGTTATTCCTTCTTTTCCTCCTTTCTCACATTCTCCAATCGCTTTTCTTTCTCCTATCTTCACATTTTCTTCATCCACTTATCAGTCTTTTGTTTACTCGTTTCTTAACTAGCTCTTCACCCTTCTTCAATTCAATCATTCTTTACTCGGCAAGAACCACATATCGCCATATCGAATCACAAGATAATCACCCAAGACCTGCTTAGTCAAATGTTATCCCATTCACGAAATCAACTAATAACCGAGTAGACCAACAAGATCACCTCATGATACCCCTCGAAGCTGCTCCAGCCGATCCCCCAACGTCTCCCAAAACCGACATCTATCCCTCTCCCCATCCCCCACCTCCTCCATCCTCGTATTTCCCAATTCCACCAGCAACCTCTTCCTCTTCTTCCGACTTCTGTTCTCCTCACCACGAGACTCCCAACTCCCCCACTCAGCACTGCCCCCCTCCCTGAACGTATTCGGATCCAACGTCCTCACAAAGCTAATCCAGTACGCCATGAACATGTTCACGATTGGTGCGTTATACGTCTTGTAAGAACTCCCGGACCCGGCCCCGAACCCGCTGATGTTGTCCGGCCCAAAAATGGCGGCCGCGTCGAAGAGGTGGGGGACGCCGAGGCCGGCGGCCTGGAGGGTAAAGTCGTGGACGTTGAAGCGGTAGGCGAAGACTTTGTTGGTTCTTTCTGTTTGGTTCTTGTTGGAATATGAAGAAAATGAAACGAAAGCGTCGAGAAAGTTATTGGAGGGACAGATGAACGTGGCTTCCCCGTAGGCGAGGCTGGTGGTTGGATACCAGGGATTGCGGTTCGGTAAGGGAGGCAGTTGTGGGTAGAGGGAGAGGATCTGGCGCGTGTCGGAGGGGGTGAGATGGGGGTAGTTGGTGGTGAAGAAGGAGGTTAGGTCGGAGGGCGTGAGGGAGTTGTAGGCGAAGACTGATCCTTCTGTTTTTTTTTAAGGGAGGAGGGGCTTATGGTTAGTGAGGTGGTATCGAAATCAAGACTGAGCGGAATTGGGAATTTTTGGATAAACATATGAGCACACATACCATCCGTGTTGGTACCGAAAAAAATCGGAACATTCAAGAGACGACCCCTTTGAATAAGCCGGTAAGGGAGGTCTTGCAAGAAGTCACCGTCCACGCATGGAGTCCAGTAGAAAATCGGTAGGAGTGGACCATCACGGCCCGGGAAATGTTGGGCGTGATTAGCTGCTTGCAACGAGGTGACGTCCTGGGTCCGTAAACAAGTGAGTTGCTCTTCCGGAGTGACTCCGGAACAGCCAACCTGCTGTGCTAATCGGTCGAACTGGTATTCAAGCTCTCGCACATACGGCTGTGCTGGGAAGAAGAGCGACTCGGACATGGCACCCACGAAGAGGTTGTCGTTACGGCCGCCATATGCCAATAGATGCATCACCACAGAGCCTGCTCCTGCGGATGCACCGTGGATGACTACATGGTCGGGGTCTCCGCCAAACTGCCGATGTATGGGTCAGTCGAGAGGCCTCTGGTGATGAGTCTAGGGAGAAAATACGTGATGACATACCGTGGATATATGTTTCTTTACCCAAGTAAGCAGCATCCGCTGGTCGAGCAGGCCGACATTCAAGTCACCGTCATCTTTCACCCTCTGGCTGGCGAGGAATCCCCACATCCCAACCCGATAGTTGAAGTCTAGCATGACGATGTTGTGGCCGGACTTCTCAACGACCTCACTTCCGTTCCAATTAGCATTAGTGAGGGCATTGTAACCTTCGGAAAGAGTCAGCAACATGTCTCTTCACTATACATCCTGATATCTTGATTCTGGGCGACTTACCGCCTCCCCCAATAAAATCCCAAACAGGTAACTTCGACTTTTCCGTAGCATTTGCCGGAGCCCACACGTTCACAAAAAGACAGTCCTCGTCCTGACCAGGAAAAGGTGCACTGACACCAGCTCCGAGACATATGGGGCCGAACTGGTCAGCCTTCTCGACGGTGTCGGTTCTCTTTGGCTCAACTGGTGCTCGCCAGCGTAGATCTCCAAGCGGAGGGGCAGCATAACGCATCCCTAGGAAAGCATTGACGCCATTGGAGAGACGTATGCCCTCGTAGCTGGTGTAAGTGAGGGTGACTATTGGCGGTGGGGGTCCATTGTGCTCCTTTTAAGATATTTTGTGGTTGATTAATTCTGGAACAATCAAGTGGTGGAGTGGTCTGGCTTGGAGGATTAACTATACTTACCTTTCCGTCTCGAAGAGTAATGGAAGTGAGCAAAGCGCCAGCAATGACGAATGCAGTCAAGATTATCGATAAAAGTAGAGCGATGGGTTGCCTTTGCGAAGGATGAAGCCATGATGCTTTCGCGGCCACCTCGGAGTTTGGCTCTCTTGGTGCGGTGTAACTCGCCTGATGTGTAACAAGCAATGGTGCTCGTTCATCGGCGTATTCCTCGCGAGATCTGGTCATCGTAGCATAGGACTACGCGCCATCTTTCAGTTACCGAATAAGTACGGGTCAAAAGACTGGGCTGCTTAACATGAGATGCCCGACGAGGGTGGTCATAACAGTAAGGGAATGGGCGGGGTATCAGGAAGTTTATATACTGTGTCGGGATAGGCGAACCACGAGGCGATCTGCGTGTCTAAGGCGGCCACCAGCACTCGGAAGCTATAGGGTGATCATGAGATGAATCGCCAGTATCGGCATGTTTAATTGCTTCATGGTACAACTCAAGATATATAGGAACAAAAAAGCAAAGGAAAAGCAAGAAGAAATAGGGCGTTGCTGTTTGCGTCTGGCCTGCCTGTACGGAGTCGCCAATCGTTGAACTGGGAGAATCAGCGGCCAAGGTATCTGTTAGATAACGAGTTCAGAAGGGCTCAGTCAATTCGTAATCTCAAATGGTAAAGCCAATGCGACGGCAATGCGGATGAGGAAATTCCATGGTGTTTCGATAGATGCCGTTGTACTTAGAATTGTGTGATGTAAAGTTCAAGATCGGATGGTGCAAGTGCACTCAATGGCGGCGGGACGGCACTCAATATTCTCCACCAATTTTTTGTAGCAGCAACCAAAACCTGCACCAAACATCACCCCCTCCAACAACGGACGTCAACATCACAGCACAACCTCACCTTTTCGTCAAATTCAAGTAGAACATTCGCAAGAACTCTTCGACTACTACAAAACTGATAACTCACCGAACCGAGACTCACAAATCTACTTTACCCACCACCCAAAAATGTCATCAACAACCAAAGACCCCTCCACCACCGCCGGCGCCGGCGCCGACTCCGACTCCGAAGACGACTACATGAAAATGACTTTCACCGACGAACCCTCCTCCACCACAACAACCTCCAGCAAAAGTGGAAAAAAGCCCATCGAGACCTCCCTCCAGCGCCGCCTCCGTCTCCAACGCGAAGGTGAGATCCGCGGCCGCGTCAAATCCAAAGCCGAGCTCGCAGCCGAGGAGGAAGCCCGTCGGGAAGCCGCGCTGTCGACCTCTCTGTTTAGCAAAGTCATTGGCCCCCCTTCATCAACAACAACACCATCTTCCACTTCCCCTTCGTCAGCAGCACCACCCCTTCCTACAGCAACAACAACAAAAAGCAAAGGACTAGCAATGATGGCCAAAATGGGTTTCGTCCCCGGCAGTGCTCTAGGCGCTGGCGCCAAGTCTGGTACCTCAAGTGACGCTCGGACGGAGCCCATCAAAATCAGCATCAAGGACGGGCGCGAGGGTATCGGGCTGGAGAGCGAGCGGAAGCGCAAGCTGCGGGAGGCGGCGGAGGCGGCCGGGGAGATGGCCAAGAAGGCGAGGGTGGATGAGGAAGGGTATCGTGAAAGGGTGAGGAGGGAGAGGGAGGAGGCGAGGCTAGAGAGGCAGGTGGTTGCTGCGCAGAAGGTGGCGGAGGGGATGGATGAGGATTATGAGAATGAGGTGGGTGGTTGCGGTGAAAAGGGCGGTGGTGAGGGGGAAGTGCAGAAAAGTGAGGAGCGGGATGATGACGATGGCGGTGATTCTCAAGAAAGGAGGAGGAAAACTCGTACCAACTCATCCCGGCCACTTCGCTCCATCCCCGTCGTCTACCGCGGCCTCGTCCGCTCCCGTGAGGAGGCCGAGCGCGAGCGTAGGATGCGGTATGACCTGGAGCAGAGCAGCTTACTCTCCTCCACGCGATTGCCTACGTATGTCGATGACGAGCTGGATATGGACGACAAGCATGCTCTGGGTAAGGATACTACTACCGTTCATAAGCCATGGAACACGTACGTAATGGCGGAGGATCTCGACGAAGAGGATCCGGAACTGGACGAGTTCAACGCTCTTAGCCCTGATGAGCGGTTACGGCGCTTGGTGCAGTACATGCGCGACAAGCATCACTATTGCTTCTGGTGTAAGGCTAAGTATGATGATGCCGAGATGGATGGATGTCCTGGGTTGACGGAGGAGGAACATGATTGAAGAGGTTGCACACGTGGTTTTATCCCGTCTTGCAATGCCATCGAGCAAGTTGATGCTATGCACAGCACCATACAGCAATAGATTCATGTCTCTTTCTCTGCTCAAAACACGCACCACACATACATTGCCGAAATATTTTCAACAGTTGTGATGATGAAAAGTGGGGTACGTGCTTTGAAGAGAGAAAAGGATAAAAAAAAAGCTACTACATATGGGGTACTATCGCACACCTGACACCGTAGAAGATTGAATGATTAGATAGGATGAAAATTTCGTCCTGTACACATATCAACAACATCTAAACAGCAAAGAAAGAAGAAAATGTTCCAAGCAAATGAACAAACAAGAACTAACACCGATTCCTTTTCCCGCTTATAGAGACATCCACATGGATCTAGATCCAAAACCTTTCCACAACCAAACGCCCTTTTTATGAGTTGTTGAAAATGACTTTTGACACCCCCCATGCGTGATTTTTCTTTTTTGAACACGTCTTCAAAAGGTAGAAAGAAAAACAATCAAACAGAATGGTATCATGTCATTTACAAAGGCTTGCCGCCAATGAACTCGGACCACCTGAGGACCTCAGAGGGGATACCCTCGGGGCGGGGCAGCTTCTCGGCCATGCACTGGGCGAAAAGCATAGCGGTCTAGGGGAGGAAGAAAACGTTAGCTTTCAGTCACCGGGAAATGAAGGGTCAGTAGTGAAGCTTACCTGGGGCTCCATGAAGAGAGGAACGCCGAAGTCGACGGCGTTACGACGCATGACGTAGTCAACATCGAAGATGGTCTTGCCACGGGCCTGGGCAAGGTTGAAGACACCACGGATGTTGTTCTTGGCGAAGACCTCACGAAGGGCACGCTTGTCATCGGTGGGGAAGGCAATGACCTCGACGTCAATCTTGGTCTTGGCAGAGGACTCGAGGAACTGCTTGACCTCGTTGTCGGCGGCGTAGAGCTTGTAGCCAAGAGGGCTGAGGTAGTCGACGATGGTGGGCAACCAGCTCTTGCTGAGGTCACCACCGAAGAGGAGACCCTCACCGGGCTCGGGAACGCGGAAGTTCATGGCGGACTGGAGAGAAGCCCAGTAGGCATCGACGAGATCCTTGCCGAAGCAGGCCATCTCACCGGTAGAGGACATCTCGACGCCGAGGAAGGGGTCGGCACCAGCAAGACGGGTCCAGGAGAACTGGGGAACCTTGGTGGCGACGTAGTCACGCTTGACAGCCATGAGATCAGTGGGCTCGGGGACGTTCTTGCCAACAAGGGCCTTGGTAGCAGCGTCGATGAAGTTGACGCCGAGGACCTTGGAAACGAAGGGGAACGAACGAGAGGCACGGAGGTTGCACTCGATGACCTTGAGGGCCGGGAGGCCACCCTCGGGATCATCAGCCTTGATGATCTGCATGTTGAAGGGACCAGTGATCCTCCAGGCCTTGGCGACCTTCTGGGCGATCTCCTTGACGCGGTCCATGGTGGTCTGGTCAAGGTTGGCGGGAGGGAGGACGAGGGTGGCATCACCGGAGTGAACACCAGCCTGCTCAACGTGCTCAGAGACGGCGTGGAGGATGAGGTTACCCTCAGAGGCAACACCATCAACATCAATCTCCTGGGCGCCCTCGATGAACTTGGTGATAACAACGGGGTGCTCGGGAGAAACGTTGGCGGCAGCCTCAAGCTTGTCCTTGAGATCCTCCTTGCTGCGGATGACGGTCATGGCAGCACCGGAGAGGACGTAAGAGGGACGGACAAGGACGGGGTAGCCAACCTCCTCAGCGAACTTCTCAGCAGCCTCGACGGAGGTGAGCTCCTTCCAGGCGGGCTGATCAACGCCAATGCTGTCGAGGATCTCAGAGAACTTCTGTCTGTCCTCAGCACGGTCGATATCGCGGGGATCAGTGCCGAGAACGCGGGCCTTGCCAGTCTCCTGGAGACGGAGGGCAATGTTCTGAGGAAGCTGGCCACCGACAGAGACGACAACACCAGAGGCGCTCTCGAGCTCATAGATATCCATGACACGCTCGTAGCTAAGCTCCTCGAAGTAAAGCTTATCAGCGGTATCGAAATCGGTAGAGTAGGTCTCGGGGTTGTAGTTGATCATGACGGTCTTCTCGCCCATAGCCCTCAGGGCCTGGGTGGCGCTGACAGCGCACCAATCGAACTCGACCGAGGAACCGATACGGTAGACACCGCTGCCGAGAATGACAGTACCCTTATCCTCGAAGGTGACGTCGTGGGAAGAGGCGTTGTAAGTGGTGTAGAGGTAGTTGGTGTCAGCAGGGAACTCGGCGGCCAGAGTATCGATCTTCTTAACCCAGGGCCTGATACCGAACTCCTTTCTGGCAGCGCGGACAAGGTCCTCAGTGCTGTTGACAGCCACGGCGATCTGCTTATCGGAGAAACCGAGCTTCTTGGCCTTGAGGATGTGCTCCTTCTTGAGGGCCTCGAGGCTGCCAAGCTGTTGCATCTCCTTCTGGCAGTCAACGATGTTCTGGAGCTTGTAGAGGAACCACTTGTCGATCTTGGTCAGATCATGGATCTTGTCAACAGTGTAGTTCTCGTGGAGCATAGCCTGACCAACAGCCAACCAGCGGCGGTCGGTAGGGTTCTGGAGCTCGAAGTCGAGATCCTCGAACTTGTCACCCTGGAAACCGACGAAGCGGGGGTCAACCTGACGGATAGCCTTCTGGAAAGACTCCTCGAAGGTACGGCCGATAGCCATGACCTCACCAACCGACTTCATGGCAGAGCCAATGTCGCGCTTGACGTGCTGGAACTTGGACAGATCCCACCTGGGAATCTTGGTGACGATGTAGTCAAGAGAAGGCTCGAAGTTGGCGGTGGTGGTCTTGGTGACAGCGTTGGGGAGCTCGGGAAGGCTGTGGCCGAGACCGATCTTGGCGGCAGTGTAGGCCAGGGGGTAGCCGGTAGCCTTGGAGGCGAGGGCAGACGAGCGGGAAAGACGGGCGTTGACCTCAATGACACGGTAGTCCAAGCCATCGGGCTGGAGAGCGTACTGGACGTTGCATTCACCAACGACGCCCAAGTGACGGACGATCTTGATGGCAGCGGAACGGAGCATGTGATACTCCTCGTCGCTGAGGGTCTGGGAAGGAGCAACGACGATAGAGTCACCAGTGTGGATACCGAGGGGGTCGAAGTTCTCCATGTTGCACACAGTAATGCAGTTGTTGTTGGCATCACGGACGACCTCGTACTCAACCTCCTTCCAGCCCTTGAGGGACTTCTCGACCAAGATCTGGGGGGAGAGGGTGAGGGAGCGAGCAGCCATGTTGCGGAGCTCCTCCTCGTTGTGGGCGAAACCGGAACCGAGACCACCAAGGGCGTAGGCAGCGCGGACGATGATGGGGTAGCCAATCTTGTTGGCAGCGTCGAGGGCCTCATCGACGGTGTTAACGGCGATGGACTTGGCAATGGGGATGTTGATCTCCTCAAGGGCCTTGGCGAAGAGATCTCTGTCCTCAGAAACCTCCAGTGTCCTGACACTGGTACCGAGAACCTTGACACCGTACTTCTCGAAGAGGCCAAGCTTCTGCATCTGGACACCCAAGTTGAGGGCGGTCTGACCACCGAAGGACAGGAAGATACCATCGGGCTTCTCCCTCTGGATGACGTACTCGACGTACTCGGGGGTGACGGGGAGGTAGTAGACCTCGTCGGCGAGGGAGTGGTTGGTCTGGATGGTAGCGATGTTGGGGTTGATCAGCACGGAAGCAACACCGGCCTCCTTAAGGGCCTTGAGCGCCTGAGAACCTGGATGAGTAGAGGAGGGTCAGCACTGTTGTTTGTTTGTTTGTTTGTTTGTTTGTGTGTCTAGTATCACTGAGTCACCAAGATATAGACATACCGGAGTAGTCGAACTCGCCGGCCTGGCCAATGGCAAGACCACCGGAGCCGATAACAAGCACCTTCTTGACGTCGACATGGTCGCGGGGCTTGACGACGCCGCTCTGGATATAAGCCTTTGCGTCGGGGGCGGGCTGGCTGGCAGCAGCCGCGGCAGCGGAGGCAGAGAGCCACCTCTTCTGGGAGGACAGCCTCTGGGCGGCGTTGGCCTGTGTCTGGAAGATGGAGGTGTTCTGGGCGCCGGAGGTGAAAGCCCTCAGTTGGGACGCCTGGACGGGGACCCGCCGACCATGGCGGAGGAGAGCAGGAGCTCGGCCAGCCTTGTGCACGGTCGACAGCATTATGTCCGATTGTGGGGAGGTGTTTGTAGAAGGGAATAAAGAAAGACTAAGAAATTGAAGGTCTCGTGAGGGCGGCGGGGGGGCCGATGTCTTGTATATCAACAAACAAGTCCTGACAGGGAGCTGCTAACCCCGGATCCTGACCAATTGACCAATTGACTCAATCTCGGGTCTCCCGTCCGTGTTTTCGGATTTTCGCGCTTTTATTTTTGACTGGAGAGGTGGGACGGAAGGAGGGACGGAGCGCGGTGACTGGTTATGGTGCCCGGCGCAGAGACGAGACAGACAAATAATTCCCAGAACCGGCCGCTGTGGGGAGCGCCGATAAGAGATAAGGCGGGGCCGGCGGCAGGGTGGGTTGTTGGTGGGCGGGTGTGACTCTTTCACCAAACAGAATCGACGATGAGGCCCCGATCTGCCGGGCAATGGCGGGCACTGGCGGGCTGGGAACAAGTGACACAATTTTGGAAAATTTTCAAAACGGGCCGCGTCCGGTATCAGCTCGGTGGGTGGCTTCCGACAACGGAAGCGGAGCCCTCTGCGGTCGAGAAGTGCGGGACTTGCCATGGACCTGCCATGGACCTGCGATGCTATCGCGTCCTGCTTCATGGATCATGCCCGGCGCAGTTATCGCATTTTGCCAGATTCCCATTTTTATCCGATTTTAAGCTCACCCACTGGCTTGTGACTGGACAGACTTGTGACTCGCTCGTCAACCGCTATGCCTGTCTACTATCTAACATCATCGGTCTATCTAACATCATGTCAACTATTCTCGAGAGGCTGCATGTGTCATCTGAAGTCGGTCGTGCTTTTGTCCGATGTTCGCTCATGCACGCCATGGCCGTGGCTCTCCAAAACCCCAAACAGGCACAAGCTCCCGGGACGGCACTGAGACGGCTAGTACCGAGTCAATGGTTACAACGACCTCCAACCTCCCGTCCAAATTGTCTCTTGGACACCCAAACCCCGCCAAAAAGTTGGACTACCTTGGCGGTGAAACTGGCTGAATTGGGTGTAACTGACATGTCATTGGCCAATTGCCCGTCGTGTTGCGATTCGGCGGGAGAGGATATTCCCGCGTGTTATGTGATTGGTTGAGTCATCGCGGCCCCATCCCAGTATATTCGGCGATAGTTTGATCTTCAAAATCCCCTCGCTTTTGACGTGTTCCTGCGGCTGACTCAACTCGAAGCGCCTCGCTGATGAAGAGCTCAGATTCTTCGCTGTATTCCCCACGTAAGTAAGCCGCCTGCGAGAAGGATACTTTGACTCACGGACCGGATTTCGACGGCTGTAGCACTGGAACCTTACTGATATCAGGTCTGCTAGTTCACAAGTCAAATTACTGACCCCATCCCATGATCTCACAGTACTTCGGGGGTTCATTCTATTCCGGAAGCTTATTCCATATTCACTCACGTCCCTGGGTGAACATGGGTGACGGGCGCACCTGGAGTTCGGAGGTGTGGTTGGTGGACTCTTGTGAGTCTTGAGGCTTCCACTTGTGTAAGTCAAGACCTCTCATTGGGGAAACACTACCCATTCTGAGCTGTGACTCAGAAACAAAACTGGACATCCAGTGCGAGTCCATCTCCAAAACCGATTTCAAATTCCCCTTTCTGAAGACAACCCATGATGTCAAGTCTGCCACCCCAAGACGTTGGCACCTGGCGAAATCCATCCCATCACGTTGCTGTTGCGTTGGGGATCCCCAAGCGCCCAGGCCGGGGCTCTGAGGGAGCGGGGGTAACCCCATTCAGGTTCACGGTTGCAACAGCCCGGGCCCGTCCTCCCCCGCCGCGGCTTCCGGGGCCCAAGTGCGTGGATCCCGGCGAAGGAGGGCCACGGCACAGGCCCAGCCGGCCGACAGCGGGGACCGGACCTCTGCCAGCTGGGAGGTCTTGGCATGCCAAGCTCACTGAGCAGTGAGCACGGGCCATCCATCCCCTTCGCTGTTGTGGTCCCTTCGTGCCTTCGTTCTGGCACTGACAAGCAGGGGCACCTCAGCGGCAGGCAGCACCACCGCATCCTTGGCGACGTCGATGATAGCTGCCCATCGAATGCATCGCGCATTCTCTATCTCGTTGCTTTCTTCGTGATCATCGCATTTGCCTTCTACTACTCGATGAATACTTTGTTTGTTGACCTCCTTCACGTCAATCAATTATACACCCAGATATGTGAGGCTTAAACAGCCGTTGAAGCTTTATCACTACAGCTCTTTAATGCGCCAGCCATCACTCTCCCCTTCAAACCACGGCGAGCTATGAACGATGATCCCGAGCCGAGCTTCGCGGCCCGGCAGCAGCAGCAGCGCATCCCGCCACACGGTCCAGACGACGAGCAATCTACGGAGCTGAACACCAGCGCTCAAGATGATGATGAGCAGACGTCACGGCAGGAGAAGCGCAAAGCGGGCCTTAAGAAGAAGCTTCAGTTCATGAGCCACCTGCAGAGGAATCTCGACATGATCTTCTTCGCCTATCTCTGCACATTATACTATATGGAGTACGAAAGCAGCCACTTCCTTTAGATCCGTTGCATGACATGACCAATGACTGATGATCTCGATTTATCTTTGCATTACAGATGTTCCTTCCTCCGCCTATTCGTACGCATCATCCCACACTTCATGTTCATCACCCCGAAAGAGGGCCCCGTCCTTTTACCGGCCGAACGTCCACACGTCTTTGCCATCCTCGGTCCGAACTTGGTATGCATCCTCGCACACATCATCTCTGCGCTACCAACCGCCGGCGAAGCGACGCGCGGGTATCTACACGGGGGCGTGATCGTCGACTTTGTCGGGCAGAAGCCACCAACGACGAGGCTATGTCCTTTATTTTTCGATGCGGTGATACTGGCCGTCCAATGTTTGATGTTGGCTATCCATACGGAGCGGGAGAAGCTGCGCAAGGTTGTGAACCCCTCATTACAACCTCTCTGGGCTGGTCCTGGCCAAGTTGGACAGCAGACGGGGGCGTCAGGCAGCGACGGTGTGCGCCAGCCCGAGACGACCCAGACTCTGGATGCGGAAGAACGGGGCGTGAACAGGGAAGATGAGATCGCATTAGGCGATGGAGACGGGACCGAAACATCGCCCCTAGTGGCAGAAGGCCGTGGGGGTCAGGAGCAGGATGATGAACCGCGGCTGGGGTCCAACTACTCTCCGGCATCTGCCGGCATAGACTTGTTTGATGTTATGAGGTCAGGCAATGCCAGTGTGGGTAGCTTTCATCCAGTACACGCCATACGTACGGTGGGGAATGATTATCAGACGGCTGCGGCGTACACGGTCCAAAGCCTTGGGTTTCATGCGGCCGCCGTTGCTGGCAACCGGGGAGTTAGAGGAATTGCTGGGATTGCGAATAGGGCGGCCAGACGGGGGACTTGATGGAAAAGCATTTGTACACACTAATACTTAGTGCCGAAACCAACCAAAGCGAATTAATGGCATCAAAATAATGAACTGAGCTTGAACGAGCAACAACAAAGAAAGCATCCGGTTTATAATTCTTCACGCTACCTTCCTTCCCACATTACCAACGCCCGTACCCTTGACCGAGGCTACTAGATCAGTGGTCTCACCATCATCATCGACATCTCTTATGCCCCAGCTGGCCGCTCCGAACTTCTTCAGATCTCGTGCCAGCCCTATTGTCTCCTCTCTGGCTAACACTTCCCTGCCTAACCTTAGGCGACCCACATCTTCCGATCCCATTGCCATCAGCGTAAGCAACGTCGGTGCCGACACATTACTAACGCAACCTCCCTGTGCAATAACCTCCAGCAGCTGGTACGCGCACCTTGCGCCGATATCCTCGGGCACGACACCACCCTCGGGCGGCGCCACCACGTCGGCCGAGTACAGCACGCCGTCCGCGCTCGACTCCGCCACCAAGCTGAGGCCGAAACCGATACCGATCTTCTTCTTGGCGCCGTTCTTGTCGCCGACCAGCGGCGCCGGGTCGTACTGCGCCGCCACGTGCACGTCCGAGACCAGCTGGTTGAGCACGCCACGCGCCGCCGTGATCATGCGGTTGTTGTGGCTGGCCGACACGCCCGTGCAGTACGCCACGCCGCGGATCCGCCGTATCCTTCCCGGCCGCCGGTTCAGGTGCAGTGTCTTGGGCAGGCGGACCTGGCTGGCGAAGCGGAGCTCGACCACGCCGCCACCGCCGCGGCCGCCGGGGCCGGAGCACGAGCGCGAGAGCACGCGCAGCTCGATGCGCGCGGGTGGGATGCCGAACATGCCGTACAAGGGAAGCACGGCCGTGCGGAACGAGTCGACCGAGATGTCGCCGGTCAGGTGGGTGGCCGAGGTGATGACGCCGGGTCCGGTGAAGCGAACGTTCATGTGGGCTTTGGAGAAGGGCGCGAGCAGGGCGAGCGGGAGGAGGAAGTAGGTGATGCCGCGCGTGTTGTTGGCGGGCAGGGTGTGCTCGACTACGTCGCCGACGGCGCCGGCGTTGACGCCCGCGACGGTGCCGGTGATCAGACCGGGCTGGTATGTGATGGTGGTGCCCGAGTACGAGACATCGATGACGGAGCCGTTGGTGATGGCCTCGATAAGACGCAGGAAGGAGACTTCGTGGGGGGCGAGACCTGGGTGTGTGGCCGAGCTGCTGCGAATCTTGGAGATGTGCACGGGGCGGCCGGTGAGGGTCGAGAGAACGATCCGGTGCGTGAAGGCGCGGTGGCCGGTAAAGCGAATGAAGTCGGTTTTCTCGCCCGACATGGTGGCGGTTGCGGGTGGTTGGTTTTTGCGCTGTCCTGAGCGAATTCGGTTGATGGTGTAAATCCTGGACTTGTGTGTTCTTCGTAAGTAGGCGATCGCGCCCCAATTCGTTGGGCGGTTATCGGTGGTGATGGAATAATGGGTATGTCGCGGTTTTGATGGTAATGGTTTCTGGATTGGAAGCTCCTTTGGGAGCCTGCAGCTGTCCCGTTCCAATTCGTTTTTCTCCAGAATTTTTGGAGGATCCCGCTGTTTCTGCCGGGCGGTGAGACGATACTTAACGCTTATCAACAGGGGTCGCGTGTCGATAAGAACCTTCTGCAGGGGCCGATAAGAAAAAGTCACAGCGGCAAGCAGCGCATGGTGGGGCGATGATGGCCGCTGTTTCTAGGACGTGCTGCTGTAGGTAGGACAAAGTGCCGCCGGCTTCCATCATGAAAAGTTGACGAAACACCTCCAAGCTCCAGTTCACCACGCCCTTCAACCCCCGCCGTCCTAGCTTGCACTTCTCTGATTTTTCCATTGTTCCTCATGACTATCTTCCTCTTTTCTTGTATACTGCCTTAACCCACCCGACTCACGAAACCACCACCGATGCCTCCCCGAACATTTGCGCTTGATTTGAGTCGAACGAGCAGCTATGTTTGCCAGTCCTGCATCGCCAGTATAGGACGAGCCCGCCCGAATCCACAGCCATGGCTGGCGAGAAATGCTTCGAATGCGGCCCGGGCCGCTCGCCGACAACGTGCGCCGACGACGACTAAGCAGCTGGAGGAAGAGCAAGCACAGAGGTTCCAAGAAGCCCTCCTACGGGAGGCGCAGAAGGGAGAGCCTGCCGACACCGACGAACAAGGTCCGACCGAACCCCTCGCCGTCAACTACTTTAATGAAGAGACTGAAGGGCAATACCGACAACTGCGCGACGGTGCCGAGTTTGGCGCCGTCAGTGGCGGAATCGACAGGGAGATTTCCGAGGCCATCAACGACTTGGAGCAGAAAATGGTCCAGACAATACAAATGCTCGACAGCTTGGAGAAGGTTGGGGGTTCCGAACAAGACAAGGCCGAGGAGCTACGAAAACAGTTCAAGAAGATCCTCAGGGAGAAATACAAGGGGAAGACGGGTCCGGAAGGCGAGTCATACGGCGTCCTGCGCATTCCAGGCTTCAGCGGGGTGCGGCAGCGAGCAGTCGCCAACTTAAACTCTTTCCTTGCGCGCGACAGCGTCGTCAAGGGCGGCGTCCCCAAGCCGAAAGATCTATTCGACTGCTGGAAGTACTACTCGGCAGCACGCAGTTCATTAGCCACCCAATGGAGCAACGTACCGCGCGAGGTCTGGGATTTTCTGTGGATGATTTTGTCCCACGAAGGGGAAGGCGTAGAGAACCCAAACCGGATGCATCACATCTACGTTCTGGCGAAGGACATGCAAGCTGCGGGCGTAGTGCTGAGAGACTCGCAACAGCTTCTTGCGATCGAGGCCATGTTCCTCGAAGGCTGGCAGGAGGAGGCTATCGAAGCGTGGAAGAAAGCGGTAGTCACTATCGGCTCAAAACCAGAAACATTCAAAGGTTATTATGAGCTGGGAGTACGCATGTGCAGTCTCCACGGAGATACCGACCGCGCGATGAGGGCTGCGGATACCCTTCTCAGGTCCTCAAAACCGCCTAATCCTCGCATCATGATACCCATCGTCCGGGCTTTGGCAGCAAGGGAGGGAAGTGCCGAGGAAGCGTGGGAAGTGTACAGGGATATGCGAGCGCTTCTCGGAGACACCATGCAGATCGAGGACTACGATGAAGTTATCGCTTGCTTTTTGGCGGTAAACCACGTCGAACATGCGCTGCAGGCCTTTGTCGACATGATGTTCTCGGGTCCCATGGATATTCGCGGCAAGACAAGACTACCGACCATCGTCGGCAACCACTTCTTCCTCGGCAAGTGGCTGAAGAGGCTAATAGGAGCAGGAGATCTCGACGGAGCTTACAAAGTGGTTACGTTCCTACAAAATAAGGGAGTCGCCGCTTCGCCCATCCAGCTCAATGGCCTGGTCGGCGCTTGGCTCAGGACAGAAACTGCTGATAACATGGAGAAGGCTGACCAGTTGGCTTGGGCCATGATCAAAGCCCGTCTGGACTTCGTCAACCTGCGTCGGAGAGCCGCCGCGATGGATCGGCCAATTCGTCTCGTACCCCGTGACGGAGAACCGACACCGGATGATTACGTTTGCACTACAAGAGCCACGGTCGAAACATTTTCCCTTCTTGCCGAAAATTACAGCGCTCGTGGACTGCACAACGAGCTCGAAGAACTGTGGACAGCGTTCGAGTTGGCGGAACTTGGGCCCAACAGCTTTATGATAAACCAGATCATCAAGTCGTATACCGAGAGCAAGGGGCCGCAGGAGGCCATCGATTTCTACGAGCAAATGACCAAGAAACGGCACGTGCGTCCTGATGCGCACACCTTCATCGCTCTTTACAATACGCTCTCGGTGAACCGCGTGGTAAAGCGAGACAACAAACTATCGGCAGATGACGCCGTCATCGGCAGGCAGTTCTTCCAGGACCTGGTCAAGATGGATTGGAAGTTCGACTCGGTCGACGAGTATACCTACCTCCCCCGTACCGTTCTCTTCTCCATGCTCAAGGCCAAGGATCATGCCGGCATGATTGTCGCCGCCCGAACCATGAAGGAGCTGTTCAACTACTCGCCGCCCGAGCAGCTGCTCATCGAGCTGGCGGCGGGAACCGCTACTCTCCGGGTACAGAGCAAGCGCAACATGGACCGCATCATGGAGGCCAGCAGGCTGATAGAAAGCTTGATCCGGAAACACACGCAAGTTTTTGCCGACCTTGGAGGCGACCCTGCCAAGATGACGGCGCAGGAGAAGGACAACCAGCTTTGTGCAGTGTTTGAGGAGCTGGTCTTGGTCAAGGCGCATGCCCAGAACGCGGAGAGGAGTGCCGTGAACAACATCCTTGCCCAAGCCGCCGAGGAGATGGGCGTGTTTGATATCGTGTTTACGAGGGATCCGGCGGTGATTCGGAGGCACAGGAAGGTGATGAAGAATCAGGATGTTGAAGACGATGTCGACTGAAGAATAGTCACATGTAACAATACAATGTAACATAAGTACAATACAATACCCCACGAATGTTAGATTTGGTGGTTTGACAACAGGCACTATGGAGTGAAGAATCGAATGGGATTGAGAGAAAAGCAAAGATCGTTCGTTGGATAAGATGTAAGTATACAAACACCACAATATGCTATCACACTCAACAGTCTTGTTCCTGCTCCTCAAAGTCCACGAAATACTCATTCAAACACACACTGATAAATTGTCACAGAAGCCAGCCTCTCCCCACCACCGCTCCAGAGCGACGCGCACGGCACCACGGGTACGGTTACACCACCACTATCACCATCAAGGGCGGTGGCGGCAGCGGCAGAAAGGGCGACATCCACATAACGCACCATAACTGACGGGCGGCCACCCTTTTCGGCGGGCTCGCTGTGTTCCTGATTGATCAACCGATGAGCGGCCAACCGGGCGATTTCATCGAGTCCCTTGTACGGCGCCGGAGGAGGCGATGAAACTCCTCCAGCTTTGTGTCTCTCCACGAGTATTGTCTGGAGAAGAGCGGGTTGCTGCCGCCTGGGTTCTGACTTTTTGTTGACTCCATCATCCTCATCGCTATCATCATCATCATCATCCTCTTCATGAGACGTAGAGGCAGGAGAACGAACAACAGTCTGATGAACCTCCACCACCCTCCTCCCATTACCACCATCATCAGCACCGCCGCCATCATTCACATCCATATCCACCACATTCGCCAGGAAACTATCCAAAACCGTCACGCTCTTCGCTCCTCCAGTCTTCGCGACGCCCAAATGCGCGTGCCACTCCACGCCAGCGGAGCGGGGGAGTTCAGCGACTTGGGCGGCGAAGAAGGGCGGGATTGGTCTCTTCTTTTTGGTGTTCTTGTTCTTGTTGGAAAGGATACCCCAGTCCGGTAATTTTGGTTCCGAAGAGGACTGTTCTGAGGAGGTGGTGACGGCGAAGGACATATACCGGGGATTGAATTTTCTATCCCAGAGGTCGGGGCCGCCTTCATCTTCATCTTCGTCGTCGTCGTCGTCGTCGTCGTCGTCGTCGTCGTCGTCGTCGTCGTCGTCGTCGTCATCGGAGTTACCGTCGGAGGAGGAGGAAGAGGAAGACCATCGGTGAGCAGCCTGCCAGGTTTTGTAAGCCAGTCTGGCCTTTTCACTCATCGGCATTGAAAAGGAGCAGCGGCCGACACCGTCAGTGTCAGTGTCAGCGTCAGTACTATCCGCAGGGAAATAAGCCACGGCGCTAGTCCACCATTGCACGCCGACTTCGAGACCGATGCGCCAGAGGTGTTGGAGGGAGAGAGTGATTTGGGTGTTTAGTGCCTGTCGTTGTTGTTGTTGCTCTGATTCCACGGGAGGCAAGGCCATGGTGGCGGGTACGAGGGGGATTTGGCCAGCGATGGTAACTAGTCTTAGACCGTCGTTGCCGGTTGAGTTAGACTGTGAAGATGAAGACGAGAGACTGGCCAGCGGAATCGAAATGGCTTGGCTGTATGGTCCGATATTGGCGGGAGCCCAGTATGAGCGGGATTGTACGTGGAGACCTTGTCGTCGCTGGTCGGTTTTGTTGGTGAAGCCGGTGTGGACGGTGAGGTAGATGGCGATGTTGATGCTGCTGTTGCTGCCGGAAAGGGCGGATAGGGAGTCACCGCAAGCAACGCAGACTCTGGAGGGTGGGTTGGGTGCGTCGAAGATGGCGCCGTAGATGGCGTTGACGGCGGGGAAGTCGGCCATGCTACGCAGGAGGATGGTGGAGGTGAGGATGGCGGATGGAGGGAGGTTGAACTGTTGGAGGCGTTGACGGATCTGGGCAACTAGTGATGATGTTTCTGTTTCGATCATGCTGCTGCTACCGGCGGAGGAAGAAGAAGCGTTGCCGAAGAAGCACCATTGTTGTAGTTTGCTGTCGACGAGACTCTGAGACAGTCCAAGCTGAGGAGTACCTTCTTGCTTCGACAAGCCTTGTTGAGGATCCAAGCTGAGCAGAGCTAGAAGCTTTTGAGCTTCTTCCTCGCCAGCGGAAGCGGAAGCACTCTCATCCAAACCCTCCAACACCCCAACAAACCTAGCATCCAACAAATCCGGAATCCTGACCTTAACAGCCTCACTCTCCTCCTCAGAAGTAGAAGCCGCCGTGACTTCCTTGACCTTATCCTCCAACCTCGCACTCCCAAAACTCAACCAAGCACACCCCCCTCCCTCCATAACAATCCTCCTATCCTTCTCCTCCACCACGATCCTCTTCCTAAACAGCTTCGCCGGCCCATCCAGCACCAACGTCTCGAACTCCCCTCCCTCCCCAATCACCGCGCCCTTCTCCGACGCCGTCCCGAACCGCCGCATGCTCCTCGCGATCCTCTCCTTGCCCGCCCGGTCTGCGACGTTGGTCCAGAGGAACGAATCGTCCAGTCCGCCGCTGGCGACCTTGATGATGCGCGCTTCCATGCCCGCGGCGGCCATGTCGTCTAGGAGTTGCGCGTCCGTGTTTGCAACATCACCACCGAAACCGGCAGATAACTGCTGTTGGGGGACGGGCAGGACGGGGAACTTCCACAGAAAAGCTAAAGGTGTGAGACCCAAGCGGGTAGCTACCGACTCGACGCGCGTGCGCTGGTAGGTGCTGAGGATGGCGCCGGCGCAGATGGCGTTGGCTTCGGGGTGGGCGCGCTTGATGGCGAGGAGGAGGGGGATCATGGATTCCGTTTCGTCGTTGTCGTCTTTCACTTTCTTCGCTTCATTATCCTCCACTTCAACTTGGACAGTAGCGGACTCAGATCCATATCCTCCAGGTGCGATCTTCGACACCACCGCCGCCGCCGAAAAATGCGAGTAATCCTTCCCCTGCGTTGCTCCCCCAAGAATAGGCTGGCGGTACAGCGGAATGCCTGTGGCTTCCGCGTACAGGGGGATCACTTGGTGGCCGACGGTTTGGTACATGAAGCTGTTCAGATCTTCTTCTTCTTCTTCTTCTTCCGCTTCTTTTCCTTCATGTCCATCGCCTGCCTCCGGTGGGTGTAGGTTTGCTAGGGCTACCACGCGATGGCCGTGGGCGAGGCAGTGGAGGAGGGAGAAGAAACTGTCTTTGCCGCCGGAGATGAGGGCGATGACGTTCAACCCTCCGCCTTGAGCTGGAGGAGGAGGAGCAGTGGGGTTGGCCATCATGGGCTGGGCTTTGGTGATGAACTTGACTAGTATGTGTTCCCCTGCCTCTCGTGATCTTTCCGGTGAGTATTGGGTACTACCAGGTAAGGGTGAATTCAGTCGTCCTGTTCAGGTACTGAGGTGACGACAGCCCAAGACCCGGAGAAGTGTGACTTTTGATGGTATCGCGGCTCCAGTACGAACCGCCGATACGTATAGCTACTAGGATTAGTTAGATGTGTGACGGAGCATGGGGTATGGATATACTTACCTGAAATGATTGTCAACACAGGTATGTTCATGAAATGTTGTTCATCGTCTGGTCAACTATCAAAACTTCACTCACTGCAACTCCAGTGGAGATACCACTCACCCGGCATTGCGCTAACGAGGTACTTACTGAGACCGTATTTTTGGCGTATTGAAGGGGGCCCCAGTAGGTACAGCATTAACAGCGGGCATTTTACCTACCTCTACAAGGTCATGCTGAGCGCATCCACGAACTCGTCACAAGACCCAAAAAGTTGAAGACCAGCGAAATTTGACAAATGTATGAAAGTTCACCAAACGATTCAAGAGAAGCAAGAGTTATTTGAATGTGCAATTTGTATGCCTTTATTCTTTTCCCAGACCAAGTGGCCCGAGTCTTTGTGATGCTAAGCTAACGACGATACAGTCCTATTCTGCAAACCGAGGATGCCATGAGTATGATGTGGAGGAGGAAACAGCCTTTTTGTTGAGAGAAGAAGAAGAAAAAGAGTATGAAGAAAACATGTGCGGTGGACGGCTGAACCAGCTGCTCCGTCCACCGAACGATTAAAACGTCTGAAAACATCGGAAGTGTGACAAAAATAATAAGGAGTATTAACTCCAAAACAACTCGCTGTGTGCGCCTGAGACAGAGACTGCTGTCCTCCTCCAATCCATCAAAACTCAAAACCCGGGGGAATCTTGCAATACCTATAACGCCCTTTTATATTCCAACCTTTTCCAAAGGTGTGGTGAATGGACGTCCGATATTGCGCATCCATCGTTCGTAACAAACATCGGGGAGTAATCCCTCTCTCTTAAATTCTTTTGACCCTTAAAAGCGCCGATGGTAGGGGGTATTTCGGCCAATGAATCTCATTATGGTTCATGTCTAACATCAATAACGACAGCTCCGTTCCACTGCGAAAACCGTCGTTAATGGGGAAGAGTGTGCGAAGAAGTGAACAAGCGGGTTTAGATTAGCGCAGTGAAGGCTATTCACTCGCCTCTCCTCCGCTTCTTCTTGTTGGAATCGCTGTCATCCGAAGAGTCGCTGCCGCTACCAGGAACCTCGGAGGCAACCTGGAAGAGGACCTTGCCGAAACTGTGGCAGTCCTCGCTGGTGAGGGCCGGACCCATCATAGGATGATGGATGAAACCGGGGTGGTGCATGCCCATCAGTTCGGGGTCGTTGATCAAGTCCATGACAAGCGAGCCAGAGCCATGGGTGCGGGCATGCTGAGACAGGTTGTCGGAACGAGAGAACTTCTTACCGCACTCACTGCACTCGAAAGGCTTGTCCTGGGTGTGCAGAGACCGGTGGTGGCGCTTAAGGTGCTCTTGGCGGCGGAAGCGACGGTTGCAAATGTCACACTTGAAGGTCTTGGAAGGGTCTTCGGTCAAGGACTGCTTGCGGCCGCGGCGGTTGGTAGGCACCGGGAGCGGCGTCGACGCCTGCTCACCGGCCTCGACCGAGGATTCGGTGGTCGCGTTGGACTCGGTGTTGTTGCTCTCAGGCTCGGCGCTGGCTGCCTGCTGGGTGTGCTCGCTGGCCGGGGCCTGCTTCTCGGTGGTCTGGTTGTCGGCAGCGACGTCCATGGTGGGCTTGCGTGCGTGCCTTGCCCTCTTGCTGGGGCGGGACTCGCTATCAGAGCAGCAATCGTCCTCAACCGACTCAATGTCGTGCATGTCGTCGAGTTCGTCGCAGAAAAGGCTGGACTGGTCGAGCGAGGCAGCGCCGGAGCTGGAGCGCGAGCGGCTGGTGATGCTAGGGGAGCTCTCAACCAGGGAGCAAGAGCCGCTGGTGAAGGGAGACTCGTCCTCCGAGTCGATGTCGGTCAGGACGGAGAGGATGTCAAAGACAGGGAGGCCGGCAGTGAGCTGGGGGTTGAACGAGTAGTCGAAGGGGGTAGCGAGTCTCTGCGGGGCAATGCCTTGGGAGAAGTAGTCGCGGTCCTCCTCGTCGGGCGAGTAGATGGTGGGGAAGTACTCGGGAGCAAGGGTGGAATTGACAGTGCCCACGGTAAGCTCGCGCGGATCGCAGACGCCATCGACGGGAACCGGGAAGATGGAGGCCGGCTGCACGAGCGGCGACGCGGCAGGCGAGAGCAGGGTGGTGTAGGTGGGAGTAGGAGTAAGGAGGCCGCTGGCCGTGGTGTTTGGTATGTTGAAGTTCACGCTCAGGTCATTGGAGGGGAGCATGGGCACCTGGATGCGGGCCTGGTCGGGAAGGTACACTAAAAATTGGGGTTCCTGGTCAGCTCAGCCCCCAAATGCTTGGACCCAGCAGTGCGCAATCCGAGCTTGCTGCAGCGGCCTCCACATCCCGCTTCCGTCATGAAACACGTTGTCAAGCCCGGCATTTTTAGTTGCAGCCGACAATTCATCCGATGCGTCACCGCTTCCACTCCGACCCACCGAAGCTCAGCTTGCAACTTCCCAGTTTCTCTTTCCAAGGATGCTGCACACTCAAACAGAAAAAATGGAGACAAATACATACCAGGCGTAAGAGGAGGAGAGTAAGGCTTCATTTCGTGGTGACCAGCAGGCTTGACCTCGAGGCCGTCCATTCCCGACACCATTGGGTTGCACGGAGTCTGGAGCAAGTCACAGCTGCGCGGGCTGCTGGCGGCGCTGTTGGAACGCGTCAACGGAGGGCTTGGCGGCATGCCGCAATAGTCGCCCATCTCGGTTTGGAGCTTGATGGCGGGTCTGGCGTGGGAAATGGGCTGAGGAGAAGCCATGGGCGTGAGCACCTGAGGAACAGGCATGCTGGTAATGCTGTCGAGGTTGAGGAACGGCTTGTGCTGCATTGGTGACTGGAGGCAGCCCGAGTTGCGTCTGGAGTAGATGGGCGTCGACGGCACCGGCGGCACAACGGGGAGCATGTTCATCTGGTAGGGGAAAGGGTTGAAGATGTGCTGCCGTTGTTGCCTCTCGGGGCTGGCGTCTGACTCGTAGAAGATGAAGGGCTGAGCCATGATGTCTTCCATCTTGATCGTATTATATAGTGCTGTCCTGCCATTAGCTGCTTATTCCTCCCAAGTCGTCGAATGTTAGTACCAACCAGGTAAGAGGTAGTAGCTTTTGTAACTGTGGCAGTCGATAGATGCCTTTGACGTTTGGGTGTTTATATATTAGGTGTTGTATATGTATGTATATATAGATGTCGCGTCGTGTTGTTACTAGTGCTTCGTGCCGTGAAGGGCTAATGATGGTGTTGACTGGTTTCCTCCGGAAAAAAGACAGGCTGGTAGTCTAGATTAATAAGTCGTTGTACATAAACCGGATCGAGAGCTTGAATTGTCGTCGAGCTGGTGCCAATGGTGAAGTGGTTGACTGAGACCAAGTGGTGATGTAAATATCAAATGGGAACGAAGGAGTGTTATCCAAAACTTCGAGATCCAAAAAGAGGGCAGAGACCGATAAGTAAAGGAATAAATACACCACACGTCCAAGAACAAGATATGCCGATCTCGAGAGTAGGAAGAGGAAGCGTGGAGACGGGGACCCTGGGAGGATAAGTAAGTCCCACCAGGATCAGCGGGCAAAAGAAGATGCAACGGCGCTGGACAGTCGACTGGTGAGACTGGGCAAGCCGGGATGGTCGACACCGCGCCCCAGGACAACCAGGGCCCAGCACACCACCCGGCATGTACTGTCCCGGTGCGGTCTATGTTCTTTGGCTGAGAGGTGTACATGTGGGTGCGTACCAGAACCATGTACATACGTATACTATACACTAGTCGAAATGCATACTGGCTGGCCTCGCTTGGACCTTGGACTGGACAGACTGGGAAGTTCAGGAACCCACCGTGCCCACCTGACCCATGTCCTCAATGTCTGGGGGGATAGGTGGACGGTGGATGGGTGTGGGTGGGCTCTGCTTGTCTGGAGGAGAGGAAAGGCACAGCCGCCAGTCCAATTCTGGTACTATTCTAATTCTGGACTCGAGCAAGCAGCAGCACCACCTCCAGCAGCCTGAATGAGGGTACCACAGAGCGAACCACAGCACGGGTACCTCGACCCAAGCTTCCCAGTGGACCGTGAACAGCGATCTTGCAGGCCCGAGTGCTCTCTAGTGTCGCCGACGACATGAACGGCCCCAGTGAAAGCCAGCAGCTCGCTTTAGTGCTCGCACACTCCGGATCACTACCACACCACCTGGGCCGGTCACCTCACCTCCAGTCCGGGTGCTGAGGGCCTGGTTCGCTGTGTTGACTGCTCCGGTTGTCTCGGAGTGAGGACCGAGGTTGAGCAACGAGAAGGCACGGAGGCTGTAGAGCCCGTTGAGAGGCTCGGCTCCCATCCAATGCGTGCGTGCTTTTCGTGCTGTGGTTGGCCTCATGGCTCCGATGTTTACGACGATTATGCCTCATCCGAGCGACTGGGATTGGGGAATACAGCGAAGAGTACACAATGAGTTCAGATGAGCACCCACCCAAGTTCGTCCGATCCTCAGCGAGCCGTGAGCATATGCACTGTGTTTAATACGGTGATTGTGCGTCTGGCTGTCTGGCCGAGAATTGGTCCAGACGGAGCTGGGGTTGGGCATGGTACACGTCTACAGGGCATCATAGGTTAGCATGGTACCTTGAACAAGAGCAAATAGGGTCCGAGCCAGCGGCAGACGGGAGTATTCCGGTAACATGGGGGTGTTGTGGCAAGACCCCGGGGTCCCAGCAGCTACAGTCCGGACAGTGAGCTTGACGATGCCTGCAGAGGTGTAGCTTTGGTGGAGCAGCTAGGAATTACTGTGTAGTAGCAGTGAGCTGCAGAGCTGTAGGTCAAGGCTCCTCTTGATTCTGCGGTCAAGCCCAAGAGAAGGACACTCGACGCTCACGCGACGGGCTCCTGATTCATCCCACGACGAACAAGTTGTCGCCGTCTACCACTTCTGTCTAGAAGGCCCAAGGGCTTGGGAACATTGCCTGTACTGTGTAGATTACCGAAATTTGAGCCTTCCCGGCCGGAGCCATACATCATGGGTCGTATTGTCGGTAACAGAGCTCTGGAGTAAAAATGGGCGAGAAGGGAAATGGGCTGCTAGGTTGATGGGTCCATCCGGATCCAAGGCCAGAGCCGGGGCCTGCGAGACAACTCCCACATGTCCCCGCCCGCTGCTTCAGCGAAATGATGGACGCGGGCAAAAGGCGGGCCAGCAAGGAAGCAGCGACGACGACAGAGAGATGCGGTGGTGTCGCCGTGTCGGATGGTGGGGACAAGGTGGGGTGAGTTGGGATAATTGAGGTTGATTGGGTTGATTAGGCCAATGAAGCCATAGTGTAATGTACCATGCCCTATACTCTACGACTTTTTGATACGCAGTAGCTGAAACTCAAGCAAGTGTTTTGTTTGGTGGCATTGTCATTGAGCAGCTGCGCTAAAATGGTTGCCTCTGACAGATATATTGAATCAAGGAAGTGATACCTCTACGCAAAGACTTGTCAAAGAGAATTGTGGCAGAGTGACAAGTACACAAAAGAGAGAATGACGGTGCTGCTCCGCCGTCGGATCTCCCGTTCATTTGGCTTCGCTTGAAAGCAAATCGGGTCGGCGTGCCTGAAATATGATGTGTGGATTCCCGCAAAATGGACCCACCGCTGCGACCCGGTTCCGTTCCCGTGCCTGCCCGGGGTCTGGCTTCCAGCAACGCATCAACGATGACGGAAGAAGCAAAAGCAAACTCGAGACATACGCTCTTGCACTTTTGAGGTTCAATTGAAATTTTAAAACTCGCCTCATGCGGCAACCACAACGACCCAGATGTCCGCGCGGGGCAGTGATAATGCACGTCTCAGCGCCAAGGTGTGCGATTGGCAGCCAAACAGAGACTGTCCCAGCGGCCGCCGTTCCCAAGTGGTTGCAGCGATGGAAAACACATGAAACGGCCGGGAGACCTCACGCAGGTACGCTGTAACCCAGCATTGGATCGGGCGTGATGATGGACAGAGATGACGGATGTGGCCACACAAGCAACGACGAGGTAGCCAGTAGTGACGGTCGAACTACGGGATCTTGAGGGTATCGGCAGCACAGGCTCACAGCAGTTCATGAATAGCTTGCCAGACTTGCCCCTCCGATGCATCATCACCCGAGCGATAGTGTATTGTTATTTGCTGCCGCCAGTCAAGACGCGCCGTCACCACTGAGGCCGGTGATTGTGACAGAAAGAGGTCAGCGCCGCGCGGTACGTAGCCGGCCCTCCGCATCTCGTGTCTTTGATTTTTTGATGATGGTGGTGTCAGGCAGTTTCCCATCACATTGGACCACAACGCTATCAACTCTACTGGGCAGTCGCGGTGGCAAACTCGACGGGCGACGTCAAATCAGAACCCGAGTCTTGAACTCGAGATTGCACATGTCGACCACTCAGCAGTGTCAGCACTTTTCTCACACGACCAAAGCTGTCCAAATTTTCAATTCTGATGCGAACACGGGATTGTCGGGCACTTCTTGACTTCGTACTGACTTGGTACGGACTTGAATGGATCTTCAGTTTACCAAAGGTCCGGGCGACAGGGTTTGTGAATCACGACTTCCTCTAGGTATCGCCGGCGAGTGTGCGAGGCGGACGGGACGGGAAAGAGAGGCTCATAAAATCATACCCCGCGCATCCTCTGCAAGTGGGAAGGTGGGATCAGCACTCAAAGCACTGCAAAGCATGTGCACACCTTACTGGCCATCCACCCGAGCAGCATCTCAATTCTCAAAGTCCTCAAACTGCAAATCTGACAATCAAAATGGCAGTCATGTCAAACATTCTCCAAGGTTTGCCCACAGCCTACCTGGCAAACCATGAGGCTTCTGCAAGCCCTTCAAGCCTTTCAAGCCTTCCGAGTCTTCCAAACCTCTCAAATGCCATTCTCGAGGCAAGCACCAGTGGGTAGCAACGCCGTCATCACATCCACAACTTGTTCACAGAAACTTCAACTTTCGAGTCCAGTCGCTTCATCAAGGGCCCAAGCGTTACCCTTGTCTTTTGAACCAGGTTCCATCTTCACACCGCCTTGACCGCCTGCTGCACAGTACATGAATGCTAACCTAGATAGGTATTTGCTAGCCTGGGCTGGCCGCTGACGGCTGGCTTTTTGGGTCCCCGCTCACACCCAGAGGCCTGTCACCCAAGAGGTGAAGCTGTTGGCGGAAGTGCTGCCGGCCAGAATTCCGCCTTCTAGAAGTCATTTGCTTGCCTTCCTTCGACAGAGCATTCATGGCCGACTCTGGACTCGTCGGTAGCATCGGCCGGACTCCATCAAGGTACCTTACCCCGGATTAATCTCCCAGCCTTCACTGCCTTCAATGCATGGAACGGTATGATCGCATTAGCCCGACTCGCTGTGCTTTGTGTGTCTTGCGTCCTAGACACCGGTCACATCGTTTCCTTTCGGTCTTTCTCATACGACCTGCTCCATCACGAGCTTTGCTTGAGGGAGACCATCCTATCAACGAAAAGATGCTCCTAGCATTGAAGCTTACAGAGTCAAGTCAAGGCGCCTAGATACGATTCTGCCTTCAGCTACATTGTAGTCTCGACTGTGATGTTTGTTCTCACTCGCAGCCAGAGCTGGTGACGGTTTCTGTGCCTTGCAGGCGGTCTGCATCTGCACATGCGCTACTGCAAAGAACAGACGCACTAATCTGCAGGTACAGAGGCAGGATTTTCACACAAGCTTGAGACAAGGTTGGTTTGCCGTCTTTCACCGTCCTGATAGGCTGTTCCTTCCTATCATTTGCACCCTCCATCATTCAAAGCGATGCTACTCTCTCACCCACGGACGTTGCCTACGGTGTACTCGATGTTGTACACAAATTCTCAATGCGATGCCAAACTCGGCTATTGGTCCACCGTGACGAAAAAGGCATGACATTCGAGGCTACTTTGTCTCATCTCTCATGATTACTCTTGACGAGTTTTACCGACCTCGCCTGCACTGGTATTGTAGGCACAGTACGCCGAGGACGCTCGTCAAACAATTCCCTGATCAAAGACACATACATGGGCATAACCAACCTTGTCTGAAATCATGACTGTGTCGAATCGGATCATCAGCTTTGTTTTGCCACCGTCGACACGGACTGTGCAAGCTGCCTGATCTGGCTGAACTAGCAGGCTCGCCAGTTGAGCATTGACATTCACACGCCAGCCTGGAAGTGAGGCTCTAAAATCACTTCAAACATTACTGACGTCTTCAATCACATATGAGGCGAACTTTCTCGCCCAAACCCACTGCAGCTTGGAGGCACAGCACGCGATAGCAAGATAGGAATGCCCTCTTGTGATGGCTCGGGCTTTTACCCTTCAAAGACTATTCGGATCTACATCGCCATGACCGGTTACAGGTTCCAGGGTCCACCGCTATCCTCATTTCAAAGTCAGTTCATCAACTTATTTGCATGTGGGACGGCAGCGATTACCCTACAGGCTACAGCTGCTCAACTGCCAGTATAGGCAGGCCCAAGCAAGCCCTATAAACCTACGGTGTATTCGGCGGACCCTTGCGGCAACCGGTGTCCATGGACAAGCCTGCCCCGGACCGTTACCAACGGGCCGCGGATATGGAGGTGGAAAGACCCCGGGGCCAGTCTGTAATATCAGGTGACCGGGGCGAGAATGGGAGGTGTACTGTGTAGGCAGACCACGTGAGCCGATCATCACGGACCAATTCGAACCCCGAGCCTCGTTGTAACTGCTAAAATATCCAGTCCATGGCTGTTCATGAGCGCCCGGTCTTCACAGTATCGCTTTAAGACTGAAGCATGGCAAAGATGGAGTGAGCGGTCCGGGATACGGCCCGAACAGCCTCCACATGTGGTCCGTTCCTCGCTGCGGTCCGCACGTGTAGACCGGCCGCCAAGTTCGAAGGTCGACGGTTCCAATTCACGGTGACCCGGCGGTCTGTCTGTGGAGCGGTCAACATGCAGCAATGCTCCATGGCACAGGCTTTGCCAGCAGTTGACGGCCTGGAGAGCAATTGAGAGAACAACCAGTGGTCAATTCGCTTTGGTATCTCCAGTTCGATCGCATGATGGGCGGGGAAGATATCACGCAACCTGTTACCGTGCATAGCACAGTCTAACTTCCCGTCTGCACGAACTGCACGAAGTATGGACCCATCCGGTCCAAGCAATTGAGCAATCAGGAACCGGATTAAGGGCAGGGATTCCGATACCGTCCTCACGGCAGTGACCGTAGACCATTTCTGCGGGCTTCTCGCTTCGGCCCTCGACCGGTAAACGCTATATCCGGTTCATGATAAGTTCCAGGAATATGATTCTGGAGGAATTGGATGAAACCCCAGGTTTCGTTGCAATTCCAACCGTCATAACACACTCGGTTAACGGTAAAGCATCCAGGACCTGGACGACTGTTCTCGGGTGCTGTTGCATCGTGCGTGTCCCAGATTCCATCGCGAAGGTTTCCACTAGCGCAGGAACGCTTGCCTCCTCGGACCAATAGGCATCGCGTAGACATTTCCCCGGGCCCTGGCGATGGGCCTTCTTGAAGGTTTCAAGGGTCCAGGGCACAGGCACCTCAGTTGGGTCGGTCTTCTGAAATCAGTTGACCTTTGCGGGTCGCCGAATTCATCCACGTTTTCCGGTGGTCCAGCTCTCAAGAACTCGCTGATAACATGACGGTCGAAGAGGCAAAAATGGGAGAGAATACACACCGGCCAATTCGGGGATGCTATGAAATCTGCTAAGGAGCCGCTGGGCAAACTGAGTCCCAGCATTGACTCGATGTAGAATCGGCAATCGCATGGAGAAAAGGCGCAACTGATCACTGGAAAGAAGTACCAAAAGATGCAACAAGGCAATTGGCGTGGGGTTGATATTCGGACGAACGGTACCTTACGATACGCAATCAGGCAAGTACTGACCATTTCCCTGCTCCTGGGAACATCCCATCAGCATTGATTGTACAGAGCACCGTACCTTACATACGCTGGGTCAAGGATACCTTCACTTTTGCAACATCATCTCCACGTGCGTGGGTTGCTGTGCAAGATTGGGAGCCCGAAGCCAAAATATCTCGGGATCCTTATCATCTCGTCATTGCTGTTTCTGTTCCGTTTCACGAATATGTTGATCGGTTACGTAATGTTCGTCATCCCCCCAAGTTCGGAGCACACACACAGCAGTCGGAGCGAAGCAGAGGAAACGAAACTGAGACGATTGATTAACAGTCTCAGGTTCGTCAATCGAAGCGTATCACTCGCATCATATTTCCCCGGCCGGCGGAATTGATTTCCGTTGTGGGTAAAACAGAAGAAAGACACAAATTGTTTTATGCTCAAGTTGATCAATGATTCTTTTCTTCCGATACACACGCGTACATACGCAACGGGCTCTACTCGGGCTCTACAATACCTAACTTCTCTAGCCACAAGATTTTTCGGTTTCGGCATATCCATCTCCACACAACAACGCGTTTTGGGAACCGAGACCACTGACCAGGTCGGGTTCGCTTCCAATATCGCGGGAAATGAATTGCAACTCTGCTGGATACGAAAAACTGCCCTAGGAAGGTTTACAGTGGGCTCCAACATGGGCAGTTTGCGCTTACGGTTGCAGCAGTCTCGCCAGAAGGCAGGGCTCCTCAGCGTCGTAGGTCCTTCTCTCGCCCTTCTGGAAAAACTTGCAACCTGCAAAAACAGCGGACACCCCACCAACCCTCCATTCTTCCCCCGGCCGTCGGCCAAAGTATGCCTGAGAAGGAAACGAAGCGGAAAACGTTAATAGCTTGCGTCGTGTTCCGCTCACGGGCTTCGCTACCGGAATCGGTTTGTTCCTCCGAACCTTTGAGGGTTTGGGAATTGTCTACTACGCCGTAGTGGGGGCACTCGGTCCTCCTCGGTGGGGGGGAAATGGAACTTGGGAAAAGAATATTCCATTTTCCATGTTTCCATTCTTAGGACTGGAGGTGTTGATGATGCCCTGCGACGGAGTTTGGGTGGGAGTAGGTAAGACTGCTAAGGTACACCAAGTGGGAGACGAGAAACATTATGGCATTGTGGGTGAAGAAGAAAGGACTAATGGACGGTAAGATTGTCCTTTGTGTGAATGAAGGCATTTGCGGACTGGACCATACCACTACGTAGAGATGGACGCCGTACACTGTACGGTGATGGCGACGGTGGCCATTTCCAGAAGGGTTAATGGAAATGACGATATGGCAGCGAAGCATTCGGCGAGTTGTTCGGCTATCGAGTTCGACACTTCCATTCAAGTGGATGAAGGTGGTAAAACACGAGAAAGAGGCAAATCGTACCTCATCCTCCCTCGGGCAACGGACCCCGTCTTCCGGCCTTCACAATTTGGACCAAACAAGACAAACCAATGTTTTTGCGATGTTTATGCAGGTGACAGTTCCGTTTTAGTATGCATATGTATCCTGCGGTGCCTGCATTTGATGCTCGCCGCATCACGGCCAGCACGGGCACGACGGGGAACGGGGGACGCCGGACGGAGACCAGTTGAAGTTGTATCTACCTGCCTACCTGCCTGTTTGGTAACCGTACCTGCGTTGATGGCGTCGCTGTGGGTGTCATTTGTTCGTTGACCGCCTTTGAAACAAGACTGCGACTGCGACCGTGCAGATAGTGTTTCCTATTTTTCCATTTTTTTTTGTTAGTTTTTTTTTCTGTCAAGTACGTATAGCATGGTGATACACATCTTCTTTTGACTTTTGGTCCTATCTCTCCTCAGCCATTCAATCTAGAGGAAGCTCTACGTACAAGGAACAGACACTATCTAATGCGGCGTCGCGTACACCACAACTCGAGATACACAACAAGATGACAGGTACGCGGATAGATAGGTCATGTAACTGCCCATAAACATGTCTATTTTCCCCTTCTAGTATGCCAATGCAGATCCCTCAGTCCGTGAGCGTACCTGCAGATTTTTTTTAATTTTTTTTTACCTGTCATTGGTTGTTCCGTTGTTGTTGTTGTTGTTGTGTTCCGATAGTCATGCTCCGAACGTCAACTCTCACGATCTTTTCCACCCCTCCATCTTTACTCTGTGTCACTGTTCATGTCACCCACCTTTTTCTTTTTTTGTTTGGCCCTCTTGTTGCCCCTCCTACCTACATACGTGACCTGCCCCTCTCGGGGGATAAAGACAAGACGTCAAGCAAAAGAAAAAGCGGGATGGAACAGGATGGGTTGTGCTTGCCGGTCATCTCATCTCATTTCACATGCATTGCATATGTTAATGTACGTATGCATGGATGAATGCAAGTCTGAAAGCGGGATGAGGTTGTGGATGGCACTGATGGAAGAGTTCATCTAAAAACCTTTCTATGTAGAGGTAAGTTTGCGGCCCAGTAGCGAGCAAAATGCAGTGAGCAAACGTCAACATTTCGATGTGACATCCTCCCAATCTTTGGATATTCTGTTTCCATGGTAGACATGGTCGCTTGTCGGCGAAAAACAAGCTCAACCATGCGTATCTGTGGCGTTTCCGTGCCGTTGTTCTGCCGCGTATGTATGTATGGTGGACAAGCGCGTCTAAGTAGGTGCATTACATACAGCACAGAAGAGATGTTCTTCTCTTTCCACATACTCAGACACTCTATCGGATAATTACGACAAGGCGCAGATCAGTTATATCTGTCTGGCCTCACTTTTTGTTCCAACGTAGTATTAAGATATTTTTGCAACTGGAAGCTGTCTGACGTAGTTTGTGATGTTATAGTGGCGAGCCTTGGCACCCAATGATAGTTCGCGATGCAGTATGCTGTTTTCCTTTTGTCGCTTTTTTTTTTTTTTTTATCTTTTGCGAACATTGCTTTTCAAGTTGCTTGGTCCGCCATCTGGGCGCCTTTCAAACACCGGACATCGGACTTCGTTTTTACTTTTCGGGACCGGAGAAAATAAGTGGGAGATATACGACTGACCGATCAGATGGAAGAAGCAAAGAAAGGCGAAAATTCTGAAGCACAGAAGAAAAGGTATCTAATATTGCTGGCGGCAAGGGCGCTTTACACAAGAACGCCTTGCTGACCGTCCAGTGTCTGTTGTTGCCTGGACAAGTTGGCAAAGAGCTGTGCAATTATTGATTGTGTTCATGAAAATTTCAAAGACATACTGGGTGAACTGGAGGCAAATACGTCAGAGAGAAGTGGGAAAAGAGACTTATCAGTTTAGAAATGGTGTTCTTTGCCAAACATAACTCTTTGGCTTCTCTTCTGTCCGGGCCAAAGCCATGAGCCTTCGTCCTCTGTCCTGTCGAGCCTGTGTAAGTGAAGTTTCTATCTTAACTCCGAACTACCAGTTATTGGAAGTTGTAGGAGCTGAGAACCAATATTGATTTTTAAAGGTCGCCGATGACGATCCCAATTCAACATCGTCAGCATATTAATCTATTCATCGACATGCCTCTACGCAGCTGACGACAGCTCCAATATCGTAACGTCCCAGAGACTCGCGGCAACTAGTCCCCGCGCCTATAATCAGCATGCTTACAATGCTTTGCATATGTTTGAACCATTCAGGCTATCAAACACCGGATTTATTACCCCGCAAATAGCAGTGAGGTAGCGCCGTTTTAGGACAACTCGTCTTTCTGCATCCGCGGCACTGCTGTTTTACCATCAATGATAACCAAACCGTACTCGGTAGGTCACTTCAACCTACAACTTTGCTACTGCAGCGACAACACACCATCACTGCATTAACAGCTCACTCTACCGCTTTTACCCAGTCGTAAGAGATTTACTTCCCCAGCTCTACTAATCTCAATACAGTATAGCCGGGCCGGCAAGCCTGCTTTTACCCACTTTTTCAACCCTGACAGCCCCGCCAGCCGACTACAGGTGACCCATGCCAGCCGTGTGCCCCGTGCTAGTAATTTTTGAGAATCTCGCCCAATCTCCCCACTCTTACTCTTTCACCAAATAACCTTCTTGAAATTTAATTTATATACTCTAACCACCATTATCGCTAAAATCAATCAAACAACACCACATTATCAATCACAATACTATCTTTCATCAAAGAAGCAAGCGACGTATTTAAATTTACCACTATTAAAATTCCTAAGATTCCTATCGCGAGTTCAATATTAAAAAATCGACCGACTTCAAAGTAAATTTTATTTTAAATCTCTTACATTATTACTACCCTACTTCATTTATTTAACTATAGTTTCTTATCATATAACTCCCCTCCTTACCCTTCCAAAAACCCAAGTTTTACAAATCGATAAAATACTATTAAATTTATTTTATAATACTTCTTTCTCTTCAATAATATTAACATCGACTTTATTATTCTACCCTTTTTATAATATTGTTACCAAGAAAAAGAAGCGGGGCAAAAAAATCAAACCCCTCCATAAATAATATCAAAATCGGCTATACGTATATCCCCCCTCAACTTAAACTGCTAAACTTCGTTGCTAATATTCCTACTGTATTAAAATTAAGGTTTTAAATTACCTCTTCTTTAATTTTATTCCTATCGATAATATTAACTGCCGTAATCGCAAATTCGAAACCCTAGAAACTAATCCTATAATTAATAACTATAATTATACCCTACCTAATAGCTTCCGCCACCCGATATATTTTTAAACTTCGAAGTACTTCGGTATACCCCGCTCTATTTTAATACGTTAATAATTATGAAGAAATAAAATTATTTACGGTACTAAATTTCCCTTCTAATCTAAATAGTTAGAATTAAAAATGTAATTATTCGACTACTTTATTTCAAAACGTAAAGTAAATAATCTAATATATATTGATTAATTTAAAATAAAATTAAAGTATATTTTTCATTAATTAACCGGCCAACCCTACTAATAATTTCTATTCTCGACCAGTTAAATTAGAAACTTTATATAATAATATAATATTATCCTTCGTTATATTATACGGCAATTTTCTAAATTACTAAAAGATTACCTTTATTTCACAATTAATTTTCTAAAATCTATTAGAAGAAAAATAACTATCCTTATAATGTAAAATATTAATTATTTAATCCATAGCCCGCCCACCCCCTACAAAATAAATATTTTATATCTTTCTTACCCCTCTATCTAATTTATAATCAATTAATTTCCCCTCCCTTAACTTTAATAAATAAATAAATAATTTATTATCAACTTCGATAAGACCCCTGTACCCTTCGAATTCCTTAATAGAGCCACATATAATATTAGAAGTAATGATACTATTACGGACAAGACCGACCGAAGCGGATAGAACAAGCGGCAAGCTACTCTTATTCCATATATTTTTATAAATAGAGTATAATAGTTAAAACC